GCGATAGGGAGTGTCGCACGCACGGTGAGAAGATGAGTAAAAGAGTACTTGATTCGACTATGAAAGAAGGAAAGAAGGGTCTCATTTCGGGCAGAAAGTAAAGACCTGCTTTGCGATGCCGATTCTAGATGAGGCTGTTGGCGCGATCTGATACAGCCTGTGTTCGAGTTTTGGTCTCAGCAGGGGTCCAACACACCTCACTCCAGCCCTGTGACCTTAACAAATACCGTATCTTTCGCGAAAATCATTCTAAGTAGGCTCGACATGCGGCAAAGAGGTAATTAGTGTAGTAGCTAGCTGGTGAAGAGCTTCCATAAGGCGCGTCGATCGTTGCGGTGGAGAGGTAAGCCCGAGGTACAACGGGCGCTGTTGGCAGAATCTAAATGCACTAACAAAAAGGGATGGACCAATCAAAGGCCGTAAAAGCGACGCCTGTATAAGAGTGACGCCGGTGTAGCCATTCGTTCACGCCGGTGTAGCAATTGCCTAATTTTTATATTACAGATTAATAATCGCCGCTGAAGCAAGCCGAGTCGGGTGCTCCGCGCTGACGGTGTCACTTAGCCCCCTGGGGCTTGCGTGCTTATCCCGGTCAAGGGATGTCCAAGAATGAATACCGACTCGCTGGGCTCCGCGTGGTTGTCTGCCCTCCTGATCGACACAGGGAGGGAGGGACCGGGGCCATCCCCATTCGCGGAAGGGTCTCCGGCGTCAGCCCTCCACAACGCAGATCCCCCGCCATCTGCCGGGATCCGGACCCGCAGTGTGTCGTTTGTGGAGCAGCCGTTTGAGCAGAATATTGGGCCAAGCCAAGTCAGTTCGGGGTTCGAGGCGAGGAGTGTTGGCTGTGTCTGTGCAGCGCTACTCGCTCGAACTAGACCTCTAGTGTCATGCATGCAGGACCGATAGCCCCTGAGCGCCCCTTTGCTAGCTCAGGGACTGCTCCACGCAGCCGTCGGACTTGCAAGGTCCCCCATGCTTGTTTGCATGCCCCGACCCTCTATGATGGAGACCCATGGAGGACAGAAAATAACAGGCCTGAAAGGGACGACAAGTTGGTTATGTATTGGACTCTGGACGCCATGTCCACCACTAGTTTCGCTTCAAGGATCCCTGGAAAGATGGGCAAGATGTAGGTGTGTGCAGATCCTGGCACAGCTTGCGGAGCCTCCTGTCCGCCGGCCAGGACACAGACCAATATCACATGCATCCAAGGACTTCTGGCTCCGGACTCGTACATATCTGTGCCTCGCGCCCTCAACCTCAACCACCACTTCTTGTCGCATTCCCCCCAACAACCATCCCAACTGCCGTGGAGCACCTAGCGCCGAAGCCATCTACTATTAGGCAGGTTCTTCCCGTTCTGCAACATTCACACTCGTCGAGCAAGTCGAGCGAGCCAACATGTCGGCCATCCTGGAGTCTTTCACCTTGCTGTCCATCGCGCTCTGCACAATCGCCGTGCGGACTTGGTACCGATGGTCTCAGGTCGGCTTCTCCGGCTTCCAGCTGGACGACTATATCATGCCCGTCTCTGGCGTAGGTCACTCCCTGTCTCGCAGAACCCGGTCTTGCTCTTGGGCTGTGCTGGTTACAGGACGCAGTCTAAAACTTCCTCCCACAGCTACTATTCTCCCTCGTCACGACACTCGCGTATATTGTTGGTGCCAACTACGACGGTCTCACGAACAGTTACATGACGGACGAGCAGCGTGCGGCTCTCGACCCCACGTCCAAGGAGGCCTACAACCGCGAGATGGGCTCCAAGATCCAGGTGATCGGCTGGTCGTTCTATGCGATGGAGCTGTGGGTGTTAAAGGTCTGCATCACTGTGTTTTACTCGAGGTTGACGTAAGTGCCCTTCTCACATTGAGCTTCAGGCCACCTCGAGATCGGCATGCCTTGCTGCTGTCGCAAGCAACAATCGTCGGCTAAAGCGTCGTCAAAATTGCACAGAACTCGCCTAAGTAACCTCCACACCCGCGTCCTCGTGGCTTACAGCGTCATTGGCGTGAGCTACATTGCCGTGGGGCTCTCAATCGTCCTAGGATGCCAGCCCATATCGCGTAATTGGCAGATTCACCCGAATCCCGGAAGTAAGACCGACTCCCTCGCCAAATTTGCCCTCCGATAATATCACCATCGCTCTGTTTCCCTAGAAGACTGTCAAGGCAGAGGCGCGCGAATTGACTTCTTGGTTCACAAACAACTAACAAACCGTCCCGTGGTCAGATCTCTGCCAACCTACCAACTCGAAGCTCAACGTCTTCATGGTCTATCTACCTAACGTGATCACGGACGTGTACCTTCTTTCCATTCCTCTTCCTGTACGTACATATTGTTCTGGTCACCGGCACCTCTGGACTTGGTATACGGAGCAATCCACTGACATCAGATTTCCCCCCTGCAAAACAGCTGCTCTGGGGCGTCAATATCTCGCTCCGCCGCAAGCTCACGCTCATGCTCCTCTTCAGCGGCGCCATATTCGTCATAGCCGCCGCCACGATCCGCGCCGTCGTCATTATCACGGTAAGCTACCCGTCCAGGTCATCGTTAGCAGGCCTCCATCGCATCAGTTGGACCTTTGACTGACGGATATCTATCATCCAGGCCGGCCCCGAAGGCGCCGTCTCCGGCAGCCAGTGGGCGTGCCGCGAGATCTTCGTGTCCGCAGTCGTGTCCAATCTCCCCGTGATCCAGCCCCTGCTGCGCAAGCTGGCCAGCCACACGGGGCTCAGCATCCTGTTCAGCAGGTCTGGCGGGCGCTCCGGCAAGAACGGTGCCCACGGCGGCGCAAGCGGAGGGTCGGGCAAGAGCTACCCGCTCAGCGACAACCCCCGGACCGGCCCGCACTCCAAATCCTACGGCCTCGGCAGCCGCTCCAAGTTCGGCACCCGGCTGTCTCGCCATGCGACTGCCGGCCCGGCGGCTGCCGGTGCCGCTACTATGACTGCAGTCGCCGCGTGGGGCAGTGAAGAGCATATCCTCCTCGACGGAGGTGGCAAGACGCTCAGTCCTGGCACCGGGGCGGCTGTCATGGGCGACAAGGATATCGTTGTTGGCAAGGAGATCACTGTAGTCACGGAGTCGGCGGCCGATGCCCGCTCAGGCTCCGTGCTGGGCCATCGTGACAAGGACGTCTGGGGCTACTCCGAGCGAAGGAAGCGCGATAGCTCGAGTGATCGCTCGAGCCGGTGAGGGGAGGTCGTGCAGTTGGTCTTGAGCTTAAGTGCTGGACGGCGAAAACATTTTGTAAGGCGTGCTTAGCATCAGGTAGACTGTTTAATGATGGATACACAATTGAAAAATTCTTTTGCTACGTAACCATGCCCGTAGTATCGCGCCATGAGTGCATCGTGACAGAAGCTGTGGCTAAGCCCCTGTCGGTCGTGGACCATAAGGACCACACGCAGCCCTCTATCGCTGCTGCTACTGCCGCCGCTGCCCATTTAACTGCCTGTAGCTGGCCGCCCTTAAGCCGGTGCCTCTGTCGGTAGTGGGTAACTAGACCGCCCACGGCAGCTGGGATGCCTGCCTTACATAGCGTACAGATGAGTACGCGGCTTGCCCTGCGTAGATACAGTGCTGGCGTCGCTATCGTCGTGGCTCGCGCCGGCCCTGACTCTATCGTTGTCGTGGCTTTCGTGTCCGGCTCCTGTTGCGCGACGTTGTCTCCCTCAGCATCGCTGCGATCGCTGTCGGAATCGCCCCCCTGGCTGCTGCTGCGGTTCATTGTACCTGCTGTCTGTGCCTGTTGTTCTTGGGGCTACTACTGTACTTCTCCTGTCGCGTGCATCGTGGGAAGAGACCCCGAGCTGGCGTCGCTGTTCGAGCCCGTACATGTCCGTTTCATCCTCCTGCTCCCTCAACCCCCCCGGGCTAGTCCCATTACGCGTACGCGCTCTTCTCATTATTGCCCGTCACTCGCTTTCCTTTTTGCCCCCTTGGACGGACGGGCTGGGCTGGGGGTTAAGGTTAGACCCCTGCTTGGGGGGGGGGGGGGGGGTGGGTCGTGGGTTAGCTGACCTTTTGCTGGCCGGGATGAACTCAACCTGGGGTACCGGAATGAGCTCAATGGCCCGTGCGCCCGCGCCCCCTGCCCACCAGGAGTGCGCGAAAAGTGAGCGCTTCCCGGCCGGGAATGACGGTCAGGCCCTTTTCAGGAAGGTGAGTCCCGATGACCTAAGGCCTTTGTCAGTTTCACCATTCATTGGCTCTGGGAGGCCCCGCGGGCCACACCCGTGTCTGGCCTGGAAACCGCGGAGAATGATTGCACCCAGGCAGCAGCTCATTGCGGGCTGTTGAAAAAGCTCTTGTTGCAAAGCTGCTGACGTCGACAAAGAGGGCGGGCGCGATGGTGTGGCAGGCGAGACACCTGGAGAGTGTGATGTCAGCATTGATGTGGCTTCTCCACGGAGGTTGGACGTGGGGCGCGGGGTGGCTCGCAAGATGAAGTGGTTGCTGCCGAATATGTCGTTGTGCATCAGCATGCCTGAGACACATACGGACCTGATTACTCCGATGAGCAGGGGGTGCGGCATGCCGATCATGAACCCCCAACGTCCGGGATCGGATGCCGAGATCGGACGCCGAGGCCGAGCTGCCTTATCAACAGCTGCGAACACCAAGTTCCCCGCCTGGCTCCCCAGTCGGGCAGGCCATGGCGGTCGTCTGGGCTGTCGGTCTCTCGTCGGATCGGGCAAATGGGTGATACGGTCCAGGGGCGTTTTATCACGGATGCAGTACTAATGCTACGGTATCATGAAGAAGCCGGCAAGCCTGCGCGGTGGAACTCCTGGCCCGTAGATGGCAATCGAGCACGGCACTTTCCGTGGCGCAGCGCCATCTCATTATACTAGAGGGGGCATAGCTGCGCGACGCGGAGATCCAACCACGTTGCGATAAGGCAGAAGCTGCCGCGGCAAAGTGGACCATGGGTCGTCCATGTGCACCCTGGCTTCCTCACGTCCATGCTAAAAATACTTTGCCACTATCTCACAGGGAGGTGCACACTATACTGGGTTTGTCCAGCTCCCTAGGCCCTGGCTGGAAATGAGGAAGAAGAGAATCTGATTGCAATCTTTGGTATTCTCTTGAATCTGAGGTTCTTGAACAAGGTCGTGGCACCACAGCCTCGTGTCTGTAAGAGACAAAACAATTTGCGCGATCGAGTATGCTGTGACAAGACATTCCTATCCGATGTTGCCTGAGGCCTGATGCCCTTCACCTGCATCAATAATCCATCCCCCATTGCTGTTAAAAGCACTATAGGTCTCGGACCAATATCACGCCTTCTCGACGACGCCCCTGTGAACTTGAGTTGTGTGCGCGTGTATTTTGTGTGCATCACCTCCACTGTCCTTTAAAAAGCCGCCCAAAACTTCTTAGAGTAGAGAGTCCTGGCGTAGAAGACAACGGCCGACCCAGCGAGGGACATGACGCCTCCAAAGATCTTGACGTTCAGCCAGCCCTCGTCGAGCGAGCTCGCGCTCGTCAGGATGCGCCCGCCGATGGGCGCCATGGTGAGGGCGGGGAGCGAGAGGACGAGCATGACGACGCCGATCCGGTAGCCGATCTGGGGCAGGGGGGATACGGTTGCCGGCAGGGCCGCGAGGAGGCTGACGAAGGCGCCCGAGAGGAAGCCGAACGCGACGGCGAAGCCGATGGTGGCGGTCTCGTATGTGGCGGGGATCCAGAGGGCCAGCTCGATGATGCCCGAGGCGGCACCAGCGATGACGAACACGTTCCATCGGCCAGCGATATCAGACCAGTATCCAGAGCCCAGACGGCCGAAAAGACTTTGTGCATGTAAGCAAGGTCAGTCACCCGTCAAGCAAATCCCAAGTTTCCAAGGTTGTGGGTTGAACTCACCTCGCACCATTGAAGATGGCCACCAAGTAGAGCGACATGGATTCGGACACGTGAGCCTGCTCCAAAGCCTGCAAGGCCAAGAAGTTGACCGGGATAAAAATGCCGTACATTAGGATGAACATTCCCAGCAACATGACGACGAAAGGGAACTCCTTGAAGGGAGCGGCCAGGGTTACGGCCGACGACTTCTTGGGCGCTGGCGCTGCTGCTGGCGCTTTTCTCGGCCGGAGGGTGAATATTGCGACGATTTGCAAGGCCAGGACGACAAAGGCGGAGATGCGCATGGCCCAGGGATACCCGGTGCTGGGATTCTCAATCAGGCGATTGAGCATGATGGGGAAGACGACGCCGCCGAGAGACGAGCCGGTCACCATGATGCCCATCGCAAGGCCCCTCTTTTTATGGAACCATGTTGCAATAGTCGAAATCGCTGTTGTGGGGTGTCTTGTCAGCAAGGAATCGAGATTTCCCGGATAAGGTCAAGGACTGGACCATTAGGTCGCGGGACCTGGAAGAAGAGAAGCTTACCGGGCGAGTACAGAAAGCTGAGGCCAATGGCACTGCAGACGCCCTGGGCCAAGAGGAACTGGTAGTACTCGGTTGCCAGGGACGCCATCATGAGCCCAAAGACATGCAAGAAGGTGCCGACCAGGATGAGCGGCGTCGGGCCATACTTGTCAAACAAGAAGCCGGCGGCAGGCCCCAGGAAAATGAGGAAAAAGATCTCGAGCGACGGGATCCATGCAATGGTGCTGCTGTCGTAGTCCTTGAGAGGACCAAATTCGTAATAGCTTTGAAAAACGCCCACGCCTGCCAAGAAGAGTTAGGGCCTGAGCGCCAAGAAAAAGTCGGGGGCCGGGTGAATGCGCCATGTCAGCTTCGGGGCGGGCCGGCGAAGCTTAGGCAAAGCTTACTTACTGTTCATCCAGCCGAAGCTGTTGAAGGAACAGCACCAGGCACCAAGAACAGCGAGCCAGGCGCCGGTGCCACCATCAGGGGGGCCGTCAGCTTGCAGCTGGACCTCGTTATCTGGCGTGTCAGGACTGTGAGACAGCCGTGATTCGTCGGTGGTTAGAGACACCCCCTGCGCGGTGTCGCTGTCGGTGGGCGCAGCCTTTTCTGAAGACATGGATTCCTACTTGCGATGACTACAGCAGGCTACTTTGGGGACCGGGAGTCGATCACTGTTGATCACTGTGGGAGTCGGAAGCTGAGGATCTCGAGAAGAAGAACGAGGGAGAGGAGCTGGTGACGGCGTTGTCAAGTAGCTGGAGGAAGCCTTGCTCAGTTTGTCAACTTCGCTTGTCTGTTTTGACGCAATGTCCGCGACCTCGCACGCTGACCAATCCGAAACAAGCTCGGTCGCTTACAAATGCCCGTGACGAGACAGATATGACATGCCAGCTTGCGCTGAAAAGAAGGTCCTACGCATGGGACTTTCGAAGAGGAAAACGGAGCGGCCCGGACACAGCCAGGATCTTGACGCGTCGGACGCAGACTGTCATCCCCGGCAGAACTTGACCAGATTCGTCCACACAACCCTACCCACCACCAACATGCACTGCAACCTCGAAAGGCTTATCACGCTGAGACCCCGGGGCGGGCCCCGGTCCCAATGATGGGAGCGCGTCGTGTAGGCTGCAGCTGCCGAGGTGGTTCTCGGCAAACTTCGCCGAGTCGGTGCTTTGCGTCCGTCACAAGAACGGTCTTTGGTACATTAAACCAGTATGGCAAGGACTTTTCTTCCGCGCACCATATCACGGATGGCGCGATACCTACCCTAGGTATGCACCTTATCTTGGCCAACGTCGCAGAGGATTTGCTGACCGCATATCATGGCCTGGTGTGATCATGGCTGGGTGCGAACAAGAGCACCTCATCGCCAACGCACCTGCACTACGAGTCAGCCGCAGGTGAACAAGGAGAACCGAGGCTGATCTAGGAGGCTGTGAACATCGCACCGCAGGAAGAATGCATGATTGGTGGCGCCAAGTGAAAATGAGCGGATTCCGTGGTTAAAGCTGGTCCCCGTGCAACCAGCTTCACCGCAAGGGGCCCTCCTCCTCATCGCTACTCTTCACCGGAAGTAATTGCTACTTTTAGCCGATCCTCAATATCCTCAGTCTTCATCTCCAGTCGCCTGTCTCCCGCATACCATGTCACCTGCACACCGCCAGTCCTGCGACCGTTGTCGTCAGCAGAAAGTGAGGTGCTTGCGAGACAACAATGCTTCTGTTTCAGGCCCAGGCCGGGTTTCCGCTTCCCTGTTGTGCGACCGCTGTGCTAAGGCAGGAGCGGAATGCAGGTACAGTGGTATGCTTCAAGCTTTCTCATCAACGAACCAACCGCATAACCTTCTCATCGTCCAGTAAAATTACTTGACCGAGAAAAAGAAGTTGGTACGGACCTCGGTGCGGGTACCGGGCCGAACCAACAGACGATGAAACCCAATGGCTGACTAATCTTTCACAGAGAAACAACGAGGCCATCGCCGACGCTGTTCTGCTGGCTCGCCGAGCGAGATGAGGAGCACAGACCTCTTCGGCCTCGGGCCGGCCTTTGGTCATGTCGATGGGACGCCCGGGTCATCGGCTGGTTCCTCCCACTTCATGACGGCCTTGATGGGCCACCCTTCTTCCGACCTGCATGTTGACGAAAGCAAGACGGCCGTCGGCGGCTTCGGTGCACCCGATGCCGAGCACGACCTGCTGCCGCTTGAAATGCCCCCAACCTCGCACGAGTCACTCGCCACCTTGCTAGCAGAGGCTGTATCTGCTTCATGCATGCCGGGGGGACCCTTTTACGACGCCACCGCCCCAGTTCCATCAATGGAGGCCGACGCCGACTACGAAGACACAAGGAGCTTCCTGTTCTCACGGCTGACGGCCGTGAGCCAAAGGGCCATGCGGACAGCCCGCCGTCTCGCCCGCTCCGGCACAGGGGCAGGTGCAACCACCCTGATGGTGTCGTCGCCCGAGGTGACCGAGGCTTTGGAGGACACGAACACGCTGATAAGCACCGTCAACGACATCATGACAGCGGTAGCAACAGCAGGATGCGACGACCCAATGACCACGACGGGTTGCGCCGAACTGGCCTTCTTGGCTCTCGCTTGTCACCAGAACCTCATGACGCTCTTCCGAGCCATCTGCGATGCCATAAAGGGTAGACTGCAGGCCAAGAAAGAAGAGCGGGAACAACAACATCAACAAGAACAACAGCGACAACAACAACACGCCGCCCGAGACAACAGCGGCGTGGGACCTCTCAATGTCGCCCAGTTCGTCATGGTGCTGCAATTGCTGATGCATCTCATCAGTCGCATGGGCCGCATCTTGGAGATATCTAACACGACGACTGAGCAGGAGAGCCAGTTTATCGCACCCGCGGCCATGCTCGACGGCAACACCATGGCCACCGACGACTATGCCATTGGCAGTGTCCCCGGTCAGTCTTCTGCGTCGTCAGTCACATCAGCCCACCACGCGACGCGCCGCAGTGGTCTGCTTGAGCATGTGCAGGAGATTGTCGGAAACATACCCAGTGAGCGTGAGAGACTGAGGCGCATCATTCAGCGACTACAGGCGGAAATGGACCATGCGGAAATACACTAGAGGTCGCGAGATCACTACGTTATACACCCCTATTCTAGAGCTGCGACTATAGTGGCTCAACATGAGGCTTTTAGAACTGAATTAAACGGCGCCCCATATTCTATACTCGTGACAAAACTCCCTCAGAACTCCATGTGTTTCTTCAGAAAATCGTACTGCCTGCGCAGGATCTGCTCTAGATCCTTGAACATCCAGTCCAAATGACCGCTCCCCTTCAAGATGTCCAACTCCTTGGGGTACCCCATCTGGGTGAAGCAATGAAGCTGACTGTCCAGGGGGCTCGTCTCGTCGAGCTCGGGCGTGACCATCATGGCGGGCGTGGGCGCGACGTACTTGACGACGTGGCAGGTTCCACGCCAGGCACTTGTAGTATGTCTGCACCGAGATGCGATTCTCGAGGACGATGCCGAGCCGGTCGAGCGCGGGAACGATCTCGGGCGCCATCTCCTGCCCGTTGGGCATGTTGCCGTCCTCGTCAATGTGGGGCAGGTGCATGGGGCTCTGGCCCGCCAGCAGCTGGCTCGCCCGGTCGTGCATCGCGAGCTCCAGCAGAGGCTTGCGCCTCTCGGCGCTGCCGTCCGTGCTGATCATGGGTGCCATGGCTATGGTGGCCGCCACGCGCTTGCTAAAATGAAAAGAAAAAAGTCTGGATCAGCTTGGAGGGGCCACGGCAAACCAGATAACAGCCCACACGTACTCAAACGCGGTCGCCGCAAGGGTGACGTTCCCTCCCCAACATAATCCCCACAATGCGATCTTGGTCTCGTCGACCAGAGGTTGTTGCTTGATCCAGGTCACGGCGTCATGGAGGTCCTCGATCTGCTGAAGAGGGTCGACCTATTCGCGGCAAGGAAAAACTAGATTAAAAACGTTAGCGGACATAGAAAAACGTTAAAGGATTGCGGGGTTTTTGCGAAGAAGAACCACCAACTCCAGCAAGAACACTGAATTTACCTCATTTCTGGGCTCTCCTTCGCTCGCGCCTATACCGCGCGGATCATACAGAAGAACGGTGATGCCGTGTTCCTGGAACCACTTTGCAATGTCGGGCAGGTTGGCATCCTTGGGGAAGTTGAACTAGAGAAGGGCCGGGCACACACACCCCATGCGTCAGTTTCCCGCCGGCTTCTTTCGCGAACAGGTCTCTAGAGCGGGAAATAGCAAGGAAGTAGACAAAGAATAGGTAGGTAGTTACCCCTGGCGTCATTATCATGGCCGGGCCACGCGAGGCGGCGGGGAACAGCCATCCGCGCAGCGTCACGCCGTCAAGAGTTTTGATATCGACATCGAGGCGAGGTGGGGTCGAGATCGCCATTTTGTGTGTTCGGTACAGCGGGAGAAGACCAAAAGGGCTTGGGAAGATGATGCAGATGCGTGCAGGGCAGTGCTGACTACCTACGCGTACTCACTGAAAGACGTGCAGCCGGCTGGATGATATTGAAAATGTAGGTGGTAGTCATGGGTGCAAGCGACCGAGATGGACGAATCAATCTGACCTTGAAGGCGGAGGCTAATGTGTGCCGATTTCAGTGGCAAGCAGCTGACGATGTAAGTCGGCACCCGAGAGCACGGTCTGACATGTTATCGGGAAGGAAATTGCTGACTGTGCCGGCTCTCTAGGTGACCGATCGGGTCGGACCGTGGAACTTGGGAACCAGGCGTCATCGGGGTTGAGTCGCGTCGGCCCGGCACCGGTATGGCAGGGTCGGTGATTGAAGATTCCGATGTCGACTCCGATGTGGGTGCCTACTGCTGCTCGGAGCTCCTTGCTAAGCTCTGTCGTCCCCCAGCGCCCCTTCCGCCCGTCCATCCATAGCCACTCGCTCAGTTTATCGGACGGAATTCGCCCTCTTGTTTGTGCGAGAAGCATTGCCTCGAACGGCATTAGCCAAGCAATGTAGACCACAAGCAGCCGGCCGACCCGCTCGGGAAGAAAACGGGCAATTTTGCGGCCGTAGCCGCGGATCGACTTGGCCTTGTCCCTGTCGGTGATGGGCATCACCTGTCCGTCGTGTACGTACACACTCCGGGCGAGCTGCTTTGTATCGCAATGCCGAACACTCGTAATCTCGGGTCCTCGCCCGGGCTGCCCACCCCATATATGAGTGGCAAGCAGAAGCTTGGATTTCAGCCTAGTCAGCCATCCAAGCCACTGTCGTGACTTCTCCTGGTGGTACTGTATCCTCTGCTGCGACCATAGCTCCGCCTTGACAAGTCTTGCGACTACCCGGGGCCCTGCCTGTAGCCATGCGTTCCTGGAATTGGTGGCGAACGAGCTGTCGTGACCCTCGAACATCATACTGTCGTAAATGTTTGCGAGCTCAACCTGGTCGAGCAGTGCCGCTCCCTCGCCGTAGAGCAGCTCATCCAACCCCGTCTCGAGCTCGGAGACTAGCCTCTGCGCCATGTCGCGGAATTCCTGGACCTCGATGCGCTGACCGAGATAGCTGAGTGAGTGCTCGCCTGCCGTCTTCCCACATGATCCTCGCTATGCCTCCCTCCTTCTGGCGAAACCCCTTTCCGAGCGTCATCCATCTCGTAATCGTACTAAACGGGCTGTACGAGCCGTCCGCAATCCAGCGCTGATACCCGTCTCGGAACGTGTTGAGATCCTCGGCGCATATGCGCTCCTGCTCGGCCTCGACCTCGTCCAGCCCATCCCCTTCGCCGCCATTGTCTTCTATCGCCCCTTCCTGCCGGATCGGGATATGACCGAGCAGATGCTCTAGTAGTAGCACGCGACTACACCACGCCAGCCCGGCTAGTGTTCCCGTAAACTCGCCGGGAGCCATCCATTTTGCCCGTGCGGGGTCGATAGCCAACACGGCAGTGAAGTGCAGAAGCGGGTTCTTGAACTGGTCCACTATGACCTGTTGTGTGAGTGACGAGATACAGAATGTAAAGACCCGTGCATCCAAGTCCTCGTCCCGCTCCATATCCCCGGGAACTACAAGCCCTCCACCTCTGTCACTCGCGCTGCTGTTAAGCGCGTCGACTAGATTGACGAGAGCTAGCCACTGCGCGTCGCTCAATCGAATATGGCGCTTCGTCCTCGCTTCTGACCGGCCAAGACGATACGCTCGGACACAGTAGCAGAGATACTGTCTCCAGTACGCGCGGTACCTCTCTCTTGTCCGCGCCTCCTGCTTCAGCTCGAACGGTTGTGGAGCTGGACGTCCTGGATCGCGGCTCGCCAACCAGCAGAGCGTCTCGACGGGGACCTGCCCGATCCGCTGTTCGCATGGAGAAATCGTCCGGTCGAAGCTCTGGCCCAGTCGTACAAGCATCGCCTCCTCCTCTTCTCGGCCTCTCCTTGCTACCCATCCTAGCCTAGCTAGTTCCCTCGGAGTCAGACCTGGCTGAGCGGCCCGTCGAAGCTCAGCCATGTCCAAGCCTGCTAGATGCACAGCACAGCCCATCTTACGGACCCACGGCGACTCAAAATCGACCCCCGTCTCCTCACCGATCATACGTTGCCGCTCTTCTACCTTTGCTGTAGTCTTCGCCTCGTACTTGCGAAGCTGCAGCTCCCACTCTGTATCCGGGATGGCAGATCGTGACTCTGCCTCTCTCCCAGTCGTAGTCTCCTCTCCTGTGGTTACTCGTTGTGGCGGAGTGTTGGTATCGACAATCCAGTATCGTGTAAGCTGCCGCGCTCGGGAGAAAGACTGGAGTGCTACGGCTGTCCAGTTATTCTTTGAACGCTCGTAGCAACCATGGCTATCGTCCACCTCCGACCTCTTTCCTGTCCAGTGCTGCCGGATCACCATCTCGTTTGTTGTTAAAAAGCGGCATACTGTGCAGCTGAACCCGGCCTGCACCCGGAGCTCTGGGACGGGCGACGTTCCATCTGCCGGTGTCTCCGCTGTCTGTGGGTCCGCCAGCCTACCTGCCGTTGCGGCGGCTGTCGTGGCCCTCTCCCGGATCCGCTGCAGAACAGCACCCTTTGCGCCGTGCCTCCGCCGGAAGTGGGACTCAATGCCGGGCCCGGGCTGGATGCCAGCCTTACACACCGAGCATATAAGAACGCGCGACTCCTCGCGGAGATACACATTGATTTCCGACGGGGGCGCTCCGGCGTTGTTGTGATGGTCTTCCATCTCGGCTTCCTGGCGTCGCCCGGCTGCGGTGTCTGGTCTCGCTGCAGTCGCTGCCGCGTTTCGCGTCTGGACGGGTTAATTAGTAGTGCGTCGGTTACCGCCTTACAGTAGAGCTCGAATGACGTAGATGAAGTATGGTCGTAAGTATTGACATGTTTCTCATATCTATCTACCTGTCTAGCCTAATGATGAACTCTCCCTTTTTTTTTTCTTCTGTGCCTGAGCTGCGACAACGCGTCGTCGCGTGGCTCTCACCCTTCATCTTGGGAGATTGGGGCAGCCAGCCAGAATGGCCGGGGGCGGGGGTCCACTGGGGGTTAGCATCCCTGCCCACCGTAAGTTTGTGTCCAAGTGCCAATTCCTCTATGGCGCACTTGGGGTTCAGAATGAGTCCAATGGCCCGAGCGCCCGCCCCCTGTTGTGTGGCAGAGAGACGCCAACTGGACACAAACTGCTTATGAATGATGGTCAGGGTAAGCCTACGTCCTAGGGCGGTATGAACTCCTCGTCGGAAGAGTCGCCCTCCAGCTCGATACTATGGATAGTGCGGCGCTTACGCTTCTTGTTGTCGTTACGGGAGGGGGGGGCCTTCTTGCCGTTACCGCTGGGGCGGCGAGGCGGATCACTACCGGAGCCGGTAGTAGTGCTGCCCGGAGTGAAGTCGACGGCGGTAGATATGGTAGCGGGGTGCGAGGCGGAAACGGCGTGGAAGCGGCGCGGAAACCGGGGAAGAGAAAAACATAAGAAAACTACTAACGCGGGGTAGCTACGAGAGCGACTTAAGGAGGAGGAAAGAGGAAAAAAACTTAGGGATGGGAGGTGGGAGAGGGCTTTATATATGTATTGAGGAGGAGGGGCGGCTTACCGGCGAGCGTACTATATAGGTCCGGTGCGCCGGCTAGCGTACGTCGCCCGGCCGGCTCGCGCCCCACTTTTCGCCGCGGCGGCGCTATCATACGAGGCGCGCCGGGCCTTCTTTTTACCGCGTAGGAACTAGCATACGAGGTACGCGGGGCCTACGCTGATAGATGAAGCGCGCTAGTGTGACCGTGCAGTGCGGCTAGGACTGATCAGGTGGTTCCAGGTGCCAGAGTACTTAAATCCCTTAAGGATAGCAGGCGCACCTCTTGTACATAGACATCGGGGAGAGCAGCGACGACTTGACAGCAGAGCTCCCTCTTTTTCACAGCTCCTTCAATTCAATTGTTTTTCCCCAAAGATTTTGGATGTACAATGGGAACGCCCTGATCATCCCATTCCTCACCGTTGCACCCTCCCAATCATGCGGTTGGTGGTGCTGGCTCCCCTCCCCAAATCGCTGCTGTAGCACATTGGTGCGGGTCGGTGATGCCCTCACCACCGGCCTCCCTCCTTTGCGGCAACACCGCAACACCTGCCCGGCAGGTGGTATACAGTTGGTCATAGGGGGTTTTCTTTATAATCACCTTATTCCACCTTGCCCCAGGACACTATCCTTATCGTTTAAGAATAAAGAAGTTTCTAAGTAAAAAGCTCTTAAAATAAGAGAGTTATTAAGGTATAAAAAGGTAGGCTTAATGCGGCGATAAGGAAGTGGGCGGGTTACCCGTATGGGCGGGTCACCCGTGGATTACGTTACGCTGTACCCACTAGTTAAAAGGGGTTTAGCGGTGCTACGAATCTATCGTGTAATAAACCGTGCCGTGAGGCTGGACTAAAAATACACGCTGCGTCTTCTCCGCGCTAAAGCAGCGCCTACGCTTGGGGTTATCGTCGCATGCAAAAGGATGGCTCTTCACCAGCCAAACCTTGCTCAAAATGAAAAGAGAGTATGCCCGCCTTTGTTCCTCAGGGCGCATCGTACTCGCTGCGCGGTAGATGCGTAGATGCACCTTCAGCGCCGCGAGCTCTGCCTCAGGCCGTGGTGCCTTCGTATCCGGGGCAACCAGTGCAGTGCAATGCGGTGGTGACCATAAGTCGGGCTCATCGTCGACCTCGCTGCCCATTCCTCCCTCTCCTCTGCAGCCTCATCATCAAACCCGTAAGTGTCGCCTTCGGCGGCCGCAACGCCCTCGTTGTCGGCGCGCTCGCGCCCCTACATTGGAGCGTATTGCTGACGGTGGCGCGACAGAAGCGGCAACAGCAACAACAACAACAACAACAACAACAACAACAACAACAACAACAACAACAACAACAACAACAACAACAACAACAACAACAACAACAACAACAACAACAACAACAACAACAACAACAACAACAACAACAACAACAACAACAACAACAACAACAACAATGGGTACGTCGTTTCTTGTTTGACTTCACCGTGCCCTCACTGACCTTGGGCAGCCCGTACCCGCAACAGTGCCGGCCGCTCCGGCGGCGACGACGACGATGTCGAGGCGCGGGAGCGCCGCGAGGCCGCCGCTGCCACCGCCGCCGCCGCCTCCGCTGCCGCCGCCAACGAGCTGCTTCGGCAGTACGAGCTGCAGAAGCAGCAGGAGCAGCCTGCTCCCGATCCGGGCCTGCAAAATTAAACTATTCATCATTTTAGTTAGGACTAGGCTATTTAAATCCGACTGAGGCTCTAGCTTGTACACTTTTCCATATGTGCACACAAGTCACTTGCTTGGAAAGAAACGCCCCGTTTACGCAATCTCGCCAGGAGCTCATCAATATCACACACCATGCTGCGTTCATTCTCTCGCCGACGAATACGACATATGCAGTTTGCGGCAACTGTCTACTGCAAAGTTCACAAGGGCATGAGATTTGTGGTGATACAACGAAGAATTCATACGGGCAGCATTGAAGGCTAACACCACAACATCCGAGGAAGACCGCAGCCTGCGAAGGTATCATAGTCGAGACGTTGCTTTTTCACATAAGCTTGACCGATAGGCCGGAAATCGCCAGGGCGATTCGCGGTACTTTTCTGGATTATGATCTCGTAGTTGCATCCCACAAGTCAGGGTCGTCATTTTAGTGTAAGCAATTGGCTGACCACTATAGCCAAGATGTAATGGATTAAACCCTGGCTCATGGGACTCAGAGGCATGCTCCTTCGTGCGACCCACTAATCAATGTTCTTCGCGAACCTACCGGTATCTTGAAGAAAAAGGTCGCATAAGATAGTGACGTCACAGAATATTGTTCTACAAGCCATAGCGTGTGCCGCAGCGAAATACTCGAAACCTTAGGATATGTTTCCGTGCCTGCGCATGGACTGGTGGATGTCTATCAGCCCGGCCAGGGTATTCACGCTGTCCTGCGAGCACACGACCTCTTCGTGGACAGCCGAGATAGCGGACGGTGCATTGGAGATCTTTCGAAATTCGGTTGACAGAAGACGTGTCGTATGGAGTACTGGCACAGTAATAGCAATCACGCCCGCCGTTATGCTGAAGGGATCGGCCATGCTGAAGTAGATGGTGCTGTACCTGGTCGAAAAGCGACGAAGACTTCAAGGCTTTGAACCCCGTAACAACCAGACTGGTGCGAGTACCTGCCCGGTTGGCGGGGTTGCATCACTTACACCGCAAAAACTCGGACATCATGTGGGGGCGGATGCAGCTCTCAGATTGTTGCCAACCAGGTCTGAACTGCTGATGCATCCTACAGCACAATGGTCCAACAAGTCACCACAGATCATCCATACGCTTTCGCACACATGGCCGGGCCGACACAAATCGCGTTTGGGGATGGAAATCGTGGGTTCCAAGTGGGGTTAAACACCGGATCAATCACTACCGCGTTCCACTTACCACCTGGTAGGGCGTACCTTGATCGCGTCTTTTCAGCGCTCTCACCCTTCCTATCATACGACTGACAACCCTTTCTAGAACAGCCAGAAACACCTCCGAAACCGTGCCTCACCATCCCCTTCCGCCGCGACGCCAACTTTGTTCCTCGCAAGTCCCTCCTCGATCGAATATACCACGCTTGCTCGAGGCCAGCCTCCCGCATTGCACTTGTAGGGTTGGGTGGGATAGGCAAGTCCCAGCTCGCTATCGAGTATGCCTATCGAACCAGCGACGAAGCGGCAAAGACAAACCATCCTACATGGGTGTTCTGGATCCATGCCGAGACGCGAGCGCGTGTCGAAGAAGGATTCCGTTATATTGCCGACACCGTCAAGATCCCAGGGCGGAAGCAAACAGACGCAAACGTTCTCCAGCTGGTTGAGCAATGGCTTCGCAGTATCGAGAACGGGCCGTGGCTCTTGATCCTGGACAACGCAGACAATGGCAGCGTGCTCTTCGATGCCGATCCTGAGTTACCTGATAAGGCCAACGCGACGACGTCGAACGATGCCAGCCGACGAGCTTTGTGGTCATATCTGCCACAAAGCGCTCACGGGTCGACCATAGTAACGACGAGAAACAAGGGTGTCGCTCAGAAGCTGGTAGATGACTACAAGAGCATAATTGAGGTCCACCCCATGGATGAAGACCATGCTCTCGCGTTACTTGAGAGGAAGGCTGGTAGCCAACCAAATATGGAGAATGGTACAGCGTTAGTAAAAGTTCTTGAATATATGCCTCTGGCTATCAGTCAGGTGGGGGCTTACATTCGACAGCGAGCACCACGAACCTCGATCGAGAAGTACTTGAAGGAATTCCAAAGGAGTGAGCGACACAAGCTCAGTCTCCTGAATCGCGATGAGGGCGACCTTCGAAGAGACCGTGAGGCATCGAACTCAATCATTGTGACTTGGCAGATCTCATTCGAGTCTATTCGATCAGAACGTCCTTCAGCGGCCGATCTGCTAGCTCTCATGAGCTTTTTCGACCACCAGGCAATTCCGCAATCATTGATACAGCCATGCGATCGCCCCTTGAGTCGAAATGGTAACATGAGTGAAGGGGACGACGATAGGACCGACGAGGAGAGCGACACCGACAGTGGGAGCTGGCATGATCATGACAGTGACGATTCTCGTGCCAGCAACACTTCCGAAGACTCCACAGGGCAGGCTTTCGAGGACGACCTCCTCTTGCTTCGAAACTACAGCCTGATCTCTATAGATGAGACAGGGGCGATCTTTGGGATGCACAGTCTTGTGCAGCTGGCGACGTCAAGATGGCTGAGTGCTGAGAAGAGGACCGCACCATTGATAGAGGAGTTTGTGCATCGGATGGCGCGCGGGTTTCCCTCTGGGGAGTATAGTAACTAGGCTATATGTCGAGCACTGTTTGCTCATGTCGAAAGCGCGATCAAACACCGACCTGAAAGTGGAAAACCGCTCGAGGAGTGGGCACAAATTCTTTTCAATGGCAGTTGGTACGCCTAAAGCCAAGGCAGATACGGATTGGCAGAGACGATGGCGAAACGGTCGAGGGATGCTCGGATAGAAGCGCTCGGAAAGGATCACGAGCTGACATGGAAAAGCGTCTCCGTTATTGGTGAAATCTTCCACGATCAAGGGAAGTATAGAAAGGCGGAGGAGCTGTTTATGGAAGTGATAGAAACAAGCAAGCAGAAACTCGGACTGGATCATCCCGACACGCTAGCCAGCATACATAACCTGGCGTCGACATATTGTAATCAGGGACGATGGGATCAAGCCGAGGAACTGGAGGTGGAAGTGATGGAGACTCGCAAGCAGAAACTCGGACTCGATCATCCCGATACACTGGCCAGCATGGCCAATCTGGCAGCGACATATTGGAATCAAGGACGATGGGATCAAGCCGAGAAGCTAGAGCTGGAAGTGATGGAAACAAGCAAGCAGAGACTGGGCCTGAATCATCCCGACACGCTTACCAGCATGGCTGATCTGGCTCGTACCTTGTACGCACAAAAACGCGCAATCGAGGCTATTGACTTGATGGATTCCTGCCACGAACGTAGGTTGGAGGTGTTAGGACGAGGCCATCCGCATACATCCTCATCCCTAAAGTATTTGAAAACCTGGCGTACCGAGCAAATGATATTGCCTCTTTCGGCTTTGAATTTATCCGAAAAATAGTACATTGTTAGTCGGTCATAACATCCATAGATCTCCATTTTGAAATATATTCATGAATAGGAAGATAGTGATTCTGTCCCTAGAAACAGGGACACGTCATGCGCACATGATTTATGCTCGACTGGCTAGCAGCTAATGGGGTCCATGCGATTGCAGTAGGGTCGACCTGGTGACATTAGGGTGTTCATTTCTGTGTGTCACTGTCGGGAACTGGTGTTACCATTCCATGTCACGGATTGCGTGTGAATGCAATCTCAATAATATACGTTGTGCCTGCCTAGAGCGTGTTCCTATCTGCGCCGATCAGAAGAGCCCAATCTTTATACGAGGCAGGCACTTCAATGACATCATTTGCGTCAACCTGCTTGTGCAGCCAAAGTCGTTAGGCTGCAGAGTGGACGCGTGCGTTTTCAGGGCTACTTCAACATGCCACATCATTGGCGCGATGCAAGAAGTCCCTTCAATGACGTCTCTCACAGATAAACAATACCAAGAAAAGGGTTTTCCGCTTTTGCTCTCTACCTTAGGCTTGAAATTTTGTAGAGGATTCAATCGAGCTGCGCCGCTGAGAACACTGCTTATGAATTTGCACACATGCTTTCTCTGCGCTTTAAGGCGCTCTCAAAAGTGGTGGAGGTGCCCCTATCTCAATTAGGAAATATGATGGATAGCGCGAACCTGTCCATGATGATTCCTAATTGGGATACGGGCACACATTGACTTTTTGAGGTCTTGGCTCTCATAGGTAGTAGGGCAACGCTTTTCACAAGTGCTCGCTAGCACTCAACCAAGACCATATAGGATTTGACGCACTTGGTATTATTTGTTCGGAGCAGGTAGAAGGTGGCAGTCCGGCTGCTGCTGTTCCGTCTTTGGATCGCAATTTTTGCTCATCGGGAAGCCTTGCTATGCTTTGCTTGTGCACCCCCACCCTCCCCCGCTAAGGGGAGCTTATGCCCAATAGAGTTGCGCAGGGCCAGACAAAGCTCGCCAAAATCAAAAAATTCAAAGCTCAAAGTCCAGGGCAGGTGGGCACTCTCGCTTTAGACTTCGCTCACAGCCTAGCCGAGCAGGAGACTTGGAGTCACGCGACGATTCTTGATCTACCTGCACGTCAAAGATATCTGGAGGCTTTCAAGATGACCGTCCGAGTGCCAAACAAAATCTGCAAACCCTCAGCTGTCAGGAACCGGTTCTTCAGTACACTTGACACAGTTTTGGTAAGGACTCAAAAGTCAACGCTTGCCACTTCCGATGAGAGGGCTCTAAGGCTGACAGGCGCTTCGATAGTCGGATCTCAGAACAGCTGCGAGTTGAGGTCATACCCGACATGCCAGCATTGTTTGCTCAAGGTTGTGGTTCAAGCCGGAGCGCGCAAGCAATGTAGCAACGTCCATCGTTCTCTGCAAGTCCAGGTCAGCCAAGAGTGCGGTGGCAAGTCGCGAGACATGACCTATCTTATAGGCAGACTACTCTCTTAATTATGTGCATTTACAGAGCTTGAAGGAAGCGCAGTTTAGTAGGCCTGAAAGAAATAAGAAAGGCGAGACACACAGGTGGTAAATGCTATTGGGAATGGGAGGGTCATATCATTGCCTCTATTCACTAACTTGCGAAGGCGTGGATTCGGCCATTAACTCATTTAAGTCACCTTGCCAGAAGCCTTGATTCATGTGACCGTGGAATTGAGTAAACACACTCAATACACTCAGTGGAAATGAGGCCGCTTTTCGCCAACTGAATGCATTCTTCTACTACTTCATCCCGTAACATCGTGGTGGTAGTCCTCTGGCGTGACCTTCACTAACTCGGCTTGAGAGAAACAGGCGACCTTTGTTGTTGGCCAACATCAGCGCCGATAGCGTCTTGAGGAGATCTTTGCGATCCTTTGGGTCACATTCGTTAAGTCCGTCGACCACAACGTAAGATTTCATGGGCCCTGGCATGGCATCAATTCGATAAGGAGGCTCAATACGTCTGAAGGGTGAAACAAATGTTGCTGAACCTGGGTTTCCTAAGTACATGCCTTACACTGGAAGCACGGCGCTCCCTGTGTCCTTCATGCCGTAGCAAGTTCTAGCGGAGCGTTCTTTCAAGCGCCTTATTCTCCTCGTGGCTCAGTGTTGAAATGGAACAAATTTGGTCTTTATTCCTCATGTATACTCCGACAATGCTACGCAAGGGATGATCTAATCGGAGAAGATCTCTTGGGCTTCTTCTTAGATTTCGACATAACAGGTTCGTCGCCATAGCCACCTTCATGCGTTCAAGTGAGGCGAAGTCGGTAACTTCAGATCTGTCTTCATGCTCCCCAGTTGCTGGGGATGGCAAGCGCACAATTTTGTCGGCATCACGCTCCACTGTCAGGGCAGCATGGTCATGTCCATCTTCAACCGTTCTGTTTCTGTTGGTGCCTATATGCGACTTTTTAGCAATGTTGGTAACCGGTTTATTGGAGATATCTTACTGCCCATCCCGTCAACGGAAAATTGGCGGCAGATCTGGGCGCTCCTGTCCAGCACCTCGAGCTGCCGAACAGCCTGCTCTCTACCCACGCGGTTCTCCTCGGTCTCGCTCGCCAGACTGGCCACGAGCTCCGTGTCCATTTTGTACACCTTGGCTGGGGACAGCATCTGGTGCAGGGCGAGCACAAGCCCTGCCTCAATGACGGACACAGCGATGTCATCGATGAAGCGCTTCATAGCGACCTGGGTAGACATGGGTTGTCAGTCATGATCTGTGACGAGGCGAGTCGCTGGAGGTTCAAGGAGTCCTGGGGAGGATGTCACCTTGTAGTATGCCACCATCATGTCCAGGGCTTCTGACGCTGCGAACTTGTTCATGTCAGGCTCTGTTGTGCTCAATGTGGTCTTGTCTACCAAGGTTGCAAGATTTAATTCTCCATATGAGACGACAGTCAAGCTTTTTGTTTGGAAGTATTTCATGATCGCGGAGGCGACCTTGGTGTGGCTGCTGCCGGTCCGGATCTTCTGCAGCGTCTCGGTGAAGTAGTGGTTGTACGTGATCGGGTGTAGCTCTTGGTGCTGCTTGAGGATCTGGCTTGTCTTGTCTCGGAGATCTGCCAGTATGGCATCCATCGCCGGGCTAATGATCCTCTGAAGGACTGTCATTGACGTATTTGTGTCCGCGACGTGGTCAATTACCTGTCTGAGGAAGACCTTGCAAGCGTCCCACACGCGCTGGACGTGGGACAGCGCGAGCGCCTCCCAGGGGCCGGCTTGCTCGCGGAACAGCTCGGCGATGATCATGGGGTCGAAGGATCCAGGGAGCTCTCTGCCGCGGGAAAGGGACATCTTGTCCATGATTCTCCTGATGAATTCATCTCGAGAGATCGATCTCGCATCTGTGGAGGCGTCACTGGCCTCTTTGCCACCTTCCTTGATATGGTGACGCTGACCATTCTTCAGAACGTCTGCGGCGAAGTCGTCATTGTTGTTTTGAACGAAGGCGCGTAGGCGGCGCTTGTAGCCATTGCCAGTCTCGACGGCCTCGAAAAAGGAATCCGTCCAGTTGCCATCCGCAGCGTTTCGCACGAGGCGCTGAAAAGACTCCGATATCGTGATCATGTGTAGCTGCTGTTCGTAGTGCGTATTCCTGGGCCGGCCGAGTTTCTCCATCTGGGTACGGCACGCCTGACGCTTCGCATCGATCTCGGTGATCAGACTTGGGAGCTCCGCTGTGATGTGTTTCAGTAGAACTTTACTGAGTCGACTTCGTAGATGAACGACACCGAGAATGGCGCTTGGAAGATTCTTCCAGACCCCCTGAGCAAAAAAGTCTGCTTCGAAGGTATTGCGTCGATGGATTGAACCAGTCTCTTTCTCCGAGTCCATATTTTTGACAACATGCCAGCCGAGGCGGAAGTTGACCTCCTGATTTCGGGCGAGCAAGATGTAGAGAGCCTCGCTGTCGGAATCTGGGATCAGCATGTCAGGCTTCGTGACGATACCGAGGGTTCGTTCCCCGTTGTGGTCGACTGTTCTTGCGAGCTTCAGTACGATCTGGTTTGCGAAGTCGTTCTTAGCCGACACGACTGCCAGAATGATGCTTCGTGGCTCACACATGTACGACTTGACCGTCTCCTTTATCAAATCGACATCAGAGGCTTTCTGGTGCTTGGTTTCGGAATGGATCAAGCCAGGCAGGTCGACGATGGTCAGATGCGGGCGATCGGGGCCTGAGATTTCTACCCGCAGTAGGTCTCGAGCAAATGCCCTCCCGTGGGTCGATATCCCCATAGCGGATGTTGCCTCGCCGATGAGCCGAGCAAGGTCTTCAAATGTGTCCAATTTCTCGTCGGAGGTGGACAACGTGGCTTTCTCCGAGTCGTCTCTCGACATGTGCGGGACGATCGAGATACGCGCGCTGACCTGAGAGGTTCGTCGTAGCACGAGCTCGGCGGGGAATCGGGTGCAGAGATTGCTTCGGGCAGGGAAAGGGACTCCGGAGATGGCCTCTAGGACGGAACTCTTGCCGGATGACTGGTCACCGACCACGATGATCTGGGCAGCGAGATGAGATGGTCGATTCCCTCAGAGCGCAGGCGGTCAATAGCGTCCATCAGATCGAGGCGGTCTTTGGAGCAGAGGCCTTGCAGAGCCTCCTTCTGGATGGTCGTAATCACCATTTTCACTGCAGGAAAGGGAGGTGGTCCGTGAGTGGGTATTGAAATAGTGGTGATGTTCAGAACCGTGGAGCGAAGCTGTCCTAGTGTAATGAGGATGAGACTGGAGTCGGCTGCTTCCGGAGATCATGGGTCAGATCAAGTGGAAGTGGCTGTCACCGGGGACAGTCAAGGTCTTATGCATGTTGCTCGGACACGATTGAAAGAAGTTGCTGTGGTAATTACTGGCCCTTGTGATACACCCGCGTCACTACCTGACACACCATCTGGTACATTCTTTCGGGAGTAACAGTGTCCGAACTACGAGGGAACAGAGACAATGGCACAGTACGACAAACCTTCCCCCACGTCAACGTGGAGAAGAGGTGAAACTAATATTAGCCACAAGGGATGGAGAAGTCTTAGTTGCAGCAGCTCAGGAGCGGGATGCGCCGTTGCTTGCTTCCTTCGCTATGCTGATGACACAAATCAAGTTGTATCAGCTTGCGATTGGCCGATATGGCGGTGGCTTTCACGCTTCTTGCGCTCGAGTCACAAGAGTGTAAGGTTTCTGGGAGCTGAGGCAAGAGTCTCGTACGGTGTTCAGCCTCTTGCATACGGTCTCAGCGACTTTTCGCGTGCAGACCAATCGGATAGAGTCTAGAAGTGCTTTTGAGACACGTTGAGCAAGTTTCTGGTGGGACTGCCGCATGGATAAGCGTCCAGATAGTGTGCAAAGCATGTCACGTACTGGGCAGAAAGCCAGTCGTTGCCATCCGCGAAGAGTACGCTTCAAATTCAGAGGTGGCCATTGCCAGTAGTACATCTGCCGTTAAGAAGGTCAGTCGAAGGCGAAGTGGTTGAGCCCTCCAAGCCCCTCCCGGAGAGTGGTGGACTTTTGTTCGTAAATGCTTTTGACCAGATCAGCACGATCGTGACTTGCCTGGTTGTTGATGCCTATCAAGCCCTCGGTCGTCAGCCGGCAACTACACATTGCCACACGGGTCTTCACGGCCATGCAGGAACCGACCCTCTCGTACGCAGCGATCGTGTCCCAGTTTTCGTCTCCATCTGGGTACGAAATCCTCACGACGCACTTCGCGGGGGCTACGGGAGCTGGCAAAAGTGTTTCGTCACAGCAGAAGTATGAGCAGAATATACTCCAGACGATCGCGGAGTTGCAGATCGGTGAAGTACTTGTGTTTTGTCCTATTGTGCAGGTTTGTGAGATTGAGGATGTTGCTCGAATGCAGGCCCTTGGCTCACAGTACATGCGTTAACAGCGGCTGGACAAGGGAAGGAAGTACGGGATTAATTGACAGTCATACCACGCGCTTGAAATCAGAAGCGGGGCTGACGCTCCAATCCAGTGTCCTCTTTTGCAGACATCACACTACTGCCTCGGCCTGTATCGGTGTGCCTAAATGCGAACCAGTTTATGGAGGATAAGGCGTCAGAATCGCAAGGCAGCTACGCCACTGCATATCCTGGCAGCTACCACTCCTGCCATTCTAGCGCACAAAACGGTTATCCGAGGTGGCTTACCAGAACATTTGCATGTGTCCACTGTGCGCCCGCCCCATGGCCGAGACTGGACGGCCTGTGCGCATAGAGAACTCCGCTCAACGAAAGCCGATTACGGATTTCGGGTCGGATTGCATTTTGTTCAGGGAAAGCTTCAAATGATTTTGGGGATTTTTCTTCGAAGGATTCCTCCCGAGATATCACCCTGTTTATGCAGGATGGGGTAAAGTCGATCTGCAGCTCGAACTGGCTTTCGTGACTGCGCCACCTACAGGCAGCTCACATAGCATCGCCAAGACAAGGGGGACCGTGCACAGAGAGGGTTGCGTCCGCGAAGGTGGGTGGATAACCGATTTCGAATGCGACTGTATGGGGCAAACGTAGTCTTCTGGGAATGCAAGACCATTATTGTGTCGAATGCATCAAGGCCCAGGACAGATCTGTGACAGGTCTTGAAGTGTTCGACAGCGCTGCAGTCCAAAGGGTCGACATAGGGATGACGACAAGGGAAATGGGAAACGCAGCAGAGACAAGTGCCAAAGAACGGGGCAGCCCCAGGCAGCAGCAATAAAAGCATCTCGTTGCAGATAGTTCTGGGTTTGTAGCATTGATTTGTCGTAGCGCTAGCTGCGTAGCACTGCCCTCTGGTGGAGCAGCTGAAGATTGAGTTGCCGTCAGCGTTCGCATCCGATCTGCAGGTACGCTTAGGCTGCCGCGATAGATGGACGGACGAGTCAGTGCGGACGGCGGTGTCCCCGCTTCGGGCCTGTTGATGTCGGTAGTTGCGGCGACTTTGTGGACACTCGTTTAGTTACGCTGCTTCTCGTTTAGGTCCGAAGGCTCGGTGAAGCCCCCCATCTTGTCTAATGGCCGGTACAACTCGTCCCTTCAAGGCTCAACGCTTTGATGCCATCATTGCCGTGTATATGAGTGAGCGTGGGCCCCCGAAGCCTGTTCTTGATTGATCGCCTCAAGTCATCACCCCTCGTTGCAAACCCCTTCCCGCAAGCTCTCACAATTCCTGTTATTGGACTGTCTGGTTTTTCCCTATGCCTCCTGCGCCTTACCACGGCCTTGGCCGCTTGGGCCTCATCGTGCTCGTTTCCAGCGCAACTATTTGTGCGCCGCTGGCGCATGCGTCAACCCAAGACACGTCCAGCAACAACAATCTGATCAAGGCACAAGACGGGCCAGTAGTACTGACTGCAACGCAAGATGCTCCTGGCATCCTGGTTCTCGACTATGGCGTTGAGACGGAAGGCATCCCGTCCTTTGACGTTGTCGCCACCGCCGGCGACACGTCTGTGCTCGAGATTACCTACTCGGAGACAGTGGCCGCACTTGGTCGTTACATGGTGAGACTTCGCGGGACCTCTAATCCTCGACTTCACCACAAAGGCCCCTGTACTGACCCGTCTCTTGGCTGAACAGGGTGATGGTCCGCTTCCGCTCGCAGCTGCCATGGACACCTACCGCATCAACGCCTACAACATTTCAGCCCCTGGACAGGTCCGAAACCGCCTCATCCAGGGAGGCTTCCGCTACCAGAAGCTCAATCTCTCCTCCGTCGGCGAAATCACCCTGCACAACGTTGGCGTTGTTCCGACCGTGCACAAGACACCTCTCACCGAACTGCCCGGTTCTTTCGCCAGCTCGGATAGCTCGCTCAACGAAATCTGGACTGCTGGTGCTAGAACACTCCAGCTCAGCGAGATTCCCAAGAATTCTGTGCCCGAGTTCTGGCAGGTCTCGAGCGAGGGTGTCCTGATCGACAGCCAGGCCCCTCAAGCTGCGGTGGGCCTCGTCGCAGGCTCTTCAACTGTGTATGGTCTCGAGTTCAAGGTCAAGCCTCTTGTCAAAGGTTTCGGGTTCTTAGTGCTCTCTGATACGCTGAACAGCGGCATCTACATCTCGGTGGACATCTCTGCGGGTACTATTGCCGCGTATGTCGGAGGCACAGCCCAGGACACCCTGCTTTCGAAGCAGGTGCTTTCCTCAGATACGATCAGAGGTCTAGACGCCTGGCACCAGGTCAACGTTGAAGTGGCTATCACCGAGATCAAAGTAGTGATGGACGGTATCATGGTGCTCGAACTCTCCCAGACCAGCAAGTTTTACGGCTCATACGGGCTCGGCGCTTCATTCGGCCACCGCGCCGTCTTCAAGGACCTGAAAGCGACTGACGCTGCTGGTGCCACGACATATGAGCACTCACTGACTGACAAGAGCTGCTTCGACGACTTCCTCGTCGGCACGAACCCTCTCGACACGTCGGTAGACGCGACCCGCCGCGACCGCATCGCGTACACCGGCGACCTCGACATCGCCGGTGCCGCAGCCCTCGCAAGCACGCACGGCCTCAACTTTATCCTCGGGACACTGGAGCTCTTCGCGCCCCTTCAGGCCACGCCTGGATTCTTCGTCCCCACGGTCAAGATCCAGCAGGGGCCCTCGGCACCAATGGACTTCAACACGACCGGCCTAATCGGCTACTCATGGAATCTTCTGACCGCGGTCGCCCTGACCTATACCCATACGGGCGACATCGCCTTTGCCAGGACCTGGGCACCCAAGGTGCAGGCCATGCTCGACTGGTCTCACTCCCAGGTACTCCCAGAGAGCGGCTTGTTCAACCTGTCCGAGCCCTCGTTCGGCGGCGACTGGAACTACTACGACCCCGTGCAGTCAGGCGTTGTGACCAAGTTCAACGTCGTCTACGCGTACGCCCTGCAGGAGACCACGAGACTCCTCGCCGACAGCGGCATTGACGCCTCCATCTACCAGGACCGCTTGGCCGCGCTCCGCACGGCTATCGACGCGCAGCTCTGGAGCGACGAGCTCGGCGCGTACGTCATCTCCGAGTCCAACCGCGCCGGCTTCGCCCAGGACGCCAACGCCCTCGCCATCCTCGCCGGAGTTAACCAGGACCCGGCGCACTCATCCGACGTGATCCTGGCCACGCTCTCAGACCAGCTGTCCACCCCGCGCGGGCCCTTGGCCTTCTCCCCCACCGTTACAGCAGCCGGCTTCCGGCGATACATCAGCCCGTACGCATCGGGCTACCACCTCCGCGCCGCCCTCGCCACGGGCAACGTCCCTGCGGCAAGGGAGCTGCTCGACACGCTGTGGTCCCCCATGATCGACGTGAAGAATGCCAACTACACGGGCTGCCTCTGGGAGACGCTCAACGATGCCGGCGAGCCCGCGTTCGGTCACGCGACGAGCCTCGCGCACGGCTGGGCCGCGGGCCCGACCGCCGAGCTCAGCCGCTTCGTGCTCGGCGCACGGGCTACGGCGCCGGGTTGGGCCACGTGGGCCGTGTCGCCACTGACGCTTGGCGAGCGGTGGGCGAGCGGTAAGGTCCCGACGCCCGGTGGCGGCGCGGTGGCGGTTGAGTGGAAGTTCTGCGACGACGGCGGGCTGCTGAGCATGACGGTGCAGGCACCCGCGGGGACTAAGGGCGTGGTGACACTGCCGGCGCCGCTTCTGGTGAGTGCCGAGGAGACGGTAATCTGGGTTGAGGGTGTGATTTTTGGTGGTACTTCTTTCGACGTCGAGGGCGGGGCTGCGGTGCATATCGTCCAGTTGCGCAAGTAGTCCAGGAGCAATAACGGCATGGTTGGACGCACTGAGCAAATCGGTCACGGGAGCTTTCGGTCAAAACCAAGAAACTGAGAAGAACTACCGGGCCACATGAATCTGTCTATCTGACCAACATAGATCACAACATGGAAGTTCCCCAACTCACAAACCCACTTGGGCACAGAACTTCACATCACAACACACACCAATGGCCCATTCTGACCCGTGTAATACTCTCACATAGATAGATAGATTAGATAGATATAGTTGACTAAATTTCCTGTGATTTGACCAATGTGTACCGTTGTTAGACCAAGAAAGTCGACCAGTTGAGCAAAGTTATTTCAAAGTAGTTACGTTGAGCTCCACACCGCATTCGTGAATTGGCACTCGATTGAATTTTTACGAGGCTAAATATGATGCCTTGGTACCGAAGAGTAGCTGCTGTCCTGCGTCTGTTCGGATCGAGATACAATAGCGTTTCCCCTCGTCCTTCGCGCAGTGCATGGCCGGTTATAGTATCCGGCTGACTCTGGCGAGGGAGCTCCAGCCGCTTCGCTAAGTCCACGCACCCGAATTCTGACACCCCCCAATTCTGACACCCACCACCACCAAAATCTGCCCACTTTCAACACCTCTTTATGCAACCATTCCGACGCGACAGGACGCGCTAAACACGCCTAATTTGACTGTTTTTTTTTTTACTATTCCTACGCGCCTTAACGTACACAATGCGTAACTGCACCGAAAACGACCTACAGCGCGCGCTTGCTGATGTCGAAGCTGGGATGACCCAAGCGCAGGCTTCGCGTCTCTGGGGGGTCCCAAGAGCCACTATTATCAACCGACGTCAAGGTGCAGAGAATGCCGTTTCTGCTGCTTCAAGCCATCAGAGGCTATCTCCAATACAACAGAAACACCTGGCTCAATGGATCCTGGCGCAGGATTCCTTAGGGCTAGCGCCAACGCATGCCCAAGTCGCCGACTTCGTTACCCGCATTCTACGTATCGCAGGCGACCACGAGCCTCTCGGTAAGCGCTGGATTACAGGCTTCAAAAACGAAACCCCGAAGTCTCGACACTCCTCGGCCGCCGGCTCGATATAACAAGGGCGAATGGAGCCAATCCGGAGGCTATTAACAGCTTCTTCGACCACCTCGATAACCGCCTCCTCGCCTCTATCCCCGCACAACACCGCTATAATATGGACGAGACAGGCATGATGGAAGGTTACGGGCCTAATGGGCTTGTACTAGGCTGCTCAAAGAAGCGTGCTACGTACGTTAAAGGCGACCCTTCATGATGCTGGACTACAATAATAGAGTGCGTCTCTGCCGACGGGCGCGCTCTTGAACCAGCAATTATCTTCAAGGGCAAATCAGTACAAACACAATGGTTTCCTAACAACGCAGCAGAAATAGCCCTTATCGAGAAATGGACTTTCGCAGCGCAAGAGAGTGGCTGGACCTCCCACGAGCTAGCTCTGCGGTGGCTTAAGAAGATCTTCATCCCGTCAACGAAGCCGCATACAATTGATCAGCGTCGTCTACTTATAGTCGACGGCCACGGCAGCCACGTTACCGACGACTTCATGTACGAGTGTTATCGAAATCACATTTATTTGATGTACTTACCGCCTCACACCTCGCACGTTTTGCAGCCTCTCGACATGTCAATCTTCTCGCCGCTTAAAATAGCTTATCGTAAGCTTGCTCGCCAATTGCTAGTACAAAACGATAGCCTGCCTATTGGCGCTTCCTCGTCTGTTATGCAAGAGCACGCCCAGAAGGGTTCAGACATCATAATATTACGACGTCGTGGAGGGTAACTGGGCTGTGGCCCGTTGCCCGCCGCCGGCCTTTAGCGAGCTCGATGATCGTTGCCAACACTACCCCCAAGTCGTACGAGCGCCCAATCCATTTCGACGACGTCTTCAAGCGCGATAATACAATAAGAAATATAGTACTCAAGACACCTGGGAGGTCGGGCGATGTGCGGGATGCCTTCATAGTTGTAGGCTGTAACATTACCCGCAACCCTACTAATAGGCTGTTATTTAGGAAGATTGGGAAGGGCCTAGATGACCAGAATAGAGTCATTGCAGAGAAGGATCGTCAAATCACTCAATTGGAGGCTAAAGTACAATCATTGAAGCCTAAAAAACTAGTTGCTGTCAAGCCTCAAAATCCTAATGACCGCTTCGTCGACATCAGCCGTATTAACCGCTCACAGAGGATTCTACAAGAGCGATTAAAGCACGATGAAGAGGCACCCCCATATAGCTATAAAGAGTGCCTTCTAGAGTGGCAGCTCGACGCAGAAGGAGCAATTGAACAGCCGTGGATAGCTTCAAAAACACGTCGAATTCGGGCAGATTTTGGTGGTGGTGGGTGTCAGAATTCCGGTGCGTGGACTTATTCTCTCTCTCTTTGTTGGACTTCTCACGCCGTGGTGCGCTGCGGCAAGCGGGCAATACAGGATATAAATAAATTCATTCGTATTAAATCAGTTGGTTTCTGGCCGCGTGCAGTTTGGGGGCGAGCACATTTCTCTTCCCTTTTCCTTATTTTCTTGTTTTCCCCTCTTTGCTTCCTTTGTTTACCTGCCTACAATGTTCAGAGCTCACAAATTTCACGTCCTCATTAATCGATGGAATACAAGAACGGAACCTCTCAATCACGATTTTGCGACTCCATCAGCTGCCCAGAACAGAGCAATCACAAAAATCGACTTCATGAACACACAAAAATTCGAATGAGAGCATCGTTGTCGTGTGGAACGTCCCACAACAGGATGCTCTCGACCGCCCCCCTCAAAAGTGAATCGAAAGACCACCAACAACATAGGACACAGCAGAGCTCCAAGTTCTCCAGCTAGCCGGTCAGCACGTATCGTGGGAAAAAACATCTACCTCATTGAAAACACTGGTTTCAAACGCAAGAAGAGAAACGAAGGATATATTCCATGCTTCGGGCCTCCCTGAGCAAGAATATAATGACCGACAGTGTCACGGGAATATGCTTTGGGGCCATGCGATCGACGTGATACGGACACACGTTGCTGACGTCCTTGGATATGAAAAGGCAATAACAGATGACGCCAGCGGGTCTCCCTTGAGCATCACCCCTTCTACCGTTTGGTGCTTTTTTAACCCACCTCCATCATCCCCTCGTGAAGTATTAGTCCAGTATGTAACATAGTCATAGAGTGGCAACGGATCGTAAGAGCAGGAATCACACCTGCCTGGGCAAGGGTCATTCAGTGACGCATGTGAACCAGGGCAGACAGTCAATGATACCTAGTGGGCAAATCTGAGGTAGTGTTATGGTCATATATCGAGTTGAAATTAACAAAATGCCGTGTCTTCCCCTAAAAGATAAGATAATATCTTCAAACAAGAAGCCACGATAACAAGTAGGGATTGCAGCAGCCTAACAGAAAAGAAATATGGTGAAACACCGCGTTGACCTGACGTATTAATCCACCTCAATATCCCTCTCACATAAAAAACAAAAAAGGATAAAACCTCTCGCCCTGTAACCTCTTCACACGTCCCACGCGCTCGACAGGTGGACAAGGGAGTTCTTTGGCTTGATGAACAGGTCCTCGACGTACTCCCAGTCCTCGAGGTTGCTCGGCAGTCGGTTGAAGACAAAGTTCCACACGAGCACCGTCGCGACGAGTTTGAGCTCGAGGTAGGCGAGCCTCTTGCCCCAGCAGACGCGGTTGCCGGTGCTGAACGAGAGGAAGGGCCCGGCTTTGGGGTCAAAGGTGAGCTCGCCGCCGCCGCCCTCAGATTTCTTAAGCCAGCGCTCGGGGATGTACTCGCCGGGCGGGAACGCGCTCTTACTCCAGTCATCGACCCCCATCGTGCCCGCATGCTTGCGCGAAGACTCGCTGCGCAGCGCCTCGCCAACCTTCTCGGGGAGGTACCCTGGCGCAGTGTACGTGGGACCTTTGAGTCCGAGCAAGACCGTGGTGTATCTAGGGATGGTGTAGCCTAGGACCTTGAATTCTCTCTTTGTCTGCCTCATGACAACCGGCGTAGGCGCGTCAAGGCGGAGGACCTCTTCGATTACGGCGTCAAGGTATGGGATGTGGGCCTTCACGAGCTCGCTAAGCGGCGGTTGTTCCCTTCTGGTATAGGCGTCCGGAAAAGTTTCGCGGAGCGTCTCTCGAAGCTTAGTCTGTACGTCTTGGGCCGCCCCGATACGCTTGACAAAGTAGGACAGCGTAGCGTGGGTCGAATCCTGGCCGCCAAGCAGGTAACCGAAGGCAATCTGGATTGTAGTGTCCGAGTAGAAATCTGGCTCGCGGCCCTCCTTCTCTGCGGCAGCTGCTTCGCGCATGACAATGAAATCTATAGCCGAAGCAGGCTTAAAGCTATCCCCGTCCTCGTGTAGCCTCTTCACAGCGTTGCGAATGTATTGTCTCAGAATCGTATCGCGATCATAGAATGCCTTCTGCATCTTAGCCTTCCGGTTGTTGAACATGTGAAAGAGCTTGATCGACGGAGCTGAGAGAGACCCGCTGACTGCTACGCCTATCGCTTCTAGTGCTTTGAACATGTCCGTGAGCTCATCGGCCGGGAACTGGGCCACCTCGGTCTTGCTTGATGGCACTGTGGCTGGATTCTGTATTGCCCCGAGTTTTTGGATGTATGATCTGAGCTGAGTATCTTTGTCGTCGAGGTTGGCTGCGGCTGCCATGATGATATCGAATGTCAGGTAACCCAGGTCCATACCGGCGTCGAAAGCGTGGTTATTAGCTGCAGCCGACTTGAGCTGCCAAAGCTCTACGATATTCAGGACCTTCTGGTAGGAAGCTGGAGCATTGACCTAGACGTCCACGAGAGTCAGCTTTCGTTATATCACCGGGGACGGCCAGAGTAGTCTCCGTAGTGCAAGATACATACCTCATGGAGGAAGGATGAGGTCATCAGGTCCTTGCCCAGTGCCTTGGCCGACTTGAACCGTGGATCCTCATCGTCCATACCGATGAAATGCGCGGGCATGACGCCGTGCCAGGAATCTGCATTTTTCTGGCCTTTTGCTAGGTCCTTGCCATGCCTCATCATCATGTCTTGTACTTCTCGGAAGTCTCCGATGACCACTGCAGCTTTCTCTGTCGGCCCCATGAAAAACTGGGCGACTGGAGCGGCGTGCTTCGTTAATAATTCGACCAAGTACGTTCGACCACCCTCGCCGCGTTCTAGTTTTGCCTTGATGTGCGGGATATCTCCCATGATGCGCTTTGCGGATTGCTCATTGTATGGAATACCAGGCAGGGGCGTCGGAAGTGTCTTGCGGTATAGCACGTACAGGGAAAGAGCCACGCCGCTAGCAGCGAGGAGGCTCTTTGCCTGCACAGTGTCTACACCGGCCAATAGGTCGGCTGGGTTGTAGTCATTCGCCATGTTGTCTTGTGCGTGGGGGATCTGGGCGGGCCTTTGTCGTTTTCGAAGTTCACGGAGCTGGATCGACTAATAGCGTCTTGAGGGATATGTCGAGAGTGGTTGTGGTGTGGGCTTGGGGGATCCTGTTTATAACAACGATACCGCGGAAGAGTAGAGGTACTACTTGTTACAGGTCGTCTCACGCATAGCCGTTGTAGGCCGTTCGGATTGTTCGGCGACGGGGGCCGCGCGCGCCGAGAGACGCGGGCTTGGTACCCTGAGGTCTTGGTCAGCATGCTTGCTTACGGCATCAGGCTGCACCTTTGGATGCCAGTCATGTTGAGGAGCAGCTCACTGCCGGCGAGCTGGCACGGAGCTGCTGCGCACGAGCTTGGTCGCTATGTGGCGTCAGGTCTATTGCCACGGGTGGACTGCCTTCCGGTGGCCGATCGTGGTGGGCCGGCAAGGGTGCAGGGAAGGGGACACGGGCATTTCAAGGTCGGTGTTGTTGTGTGAAGTAAACAATGCAGACACAGCCGTCGACTGACACACAATCGGGCAGACTGATACATGGAGGAGTCTGTGCAAACATAGAAAATGTGGGCCCAACCGGCCACCGGGCAGACATAGACGCCGTCTCGGACCAAAGACCTTCCATGCAACCGCAACCTAGCTGCTTCATGTGTCTCGCTGATAAATCCTACGTCATTGGCGGCACACCTGCTTCGTCGTCCTGCGTACACGCTGGGACCAGAGCTTGAACAGGCCCTACGAGAAGCGAACGCATCCTAGTCGGACGGACGAGCAAACTCATGGAACTATACTAAGGTTTCAAGGAACTAATAACGTAAATGCATAGCGAGTGGGCCAGCATAGCGAGTGGGCCACCCCAACCACATCTCGAGAATCAAAACCTCGTCAGCAAAACCAAAACGTCTTGAATTGATATAAACTAATCGCTATCTTCGAGTTCAGACCCTAGAGTAACTATTTGGCAAGTTCTCGCATTATGGCCAGTCATCCCGCAGGTACCACAGCGGCGCTGCGTTGGCGTAGTGCCGCCTGCATGACCTCGATTTTCTTGCGTTTCCTGTGTTATTTGAGTGTTCACCTCTCTCTGGGCTATAAGGTCCTGTCCCTCGCCTAGAGTCATGCTCTGGCCTTTCCGGAGACGTGTTTTCTTAGCTCTCCGGCGCTTACTAAGTACTGCATTCTCGTCTTCAAGCATCTTCATCCTTGCCTCCATTAGGGCGAACCGGTGCATGATCCCCTTTGCTCCCTTCGTGAACTGCTCAACTGCTTCAATAATTGACGTTGGAGAGCTTCCCTGCTGACGAGAGATCCGACGTTTGATGAAATTAGACTGTGAACGGGCTTCCATAGCGGTGGTGGGCGTTCGGGAAGTCCATGGCTCCGGTGACGTCCGAGGCGTCCTCGAGGGTGTTGGCGTCTTGAACTTCACATCGAGCTTGGATAAAACGGCTTCAGGGTCATAGGGTACAAGTCCCGCCCCTCTGAAGCCTCCCTGGATGTTTTTTTCCGTCATTGTCTGCTGGAATGCCGCTAAAAACGAGGGGAGGAAGTCCTCCTTGCTGATATGCGTTGTACCCGCCTTCATCTTAAGCTCAATTTGCCGACCGTATGCTTTCTTCAGCGGACCAAAACAGCCAACATCGAGAGGCTGGAGTATATGAGACGAGTGAGGAGGCATACAGAGCGTAATAATGTTGTTGTCCTTACAGTAGAGCTCGAATTCGACCGAGTGGTGACTTTCGTGGCCGTCGAGGACGAGGAGGCGATAATCGCCTTTTGTTCGCGACTTTGTGTGCTGATCGAAATGTCGAATCCAATCTAGACCAATTTCGTTTGTAGTCCAGCCGTTTGCGGATGTTACGATTCTCCAGTCGCGAGGAATCGCGTTATCTTGGTACCAGGTCGAGAGGTGATATTTGCCGGCAAATACTACGAACGGCGGGACGTAGAATCCAGTCGCGCTAACGCCCTGGATTACCGTAACCCATTCCCGATTACCTGGTTGCTTCATCTTAACGTTCGACCGTATTTGCGCGTTTGTAACGACCATCCCGGTCGCGATAACGCCCATCTGAAAGCCTGTCTCGTCGAAGTTGTAGATATCGGAGTCCGCTACGCCGTTTTTCGCGACTACGTTCCGCACAAGCCGAAACCACGCGTTTATCGCGTCGGGATCCTCGCATTGGGCTCTCTTGTAGTCGTACTTGCGAAAGAAACGCGTCTGGAGCTGTGGTTGTCGCTTAACGAAGTTTGACGCCCATCGTGGACCGACGCGTGGCGCAGCCCGCTTATCGAGCAGTCGATTCGCCATTTCTCCAAGCTCACTTAGCCGAGGAGGATATGCTCGCGCATCCAAGTCGAGAATATAGTCGACAATTGTCTGCTCCTCTAGCTCTGTTAATTTCATCGAATTTGGTAGGCTATCGCGTCGAGAAGGTGTCCCCTTATAGCGGCGGGTAAGCGTTGTTCGAGAGACGTTGTAGATTGCAGCTGCGCGGCGTATAGAAAGGGAAGGATCACGGTCCATAGCTTGAAGTGCGAGATTCAATTGGTTATCTTTAGAAGGGGTCTCCATGGCTGGTTGTTGAGTAAGATGTGTTAGAAGATGGAATTCTAGTGAAGTGATGGAGGTGGCCCACTCGCTATGCTGGCCCACTCGCTATGCATTTACGTTAGTGCATAGGATAGAACTATTAGAGCACGTAGTAGAATGTCACGATCCGACTTCCGGGGTCAACCGTATGTCGGGCTTCGGGGGCTGTCCTGCTAAGATAGGTAAAGCTTAGACAATACTACTCGTCGCATGTCGTTGTTCTCTTGGGGGTTATGTCTCTTGGAAGAGATACTACTCTCAATCAATTGAGTGACTGGTTTAAGTGAATAGTAAGAATGATACTTAGCTTAATCGCTGAAGTCTAAAGGTAAGAACTAACTATCTAGGAAATCCTCCTGTCTATATATTCCTTTGTCCTTCATCGTGCCGACATCCAGTTGTCGCTTGTCCGACAACTTCTTGTCGCATGGCCGACTGCCAAGCGTCGGGCCCCAAGGCTGGATTGCTTATGTAATTTTCCTGTGACCCTTCGCAGCTCTGCCCTTGTCCATGGCCCGGTGCTGCGGCCTTGTTTGTCCTGCCCGCCAGCCCAAACAATCCCCTTTTGGTCCTACGTCGTCACACTTCACCTTCCATCCCTACACCGCGGCAACGGCGCGCGAGAGCGTCGTCATCGGCTCGACCCAGGCCATGGTGCCGCCCTTACGGTCCTCACCCTCAATGAAGCTGAACACAGGCGTGTTGATCGCTGACGCTGTCAACAGCTTGCTGGCCACGTACCTCTGCATCATTTTGTTCGAAACGACGTACCGGTCGAGCAGGGACGTCGGCCAGTTGGCCCACGACGCGGCATTGGTCGCCTGCCCCGAGGCCGCGCCGGCCGCGACCACGGCGGCGTGCCTCTTGCTCTGGTATCGCTCTAGCGCGGCGCCGACGTCTTTCTTGCTAGGCTGCCTGGCTGTGGCCTCTGCGGATACGGATGAGGGGAGGATAGTATAGAGCTCGTTGACGAAGGCCACGATGTCGACGATACCGTTGTTACACCCGGCCCCGGTGCTGGGGGTGAACTTGTGCGCCGCGTCGCCCGTAAGCACGACGCGCCCGTCAAAGCTCCAGTTATCGACCACACCTTCCTCGAGGCTGACCATGCCGGACTCGGTGCTCGCGGCATAGGCCTCGCCGATGGTGATAGTGCTGCCCTTGGCCACGAGGAGGTGTCCCCACTTAGCGACGCAGGCCTCTTTATCAGCCTGCGTCCACCGTACGCGCTCTTTGGTGGGCTTGTCAAGGCGCTCGTAGACGCCCGTGGCGGTCGTATCGGCGGCGGCAAAGGATTGCGTAGCGGCGCCCGGGCCGTGGGTCTCGCTCGTAGTCCCGGTAGGGATAGAGGGGATGGATGGGAAGCGCACCCACAAGCAGCGGAAGGTGGTCAGGTACGGCTGCTCCTTATTGATTGGGACCGGTACGACCCCTTCGGGGAGAGAGGCGTTGTACTGGAGTGCGAGGTTACGCATTTGTTCCCTGACGGTCGAGTGTGCGCCATCGGCCGCGATTACGAGGCGCGTCTCGAACTTGCTGCCATCCTGGCAGGTGATAATAACACCATCGTCGGTAGCGTTGGAGGCAATGGTGGCGACACGCTTATTCGGCAGTAGGCGGGCCTTGGTAGATTCTGGGAGGGCCTCGTAGAATACTTTGGTCAGGTCGTGCCTGCTAAGGACAGAGGGAGCGGTGCCAAAGCTGGAGGAGACAAGAGCAAGTTAGTAAAAAGACAAGCGGCGTGAGTATTTTTGGGACTGAGACATACAACTCCTTCTCGTGCTTGAAAAAGTCGATATTGCCAATGTCGTTGCCCTCGTGGTCGATACGCTGCATGTCGTCCAGCTGCGATGAGACCGACCCGTGCCCTTGAAGCCCGCCAAGATGTTCTCCTTGTTCATCTTCTTCTTCCGCGCAAGTTGATATGCTTCAAGGAACTCCCGCTTGCCTGGGGACTCGTTCATGGTGTTGTAAGCCACCTCCGTGACCGCCTGACGGTAGCATGATTTCACCGCCGAGAACACACCCACATCGAGTGGCTGAAGGACATGTGAGGTATGGGCCGGTAAGTAAATCAGCCAGATTTTATGGATAAAGCACTTCGCCATGAACTCTGCTGTTGTATGCGACTTGTGGCCGTCCAGAATAAGGCATCGCCAGTGTCCCCGAACAGCTGGAATGGTGTTGGGGATAAAGATCTCCTTCAGCCATTTCAGCGCAATATCATTGCTGGTCCACCCATTTAGTGATGTCTCAAAACACCAGTGCTTCCACTTATCGAGTTCGACGTCAGGAAACCACTGCTGCTGCACCGATTGGCCCTTGAAGATAACGAGCGGAGGGATCGAACGACCAGCTGCAGAAATGGCATCAATTATCGTGATCCAGGTCCTCCTGGCACCGTCCTTTTTCAAGGTGAAGTTGCGCAAGGCATCAGAGACCACGAGGCCATTATGACCAAGGCCCTCCGCCACTCCACACTCGTCTACGTTCCATATGTTGTCGGGCCGTACTCGTTTGCGCATCAATGACGTCAGTAGGTCGAAGAAGATGTCGATATTGGCCTTGCAGGCGCCGTTATAGCGTTTGTACTCGATGAGTCGTGATCTCGAGGTCGTCAAGGCTGGGTTTCGGCGGGTGAAACGTCGGTACCAGTGACCACCGAGCCGTGCGGAGGGGTTATCGATCGACAGCAGTCGCGTCGCGAGGTGCCTAAATTGGGCCAACGGTGCTGCATAGCCCATAGCTGCTTGGTCGAGGGCCCAGGAGACCATATAATCCTCCTGGGTGACGGAGAGGGCTTGTTGGACTTGGTATTTTTGCTTGAAGGTTGGGACCGCCTGGAGGCGACGACGTAGGTAGGATCTGTCGACATTGTGTCGTTTGGCAGCCGTCGCAACAGGTACGCCCGCCTCAACATCGTCCAGTGCGCGGCGGGCACGCAATTGGTAGTCTTTTGGCACCATGACGATAGCCTCACTTGGGGTGGTCACAATGGTGGCAGTGAGGTCGCGGTGTGACACGGATCAACAGATTTACATAGCTAAATGTATGGTGGGGTGTTACGACGCGTCGCGTCGTGACCCCTGGTCGCGATGCGGCCTGGTCGCGAGGTGGCCGGTGGACTTACCCGAGCAAGACGGAAACGGATAGAGCCTACCATAAAATAGGCGATATCCGCGCGTTGGACATAATTGCTGAAAGTAGCGAGTATGCATTCTCATACCGTCCCAAAACCTGCTTCGGCATCGGTCAGTGCGCCATAGAGGATCTATCAGCAGAGATAATGGTTCTAAAGAGGGCTCGAAGCTGTGGGTCAGCCGATGTTACCATAACTCACCAGTCTGACCGCGAACGTTTGAGATGCACTATCTCGGGGAAAGTTGTAGAAACGGTCCTAACTCCCGACGAGCCTCAGTGGTTTCATCAAGAATACGTGGAAACATTGCAGACATTAGGAGAGTTCAGGGTGTTTATACACAGCCCGACAACATACGCCGAACAAGGGGAGATCATTTATGTGGCCAGAACAAGGGTAGAATGGGAGACGAAAGCATTTACTGTCAGGCAGGTGGACATTCTTAATGACTTTAAGTGGTGTTGTAACGACGGACAAGGAGAGGCGAGTGAAACTGTCAGGTCCAAGTTTCAGGAGCTTTGCGCCTTTGCGCTTCACACATACTCCGCGCTCCGTCCACGGCATGATGCATACGAATGCTATGAATCGCTCGAGATAGGGGTCCGCCTAGACATCGGGGTCTCGGAACTATCACCGAAAAGGACGCTTCTTTGTCAACGAGATTACACGTTGGCATGCGGCAGATTTCTTCTCAAGGCTAATTCTTCCATATCCATATACAGAGATCTGCCGGGCATATGCCGAGAGGGCTGTTCGATACTTTAGGAACGCGATGCCGACCGCACAGACATGAAGACGGTGAAGAAATGGCGGAAGGCATCCATATTAAGTTGCGATTGCCCCCGACGGCCCGACGCTCGCGTCGACGTCCTACGACAGAACGGTCAAGCTCTGGGACACAGGCATTTATGCAACAGGTGGCAGCGTTAAGCGGATCCTCTCGAGGTGTTTCGGCATCCATCCGTCGTAGACATTCTTTGTGAAACGATACGCCGTCCTGGGAAAGCATGGTAAATGCCCAGGTGCCGGGTCTCTCCATGGCTAAAGCTAGGGGCAAGCGATGTGGCAGGCATGCTCTCGCTCTTCTACAGAACGTTAACCACGACACGCGGGAGGCAGAATGGAGCCTGGAACACTGCAGACGGGGGAGATTGGGCTTCTCGACTCCGCGCAGAGGGTATGGTTCGGCGTCATCCTCGAGAGGTACGTGGAGTAGGGATTCTCGGGGAAATGCACGATCGGCCATCGATCAGTTGCCATCCAATCTGGATTTTGATGTCCCGTTGGTCCCAGAAACAGGGCCTTTCCCAGGGGCTCGAGAGCCATTATCTGCGGGACGACGACACGGCTTCCCGGTCGGAAGAAGGCGGTGGCCAGTAAAGCATCGCTGATCACCGGCCTACTCCAGACACGTCGTTCACGGGACCAGCAGCAGCAAAGAGGCCGAGGAAGAGGGACGGAACGAAATAGCACTTGTTCAATGCGCCCCTTAGACGAGGAAGTGGAACGTGGCCGCTGTGGTATGGGCGGGTCTCACAGGGTCTGGCCAATCTTCTCAAAGTACTCGCTAATAAGGTTCTGCTCCTGAACGAACTTGACGTTTCCAAGCGTCTCTGATGATAGCTCAATGGCTTGGTGAAGCCATTCTCCTCACCGTACGATACATTAACCACCTTGATTACCTTGGCCTGCAAGCGATGGCCGAACATATCCAAGCTGTTGAGGTTGTTTTTGAAGTCGGCTGAGCCCGCTAGGACGATGGCAGCCACTTTGACTTTTATCATTGGTGACGGAGTTCTCGTGAGGCACGTTGCACGGGATTGTGCTGCCCCCCGTTCCATTTGACAATTCATGCCCTCGTCGCAGTGCCCAAGCTCATACCCACCTCAACGGAAACCTGGATGCGGCTCTTGCTGAGATCCAGCAAGTCCTTGTCGAACCGAATCCGCCCCCTTTCAAAAGCCACCATGATCGAGGAACCACCAAACTGGAAGATGCCGAGCTCGTCGCCCTTCTTGATTTCGGCGCCGGCTTTTCGCCACTTCTCATGCATGCTAGTGAAGACGACCCGTCAGTGTTCGAATGAGGTAAGGTTCGAAGTCCGCGTTAGACTCACTCGACGGTGCCCACCTCTGTCGCGCCGATGGCCACGAAGAGCACGTCGCCAAACTCCTGGGTCTCGATGACAACGTAGTCCCTTGCATTTCGTGTGAGGATGTCGACCTTGCGGTGCAGCGCAATGGCGTCAACCTGGTAATAGTCGCCCGGCATGCTTCGGAACAGCTTCACTCGCCCCGTGACGGGCGAGTGGTAGCGATGGTAGTCCTGGGGCGACAACCGGAATGATGCCACGGCAGCACCGTCAAACTGTGCGCCGAGGAGCGTGTCCATGACTAGATTCGTGATGCTAAAGTCTGCTCCCTTTATCCACAATCGCTTGGTCTCTGCCACTGACTCGTATGCGACAACACGGCTGTCGGCCACTACGACGGCCGAGTTTGCATTGTCAGGTTCGTGGATCGGTCGTGAGCCCTCAGCATGGCGCCGGATGAAGAAGTCTTCGAAGGTGCTGTACTTCGAGATATCCGAAGGGTCAAAGTCTTCCATGTTGATACCGTAGGTCTCAACAAAACCCTTGATCTGGTTCCGCGAGGCAGGAATGCACTCTTCCTTCCCTGGCGCGGGCCGCGTTAGCCTCGGTGACTCTGTCCAGCACCGGATCTGCATTCGTACCCTTCTTCAAGGACTTGTTGTGAATGTAGAGCCGCATCGCGTGAGTTGTGTCGATCCATTCTGTTAGGGGGTTGAAGAGAAGCAATAGCCGCAGCTTCTTGGTGAGCGGCTGCTGCTCTCGGACGATTCGCCCAGTCTGCGAGATATCAGTCGAGCGTGTCTCAGGCATGGGAGGCCACGCGGAGAGGCTCGCCTTGCGGTCGAACGACGTCCAGCCATATTCCTTATTTTGGGCCTTGGTTCCGAGTTAGCTAAACCCACCAAAATGCCGTTGGATGGCCGTTGGGACTCGGCGCCTTACTAAACGAACCCAGGACAGGAGGTAGTCCAGCACCCAGTGAAAGATGGCTGAGAGTCCCATGCTTGCAGTCTGTTCTACGACTTGATCTGCAAAATAAAGTAGCTGTGCGAGTTGGAGAAAGATCGGTACCTAAATGCAACGTGCGAAGGTAGACTTGGATGAACGTCTCGTGGTTGATGGCAGATATTTTTGCTGGCGACTTGGGCGTGACATCATTGCGGAGAGGCGGCCGCGGCCAATCAGTGGGCGGTGTGCGAGTTAGCCCTTCTCCGCTGACGTCATGAGACGTAAGGGTTTCATGTCCACACGACAACCTCGCCACGCGACATTTATCCTGTTAAAGAACTTTTGATTTCTGAGATTGAAGCTAGAAGCAGACAACTGACAAGGCCAACCTGCTTTACGACGGCGGCCCTGTCGGCGGCGGCGGTTGAGGCGATGATCGATAAACGCGGAAGCAGCAGCAAATGGCTCGTCGCCGAGGCGGCGTTGGCGGGGCTGCTGGTCAACCGCGCTGTGAATGGGCCGCGGAGGCGATTTTCACGCCCTGAGTGAATAAAACTTGGTGGTCGTCCTAACTCGGATCATGTCAAGTACCGTTCACCAGCAGCAGCATCAGCCACGAAGCGATAAATGCAAGTAGGGCTCACTGGGAAGAACGTATTTCTGACATCATACAACGACTGAATGTGTGGCAAGCAAGCCAATGCCTGACGTAATGTGGCCCAGTAGGTTGAAAGATTGACACTGCGTCTCCTGATTTGACGTCATACAGGGCCGACTGCATTCTCCTACAAGGGAATGAGTAAGTTAGCAGTAACGTGGTTCATATACGCGCGGGCCACCCAGTCGCGCGGGCCACTGTTAAGGTTGCAACGAGAAAATTTGGCTGCAGCACTTAACATGGGGATTGCATGGGAATACGAGCTGTTAAGGCAAGTGATGTGCGGCGCCTGCAGCCTTAACAATGGCCCGCGCGATTGGGTGCCCGCGCGTAACTATATGAACCACGTTAAGCGAGTAAAACGTCATGAGTCCTCGTTCGTCTGGCTTTGGTTGTCTTCGATACGCTCGCGTAAGTCGTTTATGGTCTCTTGTTGCCGAACGACGATTTCTCTCAGGGATCTTATCTCGTTGCACATAACTCCCACCACCTCCACCATCTTTCGCCACTCCACCACGTTATCTCCAGGCGTCGCATTACCAGCATCGTCGGGTATCGTCTCCGCCGCGGCGGCGGCGGCTCTAGTCGCTTTCTTTGATGACCTGCCCCCAACGGTGATACTCTCGTGAAGAGCCTTGTTCGCTTCGTTTTCTCGGGCTTTCATGCTCGGTGGCCGGATACGCTGGCTCGACGGTCTCGACGCGTCGTTGTTCTCGATCGCGTCAGCCGCGTGCCCCACTTCGGGATCAGCCGCCATTGTGGGCCCGGGGTCACGTTTTCAACGAATGACAGAATCAACACCACATCAATTCAATTACAAAACACAGCAAAGATCACCAGAAAGTTCTCCCTAAATTCAGTCCTGTCTCCCGCGATATTGAGGAAAGCACGAGGTTTCTTCCTAGCTGGCGAAAGTCGGCGAGAAGATGCGAAGACGCTGCGGTAACGGGCACCGTTGCTTCCCTTTACGACCGCTTGTAGGTCGTGCGCTTATCGCCGAAGCCGTGGCGTCATAGGTTGTGTAGATCACCCCGTATCACTATGCATCGTTCTTGGGATGAGCCAATCTAATTGTCCACAAACGGCCCGGTCGGCAATCAGCCCATCCTATCCCATTGGCTTCCTCGCGATACCTAACTCAACCGTGATGCAGAGCATGGCTTCGGTCAGAAAACTACTCCATGGGAGTCGCAATTCCACCAGGAGACGATCACAGTGGCTCGTTCGCGGGTTTGAGGACGAGGGACACCCCCCTTCCCCTGACCCTCTCGCTTGCGATGTGGGACTTCGGGGTTGTCGATGAGAGCGCGCCTGGCGGGATTGCCGAGGAGACCGTCGAGGGCCTCCACGGTCACACATGAAATGGAAGCGGGAAGGATGGAGTAATCACCACTAGATGCCAAGCGCAAGATATGGTTGGGCTTCTGGACATGGACAGATAGATGAAAGACGATTGTGACGGCTCACCACGGGACAACTTGGGACCATGCAATGGCCCAAGGGCGCATAGTACGGTGTAAAGGAGTGACATGGATGGGTGAGTCCTGTTTAGACGAAACTTCGGTATAAGGGATCCCCCAGTTCAAGTCTCGACCCTCTGGGAGAGTATTCGGTGGAACTCTCCACTTCTCTCGATTCATCCAAGCGACAACTCCGGTAAACCTCGAGCCGTGTGCAACAAGCCGCTCAATCACTTGTGCTGTAGGGTTTCTGGGTTATGCGCAACCCCGTGGCCATGCTGGTCTGTGAAGAGAACCTAGCTGCCCGGTTAGCTATGATGTAGTCGGACTATAGCGATCGGGCGCCTGGCACCTTGGGCGGATGTTTCACGTTCTCCTCGGCTGCCTCCTTGTCAGAGGTGACGACCTTTTCGACCTCCCCTTCTCGCTTCCCGCCTCTGATCCTAGTCCACACCTCATCTCTCTCCTTGATGGGTTGCGAGTTCTTGTCTTTAACTTCAGGCATATTCGCGGGCTTGCTGTGGGTTGTCACAGAGTGGGTTGGCAGTGGGTTGGCGACAGTTGACGGCCCGCGGCGTGAGTGGCGTATCAGTGATGTATCAGCGTGGCAGGTTTTGGGATGAGGTGTCCTCCTGAGGCGCCGGGGCCGTCGCGAGATCGACCTTCGTAGAGATCGCCGAACTTCAAGGTTCGGTGAATTACAATATGACGTCATAGGTATGTTTGAGCGTGTATCCCTTAACGTCATAACCATGAGATTCCGTACAACGAGAGGATACACGCAAGAGTGATGTCATGGATGAGAGGGGGAACGGGATTTGCCTCTCGCGGTCATCGACGTTAGAGGCTTTGAGAAATGTACAGTGCTTTTCCGCGCATGACGTCACCCCGGGGCTGCAAGTTGCCGCACAAGCTCTCCACAGGCAGGAATCTTGAAGGTACTATGATACCATGACCTATGACAATATCATGACAGGCATAAGCGGAAGCGGCCCGGGAGCATCGGTTTAAGTGAGGTAGATCCAACTCGACGTCGATTCACCAAGATTGAATGTAATGTGAGTATTCTTGGCAAGAAATCCACTACAGCCATCAAAAGTATCCCCTGTACAGCGCGTCTTAAGATGGACAAGGCAAAGAAGGTTGCCGAGAAGGTCACCGGACACACCGAATCCGGAGAGACTACCAAGTTCTCATCCGGTATACTCAAAAGAAATGGCGGATCGTCGGTCCTTCGCTAACCAAGCCAGGCTACGAACACCCGCCGCAATCGCAGTCACAGCCAGGACTAGAGCGTGATCTAGAGCCGAAGCCGACCAAGGCACACCTCCGCAGCGAAGATGAAGACTACCAGCTGTACCGACCGGCCAACAAGCTCGCCGGCAAACGCGCCCTCGTCACCGGCGGAGACTCGGGCATCGGCCGCGCTGTGGCTATCCTTTTCGCCATGGAAGGCGCGCACGTCGCCATTACCTACCCTACCTAGCCGCCGAGGAGGAAGACGCGCAGCACACCAAAGCGCAGATCGAGAAGAACGGCCGGCAGGCGGTGCTGATCGCCGCCGACCTCCGCGCTCCGACTGCCTGTCTAGAGGCAGTCAAGCGGGTCGTCGCCGCCCTCGGCGGCATCGACATCTTGGTCAACAACGTCGCGTACCAAATGGAGCAGCAGGATATTGCGGATATCTCCGAGTGCGTGACACCCCGGGCGAGCCGCCCTATCGTGATACCACTGGACTAACGCGACTTCCCCTTTCCACAAACAGGGAGGAATATCACCGAACCATGCAGACCAACATCGACGCTCCCTTCTTCATGAGCAAGTACGCGCTGCCGCACATGTCGGCGGGCAGCAACATCATCAACACGACGTCGGTCGACGCCTATATCGCGCCGCCGACGCACCTCGACTACGCCGCCTCCAAGGGCGTCGTGCTGACCTTCACGCGCGCCCTGGCGCACCAGCAAGCGAGTAAGGGTAGCCAGTACAAGTCCCGTCTCTTCAGCCTCACCAACTCGTCACCACCGCTCGATATGGCCTCGGCGAGATGCTCGCAGGAAATAGCTTCCGCTTCAACGCTTTCTCCAGGATTTCGCAACGGAACAAAATCGGCCCGCGTCTGCGGCGAGAGCAGCCGAATCGGGGATAGTTTCAGGCATGAAGTGATCCAATGAGAGGCGGCCAGAGGACCCACTTTTGACCATCGGTTTCACTCATTATAGACGGCTCTATGTGGCCTCGCACAACCTAGCGAAGACCGGTTAGCAGATCCGGGCCTGAGATAGTACCCAACTTGTCCGTCATGGAAATTCGCCATTGAAGGAGGGAGCCAAAAGATGTCCCTCCACCGGGGACCAGATTTGTCCCCAGTCGGCCGCGAAACAGAGATATCCAATGATAGTGCGCCTAAGCGACCCACCTTGGTCCCCAAAGTGGGTCCGGTTTCCGCACGTGACGGCTCGACGAGACGTCTTATAGCCGCGCGAACCCGCCCAAATCTTCCACGACCAACCCCCAGCTGCGTGTCCCGCAACACCTGTCATTGCAATAACATGGCAGAATCTGGCGCTAACACGACACCGGGGTCCGCCCCAGTTGTTGGCACGATGGGCACCGAGCGAGATGACAATGCTAACGAGACGGATAACGCCGACGACAACGCCTTGGTGTTGACATGCGATCAACTCCAGCAAGTCGACGACTTTCGCAACCAGCTCCTTGGTAGGACCGACGACGCCGGCAAGTTCCAGCTGTGCGCGGAGAAATGTAACGAACTACTCCGCCACGATACGAGACTGCGGATTCTCATTGCCGCCTACGACGAAGTTATGTCGGCTGCCTGTCGCGAGTATGAAAGCAAAAAACGAGAGAAGACCAGGACACCGCTACCGACCGGTCGCAAGAAAAAGACGGACAATAGTGCCGTGCGCGACGAATGGGAGCAATACTTTGGCGTCGCCACCCACGCAGCCCAGGTCAAGTCCGATTGTCTTGTCGCCCTGAAGGCCGTGGCCCTTCGCTGGGGTCGGGAAGTCGTCCAGCACTACCAGTGGGCGTCCAGGGGCGAGAATTTCTGCAATCTGCTTCGCGCCAGGGCAAGTGATATCCCGGAGTGGAGCAATTCCGCCCTGGCTTCGACTATCGTCATGCTTCGACGACACCAAACACTCAGGCGCCCCGGCATTGCTTGTTCCCGAGACCCTATCACATGGTCCGACTTGATGGAGCTGAAGGAATTTCCGACGTCGGAAATCCAGGACAGTATACTGCCTGCCGGCTTTGGCCTCGACAAGTTTGGCATCATCGTTCACGAGCAATTCGCTGTGCCCCGACCTACCAGCGCCTCCAATACCAGACTGCCCGCCGAGCCCGACTTGCCGACGCAGCTTGTAGAGCAGCGTTGTGATGCTCTGTGGTGGAGATTAGAATGTTAGCGTTATCGAAGGCCTTCTGGACCTTGCGGACAACTCGTTGGACCGGTACATCGGAGAAACCGTCCCTTATTCTTTCCATGTCGGCTTCGTGATCTTGAGCTACGCCATCAGCGCCCTCGGGGCTGGCTCGACTCTCGAGCTGCTCCATCGGCGGACCTCGCTCAAGGGAACCTATAATCTGTAGGGCCTCTCTCTATCACTCTCGCGTCAATCGCTGACCCTCCTCTCCTCTAGTCTCTTCCTCGTCAGTGCGGCCATATCATGCAAGGTATTGCAATATGGTCCATGGTTCGTCCTCCCCACTAGTCCACAACTCTGATGCCAGCTGATCAGCCTCACAGCATTTCATCGCAAACCGGGCAATCACGCTGCTGAATGGTCAGCCGGAGCTGCAAATCGTGTACTCGGTTCGCACGCGGGCGCCGTGTTCTGGAATGCACTGGTGCGCTGCCTTGGGAACGAGGTACACGTTGCGACATGTACCGGCTTCAGGCGAGAGCAACGCTTCGAGGAACACCACGGTCATAGCACTCGTCTGTCTGGTCAGTTGGCCGACACCATTCTGTTCGGTCGTAATTCTTTCTCTGCTGACACTGCTAGTCTGTCGCCGCGTCTTGTGTCATGATTACCACGGCAGTTTGTCCGGCGAGGACGAGGAAGCGATATGCCGCAAAGGCGCAACAGATCGTATTGGCTGCGGCCGTGTTCGACGATCGGGGTAGGATCCTTGTCAGCCCAGATGGCCTGCTGCCCAGCGAGACGATTACGGAGACGTTCCCCCAAAAATCAGCCAACGATATCTTCAGTACCGCCCACCCGCTCTTCCACTGGATGTACAGGGCGTCTCGCAACTGGTCGAATGTTGCGACCTTGCTCGACTGGATGAGGACTCACTTGAACCGACTGTCCAGCGGTGGCGGCCGCGGCATGAGGTCCGTTAAACTAGTCCAGGAGAATGGCCAACTTGTCCAAAACTACGACATGATATTCCGCGAGCTGTTCTGCATAGCTGCGTCAACCCTGTCGTACAGGTTGGGCGAGGTCCTCGTCAATGCTGGGGCACTTTGGGACGAGATTTTTGTCACAGGCACTGCCGGTGAACCACGGCCGCTCACCAGGCTTGGGACCACCGTCAACGGGATTGTCAGCCCTAATGGCACGGATGTCAGCATGCAGTCAAAGGCCGGAGACGCCCAAGCCCGACACGATCTGCTCGAAACAGGGGTAAGGCAAAGCCAGGACCTGATCGGCCGGGGTTGCCTGCTGGTCTTGGTGCGGCACCTTAGTGCACCTCGTGAGATAGCCAGGTTAGAAGCTTCCGGGTTCCAGTTCGCCGAGCCATGCCGTGTCGTCGACATCATCCGATCGAGCATGCAAATTAGGACGAGGCGGCTTGAGGAGAAACTGCTCGACATGGCCACTTACAAAGAAGACAAGGCTGAGGTTGAGCCCGGAGTATACCTCGGCATCTTTGCTCTACGGGCTCGGCTGGACCGATTCGGATTTGACGTGCTGGTCAACAGAGAGTCGCGAAACGCTCTCCCAATGGTCCCGTTAGGTTTGGAGAAGCTTGAACGATGGCACCATGACTTCCTCCGCAGCCTCGACGGGATGCCCGTTCCCACGCTCCTTCGACAACTGGAGTTGAACAGGGGCCGCTCGCGGCTTGAGGACCAGTTTGCCGCCCAGCTTCGAGGAGGAATCTCCACCCTGCAGACATCCGAGAAGCGAGCAATTATCGAGCAGATCAGTTGATTCAACCAGGGAGCTCGAGTGCGGTCGATGTTCCCCAGAAAGGTCGGAGTAGTCTTGCTGCTGGCAAGAAACGCTCCTCCAGTCAGACGGAGGCCCCTCTACCACCGAGCAAGCGATCTTGCTCTGCGTCACCAACCATGGCTAGCGGTCCTGCACTGCCGAACCGGGTGCATCGTCGCGTCATCGTTCAGGATTGTGGGACGCCGATCTACAAAGCCAAGTCGCCTTCGGTGCTGCTCTCAGTGCTGAGCGACTGCATTGAAGGTCACAAATCATTGCGACAACAAGCCGGTCTCCTCCACAGAGACATCTCTGTAAACAACCTGATGATTCGTGGAGAGAAAGGGTTTTTGATTGACCTCGACCTTGCCGTCACGGAGCAACGCGAGGAGGCCTCGGGAGCACATGGGAAAACCGGGACAAGAGCCTTCATGGCGATCGGTGCCCTTCTGGGCGAGAAGCACTCGTTCATGCACGACCTCGAGTCCTTCTTCTGGGTCCTGTTTTGGATATGCACAATAACGGACCGGAGCGAAGCGAAATCATTCCCCAATTCGACAAGTGGAATTATGCGGATGCGGAAGAATTAGCAAAGCTTAAGATGGGCACGGTATCTGACGAGGATATTTTTGCGAAGACTACGACGGAATCCTTCACCAACTACTTTAAAGCTTTGATTCCTTGGGTCGGTCGATTACGAAGAGTGGTATTCCCCAGTGGTGGTAGATGGAAGAAAGAAGTCAGCGGGTTGTATGCCTCTATGCAGGAGGTCCTTCGTGAGGCCCGGAGAGACCTCGATGCCGTAGCTAATTGACAAATACTTGATGCGATGGAAGTGACTGCTAAGATCCCAATCTCATTTCAATGCCGTGGAGCGTTGCTGCCTCCGTTCAGGAGCCCCTTGAGCGATGATGCACATTTCTGGGGTCGACCCGGAGCAGTTCAGTCGGTCCAGTGCAAGGCTCCAAAATGGTGTTTCAGGGCCGGCCAGAATTGTCGGGGCTATTTTTACAGCTGACCGAACCTGCCAGGGCCCAGTTTCGGGCCCTCAGACCGCCCTTAAATCCGTGGCATCTGCCGTCGTATCCTTCAGCAGCTATTTCCCCCAACCACTACTCATTACCATAGCTAATCTATCCCCCAAGAAACGTGACCGAACCAAGGAGAACCTCGATAGATAATGCAAGGGAGCCGCGGAGCGATTAATAAGATAAGTAAGAAGTATAGCCCTCGCGCCTACGTACAGGTGTACTGGAAGGGGCGGCACTACGAGTACACATCCCACGACGAGACTCGCTGGCCGAGGACAAGGGATGACCTAGAAATCATCTACCCCTTGATCACTCAATGGACTCCAGCAACATTCGTGAAACGACCGCCATTAAGCTCTAACTTGAAAGCCACGCCGGCGTCGCTAGGGAAGCCGCTCGAATCAGCGGGAGAGCAGCCAATGGAGCCAAAACTAGCTAAGGATAGATGGACTGCGAGGGATTGATAGCATGAGAGGGGGACTTGGAGACGGCGTTCTGGATGGGCGAAGGAAGTGGCAGGGCCGCGGGGCATGTACTACGAATATTCCTGCTGTGCTCCTTGCAGTCCCTTGCGACTTGGTGGGGCGGCGCCACGCACGGGTGTGCCATCCGTGGGCCGCGAGGAAAAGGCAAGCTCAGATGCTACCGACGTAATGCTAGGCTGGGCGGCCAGGCCTGTGGGTACGTTGCATAGAAGTCACTCTTCGAGTTAGACATATGTTACGACTAGCTAGAGTTTTGTACGCAATCCCTACCGCGATCCCCCCCTTCGCTATGTTTGTCGCTACAATCAGACTCGTACTTCGAAGATCTTGGGGTACAGACCCCGTTGATGCTACTACAATCAGACTTGCGCTTGGAAGATCTGGAGGCAAGGAACCCATTAATGCTACCTCTACCTCTAATCCGATACGAAACGACATTTGGGTTTATTTGCCTGAAGAGGAAAGCTGGGAGGTATCCGCCTTCTGAGCCACTACGGAAGAGGCAGATGATTGGATGATAGCCATTACATTAATACAATGTCCTCGTCTTATAATCCACTTAGCCTTCTCGTAAGGCAATGTCCGCCCTCGCGTATTTTTCCTGTTAATATGAATAACTGCAAGTCTCCTGGGAGCGCTGCTTGCGTTCAGACCGCCTATAGGAGGTCAGGCGCACGCCGGGCTCCAGCACACATGGGTGTGTGGTCCCTTTGCGCCTCCCCCTTTCCCCGGCCTCTCCACGAAGCCACGTAAGTTCGGGCTGTTGATGGTTGGTCACCCGTCAGCCGGCCGGCGCTTGTAAACGATGACCCATTGGCTTGTTTTCCCGTGAAGACGGAGCTGTAGCTGTCCGGACCCGACCCTTTCCCGGTTTCTTGCGCATTGTGGGTCTTCTCCCCGAGCGCCATTTGAATTCGGAGGGCCGATGGTGGGTCACTCGCCGGCCGGCCAGCGCTTATGATCGATCAGTCATTGGCTTGCTTTCTTGTGATCACGGATCTGTGATCCACCTCACCCGGGATCCGCCTCCCGGCTTAATTATGGCTACAAAGCCGATGCGACGAGTCAAGTCCGGAGGCCATTTGCCAAGCCGGCGCCGTGCGGGGCATGATGATGATCGCCCGTGCAGAGGCGCAATACCTCAACAACATTCAACCAGAGGTAGGGAATATGTGCCGGCTCTCCTGGTGGACACGCTCAGCACCTCACAGGCGACTTGTGTAAGCCCTGGCATAGTCCTTGGCCCGCGCAGGTTGGCGATGATTACCTGCCCCAGGATCTGGTGCATCGAGCTTCTGGCGATTTGAGAGTAACGTTCATGCCGTACTCGGGGCTCTGCTGACCGAGCCATAAGGAAGCTCTCTCTGCGGATTAGCTTGACCTTCCTCGAGAGACAATCATTGTTTCCAAAGAGCAATGAAGAATGAGATGACCCCTCAACACCTGCCTCAGTGTCTTGTTGTGTTAGTGCTGCGTGAACTAACCCGGGACAGTTTGTTCACTCCGGATGTTTGGCCACCGTGCCTGGCCCGGCTGACCACTTCTCCTGTCCTTCGCAATCCTCGACATAAGGCTCGCGGCACATCAACGATGTAAGCGCGCGCGTCTGTAGTCGCTGGGCGGGGTGCTGTACTCAATCACATGCGATGCACATCCTCGAGTTTTTGTGCATAAGTCATCCATGCATCTTGTGCAGTGTGCAGTCAAATGTGCAGTCAGATGTGCATTTACATAAAGTACATAGCTTGCTCCCTCGCTGAGAAAAATAAGCTCGATGGGGCAGGCAAACAAGTGCGCGTGCGTGCCAAGTGATTGGTCAATGGGTGCGTGCAGATGCTGTCATAACGGTGAGTCGGCGGCGTGGGCGACGGCAGCCAGGCGTCACGGAGCTCAAGACCGGGCAGGGATCAGTCCATGGCTTGCTTAAGTTGGCACTAGGCTGGCAAGGAACCATCCAGGCTTGGCTTGGTCTGGCCCGGCGAGCGAGGCTGTCGGTCGCTCTCTGCACTCCAGACAACAAACTACTGCTCCCGAGGTCTGCTTGCTCGCTCGCCCTGCTCGTGCACCTGGCCGTCTTGAGGCCGTCAGCAAGCGAATTGAGCTTGGAAGCAGTGCGTTCCTGTACGCGCATCGGCAGCACCATCGCCATCCCGGCGTTCAGCACGAGCTTGCAAGCGGCAATCGACTGGCCCCAGTTGTTTTGCCCCTGCCGCGCCGTTCTCCAACCTGCGCCGGGCCTGCATCGCGGTCCCGCCCACGTGCATTTGGGGAATCTCTTTCGGCAGAGCTTCTCCCAGTCTGGACCTCGACTCGACGGCAGTGACATCCCAGGCACCACGCTGCAGCTCCCGTGAAAGCGCTCGCCCGGCCTCCTCTGCCTCTCCTTCCGGATTCTTCTTCACACACTGAACGACATCGCATCGGTCGGCCCCCACCTCCGAGGCCCTTGCCGGTCCCAGGTCTGCATCGTGCCTCGTGCCTCTCTAATGCTGATTTACGCCCAGCGTGTCCTGATGAGCTCTCCCCATCTGTAAAGATCTCTATCGCCTCCAAATCTACCTATTCCTCTCTGCAAACTGCCACTTAGGTAAGCCACGACGATCGTTCCTAGTCTCGGGGCCTCCCCTCGACTCCGCATTCAACTTCTCTTCTGTTGTGCTACCTGTTAGGCCCGCGCCGGTTGTCGGATGTGACCCCTACCGCCTGTTCACTGTCGTATATCAGTGCTTGTCACCCCCCGTCTGTCTTCAACGCTTGACTGGTGTAACTTTGACCATGAGATCACCCTTCTCCCACAGCGTGAAGATGCGCTGGTTGGGCCAGTCACTGCTCTCCGGCCTGAGCTCCAGGTCATAGTTGTACAACAGGCGGGTCAGAATCAGGCGCATCTCGGCGTAGGCCAGGCTGTGGTGGGTAGTGCGGGGTTGGTTAGTTCTGCCAGATCTCCTCATCTGTTGCTGTCGCTGCCGCTTCTCGACTCGTCTCAGGGGTGATGACCAGGTACTCACTTCTTGCCGATGCAGTTCCTGGGCCCGACCGCGATGGGCTGCAGGACGTCGCGCTTGTCGTTGGCGAAACGAGGATCGGTCGTATTGACGCTGGGTAGCCATCGCTCGGGAAGGAAACGCTGGGGCTCGGAGAAGTTCTGCGCGCACTGGTAGGATGACCAGTGATGCACGGAGACGACGGTCTGGACTGGTGTTAGCCTTGCAACTTCTGTAGGGAGGGGGGTTGCATTAGTCTGCTGCAGTGTTCCGAGAGGAGGATCAAGGCATGATAGCTGGCACTTCACCTTTGGCGGAAGAAAGTAGCCTTCAACAGTCTCGCCGTTTTCGGGCACGACGCGATCTAGGCCTACGGGGACAGGAGGGTCTGTAAGGATGGCTCGCTGTTAGCTTGATGTAATTATTGCTAGCGGGAGATGGGATCCATATGATGTAGTCACTGATGTAAGCTGGACGGGGTTTGGTGACGTACACATCCTGAAGCTCTCGCTGAGGACGGCGATGAGGTATTCGAGTCTGTTAACTGACGCGATTGTGATTTCTTCCTCGGAGGCAAAGGCCCCCCGGATCTCGGCAACCAGTATGTCGTACTTGTCACGGTTTACAAGCAGGTAGTAAGTTGCGCCACCAAGCTGCGTGGCCGTCGTTTCGCTGCCGGCGACAATAAGAACTCTCGCGTTCTCGGCAATCTCGTCCTCGGAAAGGCCTCGGGCCCTTGCTTTCTCGTCGCTACTGTTATTATTACGAAGAATGTAGGACATGAAGTCCTCGCGGTCCTGGTCGCCTAAGTGTAGGCGCTGTAGCGCAGTCTCGCGGCTCAGTTTAACGTTCTCGGCGAAGCTCTTAGCTAGGTCCTTAGGGGTGAGTAGAGTAGCGAGGGGGTTGAGGAATGGGTAGCGGTTAAAAAGTTGTCCGTAGGTTAGCAACGCAATGCTCTCGAAGATCATAGTCACCCAAGGGTGGTAGACACCTTTCTCGAGCATGCCGAAGGGCTTGCCGAAGGCGAGGTCGCCGATGAGATCAAAAGTGCAGAAATTATACCAGAGTACTATGTTGATGGGCCCAGTAGTGGCCTGCTCGCCTACGCGCTTGACGAAGAGGTCGACGTAGCTCTCTGCGAGACCTGGCCCTGACAGACAGACATGTAGACAGCTTGGACAATCACTGCCACTCGATGCCACGTACTTGCCGGTCCTCTAGGATCCCCACTCCCGTCGGACGGGACGTCTCTTACACGTCAGATCTCGGAGCCAATCATTGTTGTCGCGCTGTCAAACCCTGTTTCACCGGCGCTCAATGTTCGGGCAGAACCAACGTCTACAGGCGGCAAGATGTCAACAGCCGCGCACCCAGCTGGTGCATCCACGATAAAGCTGCAGAGCAGCCAACAGAATCGGCACCGAGAGAGATACTCGGCATAGCGACTCAGCGACACAGCCGGACGGCTACGAACAGTCGGGACGTTCGCAGCGAGAGTCCCCGAGAGCTCCATCACCACCAGCGGGCACCTTTAACTCTGGTTGAGTATCGTGGAAGCACCCACCAGGAGGGTATATACAGGATTCGAGGCTTACTGTCAGCAGGAGTATGCACAATATCATTCACGGGTCGCCGTCCGAGCTCGTCATCAGCGCTCGCACACCCGCCAAAGCCAGCATCACTGTTCATCATACATCCTCCTGCGGGTACTAACTGATGCGTTGAACTAACAGACTAGCACACTGTCGCGCACATGCGTTTATGTTATCCGGTACTACCGAAGTTCCAGATAATCGATCACCGACATAAGATACGTGGACTATTACACAGAGACCTTCCCTCCACCCCTTCATCCGAGGGTGAGCATGAGCAAACATAAACCATCCACGCGTAATCCCGCTGGCGGGATACACTTAAACTACTGTGCCAGATTCATCGTCGCAACATCACATGCAGCTCTCGTTTTTTGGCCCGTGCGGCAGCCTTGAGTATCCGCTCTGCCTTCCTGGGCGCTCTACAGTCACGAATCGGGTACAATTGGATCCCTGAGAGCAGCTGCGCTGGGCGCACGCGCGGCAGGGTGTCCTTGAGACGGGCCGGGGCAGAGGGGGAGGCGAGGAAGGCTGTGAGCTGGCCAACGCCGTTGTCGGTCATAAGCGAGCTGAGCGGGATGTGCTGGTCGGCACTGTCGCGCCAGCGGCAGACGGCTACCTTGATACCTCTGCCCGATTCGTAGACGTCGGCGATCTCGACGATCTCCTTAATGAGTCCGTCTGCCGGGTCGACGAGCCTTGGGTCGTGCCTGGCGATGGTGTTCAGGCTCGTAAGGACGCGGCGGCCGCGAGTACGCGAGCTGATGGGCTGGTCGTCGCATTCGAGCCAATCTTCCCGCTTGCGATCGCCACTGACAGTGAGGCCGCTGGCTCTGTATGCAGCGCACATACGAGCAGTGGCGCCAGGCAGAGGCAGCGGTGGTCGCGGCAAACCGGCGTGTTGTCGCCGCCGGCGGCGGAGCACGCTGCCGATGTCGCGGAAGCTGCTACGCACCGCATCGTTGGTCCAGAACTCGTCGGATATATCACGAGAGCGATCGACTATGAAAATAATGTGATTCAAGTTTTTATAGGCCGTGACCGTCACAGACCTAAAAGCCATAACATGTTGATCAGGCTGATGAAACCACCTAAGATAACCAAGTAACCCAGACGGATCAGTGTACGCGATCAGGTATATGGACGGAAATCGGCTTCTTTCCGGAAGAACAGACAGTATTTTTGGCCAATGGATCAGTGTTTGCAACCGGCCTAGTCTGGCTGTCGGAGGGTTGTGAGCGTGTCGAGAAGAATAGTGCCGACTTAGATCGACATTACAAGACTAAGCATCAGAAAACAGGGAGGGTGTTCAACAGGTTTTAAGAGCTCTCGTGTCCCGCAGCATTGTGTATTATATTGCTGTAATAGACGAATTAGCCATTTGGAGGTCTCTATGAACTCTGGAAATTTTCACTACAGAAGTGTCAAGATTGTTATGGGTGTCTTGATGAGCCAAAGTTACATTTGTTCAATTCACTTCAACGTGGACCTGACACAGAGCAATCGCCTTAGCCTCCGGGTCTTCCTCTATAAGACCAACGCCGCAACCGTTAAATGGCCGAGCTACCGCTGCGAAGACGCACTCGAGACGTTTGACTATATCATACTCGACTGCGACGCCCTTAGGATCAGTCGAACCCGAATCTGGACAAGACTAGGACTCGCTCCGCCGTCGACCCGCAGCGAACTCGCATCGCTCCTAGAGAAGCCACGCATTAGCATGGTAATTATACGATGGGTCCTGGACCAAGGGCTCCTCCCGCACTATGAGATGGACAGACTAGAGACGGATGAACAGCTCCTCCGCATGACAGAAGCACGAGACGAAGTTACGAAGGCACGATGAGCTGCGACAGCGCAGCGGGAGAGTAGCAGGAAACAGGCGGCCGCGGACGACACCAGACGTGCGGCAACAGCCTCGAGGGCAACAACCTGGCGCTCACGCAGCGCTATCCCGGTGGCGGCGCGACCACGGGCGGCACGAGCAGGTACAGCGCCCGCGCAGCGATGTCGAGACTAGTGCTCCCACTCAAATCTCTCTCTCTTTCTCTCTTACTACTCTCACTCTCCGTCTCTCTCTCCTTGGCAAGGTTGGTCGGTAAGCACCAACATTTAGACGCGATGACACCTCAGCGTAGGCGCCACTAGGACGCACCTTGAACGCAGCGTGTGGGGTTTTTAGTCCAGCCTTCCGGCAGGTTTTTTGCTACACGATAGACTCAAAGGCTCGCTCAACCTTAGACCAGGCATAGCGTACTACGAATGATAATAATCATTCCATCCTGGCGCAACTACTTTGACAGCGACATCGCCACCGGCAAGACATGGTGGCATTGTAACAATAGCGAAGACCAGTGCCTACTGTCCTAGGGCGGGTGAGGGTTCTTCTGATCGTGGCTAAAACAACCACCACGACCAAAGGGAGTTCACCGCTTGCCAGTTTCGGCGGGATGTCCGGCGAGCTGCACTCTGCGCTGAGGCGCAGAGTGAGGGGATTCCTAGGTGCGCGCACCTTGAGAAAGTGATGGGGGAGCCAGCTACACCAACAACGAATTGTTGGTGCAACACTTGTGAGGTTTCTTCTGATCAGGGCATATTGAAAAGAGTGGTCAGGACGTCTTGCAGTCAAAAGGGTGTAGGAAAATGGGTTTCTGAAAATGGGTGTGATGAAGGTGTGTTGGTGTGAGTCTAGGTCTGCGTGCGTGTCTATGGAAAATCAACGTAAGGTCGTCCAGGACCTATAAATACATAAAAGCCCTGCGCAAAACCCTGATCTCTGTCCGCCCTGTCCTGTCACACTACCAGAAAATTAAAGGAAAGAATGACCATTCGAAATGGTTAGGTAGTGTTTCCCTTACTCATGAATTATGCGAATCGTGGGAGTGAAGAGATAAAAGCTGACTGTCTAGCGTAGGAAGTCCGTTATACTACTGTAAATTTGCCTCTCTTCTTCGGCGTGACTTTAGCTCTTATTGAAAGAGCAGCAACCAGTTATCGGTGTTACGACCGACGACCGTCGCGCAGCTGAACCTTAGCAACCACTTACAGAACTCGCGTCTACGTACCCGGGTTGCGGCCTCATCCCGCAGCCGCCTCTTCTGTCCCTTTTCAAGCACACAAAGCTCTGCCCATGAAATCCGCAAGCTTGGGAACAGACTCAGACATGTGGTCATACAGATCGATATGCCCCAGGCCCTTGATCACAAACAGCTCCTTCGGCTCCCTCGCCCGCTCGATCGCCATCCTGCTGTACCGCCCCGTGTCCGCCGGGTCGCCGTCGTTCCCTTTGTCCGCCTCGCTGCCGATGATCATCAGCAGCGGCCGCGGCGAGATCCAGTCGATAAAGGCGAACGAGTCGTACGAGGCGATCGTGTCCAGGCTCCGCGCAAGTTGCAGGTTCGCACATCTCGGGTGCTGTCCGCGGGGGGTCTGGTAGTAATCCGCGGCCTCCGCGAATGTGTCGAGGATGCTGATCGTCGTGGGTGGGTTGCCTCTCGCCTCCGAGGTGCGTTCTCTGCCCGCCCAGACAAGTCCGGGTTGCAGAAGCGCCTGGTCTATGGCGCCGGAGGGATCCTTCATGCTGTTCCGAGTCATGGTGCCCACACAGACGCCGTTCACAGTAGCCACGGCTTTGATGCGCTGGTCCGTCTGCGCGGCGAAGATCGAGAAGCCCCCGGATGAGCAGATCCCAACAGTGCCGATTCGTTCGGGGTCGACTTCCCCATCGAGGGTCGAGAGAAACGACACGGCGTTTCTAAAGTCCTCGACTCTCTGATACGGGTCTTCCAGGTAGCGAGGCTCTCCACCGCTCTCCCCGTAGTGGGCAGCGTCAAACGCGAGAGTGATGAAGCCCTGGGATGCGAGGGACCTGGCATAGAGACCGGATGTCTGCTCCTTGATACCGGTCCCGGGGTGGCCGACAACAATGGCAGCTTTTTTGCGGTCTGGTGCGCCAGCAAGCGGATGGTAGAGGTCGGCAACGATGTTGATACCTCGGCTGAGGAAACTGATTCGACGAGACTCAGACATGGCGAGCTTAGAGGCGAGCAATGATACTCTGGAGTGTTCGAACTGCTTGAATAATAACTTTTCATTCTATTTGAGAGCAGGCCCGATGGTACTCTTTATAAGTCTTTGGCCGATCGTGGAAAGTATGCTATGGTACGTACAAATTGCCGACACGTTGACTCCCTGTACGCTCGCTCTAACAGACGGGCCAAGCGGAGTTACCGGAGTGGGGTGCAGAGCTGAACGCCACGGACTTTCCGAGACCCTTCGACCACCCACCTACATCTGAGCCGGCACTGGCTCGCTGTTCCGGACTCGAGAATCGAAGGTCTGCCTTCATATTTATCTGAATGTTATAAGCAGGCTGACATGGCTCAGCTCACCTAGTGCACTCGAGGCTGCATCACAAGTTTTGTGCAGGCACATGCCAACGGCCACCGCCATCTCTTCAAACATACCACAACAAACAGCCCTCGTACCCGAAAATACTGCTCTAGAGGTCATCTCCTTCAGACATGCACAATACTCTGATCGTAAAGCCGTAGCTGTTTCATTCCTCATTACTGTGAATGCTGCCAAATCCTGCAGCAGAAGCTGGCTCCCGCGCCGGGCTGCGAGTCCGCCCGGCACTCCGAGCTACTCCAATTGTTCCCCTCACGCTAAGGGCGCGCCAGGCAGGCGGCCGTCGATGTCGGTAACTTCAATTGGTCGCGCCTGCCTCTAACTTAGGCTCTAGCTCCATTCCTGGGCCATGTTCAAATACGCGGTGGCTGGGCTGCGTTGCGTTGTTGCCCGCGCAAAACACGCCCACACGGCAGGATGATTATCTGCTTCATAGCGGAAACGTCCCACTCCCGGCTCACATCCGAGTCCACAGAGTACGCAAGCAAGAACAGCACTCGACGGGTGTTGACAGTTGTGCGATGGAACCGCTGGGCTACCGTGCACGGATGCCAGTTGCCGGGCATCATGATGTGCCCGGCACCCCGAGGCCGCCTAAGCTTACAAAGCCAGCTGAGCACGCCGGAGACTTTATTCATCTCTCTTGATGACAACCACTGGCCAGGTTGCAAGTGCCGTGGCACGTGAAATAACCTCGGGCGATGGTGCAACCGGCCTGCTGTAACACGGCAGTGCAACGACCTAGGACCGATAGCGGATTGTTTGGGCTCCGAGGCAGGACAAACAAAGCCGCAGTGTTAGGCCAGGGACAAGGGTCATGGGACAGTTACGTAAGCAAGGGACCTTAGTCATCTTGCAGGAAGCCGACGCTTGACAGTCGGCTCGCTGACACTTATATGTCGGCACTGCGACAGAAGGTTGTCGGCCACCCAACAGAAATCTGTCGCACGACCGACGACTCGTCGTCGGCACGATGAAGGAAAAAGGGGTATACTGCAGGAGGATTTCCTAGACAGACAGTTATTACCTTTGTACTTCAGCGATTAATCTTAGTATCATTCTCACCCAACATTTGAACCAGTCACTCAATTGTCCGAGAGTAGTATCTCTTCCAAGAGACACAACAACCCGAGAGAGAACGACATTCGATAAGTGATATTGCCTTGGCTTTACCTACCTAGCAGGACAGCAACCCCGAAGCCCGACTTACGGTTGACCCCGGAGGTCGGATCGTGACACCCAGGCAAGAAGGGGGTCCTACTCGCATATTATCTTGCTCGCCAGGAGAAGCTGAACAAAAGCAACATCGCCGCAGGCTTCAAAAGCACCAGAATCTGACCAGAGAATAAGCAGAAACCGACAAGGTCCCGGTGGACGGTAGACGGTGAGGAGGAGCTACCTGCAACTACCGAAAGCACTTTTCCGAGCCAGATTTTTTGACGCCCTTTCGTACAATTACCGTCAAAACACCACAAACATCTCGCGATGTGCAGCAAATGCATATAGCTGATTCGTTGCGATCCTGCACTGGCGACAGCTACCTGCAGGAAGCTGTTCCAGGTCTTCTGGAAGGCACTTGGATACTTCAAACATCCCCCGCACCGCCGCAGAACACCAAAAAGAACGGCCCGAAGCTGCATTAGAGGCTTCCAAGCCTACTAAACCTAGAAAAGTCGAACCAGCCCCAAACAAGGAGTTTATTACGGTTGTTGAGCTGCAGCGCGCAAAGCGGCAGTTGCGCAGAGAGCTGGGGTCGGATATCAGCGAAAGCAGCGACGACGAGGTAGTAGCTGTTGAGTGACAGTGATGAAGAGAGTTGCATGGAGGTGCTAGCCAATTGATTGAAGCTTTTTCAACGACTGGTAGTTGAGTTATTGCAGAGTTAAATGAGATTGGTGATGCCCTCATGCGTCATTGGAAGATGGCCGCCAAGGGGGGGGGTGGCCGCCAGGGCGGGTCTCGACTTAACCTGACGCGCACAGGCACACAGTCAGCCCCTTACTGAACAACCACTCACGTGTGAACAGCTTCTTCTAAGGGGGGTTGGGAAAAAGCAGCAGGGGCCCTAGGAAAAGGCGAGCAAGCGGCATGGGTATGGGCATAGGATACATGTGTGTCTATCCATAGAGAGGCAGCGACATGAAGGGTGGTGGTCTTTGAAATGGGCTGAGCAATTAGTCCCGAACCACGTCGGAGGATTAGAAGCCGGGCAGTATATACAGAGAAAAGGAGAAGGGAATATTTTGGCAACGACGAATACAATATAAGAGAGCGTCACGACATGTTGAAAGAATACAAAAGGGCATTTTGGCGCAATCACGTCTACATTACATCGGCAACAGAGCACGGAAGAACTCGGGTCTTTTGATTGAATCATTTCATTTTTTTTATTTTTTTTTTGGCTAATCATTCAAAGATCAATCTTTGACATGTTCAGATCTCGACCTATGCAGTTAAAATCAAATCGCTTGTGATGCTTTCGTAAAACGGCAACTCTGGCCGTGGCGTCTTTCCTGACGCTGTGTGGGCTTCTGTTGTGACTCGCGGTCATCTGCCAGCCGGCTGAAGTCCATGCAAATGTTTCTAGTGACCGTCGCGATTTGCGATGAGCCCTCGTTGTCGGGGTGCGGTACTCGGAACGATGCCCCATGCACCCTGATATTGTTCGTAGATTGCCGGGCGACGACCGAAGCGATGAAGGTGAATGAATGGACCGCTCGCTTGTGGGAGGTTTCGTCCCATTCATTCAGCATGGTACCTGAGAACCCTTGGAGTGCGTAGCCTCACGTCGTTCGGGGCCTCGCTGATATGGCGTCGCAGCACAGCAGCTGATCGCTAGGTGCGGGACGCCAACGTCCGTGGAGGTGCCCAGCCGATGAGCGCACTCCAGGCCTCTAGACCTGTGCAACCACTGCGAACCTCAAATATCGCGGTGGCCGCTGCTCAACCGTCGCCGGAACCATCCTCGCTTCCGAGCACAATGATTGCAGGATGAAGACTTCATCGTGATCGCTGGCATTGTTCAAGTCGAGGGTAGGACCTGAGCACGGTTGGCTGTCGGCGTTCTCCTCTGTGATGGGATCGCTGTACATTCCTCACGTGTACCGTAAAGATGCCCAAACACCGAGTGCGATGCCAACAGCCAGCAAGGTGGCGAAGACAAGGCGGATCCGGACAGTGAACATCCTTCGCGAATGGAACTCATTCAGCATCGTCTTCATCGTGGTGGTCTCGTCCTCCTGGGGAAACGGGAAGTCCGGGATGGGCTCTCCAAAGAACGAGCACAGCGGCTCCCACCCACTGCCCAATTTGTACTCGAGTAGTCGTTCTGCGGGCACCTTTTCTCGGATCGTGTTGTAATGTGCCTCGTACGCTCCCCTCATATTCTTCAGTATGGCCTCTCGTGTGTCTGCCTGGAAGTATTTGGCGAGTAGTTGCCGTGCCGTCCCGTGGTCGGATCTGTTCGCTATTGGCTCGAGGAACCTGGAGAACAGATGACCGGAGGTGGAGAAGAGCGGCGTGATCAGGAGCTCGTCAGGGTAGGGTTAACGTAGTTCACAAGCAAGCGGGCCACACAAGCGAGCGGGCCACTTCTTATCGCTGCTTATGTAATGATTTTCCCACCTTTATAACTTCTTTATCTTAAGAGATATAACGTAATCCACGGGTCACCCGGCCACACGGGTCACCCGGCCACTTTTCAGGTACTCGTACGACAATGTATAAGATAATTTAACCACAACGCCTTAAATCAATTGAAACTATGAGGAATCCTCTTCTTCAGAGGCAGATACAACTTTCTGACACGTACGAGCATTATGGCCGGGCTCGCCGCAGACGCCACATCGTCGCGCGCGCGTTTCTGGCCTCCTCGTACGACCAGTATTCTGACTCGTTTCCGCCCTTAACTGCTCCGTCGCGTCGATTTGAGCCTTCAAATCTTTTGCCTGATCAATTGTTAGGGACCCTCCTTTCTGTAGCTGTTTTCTTTTCGTACGACGACGGCGGCTAAGGCGGTCGTTTGCATCTCGAAGTTCGGCGAGGTCATAGCGCATAAGGGTCTGCTCGTGTACCATCATTGTGATTCCTTTATTAAGCTGCCGCAGGCTCTCAATAATAGACGAAGGAGAGCTATTCTGGTGTCGTACGATGCGATTTTTAATATACTCTGTCTGCGATTCGGCCTCAATTGGGTTATTCGGCGTCTTTGAAACCCAAGGGGGTGGCAGTCCAGCAGAGGAACCTGGCGGTGTTGGCGTGTGAAACTTCACATCCAGCTGCGAAATTACATAATTCGGGTCGTACGGTACTAGGCCAGTTGCTCTAAAGCCTGCCTGGATGTTTGACTTTGTTATCGCAGCGTCGTACGCCTTATAAAAGGCTGGGAGGAAGTCCTCCTTTGAGATGTGGGTAATATGCGCCCGCATAAGACCCTCGATTTCTTTACCGTACGCCCGTTTGAGAGGGCTAAAGCACCCAACATCGAGAGGCTGGAGCTTATGTGATGAATGAGCAGGCATACAGAGCGTCACAATATTCTGTCCCTTGCAGTAGAGCTCGAAATCGACGGAATGGTGGCTCTCGTGGCCGTCGAGGATAAGGAGGCGGTAGGTGCCCTTCGTACGACTCTTCGTATGGAAATCGAAGTGTTTTACCCATTCTAGACCTCTCTCGTTCGTCGTCCAGCCGTTATCTGAAAGCGCGATTACCCAGTCGGCCGGTAGAGGGCTATTCGCGGTCCAGGAGTCGAGGTGGACCTTCCCTGCGAATATGATATATGGTGGGATCGAATAGCCGTACGACGCGATGCCCTGGATTACTGTAACCCATTCCTGATTGCCTTGTTGTACGGCTCTTGGCCTACCGCGTCGGTCGGAGGTCGTAACGACAGTCTCGGCGGAGATCTTGCCCATCGCGAAGCCCGTTTCGTCAAAGTTATAGATGTCGTCATCGTGGATCCCGTATTTCGCGACTATGTTTCGTACGAGCTCAAACCACGCGCGATACGCGTCCGGATCTTCGCAAAGGACCCTCTGGTAATCGATTCTTCGATTAAAACGCGTACGGAGCTCTGGTCGTCGTCGTACGAAGGTTGAGGCCCAGTTCGTCCCGACGCGTCCCGCGTCGCGTTCGCGGAGTAGTCGATCCGCCATTTCTCGCACACCACTTAAGCGCGGCGGAAACGATCGCGAATCTAGGTCGATTATGTATCGTACGATACTGTCCTCTTCGTATGAGGTCAATTTCTGGCAGGATGGTCGGATATCGCGTTTTGGCTGTACACCACGTCGTCGGTCTTGGAGGGTCGTACGAGGGACTTTGTAGATCTGCGCAGCCTTTCGTACGCTTAATTTTGGGTCGGATTGAAGCGCATTTAGCGCAAGAATAAGATCACTTTCAATTGATTGTGGTGGCATAGCTATTCGTGGAGAAAATGAGGAAAGAAGAGAAGTGGCTTAAATTGGACGAAAGTGGCCGGGTGACCCGTGTGGCCGGGTGACCCGTGGATTACGTTAAAGGTCTAGTTAAGTTTATTCGTAAACGATAAGAATAATAAAGCTAGTTACACTAAAATTCAAGATCTAAATACTGGTTTAAGTAGTAAATTAAGAAAAGTGGGGGACAGGCTACATAAGTTTCTAGTTTAAGCGTAATATATTTACTTTAAGAATTATATATCTTAGATCTTAGTAGATTATGCTTATCGTTTACCAATAGAATTCATTTTAGCTTTATAACTTCTAAAATAAAGAAGTTATAAGGGTTTAAAAATCCCTATATTAGCGGCGATAAGAAGTGGCCCGCTCGCTTGTGTGGCCCGCTTGCTTGTGAACTACGTTAACCCTAACCCTAACCTACCACCGGAACTTGACTGTAAGCGCAGTCAACTTCCTGCCGGAATGACGGTCAGGGAGCGCTGCGTAGGGCAATTCAGGGGCTTAGAGCAGTGGTCTACGTGATTCAGCGGTTTGGCGATGTAGAGATTCAGACGGTTCGACCACCATTGTTGATATCATCAATTGAAGGCTTAGCCAGTTCTTTTGGTAGGAGCTTCTGTGTAGCTGGAAAAGGCGATAGTGATATGAATGAATCCAGCTTACCCGATGTGAGTCGGCTAAGCTGAGAGAGTGTATCCAGTGTGCCTCAGTGTGCTCAATGATCTTGGCAACTGAGCTCACTGAGCGCCTGCTCTATTGGCCTCGTATCTTGTTCCTCGTAATGGCTGCCCCGCGTCCCGTGCGTGGATCCAGTTCTGCTGGCTTATCCGGGACACTTGATCAGGCTGCGTCCCCTCTCGCCTGCCCAGTGGAACTCACTCCCTGTCTCTCGTCTCTCACATTTATTATCTTCGTCTCCAACCTAATTTTCCCCCTTTAATTAATTACCCAACTACTCGCTCTCTCCCCAATATGGGCTCACGACAGTCGCGCCAGTCAGCTCGAAGGAAAACTCCATCCCCACATCTACGTGGTGGCCCCTCACCTGGTAGCCGTCGTACATAATCAGCTTCCGGGGTGTGTTTGCCACGACCAGAGCAACCTCCTCATCGGTGATCTTGGCCGTCACGGACCCGGCCCCGTCGACGAGCTCGACGTAGCGGACCGTTCCGTCGTAGATATTGCGGACAGCCATGGCGGCCGTGTAGGAACCGCTCGAGTAGGTGGTGTTGATCTTGACGCGGACCGTGACCTCCTTCGACCCAACTGTTCCGCGCGTGACGAGATGGATGAGGTTGGCGCCCATGTACCGCGCCGAGCGGCCGTCTTTGGGCTTATAAGTGTTGACGACGGTTCCGTTGACGCCGGTGGCCGACCCGGTCCGCTCGATGTTGTCGAACGTCATCCACCAGCGCTGGCTGAGCCAGGCCTGGCTCGCCTGTGCGTGGCCGATGTCGACGTGCGCCATGCGGGTCCAGTAGCGGCCGAAGACTTCGCCGACGGTGATGTTGTTGCTGTCCGGGGCACTGTCGAGGACGCGCTGCAGTGTGTGCAGAGGGGTCTCGTTGGCGTTTTCCGGATACTGCACCATCAGTTGCCTCATGGCGTCGGTGCCCAAGCCGGGAATGTGATCCGGGTTGTTGGTAAGGTATGTGAAGAAAGGCCAGGCCTGGTAGTAGTTCTGTGTGCCGTCGGGGGTAGCGTCGACGATGACCCGGTACGACTCGCCCACGACCCTTCCCAGCTCTATGTTTGTGAACCAATCCCGCCCGCTCTGGTTGTGCCTCGCCCTGGCGGCCTCGCACAGCGGCGACATGACGTACATGTCCGCGACCCAGTTGGCGACCGTCTCCCACCAGGACCTGGCGTTCTGTTCCTGCTCCCATGCCCGCTGGTGGAAGTGCAGCGCGTGACCGTACTCGTGGCTCAGGAGGAATGCATCGTTCAGGTAGGTGTCCTCGACCTGGATCCAGGAGGCGCCGTGCTCTCTCGCCACGTTCATCACGCCTGCGACCCGGCCGTCGCCGATCTTTGGCACCGCGTCGATGTTAGTCTTATAGTAATTGCTGAACCGCTCCTGGCCCGGGTAACCCCGGTTCAGGTAGTACGACAAGCCCGTGGAGCGCCAGCCATGGTCGCCGATGAGGCAGTCAAAGGTACCCTCTAGCGTCCTGAGGGCCTCGTCAACGGCGGAGATCGGGCTCCTGCTGGCGTTGTAGAAGAGCCGGAAGTGGGCCGAATCTCTGTAGGTACTGCCGCCAGGCCCCGCGTCGGGCTGCGGGGGGAAGATCTCCGGGGGCGGGCCCGGCGGGATGGGGGGTGCTAGGGTACCATTCCCTGGTGGGTTGAGATCGTATGGCGGTTCCGGTTCCGTACCATTGACCGGCAGGGTGTCATTGGCGGCTAGAACAGACCTGGCAAATAATGCACAGTTTGTTAGCGGGGATGTGGTTTCCGCCCGAATGCTTGGCCGGCCGCGCGAGGGATGTATCGCATGCCCGGAGGCGCCGGTGACGGCTTGGAGTAGAAGTGCGAGAAGAACTTGGGTTGACAGAGCCATCGTGGGCGACTTCCAGCTACGCTAGCACGTGCTCACGGCTCGTTGAAGAGGGTTGGGAGATGGAAAAAGGCAGTCTGGTAGGTAGGATGAAGCCTTTGGAGCCCAGCTTTTAACATAACGTCGAGAGGTAGGTGAGTCATTAAGATTTCTATGTTACGTGTATTCAAGGATCCATTTCTTCTCCAGCCCCGTTCGTATTGTTCCCCTGGTTTTGGTACGCTTAATTTAAGTAAACAGGCCCATTTTCATGCAAAATCGGGCCTCGACGAATGACAGACGAATACAGTGCATTAACCGAATGTCATCCCATTGCCGATCGCTCGGCCTTGCCTAAATGCGACAAATACCACAGCCCCTTTCTGCAGCCCCACGCGAAGATTGGCAGCGTCATGCGACCCATCGGTCTCTCACAACCCTGGCTTCCAAGCAACAGGCGGTCGCAATGACGGAGCTCGTGATTATGTAATGATCATCCACGCAATGATCCAACTCCGGGGATTGGCACCGGGGAGCGTGTGACACATCACCCGCACCATCAATTCAAATAAACCTCTCACATTGCCCTCATGGCGACTCGCTTTGACCTCCCCCTTTCCCACATAAGCCCGCGGACATACGCGCCACCCACCAAGGTCCAGGTCAGCCGCCCTTCGGGATCCCCGCCGGCACGCCTGAGAATGTACGGTATGCAGGTCAAGTACGAAAATCCCGACGCTTCCGCCCTGGGCTAGAAACAATGTCCTGCCGCTATGGGGTGCTGTCGCGTTCAAGATCTGGTCCCTGAGCTCTCGAGCTGTCCACCAGTCGGCTTCTTCGTGTATACGGCCCGAGCGGCCGTCACGAGAAGTCAGAGCTTTATCTCGACCTGTCTTCACAATTGTGTCCTCCTCGCCCTGGATTTGTCTCCTCCAAGGAGTATTGCAGGACTCGATCAACCACATCAGACACGGCAGAGAAGTGCTCCCGGGCCTCACTTCGACGGCCCTGGACCGTTGGCTCAAATCCCAAGCCAATCTCCTATTTGGCAGCCGAAACGTGCTTGTGCCTAGCTAGTTCTGACATGCCAACCGTTATTGTCAATAAGAAGGGAAGGATCGCCGCGCCCATCTTTGCCAGTGGGTTGGTTTTAGGCATCACGTTCTCATCCGGCAACATATCCATCGCCTATACTTTGACAGCAGCGTTGTTGTCCCCGTCCCTCGGATATTGAGACAAATCACACAAACTCCACACAACACAACCACATCATCCAAGATGAAGGTCACTCCCCTCCTCCTCCTCTCGCCCCTGGCCGCCCACGGCCTCACTATCCTCGAGCCCAAGGGCGAGGTGATCCCCAACTCGTACATTGCCGTCCTGAAGCCCCTCTTCGGCACCGCGAGCGTCGACAGCGTGGGCGCAAGCATCGAGCAGTCCATCGCCGGCGCCGCCACCACGGCCGGCACAGCGCAGGCGACCACGGAAGACCCCATCTCGCTCGGCAGCTTCGTCGCGATCCCCCTCAACGCAACAAAGGAGGCCGTCAAGGCCCTATCCGGCCTCGCGCAGATCGCCTACATCGAGCCCAACTAGAAGGTCAAGACCCAGGCCGTCATCTCCCAAAAGGCCCCCGAGAACTGGGGCCTCGCGCGGCTCTCGAGCCGCACCCCGCTCGCCACGTCGTACAACTACGACGAGCGCGCGGGCAACACGTCCTTCGCGTACATTATCGACACGGGCATCAACGTCAAGCACAGGGACTTTGAGAAGCGCGCGAAATTCGGAAACTCGTCCATCGCGGGGCAGACGGGCGACGGCCAGCGCCACGGCACCCACGTGGCGGGCATCGTGGGCTCCAAGACGTACGGCGTGGCCAAGAAGGCGACGTTCATCGCGGTGAAAGTGCTCGACGACACGGGCAGCGGCACCATGACGACCGTCATCGAGGGCCTGCAGTGGGCGCTGCAGGACGCGCAGAAGAACAAGCGCGTGAAGAAGTCGATCGCCAACATGTCCCTGGCAGGCAGCCGGTCGCAGGCCATGGACGACGCGATCCAGGCCGCGACTGTCGCGGGCCTGCTTATCGTCGTCGCCGCGGGTAACAACAACACCGAAACTGCGGGATTCAGCCCCGCGGCCGCGCCGGGCGCGTGCACCGTCGCCGCGACGGATATCAGCGACCGCCGCGCCGGGTTCTCCAACTGGGGCGCCGTGGTGGACATTTTCGCCCCCGGCGTGGACATCGCGAGCACGTCCAAGGACGGCGGGTCGGTCCGGATGAGCGGGACGAGCATGGCCAGCCCGCACATTGCCGGGCTCGCGGCGTACTTGCTGAGCATCGGCAAGTACAGGGCGCCCGTCGATATGTGCAACTACATGAAGGGGCTGGCGACAAAGGACGTCGTGACGGACCCCATGGGGAGTGTCAACCTGCTCGCGTACAACGGGGCCGTGCTGGCCAAGAAGAAGGGCACCGCCTGAGAGTGTTGTACATGTAGTCGTTGTTTCGTGCGAGAAGGCCCTCCCTGGCTGGTTCAAAGACAATTCTTGTATATATCCTAGGGAGGTAGTCACAATCACCCAGATTTCGTCAACACACAGGAATACCAAGTTCTGAGCACACTAGTGATTGTTCGCGGCCTGCATCGCCACCAAGCCCGATACGAACAAGTACGCGACGAACATTGCGTGTCTTCTCTTCTCTTTGTCAATCTCCGCGGTTCGCGATATATCAGTGCTGTTCCAGGCCACCCGGCAGGTTCGTGGACTCCCAAGACTAGACTCATTTGCTGTCTTCTCTGATTAACGAGCCAATGGGCCGATCGAGCGCCCAACAGTGGCTGTTGAACTGGGTCGACAGAACATTTGAAGGGACAAGAGGCACAAGGATGCATGTTGCAATGTACATCTTCATTCTTATTTACAATCTGCATGTCAGACAGACATCATGTGGCTGGACGATGTCACACCACATCCCTGATGGCTGTCCCGTGTCCCTGATTCCGGGGGTCCAAACTCGCGCAGCCGGGATACTTCTCAACCATCTACAACCTCGGCCGCAGCGCCCTCTTGGCAGCACTAATCACACCCGTCGAGTTACCAGCAGCGGGGACCAGAGGCAGAACCGTCAGCACCGGCGCGCTCCACACGTCCCAGTCCGCAGCGACGCTGGGCTCTCCAAACGGCCGCAGCGCTGCGACGCGCATCCGGTACCGCCCGGGTTGGATCTTGCCCGTCTGGTTCGCGCTGTCAGGGAACCCGTCGTCGTTACCGTTGCTCTCGCCGCCCGCGGACCCGCTGGTCGTCGCGAGCCGCCCGAGCCACATGTACTGCTTAAAAATGTCGCGCGGGAGGTTATACCTGGGAAATGCGAAGACGTCGGACTCGTTGTCCCGGGCCGGGTCAAAGTACGACGCCTTGCCAGAGAAGGTCCACGCCGCGACCGAGCCGACGTACCCGTTGCGCCCGGGGACGGGGGGGTACTCCCACTGCTTGGCGTCCACATCGGCGGCTGTCTCGGTTGAGCCTTCGGCACCGGCCTCGTAGATGTCCCAGCGCACCTCGGCGGTGCCGTAGCTCGTCGATACGACGAGCACGGGGAAGTCCTGGACGTCGCGCGCGAGGTCAAAGGTGTAGTTGCTCTTCTGCTCGACGGGCACGCCGCTGCCCGAGGTGAGGATCTTGGGCGTGCCCTGGGGCCGGGCAAAGACGCCCGGGACGACGGCCTTGATGTCGGCGGCCGCGCCGGCGTAGGGGATCGCGAGGGTGTGCTGGCCGGTCTTGTCGTTGCTGGCCTTTATGATGACGCGGCCGCCGTAGAGCGGGATGCTGGCGGCGTCGACGCCCGTCGGGACGGAGAAGGTGAAGTTGGCAAAGCCAGTCTGGCCGGGGGCGAGGGTCAGGGAAGGCGGCATGGCGACCTCCGGGACGATGCGAAGCGGCTTAAAGTCAAAGTACCCCTTGAACGACTCCCTACCGAAGCCGGGCTGGCCCTCGATACCTGGCGTCCATGAGTTGAAGCCCGCGGCGGGCTCGAGACTGAACTCGTACGTGACTGGCTCTGGTCCGGTGTTGGTCAGCTGCGCGACCTGCTCAGCGTTGAAGTGCGCCGTGTCGTTGAGGGCAAACTTGCGCGACTCGAAGGCGAGCTCGGTCGTGGCGGCGAAGATGCGACCCGCGTGAAGGCCGCCCGCGCCTATCTGCACGGGAGGAGCGAGGAAGTCGGCGCTGACGGACCCGTTGAGCCCGTCGACCCAGGGGGCAGAACGGGCTGTCGACATGATGCGCGCTGACAGCTGCTTGGCCCAGTCCGGGTTGCCGCTCTTGCGCCCGCCGTACTTACCGACCCAGAGCGCGGCGACGCCTGCGACGTAAGGGGTGGCCATGCTGGTGCCGCTGAGCACCCGGTAGCCGCCGCCCGTGTAGCTGCTGAGCACCTTAACTCCGGGGGCGGCGACGTCGGGCTTCATCTGCATGTCGTAGTTGGGACCCCACTGGGTGAAGGCGGCCGGTCTGCCGGCGCCGTTGGCGTCGCGGAGCCCGACGAACCGCGTCGTCTCCTTGTCGAAGCTCGCCGTCACGCTGCTCTGGTTGCCGGCCATGAGGACCTTGACAATGGCCTCGCCCGCGGCGGCGTCGATGACGGCGACCTTGGTCGGCGCGCGGTTGGTGGGTGGCACGTACGGGGTCGCATTGTCCTGGTAGAAGAGGATGTACGGCGCGTTGAGCGAGGCGAGGTTGGCCTGCTTGGTGTAGAACGGGCAGCCGCCGTTGCGGACGAGGAGGATCGACTCAGGGGTCAGTCCCGCCGGGGCGGTCGCGACAGGCTGGCACGCGTCGGCGGCCACGGCCGGGTCGAGAGTCAGGGGCACGATGGGCCAGCCGGCAATGGTGTCCGGAAAGAAGTCGGGGCCCTGGCGGCCGCTGGCGGGCAGGTATGCGGCCTCGCTGTTCTGTGCGGCCGTGGTGTTGCTGCCCGACTTGAAGGAGATGGTAAAGGGGTACGCAGGTACCATGTCCGGGGCCGTGGCGGCGACAGTCAGGACGTTCTCACCAGCAGCGCCATTGGACATGAGGAACGCCCCGTCCTCGCCGTCGTTGCCGCCGGCGACGGTGACAAGAACACCGCGGTCGACCATCCTCGACGCCAGCTTGGCCCACGCGCTGTGGGTGAAGCCGCCCTTCTCGCCGACCGACGCCGTGATGATGTCGGCGCCCGAGTCAAAGGCCCTCAGGAAGCCCTCGATGACCATCTCCTCGTTGCTCTGCCCGTACGCGCCGATGATCTTGTACGCGAGGATCTTTGCCTCGGGAGCGACGCCGACAAACTGCGCGCTGCGGCCGGCGACGATGCCGGCGACGTGCGTGCCGTGGCCAAACTGGTCGTTGGGCTCGTCGTCGGGCTTGGCCGGCGAGTTGGGCCAGTCGCCGTCGCCGACGAGGTCGTAGCCGCCAATGACCTTGTCAGACGGCGACCCGAAGCCGCCTCCGAGCGCCTCGTGCGTCCACTCGACGCCGCTGTCCACAATCGCCACCATCGCGCCGGCGCCCAGGATGCCCTGCTCGTGCAGCTCCGCGACGCCCGTGAGGCCGTGGAACGTGTAGTTGGCCGCCGCCGAGTCGTCGGCGAAGCTGGGCCCTTGCTCGGGCAGGCGCAGCGTCATGATGCTCGGCGTGTACACGGCGGCGACGGGGGCCGAGCCGGTCTGCTCGCCACCGTCGAGCACGCGCGATAGAGAGTCGGCATCGCAGGCGTCGCACTCGACCGTCAGCGCTGGGAAGAGGTCGTGGTCAAAGGTCTTGGCCACGCGCATGCCCGGGGCCGCGGCGACGCGGGCCTTGACACGCTTGCCGCAGCCGAGGGTCTTGAGCTCGACAATGAAGCGCTTTGGGGCATCGGTGGCAGTGCCGGTATTGTTGTTATTAATGTTGTTGTTGGTCGCAGGGGTCGCTGCGTTGACTGCGGTGCTGGCGAGGAGCGTTGCGGTCGCCAGCCCGGCGAGGTTGTTGTTCAGGAACCGCATCTTGATGCAGTGGTCCTCACTATCCGAAAACGAATGTGTGAAACGAGTGTAAAGCTCGTCGCAATGTCGAGCGATGCTAAAGAATGTCTGGATGGTGATGAATCGACTTCCACGCTGACTGAGGTCGGGCAGCCCAGGACATGATATACCCCCCGGCCCCTCGTATTCCGCCCGTCAGTCGAAATGAGCACCACAATGCGACATAGTGATCAATGGCGCACCCCTGTTTCTGCATTGAGCCTGTGTTGGAGTCTCGCGCCTGGGTTTTCTCCACATGTGCCGAACAGCCGCTCAACTGCCGGCGTCATGGGTGGAGCGCGGGTAAGTCACAGGGAAAAGCATACGAGATCTTGGCGGCAACCCTGGCCCCTGGGGACGGACTACGGAGGCACATGACTCGCTGCTTGCCATGTGGAAGTTCTGAAGCACGACCAAGGACACTGACATCTCCTCTCGGGACTGCAAGGCACGATCTGTCGAGTTACATCGATCGACTTCAGCCCTCACAGTTTCAAGCCCTGCTCCGAGGATGCTATTTAAAGCTGGCTCGCAAGGCCCAACCCATATGACCAGACCCTGGGTCAAGCGAAATCGGCAGCACGTGAATTCCTTTTGTGGCTCAATTGATCCAAGCTTTCTGGAGTGCATCTTGCCGTATCCGGAATGGACGGAGCAAATTCGTAACCTAAAAGAGAGCGCGTTTATTTTCTATGCCTGCCGAAAGTTGTTTCTTCCCCTGACCCTCCATTTGAGTACGAGTATCTTCTTTTTCTGTTCATTTCTTTTTTTTTCCCGCCTATGGAAGCTTGCAGCGGATCTCTTTCAATCGCACACGCCTGTTCTCGAGCTGGAGCACTAAACAGGGACATACTATTGCCCCTCGCACTCTTCCTTTTGGGGGGGGCGGACAATACATGACCAGTATTCCGGCCCACCTCAACGGAACGTGCCGCCTCCGGAGCGTGGGCTTGCCAAGACCCGTCGCGGCACGCACGGGGCGCCGGGGGACGTGCTCTTCTACACGAGAATCCCCAACTGCGCGAAGCGGTGGGCACAATAAACAGGACAGCTCCAGTGGAGAAATGGCCGCGAGGTGTCCGGTTTCCTTTGCTCGCCGCCTCGCTGCGCGCACGTGAAGCCTGACGTTAGAAAAGGCTCTTGACGTCGCAGCTTCCCCTGCAGGCTAGCATCCGTATCCGAGCCCACCCTGCTCCTCCAGGAGGCGGCAACATGAGCTGCGATAGGTGACTCCATACACGGGGCAGGCATTCCCCGTTCCTGTTCTCTGTAGAACGGAATATTCTGTGAGTGCCTCTGCCTTTCTCTAAATGAGGCAGGGACACACTCAGGGTAAAACCTGGGCCAGATATGCTTCCTACATGTTTGCCTCCGTGTAACAAAACGTGCATACGTTAGCTCAAACCGCCGCGACGTTAAGAGACCAAAACTCTAGGACGACCATCGGAGCTGTGGAGGAGAACGGGGGTGGTTGTAGTATGCGCCGCGATGGCCGTCGTGTTATTCTAGCCCAGCGAGTAACAGAGCCCTTGCACAGAGCTCCCAGTCTGGCAGCAGCACAACTCCATTTCGCAAATCTGGAAACGCCACTGCCAGGTCCGTGTGCGGGAGCCGCCGGGCAGCACGGAAGGCGATTCTCTCGAGCATTGTGCGGTTCGCGCCATTCGACACACCATTCACGCCATGGCATTATCCGAAATGTCGACGCTCTGCATGATCGGCACGGCTAAGCTGATGCCTACTCAGTCTTTCGGTACATGAGCCCGGGTCCACCTGAACCGAACCGAGCACACTCCCGTGTGGCCTCCCCTGCCGTCCCCGGCCATGGGCGCCAGTGGCGTCCGGCAGCCTCGTCTTCTCGACACACATTGCCGCGCCACCGGCCAAGTTCCTCGAGATCGTGCTCGAATCCGGCGCGGATAGGCACCTCCCCGCGGCCAGGAAGAGGTCCTGTACGGCAGCGCCCGGTCGTCGGAGAAGTCCGCGTCCGACGCCACCGAGAGTTATGAACGCGGTCCCTCCGCTTCCTCGTCCAATCCAGTGCCCCGGGAAGGCGCCAAGAAACAGAGAGCCCGTGCCTCTCCTGTCCGAAAATCGAACTCTACTTCAAAGGTCCACCTCCACGCGGGCAATGACAAGGCTGCGCGACACGCACTTTTAGAGTCTGCCGACGGCAAGGGAAACCGATTACTACAACCTTGGGACGTTCTGTGGTGCCGTTAACGTATGCCATCAGGCCATCTTCCGGGGACAAGCTGATCAACGCGCTAGAGCTACGCAGCAAAGGGCCAAAGGGCGAGGCTAAAAGCAGTACTCACGAGAACAATGGAGGAGTGAAAGAGGTGAAGAGGTGGGAATTAAGAAGGAGAAGATGCATATCAGGCTATGTCCATCAGGAACCCCAAGTCTTCAGGCCAGAAAGACCCGCTCCCAAAAGCCTCGCCCAGCGACCCAGAGTCCTGGTTCCACCAGACCTGCGCAGGTGGCGGTTGTGCTTGTGCTCCGGCCCAGGGGGGATCTCCGGGCCCGGCAATCCTCTGAGGCAGCTCCCTCGGTGTGACCATCTCCGAGTACTCGCCCCGCGGCTCCGAAGCAGCCCGGGAACTCTCGACAACGTCCTCGTCCGCGACGTAGGTCTGGATGCTGCTCGTCAGCTCCGTCGAGAAGGCGGGATCCCGCGTGTCGAATGGAGACTGCCCGTCTCCGGCTCGCACCGGCACGCTCGCGGGCGCCGTTGCTTGCAGTGTGTGGGATAGCACCTGTGTCTGGGCGAACTGCCGCTCCATGTCCTCATGCTGTGTTTTAGCGCGGCATTAGCAAAAAGAAAGATGAAAAAAAAGTGGAAAAGCAGCTTGAAACTAGGGAAGGGCGGCTTACCAGTGGTCGTAAAGTTGTCCAGTACCTCATGAGCCCGCCGGTGAACTGGAGATGGACTCTCGCACGTCCAAGACGCTGCTCGTCAAGCAGTCGAAGCGCCAGACAACGTCGTAACTGCACGGCGGCGCAGACGTAGGCTCCGTATCCAATCATCGGCCACAGTTTCGAGATGGGAGATTGTCGTGCCAGATATTGCTCCGTCATGGTTGTCAGTTTCAGAGAGTGCTCCCATGCGCGCTCCGCTGCGAGCTGCAGCATTGGCTGGCTGAGGATGCGCGTTTGCCCCAGGCAACTAAAGACTGGGACGACCGACGAGTGGAGGTAGAGATTGCACAGCTCGTATAGATAACCAAGGGAAAACATCCGGCTGGGCTCTTCCGCTGATGGACTGGTCGTCCCGCGACTGGCTGATCCCCAGTCCCACCCGGGTAACTGGAGATTCAGGTCTTCTAGCTTCTTGTCGAGGATGCAATATTGCAGGGTCCAGTCGGCCGGGGTTCCACGGCTCCCATAGATCGACCGCCCAAAATTCTGCACTTCCCACCTGTTTTTTCTGTTGTTAGGACGGGCGCAGACGAATCTTGCAAACGAGACAACTAACCAGAGTCCTTGAACAACAATCAACACGGAGCTGAACCCGACAGCAGATTCCCGGTCCGGGTAGATAATGCCTCCCTTTTCGTCCAGATAGAGCGCGCGCGAGTTGGCGGCCACGTCGTCGGCACCAACAGGCAGCGGACGTCCAGCCACATCTGCCCAGCAGTCACCCGGGAACCGCGAGTTCTCTTGGCTGGTGCATCTGGTGAGCCAACAAGCCCAAAAGCACCCCAATCCAAGCTCCTTGTGGGCGGACCATGCAGTTTTGCTGGCATCGTCTAGATGGAGCAGCCGAGACGCCCTGTAGGCAATTGCTGTATGCAACGTCAACATAGTCCGGCCATGGTCAATTCAAACAAGAGATCCTCATACATACCCGTATGCACATTCGTCCGCTTCGTCTCACCCTTCGCGAACCAGAACATGGCTAGCACTTGGCAGGCCTGCACTACTTCTAGGCAAGGCCTGTCGGCCCTCCCCAGTGCTTGCCCGCCGGCCTTTTCTGCCCACTGCTGACTGATCGCCTTCCAGTCGGCAATTGACAAATCCAGAATGTCAATCTTGCCGTGGGACATGCCGCCAGGAGTGGAGGGGAGGAAACTGAGTGAGGCAGATCATCAGTCAACGCACCAACTGTCCGAGGAGTAAAAAGAGGACGGCAACAAAGGGAGTCATCAAGTTTCATCAAGGCCAGCGAAACGTACATTGAAGCAAACGCCAACACGGCGAGCACCACGTAAGGGCATGAGGCTCCGCTCTGGTAGTTTGCGATGAACTGTCTCTTTGGAAACAGCAGGTCGGCTTGGTAGTGCCGTTCAAAGTAGATTTCGAACAAATAAAGCGCTACCTCGGCCGAGACATGGACCGGAGAGGCGTCGCAAAGAGGCACTTCCCTTGCTGAATCTGGCCGCTCGCTGGACTCGGGCCCATGGGCTGAAGCTGCCAGAGGCAGTGTTTGCTCGGGATTGGGACATGGCGTACTGGACGAGCACGAGTTTTCCAGAATGGGTGAGGGCTGTTGGACTACAGCAGACGATGACCTCTCTAGAGCTCGTTCCAAGGCGAGGCGCTTCCGGTCTGGGGGTTGGGGATAGGAGCACTGCCTGCCGGCGCGGTGGCATCGCTGGCACACGGGTCGCTCGCGACTACATCTGAGCTAATCATCATGTTAGGAGTATTCAGCAGTGGATCCGCGGTGCAGCATTCAAGCTTCGACGTCGATAAATAGCATAGACGGACCTTTTGCTTGCGGCAGCGCACGCATGCGACGGCGGTCGCGTCGTGGGTCAGGTCCATTGTCGTTGAGCGCGGGGGTCGGCCCGATGATGAAGGCAGAAGTCGGCGTGGGTCCTGGCCAGCGGGAGGCTTTGACGAGAAGAGTTGTCGCACATTCATCGGAGTGAGTGTCGGACCCGGAGAAGGCCAGTGTAGGGACGGGGAGGCATGGGAAGGGTGGAGTGGAAGGAGCCGCGATGTTGGACGGGTGGAGTACCCTGCCGTCGCGCGCAGTGGCAGTTCGGGCCGAATACGTCTTAAATGGGCCCACCCGCCTGAACGGAGCGATGTCAGCACTGCTCCGTGAAACCTTAAGTACCCCAGGATACAGCAATTAGCAAGCCACGTGATCTTTGCAGACACGGCTGTGCACTCGGCGGCAGGTATTGGAGTCTTGGATAATCTTGGAGACTGGAGCTGGCCTGGGATTCTCCATACTCTGTCCTCCATGCTCCCTCCGTGCTGCGGACAATACTGAGTTAGGGTAATGAAATTGGACCGCAGGAGAGATACCTCAGGTTGCAATCCGGGGTCCCCAGACGGCACTTGCATTCTCTATTTTTAAGGTAAATAAGGCACCTTAGGGTGTCCTGAGCTGTAGTGTCCACTTCATATAAAGCACCCTTCCTCCGCCCGAACACGAACTTATTCTTGATAACATCTCAGACACCACCGCTCTGATCTCTGATCCACGGCACCACTACCACACTCGTCGACTTGCTCCAGTCCGCAGCATCACCATGGCCGCGATCGACAACGTCGAAGCCAAGGCACCGGTGAAGACGGTCACTCCAGACCACGTCGAGGACCGCGAAGGCGGCGTCCTCCTTTACGATGAGGAAGGCCATGCGCGCAGGCTGCCCGTGCCCTCGACCTCGCCCAACGACCCCCTCAACTTTGGCCCCTGGCGCCAGCGCCTCATCCTCGTCGCAGTCTGCATCTACGGCATCACCAGCTTCGGCATCGTCCAGCTCACCCCGCTCTTCTTCGGCAAGCTGATTCCGTTGTACAAAGCGCAATCGCAAGGCGTAAGCATCATCCAAGCCACCCTCACAATCTTCTTACTGGTATGGCGGCAAACCTGAACTGACGCGCGACTACAGGCATTCCCCGCCTCTCAAATCATCGAGCTGGCCAGCTACCCTTCGCTATGCATGGGCCTGGGCAACTTCTTGTTCGTCCCGCTCTCCATGGCGCTCGGACGCCGCTTCTCATTCATCCTTTGCAATGTCATTCTGTTGGGCGCCATCATCTGGGCTGCTCTCTCGGACTCCTTCACGTCCCACCTCGGAGCTCGTTGCCTCCAGGGGCTGACTGCGGGCATTGCTGACTGCTTGGTATGCTCTCCTCCGTTCCCCAGCACACATTGACATGCAAAGTGCTAACCCCTAGTCCAAGTTACCCATCATTGTGCTGGACATGACATTCCTCGACAGGCGCAGCTCGCGGCTGGTGGCTTACTGGACTCTAACCGCTGTCGGCTCCTCGCTGATCATCGTCCCCGTTCCCTTCATCGTCGAGGCCGTCGGGGGCAACTGGCGCGTCGGCTACTGGTACTTCGCGGGATTTGCAGCCCTTTCTCTGCTGGCAGTCGTCTTCCTCGTCCCCGAGATCTTGTTCCACCGCAAGGCAGCCCAGTTTGATGGCAAGACCCACGTGACGGACTCGTACGGCACGCACCGCACATTCCTCAGCCCCGAGGCTGCCCGCGAGGCCGGGTTCGAGGTTGACAACGACAACGAGTCTGAGACGGGTGCACCGGCCACGGAAAAGTCCTACCTTCGCCAGATGGCGCCCTTCACCGTCCAGCGCTCGCCCGTCTCCAGCTTCTTTGGCGCCTTTAGGGACATATTCACCTGCCTGCTGATCCCCGGCACCTTCTGGACCCTGCTCTTCAACAGCTTGGTCTTTGGCGGTCTGGTCGCGCTGAGTCTGACCTATACCGAGCGCCTCGAGATGGACCCGTGGCACTTCTCCCCCTCGACCGTGGGCACCGTCCAGGTCGGCGCCGCCATCGGATCCCTCGTGGGCCTCGCCTTTGGCGAGCTCGCTGAGCCGACCAGCCGCTGGCTCACGCGCCGCAACCACGGCGTCCGCGAGCCCGAGCACGTGCTCCCCAACTTTGCCATCCCCACCATCTCGGCCTTTGCCGGCTTCATCGTCTACGGCACCATCGGCGCCGATCCCCACAAGTACAGCTGGGTCGGCATCCACGCCGCCTTTGCCCTCTTCTACTTTGGCTTCTGCGCAATCTCGGCCGTCACGGGCGTCTGGCTGGGAGAGCTCCTGCCCCACATGTCGGGCCCGGCCATCGTGCTGACGTGCGGCGGCCGCAACGCTGTCTCGTTTGGCTACAGCAGCCAGTTCATCGGGTGGATCGGCTCCATCGGGTTCAGGCAGACGTACATCCTGTACGGCGGAGTCCTCTTCGCCCTCGGCTTCCTAGCCATCCCCTTGTACTTCATCAACCCCCGCATCCGCAGGGCCATGCGGGACATCAAGTGGCTGCATGCTTACTGAGCACGCTGGCGGACCTGTTGCTGGTTCAAAACTAGCATGAAGGAGAGGTTGTAGTCGTTGTTATCACCGGGAGTCTGGACGATAAGGATATTTGCAGGGCCCAGCTCAGTTTGGAGGGCTGTGAGTTAGCCCTAGAAGAAGCACGGGATCTATAGAAGGCGGACAGGGAGGGCATAGCTTGGTGGTCAAATCGTATGTTTTTCTGACAATATCTTGGATATCGTTTGCGAAATTGTGTCCCGTTTTCTTGTCACTGCTGCAGCAGCACATGCCAGCCAAAATACCAGCATCCCAGTTCACAAGATGCCATTAAAATTTGATGCTGCTTTACCAAACTGAATTGCGACACATCATTTTAAAAGCGATGCCGTAAAAACGCGCAAAATATTTATCTCTGAAGTGGATCAAGGCAGTGACAAATATGTCGGTACAGGTAACAAAAGCGACGTCAACAAAAAGCATGCACGACGGGCACTTTGATATAGCATGGCGCAGTTCATACATATATCCTCCAGTAGCGTGTATAGATGGCCCCATGGAGATTTTCTATTTTTGTCTTTGTATATGATGCATGTCCAACGATCGGCAGACCACCCCCATAATTCAAGCGTCCAGCTAGTCTAGTCACTCCCCACCCCGTTGGGAAGCAAGCAGCGGCGAGCTCAACGGCGCAAGCCCGAAACTTCGCGCCGAGTCCCAGGCGCTCATGGCAACCACGTCCCCGTCCTTGAGGAACGTGAGCTTTTCGTCATCGGAGCTCCTACCCAGCGGGACGCTCCCGCCCTCGGTCAGCTCGAGCAGGCATCCCAGCGTCCGACGAGCTGGGGAGTCGTTCTGCAAGTCGTTTGTCAGAGAAGTTGTGCGCGGTGTGCACCATGTTTATAGATAGGGCTTCTGACTGACCGGGGACGAGATTGTGCCGGATCCGATGAGATCACCCGTGCTGAGCCCGCAGCCTGACGAGGCGAGGTGCGCCAGCATCTGGCCGGGTGACCACCGGAGATCGCGGAGATTAGACTGCGACGTCAACAGCGGTCCATTGCTGGTCGATTTCGGCCCTGAAAGTTTGTCAGCTGTGTGCTCTTCCTTGCATTGTGGTTTCTGTACGGAGACTGAGTTGGACTTACTGGAGACAGACACCTCAAACTCCAGATCCCACGTGGACTTTTCGTCGCTGTGTCGCAAGTGCGCCGCGCCCGTCGATCCTCCCTTGCGGAGGTCTGCCGCAGGAGACGCGCACTTGGACCCCTGGAGAGTGTCAAGGGTCGTCACCCACGGTGAGATGCTCGTGGCGAACGCCTTGCCATTGAAGGGGCCGAGGGGGGTCATCTCGGCGAACTGGACATCTCTCGCGGACCAGTCGTTGAGCAAGACGACGCCGAAGATGTAGTCGCCGGCCTCGTCGGCGCTGACGGTCCTGCCCTGGGGCAGAGGCTGCGAGAGGAAGAAGCCGATCTCGACCTCAAAGTCCACCCGCTGGCTCTGCTGGAATGATATCGAAAGGGTCTTCGGATCTCGCACCATTCCGTGGGGGCGGTGGACCGGCTCGCCGTCTATCACGACTGATGAAGCTCTACCGTTGTAACCCAAGGGCATCGCATAGTGACTCGGCGGTGTTGCTGCTCCGGCAAGCTTACTACACTGCGTCCTAAGTCAGCGTTACGCCGACGTTTGTGATGCTGGGATAATCTTGGTTGCTTCTACCCACATTGTCGACATGCACATCGGCGCACATAAAGTCTGTGAAGTCCTGGATGTTGAACGGGCGATGCATCGTGGCAGCCGCCCGAGACACAAACACGTGCTCGTTCAGGCCGGCATCGACGAACAGTGGCGACGCGCTGTTGCCGAGCCAGGACTGTAGGCCATGGCGCAGTTGGGACCTTGCCTGTGCTGGCAACGCGGCAATCCTACCGAGGTCGTCGTGGCGGCCGATGGGGTTGTTGGTCAAGTCGGCTTTAAGCTGGTGCAGGCCTATATCATCCAAGAAGGACGACTGCTCAAGCACGGAAATATCGACCACATGGTCTCCTATGGCTGCGCCGACCCGTCTCTCGGCCTGCGAGAGTCAGCACGTAATTATCTTAAACCCAATATTATCAACGAAGGCCAGGCCAGGTACGGATGGACTAACATTTTCCACAGTGCTGAAGATACCAAAGGGTATGTGCGCCAAGGTGAAGGGGCAGCCCGGTGGGACTGGAACTGGGTGTGACACCATTGTTGGGGAGCAGTGGGGCTTGGCAGACTCGGCTCGCACTTGTTCCTGCACCGCCCACCAGGGGAGGGAAGCCAGACAGCAAGAGCTGCTATTAAGAGATTGAGAGATGCACGGGGGCGGCAGGTCACGCAGGGGGCAGACTGCCAAAGCTGCGAAACCGCCGGCCCGAATCCCCCCCGCGCCGACTCTCTGCGCTAGTGTAAACGTAAGCTAAGCTGTTACCCCAGCTCCCCCGCCCTTCTCCGCATCTCCATGTGGAGATGGGGTTCGGACCGAACTTCATGGCGATGCAAACAGCCTTTTGAAGTTCGCGATTCAAACATCCATGTGGGTGTAAACCAAGCCGGTGGTTTTTGTCGCTTGCGAGCTAATGAAAAGTATTGCTCACGTGTCCGTATTATCGCCGTCTAGATTTCCTCATTCATTTTCCAGAAACAGTAGATTTCAAAGCACAACAAAGCAAAGATGCTCCACCCTAACAATAACAACAACGCCATCGTCACGCCGGCTTCAAAGCCCCTCTCTCACGGCACCGAAGACTCAACCTTGCCATCATCATCATCTTCTTCTTCTTCATCCATGGCCCGTCCAAAGAGAGATTTCCAGAGCGGCCTGCCTCAAGCGCGCCGCTTCATCACAACTCACGACGACACCGGAAAGGCCATCTACTCTGAAGACCTCCCGGAGATTGTCCCGTTCTGGGCCGTCGGGCCCCGAGACGAGCCCGCGGCCTTCGGGCTCGTCTACGCCACCACCTCGACGCCGGTCCCGCTGACAAAGGACGAGGACCTGACCACCTTCCGGCGCATCGACGAGCAGCGCACCCGGGGCGGGCTCGTCCACAGCGGCGGGTCGGCCATGCGCTACGTCGACTACCCGCCCAAGGCGAGCTCGCCCATGCACCGCACCGTCAGCTGCGACTACGCCGTCGTGCTGTTCGGCCAGGTCGGCTGCCGGCTGGACTCGGGCGAGGAGCGCGTCCTGAACGCGGGCGACGTGCTCGTCCAGAGGGGCACCATGCACCAGTGGGTCAACCTCGGCGACACGTGGGCCCGGATGCTCTACGTCCTGATTGACTCGGCGCCCGTCGAGTCGGGCGGGGTCATCTTGAAAGAGGATCTCGGCGGGATGGAAGGGGTGCCCGAGTCTCACTGACCTTGGGTTTTCATCTCGCTTGATGGTGGTTGTCACCAGTTGCAGCATTGTTGATCGGAAGTGGGGGTTGTAGACTCGAAAGCCCATCATCATTGCATGAAGAGCCCCCCCAGGGCTAGTACTGTATAACCTATTGTACAATGTAGACTCCGCGTGGGGGACCAGCGTCACATACAGATTCAAAACGGGCAACGATTCTAGAGCATTGTTGAAAGCTGCGAGACTTTCATCAGCACGGCACGATTAGTCACTGTAGAGAAAAGGGGAAACTACCATGCGTTTACAGCAGACAAATGCAAAGCCATGCGCAAAAGGAAGCAGCACATGTTTGGAGCTCCAGGATGGTTGTGTTGCACTGGCAGGATTTCCGAAGCTTGGATTCCGCCGTTTCGGAAGGGCAAAGGAGGGGCCGGGCGTATCGGGTCAGTTCCTGGGGCCTCGAGGACGTCGGCCTTCCGGCCTCGCGCTGCGGGCGCCCGGCCTGCAGAGCTGCGTCCAATGCGACACTGCCCGTGCTAGCGCAGGTGCCTTGCGACTCAAGCAACACCCGTGGCATGATAATTATGTATGCCACCCACCCCTACAGATACAGATACATACGACTCGGGGGACGAAAGTCGCGACTCGATTCTCTTGGATCCGACGGTTAGAACCCACCGGCATCCAAACCTTCCTGGGCTTGTTACGAATTTGTGTGGCTGGTGGTGCCTCGTACATGTTTCTGTACCCTGGCCAAATCAATGGTATTTAAGAGCTTCCAAGGCTGTCTAGTCAGGTCATGGGTACCTCCAGAGAGTTTTTCCAAAATAGCTGCTCTAGCTCTGCTTGATGTTCTTCCGCCCATGTCGCAAACGGTGACGGGCACACCGCAAGCTGGGAAGGGCACTGTAGGACAAGGGGACCATGTGTGAGCTGCGGATGTGTCGAAGTAGGTCATGAATCAAAGTGCAGCCGAGAGAAGCGAATTTAAGAACGAACCACAAATATGGAAAAAGAATAGGGAGAAAAAAGAAAGAGGGGGAAAAAGGGGGGGGGATCTCTCAAACAAGCGCTGGAAAAACATAAATACCAACTCATCAACGCACCAAGGTCGCATGAGACTTCACTCATCATCGGTAAACGGCGCTTTGGCGCAACGTCTCGAAGATAAGGTAAGTTTTGGAAGCCATGCCATACATGCCTTGGACAGGGCTGCAGCCATCTCGTGCAGCCAAGAGCTCGCGGCGCAGGGGGCAGCTGCTCATAGTTTCGAGTCATTGAGAGTATCGCGGGGCGTGAGAGCTTCCACCATGGTAGTCGTGAGTAACCACCAAGCAAGAGTCACAAACTTCTGTCGGATTTCAATGTCATCTGATGTATGGTACAGGAGCAGGACCCCCGCTCGCCAAGGTTGTTTGGCCCCGGTCACGAAACACGTGGCACGGTCAGTGTCAGTACCGAATAAGCTCTACCAAGACGGAGAATGCGCGTCACCGCAGCAGGGGCCTTCTTGCTCGCGGGGCTCCGCTCGCTCGGTGAGGTGAGGTGAGGCGAGGGTCGATGCACTCACTGGCAATCACTTAACGCCCGTGGATATCGCTCAGGATGAACGTAACGACTCCGTCTTGATTTGCAGCAAACAGGCGCACGCGGGGCCAGACATCCCTGCTGGTTTGCCTGTGCTGGACCCGAGCCGAGGGCGACGGTGCCAGCGTGGCATGCGCGGTGTCCCGACTCACCTGAAGATGCCGTCCGCGACGCGGCACAAACACCGTGGTGTCGTGCGCCCACTGAAATGTCTGGAGCCTGTTCCATCCTTGATGATATGTACTGATGATCGCGGACTGCTGCTACAGTACTGCTGCTAGTCAGGCTTGATCCGAGCTATCCGTGCCGTGGGTGAGTCGAGTGCTTGTCGACATGCAGCGATCATCGCGGCTCCACAGCGAAAAGATCCCCGCTACATATGTCTGGCCATATGGCTGGGAACGGTACAGTACAACAAGACGCTGACCCAAAGGCAATGTCTGGCCGGGAGCCCATTTTTCCTTCGAGCGAGACAAACATGAGGATCGTGGCGAGCTCGGCCGTTCTGAGCGGGGATGTTCTAGAAACAAGTTCGAAAATTTCCCACTAGTGGAGGAGGTATCGGATTGTGCCCCGAGAACACCTATATGTGAGTATATTATGAGTGCACGTCCCGGGGGTCCTCTCGCCTAAGCATGTAATTCAATCTTAAGAAGAGTATGCAAATCCGCGAGTGTTGCCCAGTGCAGACGGCAATCATGTGTCGAGTCTTGGCGGGACGGGGAGTCGAGCTCGCGTCTTCTGGATGGTCTGCAGGGGAAGAGCGCGCTTGTGCTCTTGAGGTATCTGACTACCGTACTCGCTTCTCAAGCTAAATGTCTATGCGCACAGCGCTGAGCAGACTGCGGCCGGCCTGGTGATTGCACACGGTAGGTCTTCCGTATCAAGCATTGTTCAAGTCCCGAGTTTAATACTTTGGTCGCGTGTGCTTTGGTGTTTTGTGTCTACTATGCAGGCCACGAGAGTCGAGTTCTGCACCAGGTCATGTACTCCCGGAAAGGTTAACGGCACTCCTGCGTCGTCTCCACATGGCTCGTTGGAGATACATGCCCATGTCCGCCCGTGTGCACGAACACACATGGCTTGGTCCAAATGCCCGACTGGCTAGGCAGCCGGAGGTGGCAAACAAGTTCATTGACCTGGAGTACGCAGCACGAGAGGTCGCTGCGTGGTCGAGACACCCGGCACCCAATTCATGAAGTTGGCGTTTCCACGAGCACGCTCAGCACTTCCACCGGAGGACCGCACAACATGTGACCCCTGTCGACAACGTGGCAACGACTCGGAGTTTACGCCCTAGCGTCCAAGGGTGGAACGAGCAACGCTGTTTCGGAACCAGCCGTGTCACCTAGTATTGCACTTCCAAGGTTCGCCTGACTGCTGAGTCCAGACGGCGACGCCTTGTGGCCGGACAGTTTGTTCGTGCCGGACCAATGTCCATGTTCAGTATGGTCACATGCAAGTGCGGCGTTTCATGCGTGATGAGCGGGCCGGCGCATCTTGGTTCTAGCCGCCTGTGAGGAAGAACCCAGGGTGATCGGCGCTATAACCCCACAAAGGCGAGCAACGGCAAGCCAGCGGTGTCTGTCTGGGCTCTGGTGTTGTGGTGCTGGACAAGACGATTGATGAGAGTCGACACCGAAGATGATGAAGAGCAGTCGTCGCGAGAGAAAAGAGCATCTCGATGGGCAGTGTCGCGGCGGAGCCATGCTCCGGACGCCCCAGGGGCCAGAACGGGCACTGGACCTCGGCGGCAGGCGACATCAGACGGACCAACCAACCAAAGCCTGCCCTGGCGTCTTTCGCGATTCTGCGCAGGCCGTGGCCAATGGCACCTGCAGTGTCTGTCGTCCGAGGATGGCCGGGTCGGCATGGAAGAGAGGTCTTTGTCAGCACCGCACGCGAGACAGGGGGCCTGCGAGATGGCATCGTGTCCGGAGTCAGGACGGAGTACGCTGTGGACTGTAGAGTTGTTGCTAGCATGGGTGGCAGCATGCATTCTGACTCTTGAGGCCGCATCGTGATGCTGAAAAAAAGGGTTCACTGTTTGGAAGGCGGGGTCCGTGCAGGCCTGCACCAACCACGCCCACCAGCGCGTGCAGCGCCTGCCTGCAACACCTGCAACGACTGCAGGACCCCTGCACGTGCAAGTGAGCACCCCTCCAGCTCCCACGTACGTTGTCGAAGTTGGCGACTTCAATTCTCGTCCGCCGAGCCTGGTCGCCGCCCGCCTGCCGCCCGCCGCCCTTCCCGTCGCCCAGACAGACTACCGAGTACCTAATACGTGACGGCCTGCCTGGAGGTGCCCTCTAACGTTAGCTATTGTCGCGATTCGTGTCTCAGTCCCTCGCTCCCTCAGTCCCTCAGTCCCTAAGCACTTCCGTCTCTGAGCTGCCTGCTGCCAGGCGCGACGGCGGCAGCCTCCGCCTGCTGGGAGCCCTCCCGCCTCTACCGCCGCCGTGTGTGCCCACCTCCTTTTTCCAGCCTCCGGCCAGTCCTCCGTTCTCCGTTCTCCTGCCTCTCGCCAGCTCCCGTCGACTCTCGTCAGAGCAGGCTCAGCAGCTCGCTTCCCTGCACGCGCGCCACACAATCGTCTGCGTGGTCCTGGCCGCCACCCTGGCTCGTACCGTGGCCAAGCATCCCCAGCCCAGTCAGAGTCTCCTCCCACTGCCAGCACAGGCCTGCCGTTGCGCACACGACTCCATCCACAGGTCAGTCCATGGGTCTCCTCCGTCATCTTCTCTCGCCCGCCGTGCCGACTGTCATCAGTCAGTGTCCCGCGCCCGGTCTCCAGCCACGGCTCCTTTCTCCGTGACCTCGCTGGGGTGAGTCTCTGGCGCCACGACTGCACACCCTCATCACCCTCTCACCCCCTCGCCGTCGAGCGTCCGAGCGGAGCCGCATGGCGATCCTCTCTCCGTTTCACCACGAGCAAAACACCTCTCCTCCCGGGAGACCTGCTAACATTCTCTCGTGTGCTACGATAGTGTCGGTCTCGCAGCTACCAACGTCACATCTGATCTGCTGCCCGAGTCTTTCGCCATGCTCAGAAAGTAGTCAATGAGGCTAGGGTCATCAGAAAAAGGTTTTCTCATCAAGGCAAGGGTGTAGTAATCTATCGCGGTGCGCACGCGCGGGCGTGTGCGTGCTTGAGTCGCGATCGTAGGAGAGAGGATGCGGGAGGTCTGCACTCTATGCTCCGGTGGGACTTAGGATAGCGAGACACATTTCTCCACGGGAAGAGTCGCGTTGATAAGACCAAACCGGGGCGTCCCACATGCGTGAAGAAGTAGGTTTGCAAATTCCCAAGACGATGGGCGTGCAGAAGGACCATACATTTCATCATCTGGTATCAGGCACGGAAACCTGAACATTTGTCAGGTTTACGCGCGGTTAGGTTAGGGTTAGTCTGGAGCCTCAGGAAAATGATGAGCTCTGGCACCAGTGGCCACTTCTGATTCCGGTACTTTGCAAAGTCTGATCCCCATCTCATGCACAGAGATCATGGACGGACAAGGAGATCAATCGTTCTTGAGCAATGTATACTCCACCCAGCTTCTCGAATTTTAGCGACTCCATGCCACTTGAAAGCAGTCCCGGCGCCACAAGAAGCATCGTGCAGGTCTTGACAGGCGTTTTCAAGGCTCGGTCGGCACCAAGACGAGGCCAAAAAGAAGCGCTGCAAACGAGACGAGACCCGTTCCAGATTGCGAGGCTGCGAGGTTCATTCTCGTGGGCACAGAAAGCTATACAAATGGCCGCTTGGGCATCATATTGCTTCAGGATTGACATCTTGAGGTTCCGTCGAAATTGTTCTCCATGGTGTCTATGCGTTGCGCGGCGGGGATCTGGCTACTTGTCGGGTACTCAAACATTTCGGTGGGACGGTGACGCTGAGAAGAGATTCCATGCCTCGAATTCTTGCGGAGAAGACGCGCGGAGGCACGATCGAGTCCGCTCTGGCCCATCTGCAGGACCAGAATCTTCACATGGTCGTGAAGCTTGGGGGGAGCCCAGTGACGATGACACAGCGGACGAGGGCGAGGAAACGGGAAACGGGTGAGAGCTAAAGAAAGATAAGGCAATGAGACGGAATACTGGATACTAGGCACGCCTCGTAGGAAGGTCGGCTTCCCCTTCACTTAATAGCACCCTTCCACACAAAGCAGCAACTTCGCAACCACATCACCCGCAAACACCAACGCGATTCTCCCATCCCCCGGTGCTCTCGCTTCATCCCACCTAAAATCGTCATCCAAGCAAGCTATCATCGCACCCCGATACTTTGTGCCCATCCGGTGCGCGACAACCCCGGCATGATTCAGCACATACGTCTGCAGATCCTCGCGCCTGTCAAAGCTCGGCAAGTCTTGCCACATGGCAATCTCAAAGAGCACCAACCCGAGCGAGTAGATGTCGTGCTTTGGCTGAAACCGCACGTGGGTGCTGCCGCGCAGATCCGGGTGCTGCCACAGACGGAGCGGGGAGTCGAGATCGCGCGTGTCAATGGTGACTTCGCCCGGCTTTTCGTGGCGCGCGACGCCAAAGCCGACGATCAGGGGCTGCGCAAAGTCGATGGCGCCGTGGCCGATGCGGGAGCGGAAGAGGAGGATGTTCCAGCTGCAGAAGCTCTTGTGGACCCAGGAGACGCTCAGCAGCGACAGGAGGCCGTCGGCTATGGCGTGGGCGAGGCGGTACCGGCCCTCGAGCGTTGGCAGCGCGTTGAGGTTGACGCGTTTGGTCATGCCGAAGCTTTCCAGACTGTACCGGCTCATGGAGGGGAGAAGGGAGAAGAGCGGGACGGGCTCGCGATTGGGATCCGCCGAGGGGGGGAGAGGGTACACCAGGCCAAACCGCCTACTAGTGTAGGGGATGTAGCCGTGGCAACCGGGGAGTGTCTTGAAGTAGGGGTGGCCCCCGAGCTAGAGAAGCACGGCGAGAGTGGCGATCCGTTTCTCGAGGAGTTTGATGTCGATGTCCGTGAGCGAATTGGGATATTGTGCCCCTTCTACTAACACAGTAGAGCCGGCTGATTGTAGTTTGCAGAGAGTGCAGGTTTGCCTTTCCTGGAAGGGTGGCTCAGCCCCGACGAGTATGTCCTTCTCCCGGACGACCTCTTTCAACTCCGAGTCCGAGATGCCTCCGCCGAGCCTCTGTGCCTTGAGAACGGCAGCGGTGTGTATCTCCTGATATAGGTCAACGTGCCCGGCCTGTGCCGCCATTGTATTCCCAAGGCTTCGCAACTCCGTCGGCTCGGCTGCAACCGAGAGCATCTTGATGCTAACAAATCGCCTGGCCACCTCGGCTCCGTTACCACACCGATTAGGGACGGGAGGATCGATTCCAGCCAGTCATTGAGATCTTTCAGCGTCTTCAGTGTCTCGTCAAGCTTCACCTTATCACTTGTATCGTCGACAAGAGACCAGCCAAAGGTGACCTTGCGGAAGAAGCTCACTGCTCGGCTCTGCTCCCGTCGAAGAGTAGCTTTCGGGGGACGTGAACCCGGGCGGGCGGCTGCCGCTGTCGTGGCCCAGAAAGGTCGAGGACAACCCGGCCTATGACAATTTCCCCTCGCACAACAACATCCTCCGCTACGAGGAAGCGCTGAATGTTGGATACCGATACTATGACCGGGCAGACGTCGCCGCCAAGCCGCTGTTCCCGTTCGGCTACGGGCTGTCGTACACGACCTTTGCCGTGCTGGGCGCCGGCATCACGCAGCAGCGCGTCCTGTTCGCGGCCGCTGACGCGAACATCGGCATCACGGTGACAGCGAGGGTGCAGAACACCGGCGGCCGCGCGGGCAAAGTCGCCGTGCAGTTCTACGTCGCCGACTGCAACAGCGGTGATGCGGCCATCGGCGGTGGCGGCGGCGGCGGTGGCCACGCCAGGCCGCCCAAGGAGCTGCGGGCCTTTGAAAAGGTCGCGCTCGAGGCCGGCGAGGTGAGGGACGTCGTCCTGACGCTGGACAGGGACTGCGTGAGCTGCTACGACGCGGCGCGGATGTGCTGGGAGGCGCGGCCGGGAGCGTACAAGGTGCTCGTCGGGCTTTCGAGCGTGGACATTACGCACAGTGTCGACTTTACCCTAGACAAGGGGTTCACGTGGACTGGTGTCTGAGCGGCTGGACGTTGCTCGGTGAGGTCTTCCCTGCCCCAGACTATGAAATCATCTTAAACAATACGCACATCGCAGACATAGAATGCACCAGAGACGTAAGCATGTGTGAGTGCATATTATTTTTGCGTGTAAAACCAGTTGTCGCTCGAACGCCGAGAGATCACATCAACCCATTCCACCCTTCTCAGCCGACCGTCTGCCCCTCGAGCTCCTTCTCCGTCCACTCCCACAGCTTCTCCGCGAGCGCCTGGTCGTAGATCTGGGGCTTCCCGCGCCCCGTGACGCCGATCGGCTCATAGTACGTGCCGGACACGATATCCTTTGCCTTCGCCGTCGACGCCCAGAGTTGGTTCAGCGTGCCCGTGGGTACGTCGACGCCGATAACCATAGAGAGGAAGACAATCACAGCGCCCGCGAACCAGTTGCCGTCCAGCAGTGTGGCGGCGAGGTTGGTCCTGACGACGCCCGGGTGCAGCGACACGGCCGTGAGCTGCGGGTTGTGCCGCGCGAGCTCCCTCGCGTACAGCGCGTTGGCGAGCTTGCTTTGGCCATAACGGGCTCTCCCGGTCATCGCTTCGCCTGTCGTTTTAAGCGCGTCAAAGATGATGCCCTCGGGCGGCCCAAAGGCATGGGCGGCCGAAGAGACGAACACGACGCGGGCGTCGCCGTGCTGCTCCGCCGTCTTGAGGAGTAAGGGCTGGAGCAGCTTGGTCAAGAGCGCGTGGCCCATGTGGTTGGTACCAAACTGGATCTCGTAGCCCTCGTCGGTGGTAGCTGCGGGGACTCCCATGATGCCGGCGTTGAGGAGCAGGATATCGAGCCGATCGGCGCCGTCGAGGATCTGCTTGGCGGCCGTACGGACGGACGCAAAGGAGCCTATGTCTATCTGGACGAACCGGATGTTCGCGCCGGGGACCTCGGCCTTGATCTTGTCCGTAACCTCCTTCGCCTTAGCCGCGTTGCGGGCGGCGAGCCAGATCTCCTTGGGCTCGTGCTTGGCGAACTCGAGGACGGACTGCTGGCCTATGCCGCTGGTGCCGCCCGTTACGAGGACGACCCTGTCCTTGAGGGACGGGATGTCGACCTTGGGGTCAAAGGCGACGCTCTTGCTGCCCGATGCGCCCATTGTGACGGTTGCTTGGTGTATAGTCTTGTTGCGCAATGTTTACGATGAAAGGTTTAAGGCGTGGAGGACAGGACGGGCACAATATCGAAAGGGGGTCCGCAGCTTTTTCTAGTTGTCTCCCGTGCTATCGAATTCCCATCATCTCATATACTCTGTATGGCCGCGAAAGCACAGGGGCATCGCAAACCATAGATTGCGGTTAGCCACCACGCAGACCGCCAGGTTGTCGGGGTGAGGCAGCAGCACTAGACGTCACTAGGCGCATCTAGTATGTGTTTCCAGCTACGGGGCAACGCTATGGCCAGGAACTTAAGGTTTGCACAAGGGAAGCTTACAAACCAAGGTGCACACGGGAGTCTTACAAATCAAGGGCGAGCATGCGAGTCATGGTGGTGTTTAAGCGCGGCTAGCCTGGGCCTCGGCACTTGGTGACCCCTGCATATTGTGCATGTGGTCATCTCCGTGCAGCTTGAAGCATTGTTCTTTGGCATGTCATTCTTTGTAGGCTGGTGATGCACTTGATGTTGAAGGCTTCAACACAACAAACTACAAATGTTACTTGAGCCATCATCTCGGCCAACATCCCGAACCTCAAGCAGTTCCTCAAGTCCTTCTTCACGGGGCTGGGATACCCGCTCAACCTCGACGACACACGGGTCTACGGCAGCTCGCACGCGGGCAACAACTACGCGCTACGGTCCATCAAAGCCAGGGTCCTGGGGGTGTGGTGAAGTGGGGGCGAGTGCGAAGATTGAAGCAACGGAGATGCGAGCGGGTGTATCGCTCTAGTGAATGGATTAGGTACAAGAGCAAGCACGCGAGACACAACCTGTAGACTGCGATACTACATATTCATCTGGGGGCTTTGCGACATACGGGAACAGTATTTACATCACTCGTTTCCGTCTCTCAGCGCACTAGGGCTCTCTTGTACATTCTAGACTTGGACCTCATAGATTTGCTCAGCTAGCCATTTATAGAAAGAGTTGCATACATTTGTTTGACATTACATACTGTTCATTGAGAACTTGTCTTGGAGACCCTCCGTGATCCACCACACGCTCTTCTCCAGCCGTTTCACCAGTTGCCCTCCGACCCTCCGGGTATGTCCAGCATCTGGTTAGTGTTGACCTGTTCGACATATACCTCTTCGTTTGCACTGCCAGATGGAGTGCTGCTGCCACGTGGAGTCGGGCATATTGTCTTCCAACTCTCTAAGGAGATGACAAGCCGACTCATTTTATAGGCTGCTCGCTGGTGTTCGACACGAATTGATAACTTTTAAAATGATCTGTGATTATTTGTTAACTTGTGTCTTGTTTATGGCGCACCTCTCGCTCATACAAACAATGCTTAGGGATTAGTTGGGGTTGGCATAGTCGTCAGTTGGAGTAGTGCTAGGATAAGGTCTTTCTTAAAACCTTCGATATGGATGTCCTCCATCATGGGCAGCAAATTTATCAGGCGGGATCTTCGTTTGCTCTCCGCCCTGTGCTGTTCTGTCTTCCAAATGTGTCGTCTGAATCGCTGACACAGCAGGTATAAGTCCTCATGGTGATAAGTGTTCCTGATTGACTTAAGCGCTACGTACATCAGGCATTGTGAACGAGGTTTGCCTGCCGTATGTGTTGCATGCTACCGCTTATTGCGTCTTATGAAGCACCGACAAAGCTTGCTGGCTGTGTTTGCTCGGTTACGCTCGTTACGCATTGTTGGCCCTCGGCCTTCCAAAACCACCACTCAGGGGTGCTGTGGGAGGCATGCCAAATTGTTCACGCCCTCATCGCCTTGATCGATTGTATGCCCTGTTGCACATGACTCGCCTAACTGACTTTGCCCTGCGAATTGCAAAACTTTCCAGGACGTCGGCAAGACTTCGTGTCTTACGAATCGTAACATTCGAGGATAGCCAGTCTTGCTGTGGCTTCACATCACTGCTTGTTGCCAAGACCGGCCTGGCCTAACTACTGCGGTCTATCTAGAATGGTATGTGGAGATGAGCTCGGCGGGCCGGGTGCTGTCGGCCACCGAGCGCTGAGGGGTCCCTGCATGTCCAACCCGTTCTCCAGGGGTGGTCATCCGGCATTTGCGCATTCCGTCTGGCACGATTTTGACAGTTGGATCCACATCACAGTAGTAGTGCATCACTATATCAGGATGGCAGTTGGTCCACGTTAACTCTTTCACTGCTAAGTATTCGTTCACTACAGTTGCATTCTCGTGACAGAACCTGGCCCGTTGACCACCACACTCATGAGTCTCATCATTGTGGGCTTGGCCCTGGTCTCGTTCCTCTGGGCGGGGTCACAAGTGCTTTTTCTTGTTCGCAACTACAATGCCGCAAAGTCGATGGGCTTGCCTCTGGTTGTTGTGCCATATGATCCCGATGGTGTTAGTCTGGCTCTTGTTCTGCCCATGCCGAAGACACGATATCTGACATCCACTTTCCCCTCTCTAGTTCATTTTCGGAGTCGTCTCCGAGCCGCTGAAACCACTCCTCCGCCGGATTCTGCCCGCCTCCGCTCGGCGTGCCTTTGATCTTACACTATGGGGCTGGGAGTTCCACGACAAGAGCGCCATCCACGAGCGGCTCGGTCCGGCTTTTGTCATTGTCACGACTTCTCTGAATCGCTTCGTTACTGCTGATCCGGCCATGGCCAACGCCATCCTTGCTCGTAGGCGCGACTTTGTTCATCCAGACGTGACGACCAGCGTCATGGGGTTGCTTGGCCACAACCTCGTAACTGTAAGTGAACAACAGCCAGCATAATCTTGCCCCGAAGACTCGGCTGACGCAGTCATCCTGGGAAACAGTCTGTCGACGATTCCTGGGCTCGCCAGCGCCGCATCGTGGCGCCAGCCCTCAACGAGCGGATCAGCTCTGGCGTTTGGGCCGAAAGCAAGGAGCAGGCCAACGAGCTCGTCGACGCCTTGCTCTCTTCAACAACCACCGCCACCGGAGATCCGTCTGCATCCACCAAAGAGAGCATTACCGGCCTGCGAGCCATCGCCATCAACGTGCTCAAGCGTGTCGCCTACGGCCGGCCCGCACCCTACGTGCTCCCGTCAGAGTCGGCAGCCAAGCCCGCCCCGCACGCCGACATGACCTACGTCGACGCCATATCGCTCTGCACTGAGCTGCTGCTGTTCGCCGCCTTTGTGCCGGGTGCCATACTGCGCCTGCCGATCATGCCCTACTCCATGCGCAGGCTCGGCATCGCCCTCGAGCGTCTCCCGAAGCTGACGAACGATCTCCTCGACAACGAGCGTCGGGGCAGTGGCACCACCTTGACTAAGAAAGACGTAAACTTGGGCAGTGTTGCTACTCCAGCCGCCCCGGACACCATCATAAGAACCCTCGTTCGCCTCTCGGACGAAGCCAAGGAGCAAGAAAACAATTGTGACCAGGGGAACCAGACCAAGGAACCTGACAGCGGAACCGTCGGCAGCGGGAAATCGCAGTACCTTTCCGAGGACGAGATCGCCGGGAACCTGTTCATCTTCACGGCAGCCGGGTTCGACACGACTGCTAATACGCTCGGCTTCGCAGTGACGCTACTCGCCGCACACCCACAGTGGCAGGCGTGGGTGCAGGCCGAGATCGACGCCGTCCTCTACGCTGGGGGCGGCGGCACCGGCAAAGAGCTGCAGCTGCCAGATTATGCGGAGGCGTTTCCCAGGCTGCCGCGCTGTCTGGCCCTCATGGTATGTGCAATGCATCCTCGAGTCTGAGGAATTATCCGTGGAGATAGGATGATGAAAACTTGCCCCTTTGCAACAGCCGCTGATAGATTTTCACTGACAAACACAGTTCGAGGTCCTCCGCCTGTTCCCAGCAGTGACGATGCTTATGCGCTCGACCAGCACGCCGCAGACCATCCCCTGCTCCCGTGCCTACTCGACTTCCTCCTCCGACAACGACGATGATAATGCCGAGCTATCGACAATCACTATCCCTGCGCCCTGTGCCGTGTACATCAACACCATGGCCCTGCACGCCAGCTCTTCCGCGTGGGACGACGCATCCGAGTTCAACCCTGCGCGCTGGATCCAGCGCATCTCCACGGGGAGCAACGACGACGACGACGGTAGCGACAACGATGGATCTCGAGTAAAGGCAGTAAACGAAGAAGTAATAGTGGACCACAGCGCAGTCCTCGGTATCCCGCGTGGCGGGTTCCTCCCCTGGTCCTCGGGCCCGAGGAAGTGTCCCGGGCAGAAGATGTCGCAGGTCGAGTTCGTCGCCGTCATCGCGACTCTCTTTGGGCGGTGCAACACCGAGCCCGAGATCACCGGCGGAGATGCTCTGGGTGGTGGCGCGGAGGAGGACATGGAGAAGAGAATGCAGGCCGCGAGGCAGAGGCTGCTTGACCTGACGCAGGACAGCCAGCCGCTGTTCACGCTGGCGATGAACAATCCGCGGGACGTGAGACTTCGATGGACGCCTCGGTAAAGCGCAGGCAAGATGACCGTGGCTTCAGGTGCGCCTGGGGCACGGCATCGCGTGCAGCTGTGAAGACAGCGAGGGGAGCTGCATAAGCATTGCATCGCGGGAACCTTATGTGTCGACCATTGATATGTTTACAAGCATGGTACTACAGAGATTACCAGCTGCAATCACTTGATCTAATTTGTAGGCCCAAAGACCGACGCGGCCGTAGTACGGCTTGTGCGGAAAAGGCGAAAATGTTTGATGAAATTAACAGTAGACTCTGTTCCAACTATAAAACTTTAATTATTATTTTTTAGCTCAATCACGTTATAACGTGACAGTATGATATTTCGGTACTTAGGGGACCGCGATGTATATACCTGATATGCATTGGTTGCACCACCAGGCCAGTGTGGCGAGTGGGGTCAAGAGCCTGCGCTGCATTTCAAGCGCAATGTGACAGGACTTGGATCCTTGCTGTTGCTTGGATTGCGGCGACGCAACTTCTTCTCATCCCAGTGACCGGAAGTTGCACTACATTTTGATCCCCCATCAACCAGAATTTGTCACTTCAAGTGTTAGTGATCGGACTAAGCTGCAACGAATGTGTCTCGATAAAAAGCACCATGGCCATCTCAGACAATCCTACATAGATGAGGTTATTGAACAATGTAAATATCAACCATTCTTCATGGCGGCCCATGAACGACTACTCTACTCCATCTCTATCATGTGCAACTCGCGGCCCTACCTCAGTGCCAGTACAGTTATCTCGGTACATCTCGCGCCCCAGAATCCAGCTCCTTACATCTCCAGTAGGTCGAGAGTCTACTACGGGTTCTTGTGAGTTACATAGGTCTTCCGCTTGCTAGTGTCATCCTCATTGACCGTAGTAATAGTGATGCCCTTGCCTGCGAGGACGGGGTACTCTTCCCGGAGCCAGAAGGCCCTGGGCGCATTCCCGGGCTTCATCAGCACGTACGTGGTCCCCGTCGAGTGCTTGGCCAGCACCTGGCCCATGCGATTGATGACCTCGCGCCCTTCGTCCGGGTTGTCGTAGCACGAGCCGGACCAGTTCTCCTGCATGTCCGGGTCGTATACGAGACTCCACGCCTTGCCGACCCACTTGTCAATGTACTCCTCGCTGGGGTACTCCTCGTCGTCGCGCTTAGGGTGGCGGAAGAGGCTGCGCGGGGCGGCGGCGGTGGCGGCGCCACCGGAGAGCGTCGAGATCGCCTTGGCTGGAGCCGCATCTACGATGAGTGGTAGAGCGAAGAGGAGTGTTTGCGTTATGATGCTAGAGAACTTTATGATTGCGACGTGTTGGAGTGTGATTGCAGTAGAAGTCCTTTATGGCTGATGGTTGAGGGCGGCCAGTACCGAATGAGAACTGCTGGGCTGGAGGATTTTTGAGTGTTGCGCTGTTTTGTGGTGATTATTCAAGAGAGACTGAAGCCGGGTGGTGCAGAGCATGGATTTATACGTTGTTTAGGCATTGTTCAATTCGAAGTTAGGGTGTTCCGTTTGCGAACGATCTTGACGTTGACCTCATGTCAATCACTAATATCTTGACTTTCTAAAAGAGTATTGATGCCGTTTGAAGAACTGATCTGAGCCTATGAGCGACCCCTGAAGGCCCGCAGACGCAGCTCACAGCTCTGTCTGGCAGGTTTTAATCCTGTGGTAAGTCGCAATACCTTCAAATGAGCTCACAGTCTCTGCATCTGCGTGTTAATCGTAGCTTACGGAGGCTTCCCGTCTCTGCTTTGGAATAATCTACAATGTCAGAGTGTTACCTTGGAGAATGCAGCGATCTATGTTAGGGACGTTAAGCTGATCATAAATCCTGGCTGACGTCACTGTCTCTTAATAACCGTGTCGAGAACAGGTGCAAAACTGGGAGAGGTAGGTAAGTGATATTTAGGACAGCTTTAAGAATGCTCTGATCCTTCTCGGGGTAGATCATTGCTATGCAAGTTCTTTCCGAATCAGGACAGGCTGAGCAGCAGACTATGAGCCGATGATGGTTTTGATCGGGCTGCTTGAAGACCTCTTTCCTTTTTTTGCCCCTAGACAAGACGGGCTGGGCTGGGGGTTAAGGTTAGACCCCTGCTTGGGGCTGTCGTGGGTTAGCTGACTTTTGGCTGGCCGGAATGAACTCAACCTGGGGGTACCGGAATGAACTCAATGGCCCGTGCGCCCCACCCCCTTGCCCACCAGGAATGCGCGAAAGTGAGGGCTTCCCGGCGGAGAATGATGGTCAGGGCTTCCCTAGGATACTACTATAAAGTGACGACCGGCTACGGAGCGGTCGTTACTTTCTAGTGCTGAGGATGTTACTAGAAAGCAACGACTACTCCATAGCCGGTCGTCGCTTTCTAATGCTGCCATGGATACTTATAGGGAGGAAGATTGATATATAATGTATTCTGTGGATCTACATTGTCTACACTACTCTAGTCCCGGGATATCTTCCCCCTCGAGGTCGCTCATGACCACCCAGTATTTCGCACGCTGCCTCACTCCGAAGCTCTGCAGCTTAACGCTGGTACATATATGCTCGGGCGTTAGATTTAACTGCGATGCATTGAAGTGCGTCGCTCTCCAGTGCGAACGTAAGACGCTGTAGCTTAGTGTAAGAAAGCGGCAACCCGTACAGCAGAACCCTTTTAAAATAGGTAAATAGCTCACTGGCAGAAAGCCATCTTCCGGGACGGGGATACTGTATGGGTCGGCAAGTGTTGGTTGGGAACAATTCCTGATGCTTTGTTGTAGTGTTGTACCCTTGGTCCGGTGCTGGCGACGGAAATGTGAAGCAGCACCCTTGCCTGGCAGGATTCCCAGCCGACAGATAAGACAGACTGCGATGTTATAGTTCGGATCGATGTAAAGTAGATCCTCCACCCTTTGCAATTGCTCACTAATCCTCTCCCGTACTGTAGCTTCGGTCTCAACGTTCTCTTCATTTGTTTCCAACTCGTAGTCCAGCACGCCTAAGGAAACTGCCGTATCCGTGTGGGAAGTGCTAAACTCTCTTGGCTGAGGACTATCCCGCTGTTCGTCCATGAGCGGGTGGAGCGTCGTGTACGATGAACGAGCGGCAGGAGGCATTCGTCGACTTGGCTGACGTAAGAACTCATGCCAGCGAAACGACGCCCACTCATAGATACGTAATAGGGCTGGCTGGAGTTGCGTGGGGAAAGCCCCATCGAGTCCGTATGTATTCGCGCGCTGCATAGGGCGATGGCTGCTCTGCCAGGCAAAGACGGCATTGATGCTCGCGTCTGGACTTATGTCATCGTACCGGTTAAATGGCGTGGCGATTTCCGCGACCTGCTTCTCCGTTATTCCAATAACAAGTTGTCGGTACAGCTGAGGGGTCACACAAGTATCCCAGCATATGGATGTCGCCTTCCTGAAGATAGCTGAAAGTTTCGACGCGTCCCAAGGCCTTAGACCATCAATATCTGAGGTAAAGAGTAGAGGCGACGAGACTATGCGCTCCGCTGATGATCTCTGCATGAAGGCCGGCTCTTGTCTCAGTCTTGTAACGAAGGGACGGATGTACGCCAAATATCGGAACACAACTCGGCCGACTCGGAGAGGAAGGAAGCGCGCAACGTTGAATTCCCGATTGGTTGAACGTTTAGCTTTGTGATGCCGTGTAAGCGTCATTACCGAGCCGTTGTAGATGTATAAACCGCGTTCACCAAGTGCGCTGTTCTGGTATGTGAGACTAAAAAGCTCTGGTGATCGCCCAGTCTGGCCGCCTATCGTGTGGATGCAGCCTGCAAGGGATTCCAACAGCCTCTCTGCCTTCCTTTGGTATCGTAAGACTGCGCTTGCTTTCCATATGCCGCTCGTCTCGTCGAACAGCCCAGAAGCAGGAACACAAGCCTGCTTGAACAGCTGAACGTAGGCATGGGTCAGCTTATTATAGAGATGGCTGACGAAACTGAACCCATCTATAGTGTTAACTAGGTCGTCCTTGACCTTCGCGAGATCAACGTCCACCTGTAAACCAAGCATAAGCTCCTCGCAGAGCTCCTCTGCAAGCTTAATGAAGTATGCTGACAGCTGTCGGAAGGCGCCCATAGAGATAGTGAAGGAGTCTCCGTACGACACAGTCTGTAAATCGTCACTCCAGTAAAGGAAATAGGATGGGGTGTCTGTTCTAGCTATCACTCTCCCGTAGTCACGGAGGCTCAACATCTCGGGTAGGGGGGTCATTGACTTAGTTAGCATAAACCTATGTCGTACGGAATCAAGCCGCTCAAATTGCCGGTATCGCGGACGCTGAGGAATTCCGATGTGATCGTATGATTCGAGAGGGAGGGCATACTCCAGGAAGAGAAGCCGCTGCACATAGATTAAGGCTGAGAGGGTCGGAGTATACAGCCTTGCCGTTCGAAACCCTTGGCTATCGGATTTAATGCCGAGAATACTACTGAAGAGACGAGATGTGTTGAGTTGGGATGGCCGTCGATGAAGTCCTCGGTGCAGAAAGTGATCGCTAGCTTGAAGAGTAATTCGAGAAGTCGGCCTAGTGGTGGTTCGAAGAAGCTGGCCTGATGCTTAGGGATACTAGTGTTTTGGACACTATCCCCTGTTTCGCTCTGTCCGTCGCTGAAATCCGAGTCGCTCAAGTCCTCGTCAAAATAGTCGCTCTCATCTTCGTCCTCGTCAATATCTTGACTACTCCTCGTACTCGCCCGTTCGAAATCAATCTTGGCGGCTTGCTGATAGGTAGTAAATGACCGTTTTCTCGATTGTGGTTTAGCCGAGGAGAGGTTTGACGTGTTATGTTTCTGTTCTGTTTTATATTCTGGATGCTGGCTGGTTTTTGTTGCAGACCGCTCCATCGTAGGGGTTAACCGTGGCTGACAAGCCGGTTTCCCGGCTAGAATCCATCGAAGAAGCTGTTCCCCACTCCAGGCTTCGTGGAACCAGATAGCTCGAAGTAGCTGCTGCTGTTCTGAGTCAAATCGGACGGAGAGAAGGTCGTGACGCTGAAAGTCTGGTAAGCGATAAACACGGAAGACGAAGGCTATGAAACGCTGGAAGACCTGCAGATATCTGCGTCGGCTAGACTTTGCTGATACTAGAGTGAATGGCTTTGGATATATCTTATCCGGGTGAAGGCTCCGGAACCAGCAGAGAACCGAGCGGGACGTTCCGCGGGCTGTCTCCTCACAGCGAGAGAGTATCCAGTCGGCCATAGTAATGAGCCCAGATATCTTCACCTCATCTCCTCGTGTGCTGATGTATGGAGCGGTCGCAGGATGGAGCCCCTTTCCAAGGTGCAGGAGCCTAGTAGGCGGGTTCGAAGGTGTAGCTGTGAGGGCTACTAGTACTGCACAGTTGGCGCCCTCGAAGATCTGAGGCCATCCCGTCCGGTCAAGCCATGGCTTGCTCTGAGAGATAGCAGTCCGTTTATCATGCGGGTCTTTCCTTGCTATGTCGAAGTCCGAGACAATAGGCCTTCTAGGCGCCTTGGGAGAATGCCGTTCGGGTTCACGGCCGGGCACTGGCCGGACTGTACTCCCATCTGCACCAGTAACGGTCCAATATCGTCGATCAGGCCCGCCCGCCCAAGACTGTAGGTAAACGTCGTCGTAGAGCAGGCCGATTCGCGGCCGGGTCGCGGTTTCCCCGTCGAGGTGGTTGTGAGAGAGGTGCCTTGTAAGCTCGTGGAAGCTAGTCGTGAAGAAGACGCACTTGCGGCAGCTGAAGCCATCATAGATCTGGAGATCCGGATGTGGCTTGGAACCACAGGGAGGTAGAACCGCATCTGTAGGCCTGCGCAAGCCTTGAGGGTAGTTGTCGCGTATATGCTCTGTAAGTCCTAATCGGTCGGCTAGCGGAACGCTGTGCTTGTTCCAGAGATGTGCAGTAACCTGGGCTCCATGTGGTGAGATGGCGTGTCGGCACTCGGGTCTACGGCAGATCAGAACCTGGTACTCTAGATCGGCGTAAAGTTGTAGGTAGGTAAAGACCTGGTCGGGACTATTATCGCATTCCGGCCTCGTCGCTGATCGAATTGGCGATTGGTTCCGCATCGTCGTACTGTAGGTCGTCTTCTAGTGCCGGCATTGTGGACTGTCGGTGGGTCGTATCTGGGGAAGAAAGACAGTAAATTTGGGGTTAAAAGTGGACTCAAATCCGCTGGGGAAAGGGGCTGGAATGAGGTGGATCTACTACGTGCACAGACCTTTCGTAGGATATGACATGTCCTACGTGGGAATGAGAAGGACGTTGAGGTGTGCACGGTCGACACTGCATATGTGGGGCATATTAGACCCTGGAAGTTGACTCAATTACGGGGTGGAATAAGACAGTAGGAAGACAGTTCTTGCGCTCGCACATTTCGATCAATGCGGGGATGTCCTTTGCAGCCGAAAGACGTGCTCAGCACTCTCGTTCCAAAAGCCTTGTGGCCTATCATAACTTTTTCTGGGAAGCGTTTCGTTGCGAGTCCTTCTGGTCCTTTCCATCGTATTGGGACGGAGGGAAAGTACTCCCGGTGTACCATTATCAGAGAAATGCTCCGCAAAATGTGGAGAAGTACATAGGCACTCGACGCCTGATGGTTCTCATGCCTACGATAGTTGGATTCCGAAAACCGGAAGGCACCGGGCAGAGATGCATCAAATTGCTGAAGCCGTCGATTGAGCTTGTAGAAAGCCGTCCGCGAATCCCAGGGTGGGTGTTTTTCTGTCAGGCGGCCACCATCCGAACTATACCGGGAGATGTCCCCACAAATGTCGACCAGATGGATAAACCTGCTCAGTATACTGTCGTCATTGGTTTGGCGGGGCTCTTCTTGCTCGCAACTACGCGAGGGCAGCATTCCCGTGTTAAGCTCGATCTCTAGGTCAAACTTATCCTCGGAGCAGGGCAGTTGAATGCAGAGGTCCTCACGTTGAATCATGGTGACCCTGCCTTTCCCACACGCAAGCATGCGGTCCAGCATAAAGCAGCCAAACATAGTGCGCCGCATAATTTCACGTTCGAGAATCAAGTGCGGTTCCCGGGAAGGATCTTGGCCGGCACGTGCGTTTGCTGACCCGGTCGGCTCATCCACGAGGCTCAGCTTCAAGAACTGAGCCAGTCTGATGGCACCACCGATGGACATCCAGGCTCCAAGGGCCCCTGGTTGTGGTCCTGTCTGCCCCCATTCATAAAGCCCAAGCATGAGCATAGCCTGTACCCGCTCAATAGCAGCGGTCTCCGGGGTTGAGCCGAGGGTCATAGTCAGGATTTTCGCGTAGTAATCGGAAGCGATAGAAGGTTCGACTTGTGTTGCATGGGCCGTGACCGCACATTTCCTGGCTGACTATCTGTGACATTTGCCACATATTTGACCAGGTCTGCATGGAATCGCGCTGTCAAGCGAGAACTCCGAGAAGTACCAAGTTGAATTCCGGAGTAACTTCGGTTACGCCGGGTAACCTAGATGAACTTTATACAATAGGCGTACACATGTTTGAAGTAGTTGATAAATTCAGCGTTAAAGTCGGGTCTATGTCACATCTGACTGAACTCTCGTCATCTCTGCAACTGAGATGAAGTACGTCTACTACGCTTCCAGTCCTTCTCCGAACGTGAACACACTTATTGGGGCCCGGGAATCGTGATGGCCCCAATCTGGGCAAGCATCCCAAAGATATCCGGAAGCCCGCGCTCCTCAACAATCTTGCCGTCAGCAAATCTGTAGATGTTGAAGGCCTGCGAGGTGATCTGCTTGCCCGACGTCGGGGTACCTAGGAAATCCCCCTGATGTGTGCCCGTGATGCTGAAACGCGCGACAACCGAACTCATCCCCGCATGCGGAGAAGTGTGCGGAGTACTGGGGCTGTTTTCTCCACATCTGGGGCAGTCGGCCTCGAGAGTTCGGGCCGGCGGTTCGCGCCCTCGGCCGAACGCCCCCTTGCTTGGTCTTCCGCGCCGTGCATCTCTTAATCTCTTAATAGCAGCTCTTGCTGTCTGGTTCCCCTAGTGGTGGTGGTGCATCAAGGAGTGCGAGCCGAACTTGCCAAGCCCCTGCGCATCCACTACTCGTCAAAAATGGTGCCACATCCTGTTCCAGTCCCTCCGGGTTGCCCCTTCACCTTGGCGCACATACCCTTTGGCATTTTCAGCACAGTGGACAATGTTCGTCTGCCTACCCCTTTAAAACCTGACTGGTCCTTATCAAGGACAATGCATGGCCTCTGAAACAAGTACTGACTCTGACAGGCCGAGAGACGGGTTGGCGCAGCCATAGGAGACCATGTGGTGGATATTTCTGTTCTCGAGCAGTCATCCTTCCTGGACGATATAGGCCTGCACCACCTTATAACGGACTTGCGCAACAGCCCCATCGGCCGCCACGACGACCTTGGTGGGATTGCCGCGTTGCCAGCACAGGCAAGGTCCCAATTGCGACATGGTCTACAGTCCTGGCTCGGCAATAGTGCATCACCACTATTCGCCGATGCCTCCCTGAACGAGCGTGCATTTGTGTCTCGAGCGGCTGCCACGATGCATCGTCCCTTCAACATTTCAAATTTTACCGATTTCATGTGCGCCGATGTGCATGTCGACAATGTGGGTGGAGATCAACAACCCCTGACTATACCAATAGTATAGACTTTGGCGCGTAATGCTGACTCAGGACGCAGTGCAGCAGGCTTGCCGGAGCAGCGACACCACCGAGTCACTATGCCATGCCCTTGGGTTACAACGGCAGAGCCTCGTCAGTCGTGATAGACGGCGAGCCGGTCCACCGCCCACACGGGATGGTGCGAGATCCGCAAACCTCCTCGATATCGTTCCAGCAGAGCCAGAGGGTGGACTTTGAGTCCGAGATTGGCCTCTTCGTCTCGCAGCCGCTCCCCCGTGGCAGAACCATCAGCGCCGACGAGGCCAGCGACTATATATTTGGCATCGTCTTGCTCAACGACTGGTCTGCCAGAGACGTCCAGTTCGCCGAGATGACACCCCTCGGTCCCTTCAACGGCAAGGCATTTGCCACAAGCATCTCGCCGTGGGTGACTACCCTCGACACCCTCCAAGGGTCTAAGTGTGCGTCTCCTGCAGTCGACCTTCGCAAGGGAGGGTCGACAGGCGCGGCGCACTTGAGGCACAGCGACGAAAAGTCCACGTGGGATCTGGAGTTTGAGGTATCGGTCTCCAGTAAGTGCAAATCGGTCTCGGGGAAAACCCACAAGGCAAGGGCATGCCAGGCATTGATCCATGCTGTGGCCTTAGTGGAGAAGATTTAGGCGTGCTAGCAAGATGCAAACCTCTACACGGAGATACCTGCTCAGGTCGATACGATTTCGCCATGCTGGAAATGGACCCGAACTGTGACAGCTCATGAGCAGGACGACGTACGCTGTTGAAGTCTGCCTCCGAATCACGCTCCACAATCTTGTCAGCAATTTTGCAGAGCTTTATGTACTCAAAGTCCATAGGTTCATACGGTATGGGTAAGAATACTTGTATATCATATAGCTAAACAAATGCTTGAGACCATGACCTTGCGTATCTCAGTTCGAGAGGGTTTCCGACTAGATCATGAGTTTATTTCTTTTTGCCACATCGCCGAGCTAGCACTGACTGAGGAGCGAGCGTTTCAGACCACATAACCCATTACCCTTCGAGCGACCACTTGTGGATCCAATACCCAATGCTCTTTCAACTAGTTAATAAATAAAGTGGCATTCAGCCCCCAACTAATGGTTCTGTTCGTGAGTAAAGTGGGCCGGCAGCTGACTTTATCCGAGCCTCCAAATATGAGGCCCTTATAAGCTCCAACCAATCTTGCTTGAAGTCGGTCAGCAGCAAGCCTAAGGACGGGATAACTACAATAGCCAGGACAAACCTAGGTCAATCTCTGCTAGTATTTTGTTTGATGACGGTGGTCTACAACCGCAACTATATTCCGCTCTTTCCTTTGTGGAATTAGCGACGTAGCAGGGACCGCAATAATTATGAAATCCGTGGCCAGGGTCACTACAACACGTTAGTACTCAAGCAATATATTCAGTATTACACCTACTCATCGTATGGCCTTAATGATCCATTAAAGTTAGCAATACAAAGAGAGAGATCCAGCATCGACCAGTGTTTAACTTTGTTATCATCAGGGCAAAGCGCGACAATTTTGTAGTACTCTGTCGATATTGTTCCCCAAGAATCACAAGCTCGTTGGAAATCCCTGGGCCGCCAATCGCTTGGCGGGTCGGGTATTGCGACCTCAAGGCGAGGCAGCACAGAATAGCCAGAACGTTTGATACGAGTGTAGCTAATACTAGATGCTTCAGAAGTGTAATCATTGCTTAGGTTTCGTACTGTAGATTAACAACGTTGAGAGACGTATGAATCTCAGGGTGGCGGGAATTTGCACTTAAGGTGTACACAGGGCACATATTTGGGCCATGTAAGAACCTAGAATTGTGCCCTGTTGCATGAAGCCAATGATAAGTGGCAAACCTGACATGGTCGAGCTATGGTCCAGTTCTTAGGCCACATTCAGGCGCACGCTGTGGCTCTTGTCGTGGCGGCACCGCGCGCACAGTGGTGTTCGGATTATTCAGTAACGCTCTCAGACATGATCAATGTGAACAAACAAAGAAATTTTGACCGTTGGTCCTTGAGAACGAAGTGGCCAGCGCCTCGGCAGACACCTCTGACCTTCCCGGTCTGTCCACCGATCGACGGTCGCCTTTCCCGATGTGCCTGCGTTTCGACATCATTCTCCAGCTTCCGCGAATCGTCACTTGGACACATCGTCCTCGTGGCGGGTTTTGTGGTGGTTGAGGTCGCGGGCCGAGTCTGATGCCAAACGAGCCGCAGTGGCCCACGTCATACGCGTTGGGCAGGCTCCCGTGCTGGAAGGCGTAGTGCTGCTATAGTGACGCGACGGTGCTAAGGCCGACACCGGGGCCCACGACAAAGCGTGATTGCGACTGCGCTGGTAGACCAAGGAGGCACTAGCAACGATCGGAGCGAGGGCGGCAGGCCCAGGGCGGGCAGCTGCGCCGGGGTGATACACATGCGATAGGGTGAATGTTCAACTGCTTCGAAATCGCAAGTATGGGAATTTTCAGCAAACTCCAACGATGTGCCAGGCTGCCATATGTACACCGTTATCCGGTTTCTCGAATCGTCTTCATTTGTACCATACTCGCTACGATTGATCCTCGTGCGAGTACGTGCTTTTTCTCCATTTCCTCATAATGAGCTATGGGACTTCTCCAAGCCTCTTTGGATCTCCCAGAGCACAATTTAACTCATAATGTTCCATCCCGGCGCCTCGCGAGCCCGTGAGCCTTCGCTACCCACTTTCCCCACTGCTGAACCCTAAATAGGTAGTAGAAGCCAAATGTGCAAGCAATGTTGAACGAAATGTAGGCGAAACCAATCAGCCAGTCCGCCCACACCTGTGCGTAGTACATGTTGGATCTCGCCAGAACCTGGTTAGCAGACGAGAGTGGACAGTACGTGCAGTTGCTAGTGGCCTCCGGGTTGAGCAGCCTCCCTGGAGCGCCGCCGGCGAGATAGGCTTCCAAGTACATCCCGCATGTCAGGCCAGCCGGGGGCTGGAAGACCGCCAGCTCCGAGATGGAGCACTCGACCGGGTTGTCCCATAGCCCGGCAACGGCGACCCCGCGGACAAAGTAGGTTATCGGTGATACATAGTACATAAAGATCCAGAAGTCGGGCAGAGCTGCGGGCGGCTGGAAGACACCGGCAAAGAGGACCATCATTGAGAAGAGGATAGTGGCGATACGGCCTGCAGTCACCGTGTCGGGAAGCGACGCGATCAGCATGTGGGCAAAGGTCCCGGCAAAGATGAAGAAGTAAACGAAAAAAAGGAGCGTGAGGCCCTGCTCCTCCGCGCTGCGAATACCGAATACTGTGTAGTTGACAATGGCAAAACTCGTGATTCCGATGACAATGTGGAGCGGTATCTCGATCAGGATGTTGACAAGGATAAAGACGGCCCAGGAGTATACCCGCGAGTACCGCTCCCTGCCCTCATACAGGTTCCTCTGGATCAGGAACTGTGGCATGATCTGTATGTCTGTCAGTTCTGGTTCTTCCTGCCTCCGCGGCCTTTCTCTCATGCTGACCTGCTGTGCCAAACTGCTCAAGATGGGAGAGAACAGAATAATGGCGAAGATGGCATTCTGAACGCCCAGGATGGAAGATCCGGGTTGAAAGAACGAGAACCCTATAAGTAGGGACCCTAGTGTGCTCAGCGCAACCTTACTCCTAATGTAGGCTGGGCATCGCCAGTAGTGGCGGGTAAGCCGTAGGCAAAGCTGCGACATCTGCGTCCATAGAGATACCGCGGATGGATGGCGGCCGTGTTGTGAGTCGGCCTGGATACGCTCCGGCTGCCTGTTTTGTACTACATTTATCCGTCTAGCAAGCTGGTCTGAAACTTCCATGGCATGTGGCGACTCCTTCCAGACGTGCGGCCAGCGTTTCGCCTCGGTGTGGTTTTGGCTCCCGCTGCTCCCGATAACTTCCAGCACATACTCAGCCGGGTTCTCCGCCGTGCGGCATATTCGAGCCTTGTGGCTCTGGAAATATTGCACCAGCGTTCGTGCGTCCTCCCCAATCTCTCCAAAGTAGACCGCCCTGCCGCCTCGTGTGAGCAGTAGGAGCCGATCGAAATCACGGAACAGCATGGCGCTCGGCTGGTGGATCGTGCAGATGACGGCTAGGCCGTTGTTGGCGAGGCGCCGGAGCAATGCCATTATGGACAGTGCCGACTGGCTGTCGAGGCCCGACGTCGGTTCGTCGAGTAGCAGGAGTCTTGGGTTGGCAACGAGCTCAACGCCAATGCTCAGAAACTTCCGCTGTACGCCACTGAGACCATTTCCGGGACGACCTACGATGTTGTCACTGAACGCTTCCATGCCCAGGAGTCGGATGACGTCTTCCACTGTGTAGTTCTGTTGACCGCTCTGTGCAGATGTCGACTCGCGCTGGCGGAGGCAGGCTGAGAACTGTAACGCCTCGCGCACAGTAGAGGTCTCAAGATGAATGTCCTGCTGTTGTACGTAGCCGAATGTCCCGCTTGCCGACGCCGAGATAGGCTTCCCATCGAGGAAAAGCTCGCCAGACGATACACCGCCTCGCAGCCTCTGCGCCAGAGCGTCCAGTAGCGTTGTCTTGCCAGCCCCCGAGACGCCCATGAGCGCCGTTATGGTGCCGATATCAGCCCACCCGGAAACGTTGTTGAGTAGTTGTCGAGGTTCGCCCTTGATGGTAACGCTATAGCTTATACCCTTCCAGGCGAGTTTTGGTCGAGGTTCCGTGAGTAGGAAGGCGTTGGCGGGTCGTGATGGATGGAATGATACATCTGCTTGTGAGCCGACCAGGGTAAGAGCCTCCGGGTCCTGCCTGGATTTACCTTTGCCTACCCTATCGGATGATGCGTCCGAAACAAGGTCGCTATGAGATTTGAGACTCTTGGCCGGGGTGGCAGCCCCTAATTTGAGGTCCATGGCAAGGAGATGTAGCGCAAGGAAAAACACTAAGAACCCGAGTAGGATTCCGAGGTTACGCCAAAGGTGGGAGTATGCGTAGCCATAACTCGCCTCGAACCAAGCGTCGCCCAAGATATAAGTCTCTCCTGCGACTGCTCCAGGAATCGGACAAATGAAGGTCTGGCCTGTTTGACCTGGATAAGAGGGTATAAAACTGTCGCATGGGTAGTATACTCCGTGCGCCTGGTTCACTAAGAGCGCCTCGAAGGCGTATGCTAGTGGGTTGATGTAGGAGAACCATTTGAACCAAGGATGCATGTACTGGCTCGGGAGAACGAACCCAGTGTAGATGACTAAAGCAAGGATGAGAAAGCCAGAGATAGCCATTGCTTGGGCTAGCGTTGACGTGACCGTAGCGACGGTCTTAAAGACAAGGGACATGACTAACGTGGACACGAAGACGAAGAGGAAGAAGGTGAAAAACTGAGCCGGTGTGGCGGCTAGGCCAGACAGGAAATAGAGGAATAGGTTGAAACATGTTGCCACAACAAGCTTGACAGGAATATCTATCAAGATTCTGGCTAGGGCGTCGGCCGACGGTCGGTACAGAGAAAACGACACGTGTTTTTGGATAATCGGCCGATGTTGGTAGAGATTGTGCATGTCTGTTACAGCCATCAAGGCGTTCAGCAGAACCGCGAAGAACAGGACAGAGCCGTATGCGAAGAAAGCACTTGTCGAGGCAGGGGTGCCGTAGAAAATGGATCCAACAATCAGAGCGATAACGATCTGACCGACCAGAGCCGTCAGCGTCGAGGCCTTCGAGTTCCACAGCTGCTGGTATGATCGCCTCATGCAAAGCCACGTCTGCATCGGGAAGGATATCGTCTCAGGCGCTCGGGAACGCATGTACTTCATCTTCTGGAGTTTGCGAGATTCTTGAAACTCCGCGAGTGACTGGTCCGCCCGATTCCGGAACTCTCCGAGTAGCGCTTCAATCTCTGCCATCAGCTCGACAAAGTACGGGGACTCTCTCCAGTACTTTTCAAAATCTTCTGCAGTTCTCGGAATTCGCTCCTCGAAGCCATCCCTAGTCGCTCTATGAGCGGGGCTGGTTACCCCAACAATGAAATCTGCCGTTGTTTGCCTGGCATGGCGGCGCCAGCCCATTTTTTCAAAGTATTCAGCGGCGGCAGCGCCACGGCCAAAGAAGATCTCCCGTCCCTCATAAAGCACAAGAACCTTGTCAAAAAGGTCATATATGGCCTGAGAAGCTTGGGAGAGGGCCACTGCGTTTGACGATTGTGTCACTGGGCAAGCGTCAGAAGACTCAGAACTGATGACGGTTGTTCCTCTCGTTCGACAAAATGCAGCCATGCTTACGCTGTGAAAGCACCGCTAGGCTTCTCACGTACTTCAAAGAAGTATCAGCGTCTAGCCCGCGAGTCGGATTATCCCAAGACGAGACGGCAGCTCCAAAGAGGGCGATTTCCGCAATCGACACCCTTTTCCTCTCGCCCCCTGATACTCCACGGACGTAATCGTTACCAACGATAGTGTTATACGTGTGTTTGATCCCGAATACAGTCATGACGACATCGACCAGGTGCTTGATTCGGTCGCTTCTGGAAACCCCCGGCAGACGGAGACGTGGTGTGCGTGCAGCGGCCGCGAATTCCAATGTCTGTCCCACAGTCAGGTAGGGGAAATGCTCGTCTAACTCCTGGTTGTAAACTAGCTCTCCCCTGAATTGGTTGATCATTATATCAACAGGGATACCTTGAGCTCCGTTCATTAATTATGAATCTTCGAGTGGCCAAAAAGGCCTGAAGATGGGGTCTCTTGCTCACCACTGTATATGAGAGTTGAGCCACCTCCTAGCTGCAAGCCATCCAATTTTCCAACGATGGCTTTGAGAAACGTTGAACAGCCACTGCCAGGCCGGCCCAGGACAAGCAGCAACTCTCCCTTTTCTAAGACACCGATGAATCCCTGGATGATGGGCAAGGACTTAGTTTCCTTGCGTCGATGGAATTGCTGAAGCATCTTCGACATTGCACCCCTTGCTGTCCTTCGCTGTCTATTGAGCTGGCCATAGCCATGGACGCTGAGGTCCTTGAACAAAACCCCGGATCGAGGTGGGGCAGGAATACCCATTTCTGTTCTCAGATTAATAATGTTGCGGGTCCATCGCTCAAAGTCGAAATTCGGGTCTGACGGGTCGAAGGAAGAACCAGACATCGCCCTCGTTAAAACTGGCGGATTGGGCGTCGTTTGATCGCCATCCTCGTTGGAGACCACATGTTCCTCGGTCCTCGCGAACGCCACACTCTTTGGCGCATCTTTAAGGGGGCTACTCATGGTTGACAATTGTATGTGTTGCTGAAAAACAGACTACGCGTATCTCATCAGTGGATTTCAGGATTCAAGTTGCTGTGTTTCATTATTAAGGGTCGAATAAGCCTAATTAGCAGTTTTCACTTCGTCCTTGTGTCACGAATCAGGTCCCCAGTGGTACTTCAAGCTTGCGCAACGTGACAGGAATTCGATCTCTGGCTTTTTCGGCTTTTCCAAAAGGTACCAGCCCTGCAAAGGGGTTGAAGGGTTCATACAGCACAGGATGGTTCCGAAACACAAGGCTTGATACCGCTCAGAGGTCGTCCTGGATGTAAAAGTACTAAGGATACCCGCCGAGGGAAAGGCATATGGAGTGAACCAATCATGGAAACAGGATTCGGCGACTCCAGTCGTGGCGAGACGCCACCGATGTGCAAAGTAGTTTTGTTAGTGTCGCCTGCGTGACGCTAGGCTCATACAGCAGGCTTGGTAGATGCTGTATGAGACCCGAGGCGATCAATCATATCACGCTAATTTGACCGAGCGTATTTAACGTTGCACAATCACGATTTTGCCCTCCCCTTCGTATTGCGTGCATGTGATATCTAGGCCATGTCCATCGCCAAGACACTTGCTGCCGTCCTGCAAAAATATTGGCTAAAAAAGGCATGAGGTTGCACAACCAACCAATAAGTCATAAACTATATTCTAGCTCTCCTCAAATTCAAATTCATTCTCTCGGCCTAGATAACGCAAGTATGGAGGAGGTGGAGCAAACGTCGAGCATCGAATGACCGCCTCAGCCACATCAGCCACATCGAATGATGTTCAGTTGACCCCGCCATTCTCAACTGACAGCCGATGCTCCCTCCGGCCTGAAGTAGCTTCGGATCCACCGCTTCCTACATAAGTAGTCCCACTGAATCGGACATTGCATTCCTGCAAAGCTGATTGGATATATCCACCCTGGCCTGACAAAGAAGCAGATGCGAGTAGAACCCCACTGCGACCACTTGCCAGTTTCGGCAAGAAGCAAACTTACGCAGACCAGCCATACGCGCAATGCAATCTGCTTATAAGCTCTTAGGGTGCATGGTCATAGATAACTGGTAAATCACTGTAGACCCTCTCAGTCTTGGCATACCAGTGCTCGACAAAGTTTCTCGGCCTAAGCTAGGTACAATCTTGTCCTTGTCCATACGCCAGTGGCAACTCTCGGAGTTCAGCAGTGTATCGCCTTCCCAAGTTTGAAGCTGATGATGCCACGTTGTAGCAACTAGCTCGAAAAACTTCCTTGCAGGGTCACCTAAAGTTTCCACTCGTAATTAACGATGCCGCCCTTGACAGCTCCCTGAACCATTGATATCGCAATGTATTGCAATGGATGTGTCTTCTTATCCACGGCAAACACCGCGTCTTATGGTGGTGGCTACTTTGACACCCTTTTCGCCAATCCAGGACCCGGATCGTGGCGCATCCGGAACACTGCGGCAGCAGCAGTCTCGATGGCCTTCTCCGTCGCGTGGTCCGTCTTTGGATGCCTGTGGCTGTCCGAGTCCTAAGTCAGAGTGGCCGTGCCTCTTCGTTCGTGCTGCAGAAATGCTGCGTGAGGTACGGTGGTTCGTGGGCTCGTGATGGTCATGAAGCGCGGCCCTCGAGTCGGACCAGCCCACTGACCGGCCCCGCTCGAGGGCCGTGAAGGCCTCTCTGATAGCACTCGTAGTCGTAATCGACATCTAGGTGTCCTTGATCCCGTCCTGATGCCCCATAATCGTAGATGTCTTCGTCCATATTTTGCACAAGTAAAATGGAAAGCAAAGACAGAAGAGCGTTGCTTAGAGCCGAAGTAGATAAAGCCCTCAGTATCTTGCGAAGCATGGAGAGGGCAGACTATCTAACGACGATGTAGGGCGATTGATGGCACAGATTGTGGAGGCCTTGTCCGCCACTATAGAAGAGGTAGTTCCGGTTACAAAACCAGACACACGACACACCCCAGGTTTCACGGCGGAATGCAAATCCAAGTGCAAAGAGGTCAGTAGGATTCGAAGAATATGGCAGAAGACGAGATCAGAAGAGGACTGGGAAGCCCTACAGGAAAGCGCGCAGTGTGAAAGGCAAGCTTATTCCCAGAGCGCTCAGAGACACCCATCGCGAGAGAGTCGACAGCTGTCAGTCAAGGGGCCAAAGGGCCTTTGGTCGCTTGCCAAGTGGGCGAGGACAGAGGGGCAGGCGCTGCCCAGCAGAGGGTTAATATCCCCACTATAGAAGGCCACGACACATACGACCCCGACAGGGACACAGAGCTTGCAATGCCCCCCCCTGCCCCCCCCCACACACAACCACATAAGGCACCAGGCCCGTCTGGAATACCGAATTATATTCTCCGGATCTCGATAGACCTGTTGATACCACTACTTCAACCGCTTTTCAACCACTTCCTCTTCAGGGGGATCTGTCCTTTCAAGGAGTCGGTCACTATTGTGCTCAAGAAACCTGACAAGGACGACTACGGAAAGGCTAAGGCATACAGACCTATTGTTTTGCTAGAGACACTACGGAAGGTCGAGCGCATCAGCTACTATGTCGAGCAATATAAACTGCTCCCTGATGACCACATTGGGGCCCGTAAGACCAGGTCTACAGAGCCCGCGATCCTCACACTCCTCGAACGAATATAGAGGGCTCATGCTCATGCGGATAAGGGCTGGTATATGGTGACGACCATGCTCATGCTCGACGCCTCGGGGCTTTCGACAACGTCCACCACAATCGTCTTATAGAGTGCCTAAGCCGAAGAAGGATACCGATACCCATAGTACTCTGGATCCGGGAGTGGCTCAAGGGCCGGAGGACCAGAATCCGGTCACCAGAAGGAGAGTCCGCTTGGATACTCCTGAAGTACGGTATCCCCCAAGGCTCGTCACTCTCACCCACCCTCTGGATCTTCTACAACGCGGACCTACTAGAGGAAATCATTCAAGGAGAGGACGACCTGGACGTAACTACAACGGCGTGGGTCGACGACACGGGTATCTTAATCGTGGGGCCGTCGGCAGCAGCCAACTGTAGAGCCCTTGAGAGGATCCACGGGAAGGCAGAGAACTGGGCCTCGAGATACGGCTGCGTGTTTCGCCCCCGACAAGTACGAGATCATGCACTTCAGCACCCAGAGGTCTAAGCTGGGACAGACGGCCACGGCACCCCCAGCGCTGGATGTGTGCCTGCAGCTCCCAGGCGTGCCCCTCTTTCGGGACAAGAACAGTCAGCCGCGCAAGCTGGTGCTTGGCGTCCCTGAATTACGAACGCGCCATTTTGGGCACAACGTTGCGGCTGAAATACTTGACGTTCTTGATGCCTATGGAATCCGGGATAGAATTGGTTACTTCACTCTGGATAATGCAGAGAGCAACGATAAAGCTATGGAAGTAATTGGTGGCGAGCTTGGCTTTGTGGGATCGAAAAGGCGCGGCCGCTGCTTCGGCCACGCTCTTAACCTCTCTGCCAAGGCTCTGCTTTTTGGCCACTATGTTGAGACGTTCGAGGAGCAGTTGTCAGGTGCAGCAGCCTTGTCCGAGGCAGAGCACACGCTTTGGCGCCGCAAAGGACCCGTCGGAAAGTTACACAATCTAGTCGTTGATGATAGAAGGTCGGATCAGCCTACTTATCTGCTGCGGAGTAAACAGCGTTCCGAATTCGACATGTCTTCGGATCCTAGGATCAGAGCGAGCAAGCCCATCGATTTGGTTATTGACAACGATACCCGGTGGCTTTCTCAACTGTATATGATCAGGCGCGCCATCACTCTTCGGCCCTACCTCGAACAGCTCACTCTACCCTGCGCTCCTGCTAAACTTGCTTTGCACCGCATCGACGACAGAATCTGTCACTGAATTGGCAAGCAAAGCCGCATTGGGTACAATACCGAGCGTTTGACTCTAGAGCCGGCGCTGTGGAACTGATGCCTTGTGCATTCTTTGGCCTCCCATCCTGTGATGGAGACCCTGACAAGTATGCCGGCACCTGCGGAGAAGGGGCTCGCATGAGCTGCTCCGGCTGAAGGTTGGGCGCAGCGTTCGTAACTGGTATGTAGGGTTGTCCGGGCGTCGTCATCAAGAGCCCCCTGTCCTGTGTTTGAATTGGCATCGCTGGTTGGGTATTGTAAACCTGCTGCGGAGGTGGTGGCACAATCGCAAGGGCGCTCTGTTGAAGATTTTGGTTGTCTGTGGCTGCTTTCTTCATCGCTTCGTCGACGTTCCTGTTCTACCTCTTGGCGCCTCCGCGCCTCGACCTCATGCTGTATCTCGACCTCACGCTGAGAGTCCATAACTGCCTGCTTCTGTACTTCGTGCCTGGCAGCTGACCTGGACGCACCGACGAGTACGGCGGCCCCGAGAATGGGTCTGCGGCGGCGCTGGGACATTGCAGTGACTGGAGGTTAGAAAGCGTACTTGGGACGACAGAAAGACGAGGTCGGATGATTAGATGATCAGAGAATCAAGTAACTCGACCTCCTGGTACAGTCAGACTCGAAATTGGTGTCCGTGTAGGTCATGCATAAATAGTTCTGCGCACGGGCACCCTGGTCTTGGCACACCACGTTGATCAGTGGAGAGGTGGATAGGGTGGGGTAGAAGACAGCCAATTCGTGCTCCATAGTCGGTAATGGCTCGATTGAGATCCCTCGCTTATTGCATGGATGAAGGCATTAAATTATGAGAAAAACACACGATGCTGCAACCAAACGTTTCTGCACTTATTCGTTCTCGTCGATCGGCCGAACTTGAAGCACTCCAATACACTACTGTACAGTACTGGGTCGCAACGTCAGCCTCGCTTCCCCGCTTCTATGTCCGTGCAATCAACCCCGCATTTCCTTTCCTTGCCCAGCTGCTGTCGGACGCCTGCTGTTTCTGCCCCACTACGATCCTGATGCTCGAGGAGACATAGGGAAGAGACATAGTCTTTCATGACCAAAGTCGCATCACGCCGCCGAAAGCCAAAAACGTCAATCAGCCGAGATCCCCGGCTCATACTACGCTTGCAGGATGCGCCTCTTGGAGATCAAAGAGGATGGCAGCCTCAGCCTTCGGGAATATTCTCCAGAGGACGTCCTGCTTTATGCTATCCTGTCGCACACCTGGGGAGCCGATGACCAGGAGATCACCTTTCGAGACGTTCAACAGCATACAGGCCACCACAAAGACGGATATCAAAAGCTCACGTTCTGCAGTCAGCAGGCTGCGCTGGATGGCCTGAAACATTTCTGGATCGACACCTGCTGTATAGACAAGTCTAACAGCCAGGAGCTTCAAGAAGCGATCAACTCTATGTTTAGTTGGTACAGAGATGCCAACCATTGCTACGTCTTCCTCACCGATGTGCACAAAAATAGCAGCGACGACGACGACGACGACGACAGACCGTCACAAGTACAATGGGAGAAAGCCTTCAAAAGCAGCCGATGGTTCACCCACGGCTGGACACTTCAAGCACTCTCTACATTGTTTCTGCAATCCCCAAACACCACACTCATCAGACATGTCGGACCACCGGGGACACTATAAATAGACCTTTCTATTCAGCATTGTTCGCTACTTTCCTGTCACACACCTTGAGCACATTGTACTCAGTGCACATGGATCGTATGCCGTCAGAGATTCGTTGCATGGTCGCAGAGCTATTGCCCACAAGGGATCTGCGCACATTTCGCTTGACATGTGGGTTTCATGCTTATCATTTTTTTTTTCATATACTAGCGCGCCAGTTCTGCATTCTTGGCACACTGCGCTGTCTCAAGAGCTTCTTGAAGTTCCTCGACTTCAAACCGACATAATACACGCGGCGGCTCACCATATATAATGGGAAATGGCCCTCGTACTCACGCGAAGAGTGGAATCGCAGCACGCTGATGCTTGGTGATTAATATATGCCCATGCGACGATTCGATGACGAAGATAGGGAAGAGCCCTATTGTCGTTATCGCATATTTCTTCGGGATACAGATCAGGAAGTTGACCTCCAGATCGCCCGTGAGGTGTCGAAGCGCTTTGTTGTTCAGCTAATAACGGATGGAACTTTCACAAGAACTTCCCTTCTCTAGTGAGTCTTAATCTTAGTATATCCCCAAGGTCATTACCGATACCATACGGGCAAGATGTTATGCTTCTTAATCTGAAACCCCTTCGATTCCGTAGAGTACATGTTTCTAAAGCTTATCTTATCGGAATAGCGTAATCGCATTCCACTCTACGGTCTCTACATTTGAGTGAGACTATTATCCTCGGGGGTCAGTGGAGCTCGTGCCTGGCTGTCATCGAAAGCTCGACTGACATTTCAGTCCACATGGGAGACGTAGAACCAGCCTGATCAAGTAGTGGGAGGAACAAGAGAGTTCATGCTTTAAGGGTTTTCGTTTCTGGTTGTTTTTTTTGGTATGAAAGAGTCATGTGAAATGGTTCTTTCCTAATCCAGAAGCAACTTACTAGCCCTCTCCATGATGTAGTCCTGGATGAGCTGGCTCTCGCAAGTGCCATGTCGCAGGATCTCCGTCTTGAGGGCGAGGATCTCATCGCATAAATACTTGACGTGGGCCTTTAAGGCACTGTTCTTCTCGGAGAGCCATTGCTCTGTCTTCACGAGCTCTGTAATTTCACATTTCGTCTTGTCGCGATACTTTGTCGCAGCCATTCGGTTCTTCTCGCGTATCGTCTTCTTCTTCTTGTTGCTGCTCGGAAGAGCCGTCGTGTCCGACGGCGTAGACTGTGACGCGAAACTTGCCGTTGCATCTGGCGACCCTGTGTGTGGCGCCTAAGTGCTGATGTCGAAGGCTCCGGCATAATTTCCCCAGGGCTAGTGTGTATCGACGCGCTAGCAGAATGGCTGGCTACGGACATTAGCCACGAGTCTATGGCCGACGCGACGTCGTCAGGCGCCGTGTTCGAAATTTGTGAGGGGATGATGGTGCCGAAGGGAATTGCGTCGTGTGGCTGCAAGGGCGTATTGTACATCTCGGGACCAAGGTCCATGGTGAAGCCGCCGTCTGTAGCAGATAGAGGGGCGTCCATATGAGTGGAGTTGCCATCCAGGACCATCCAGGACATATCGCCAGACTTGAGGCCAAAGGTACCCCCGGGCCACTCATGTGCTGTATGTGTCGAATGTTGGTGTTGTGTGTGGTCTGTGAAGGCAGCAGCCATGGTGGCAGTTATGTGTGGTCGCCTGAGTCTTGCTCGCTTGAGCAAGAAATTTGTCCTACCTCCGTCGTCCTTGATCGTTCTTCTTGTTGTTGTGGCCGCGGAAGAAATGGGGGTCGAGGTGAGATGATAAGGTACGGCTTGATAGTGCGTGGGTCTTTCTGGATCGCTCCCTAGAACCGGCGCCAGCTCCCTGTTGTGGCAACGAACGCCCCGCTCGACAGATAAAGCAACGCCGGCCATTACGTTCTCATGACGACAACGCGAGTGGGGCAGCACAAGAGCTGTCTGCTTGAGGATACAAGCACGGCAAGTTCCGTGCGCGTCGGCCTGGGTCAAACGGCAGGTGCAAGTGGCTGGACTTGGATAGACTCCAGCTACGGCGGGCCCGCGCAGCTCTCAGCCTTTCAACGATGGCCCAGGAAATCACGAAAAGCGGGTTTCTCGGGATGATCCAAAATTCGCCGCTCTCGAAGCCGCGGGGAATGCGCTAATGGTGGGCACCTGGGACCGCTGTAAGAATCAGATGTTGAAATGCCATGCCTTGTGGCAAGCGAATGTGGGATCGAGATCTCAGGGATGACTGGCCCCGGCCTTGAGCCCACACAATCACTCCGGGCGCCAGCCGGGGTGGTCTCTCCGGAGCGCCGCAGCCAATTAAGGCGCCGCCAAATCGGCCACCGGGGGCCTGATTGAGGGGGCCGGCCTGCTTTCGGAGGCAGACAATCACTTCTTTGAACCGGGGTGTGCTGCCAGTTGTCTGCTCGTCATGGCGAAGGGGTTGGTCGGTCTCGGGGTGGATTGGTTGGTGCCCAGCGAGCCAGCCTGTTCCCAGTCTAAGTGGTGAGAGGTTGACGTCAAGACGAGCAGGTGAGGCAGGCGGGCTCGCAACGGCGGGGCGGGGCAACTGCCGTGCTCATGCGCGGGTGCACTTGGCTTGGTTTCATTCCAAGCTTGTCCCTCAGGACGCTGTCTGCTGACTGCCACAGCCGTCTGCCCCAGGTGGCCGGTCCGTCCCTCGCCCACGTACTATTATTGACGTGCCCGCCCCCCTCCCGCCCTCTGGCCCTGTCCCTCGGGGTCCTGCTGACATCTCGCTATATCATCAGCGCAGCTTTCCCCAGTTCATCTCGATCGCTACAACCACACTGATCGCGGCACGCAAGCAAACTTACTGTCCACGAACACTGCTTGTCATCAAATGACAAGACTACCTCGACAACTACGGCATCAGCGCCACCAGCCATGTCGGCTTACGACTACGAGGCCCCTCAGCGGCGATCCTACCGTGAGGAGGCACGCCTGCGCCCGGATCCCCGCTATGAGCCACAAGATGCCTACTATCGCCAGAAACCCTCCTCCCGACACGAGCTTGTGCCTCGCCCCCGTGAAGATAGCGACACCTCTGTCGAGGAGATCCGTCGCGACTTTCCGCCACCGGGCTACCGCGACATCCGCTGGGCTCGCTCAGCAGAGCCTGGCTACGACGACTACTACGCACCTGGGCGCGATTTGCGCACCCGTCAGAAGCCAGGCAGCGTCTACTACGAAGAGGAAGTGCGCACTCGCAAGCGCGTCCTGACCAAGCAGCAGAAGATGCTGGCTGCTGTGGTTGGAGGTGTCATTGCCGCCGGTGCTAAGGAGGCATGGGATCGCAAGGAGGCCAAAGACGAAGGCTCAGGCAGGATCGAGCGCAACCCGCTCGCCTCGGCTGCTCTTGCGGCGGGAGGTGCCTTTGCTGGCTACTCCGGCGCCGAGTACTACAACAAACACAACGACAAGGAGGACAAGAAGTCCACCTATATTGTGCACAAGGGCCGCGATGGCCGTGTTTCCGAGTATTACTCTGACGACGACGAGGACCCCAGAGGCCGCAAGGGCAACAAGTCCTTCCTGGAGAATGCTCTCTCTGCTGCCGGACTTGGAGGTGCCATCAAAGCCCTGACGGGCGGAGGTTCTGATCACCGACGTTCTGAAGGGAGAAGCCGCCGCGGAAGTGTCGAGTCGAGGAGCTCTCGTCGATCTCGCTCTGAAGACACTCCCGCCAATCGAATGCAGAAAGCTGCCAAAGCCTCCTTGGTGGCTGGCGCCGCCGAGGCTTTCCGCGTCTCCAGGAAACCTGGCGGTTGGAAGGGCGAAAAGATGAAGCGCGTCCTCACCGCGGCCGCGGGTGCTGCTACTATTGATGCAGCCCATGACCCCAGCAAGGGCCACAGCAAGCGCCACATGTTGGAGGCTGTCATTGGCGGCCTTGTTGGCAACCGCATGCTCAACGGCTCTCGCAAGGACATCGAAGAGGACAGGCGCACTGGCAGGAGCAGGTCTCATTCTCGGTCCGCTGGAGATTCGGGCAAGACCGGCCTTGCTGCCCTTGCCACTGCTGGTCTTGGAGCGCTAGGTGCCAAGAAAATCCTGGACAGCAAGGATCGGTCTCGCTCGCGGTCGCGGCGCCGTAGCTATGACTCCTATGGCAGTCGATCTCCATCGCCACGCCATCGCAGCCGGAGCCGGAGCATTGTTGATGGTGCTCGAAGAAGCTTGGCCAAAATTGGTCTCGGCGGCGGTCCCGACAATCATTCTGCCCGTGGTGGCTACATGAGAGGCGGGAGAGGCGACGACTACTACGACCACCGTCGCCGCAGCCGCTCTCGCAGCCGAAAGGGTGGCCGATCTGGTTCTGTATCAAGCAGTGATTTAGGAAACTCGGAGGACGACGAGAGACAAGCTAAGAAAATGAAAGGTAAGCAGATCCTTAAAGCAGGCTTGGCGACAGTTGCCACCATCCACGCAGCCAATGAAGTCTACGGCTCCATGCATGCCCGCAATGCAAGACACAAAGCCGTCAGGAATGGGCACCTGAATCCAACGGAAGCCAAGAAGCTCAAGACCAAGGCCATCCTCCAAGACACGGCCTCTGTTGGTATTGCTCTCATGAGCATCAAGGGTGTCTTGGGAGAGATGAAAGAAGCTAGAGAGAAGACCCACGAGGTCAGAGAATGGCAGTCAGAGAAGCAACGTCGCCACGAGAGACGCATGGAGCGGCTCCGGGAAGCGAACCAAAATCGTGAACCGAGATCGAGGGCTGACGACTGGTCTTCATCAGCTCCTCCGCGGGCCGACCGGTACGATGATGCGCCGCGTTACACCGATGGAAATCCCTACTCAGCCTCTATTCCTGCGCCGCCAGTCGGTCACGACAGGCGGTAGACCATCAGCAAGTTCAACATGACGCTTTTGTTATGTCGGTCTCGGGCACTCTCTGATCGTCGTCATGCCCTTCTGAGGCTGCATCCTTCTCTCCTGCTCTCTTTCACGCGCATCTCTATCTCTCTCTCATTCGCTGCCGATTTACGACCCTTACGAATCATGTAAACACTTCACGACACAGATGTTTTAAAAAGAGGGAGCCTGTTTCTGCGCAAGGAGTACCGGGTTACTAAGCTATCTATGGTAGCCCAAGTGGTCTCCATTGTCTCGCCACGGCTGTTTATCTTGGACTAGACGTCAGCGCCAGCCAGCCTCATGAACTGCTTTCTTCTTTCTGCAAGTATATCTCACCTTACTGATCATAATAATCCGTGTGCTAGACCGTCGGCGGCGTCATCGTGATGATGACCGCTACTAAGGCTGAACGAGCTAGGGCAACTGCCTCACGCCCGGCTCTCCGCCTGTCGGATCCTTGTGTGGCACGACATCCCGATTGGCTCAGCTCTTTTCCCGACACGATCGGGGCATGCCACGATCTATTGAGGGATGCGGGGATTTTTAGTACGTGGTAGATTTAGGATGGTGTGGCCCAGGTCCCTAGCACATCCACGTGGTTCCTGGGGATGCCCACCTGCAGCCTCCCCAAACCCCGGCACCTCACTCTTCGAGTCTATACTAGGTGGGGGCGACGCTGACTACTTGAGACAAGCTTTGTAGCACAGCAGGTACTATAGAGATGTGGGATGACGTGGCATCTGGCTGCACGTCTCGCCTATCCTTGGAACAACCAGCAGGCAGGAAGTGGACGTGGGTTTTCTTTTTTGAAAGACTTTGAGGATCTGGCTCAGAATGAGAGGGCTCTTGGTGCTTACGACTTTTGACGACCATATATAGTTTTTCCCCTTGAAGACAATATAGGGCAATCTGGATTTTCTCGCACGACAGTTGTGCTTGCACAAGTGAGGAGGAATCGAGAGAAAATGGCGCGAGTGGATGGAATCCTGCAGCGAATGCCCCAAATACTGTTTGCCCGAGACGATCTCATAACGGTAGGAAATCTCAAGTGGAAAACCAGCTACATGAAATCCGCGAGCAAGGGGCCAAAGGGGGGGATGGGAATGGAGTCCATGGCATGGACAGGCTTGTCGATGCGGTCATTGTGCATGATGCGGGACCCCTTGGCTGTCAGCCAAAGGGCCTCCGAGCTGGGTCCAAACTGGCATGGAACAACACACATGTCGAGAGGCCTGGTCTGGGCAGGGGAAAACAAAGATCCAATCTGCGCCGCGTCACCCTCCCACCACCAATCTGGCCCTAGCACGCAACTGGTCCTTCTGGTTCCTCTCTATGGCTTAGAACGTGAATTGTCGTGGCACTAGTCCAGGAGCTAAGTTACACGCTCTACGACACTTTTGTGTTGGCGGGGCGAGGGACGAAGACACAACAAGCACTTTTGGTAACCAGCCCCGCGTGGATGAAGCAGCTATCAGAAGAGCTCAACTTCAACGATGCGATGGGTGTACTCCATGACTACAGGCTTGTCGAACCTACAAACATGTTCCAGGAGCCACAAAGATACAGTATACACAGTTGTCTACATTCTTGGACGATTCATATATTGAACGAGAAGCGGGACGGTTGCTTGAATGAGCTTGCAGTTGAAAGTGTGGCATCACAGGTTCCTTCATAAGAAGAAGCCGAATATTAGCTTCTTCAGAAGAGGCTCATACCGCATGCGATCCAGTCTTGTTCAACAGTACAAACGGACCGAAAACAGCCTCGAGCATCCGGTACTAGTCGTCAACATAACACATCCGCCATCCATACTCTCCGCGTGTGTAGAGTCTCGAGTCTTGGCCATAAAATTACTGAAACTAAGGCGTGTTGAGGCCTCCACGGGATCCGAAAATACAGATACTCAGGCTCCAAGCCCATGGATGCGTCCTTATCACCCTGAGACAGACGCATTGTTCGTCAGCGACATCTACTATAACTATTTCATTGACGGCCCTTTCCTGCCAAATTTGCCTCTCAGACCGTGGGTCGCCCACCTTGTAATCGATGAAGGATTGCTGATCCGGCGGTTTGCAGGGTCTCTTTTTCTCAGCACTGCAGACTTCGGTATTCCGCAGCTGCCCTCTTTGAGGAAGTTGTCCATTGCAAGCCTTGAGGACGAAGACATTCACGTCAACCCAGCACAACGACTTCTGGACCTAGTTCCTGATTATCATGCTCTTTCAAGCATCGTTGGTGGAGTTCTCCTCTCAAGTCTCATTTTCGCAAGAACATCGGCTGTCTTACACCCCATTCTCTGAGACGATTCGCGACGTTGAGACCTTCCGTCGGCTGGGCAACATGCGTGCCCGAGATCATTGGCCAATGCGCCGTACATCCGACGCTTAGTGGCATCAGAAGCAAGTATCCGGGCTGGGCCTTCAGCTGCCGCTGGCCGGGGAAGCCAACAACTCATCTTGTTGTCAGTAGTGATACGGGATCGAGTTTCTCTGTCACATCTCCAAGTCCTGCCGAACGGCCGTCGATGCGGGACTCGGACCATTGTTGAAGCAGCTGAAAGCTGAGCGAAGTGGCCGGAGTAGCCAGAACCTTGGATCACTAAACCGCCGAAATCACTGGCAACATTTACGCTAAGCAAGCCACAGATGCGATAAACATCAGTGCTAACAATCAATGCATATTGGCTAGCCCCCGACGGTCAAATTTGTTATGGCAAGATGTCGAGGAACAGGTTACCTGGCGTGAGCCGTAATGTGCAAAGCGGGAAGTCGACAGAGTCGAATGAGAAAGCTGGGGTATATTGGTTCTTTAGACTGGATGCGGCTTTCCCGAACATCTGTAACTGAAATCATCATATTAATCGTACCGGCTTCTCGGTTTTCGTTGGAAGGATTTACGTATTACACATGCATTCCCATGAGCCACCTTGATTGCTATCCCATCCTATTAAAGAGAAAGGTTCCTGATGTGCCAAAGGCAGATGAGCCAGCATGCGCTAGCTAACATGCGGCTCAGCCCCAACCTAGATATGACCTCAGCATGAAACTTATTATTGCGCCCAATGGGTAATTAACTCCTAATGGGAGCGAATGAAAATGCTTACTTAAACAGCCACTTGCTTTCGGAGATTCGATAATCTGCAAGTTTCGGGCATCCGGTGGCCTGTACCTTTTCGGAACTCCCGCCTGCTCCTCCGCGCGAGCAGGCACACTCCGACCACTCTTCTGCCTTGCGAGACGGCAGCCTCTTGAAAGCTGCCGATAGGCTTGACGGTCCTGTCCGTCATGTGGGGCAGAATCGAGGCTCACTTCCCGCCCGAATGAGTGGCCAGGCTGCTAAAGTCTCTGGGTGAAACAATGCACCTATGGCCGCATGAACACTTGCGCCTTAAGTATTGCTGCTAGTGCGGCTACGGACGCCCCCATCGCTCCTCCGTGGTGAAGTTTATTAGCGTCGACACCCTACTAACTTAATTTATAGAAACATATAAAGTAGCAGCTGTCTAGTACTAAAATCACGGATTCCCCCTTTGCCTGTAGAGCAGTCTGATGGCACTAAGAGCGGTGGTAATAGCAATTAAGCGGACTCTTTGCATCGGCTGTGACCGTGCTGCGGTGTTCTCCTTGGCCGGAATTTAAGCGCGCAGGCCTACGAAGCGCAGGGGCACAGGATGAAAGGCATGTGTGAAACAGCCATGGAGGAGCATCGTCAATTCGTCTCCCGATCAGGACGCGGCAAAGTTAGAAAGGCCAAGGCTACGAAGTTCTACCTGGGCACATGCGGAGGATTGATACATTGTCCAATGCGAGGCCATCACCGACGAGTGGCTGGACCAGATGACCAATGCGCCCACATTGGACATCGAGGCAAATCACAAGTTAGGCCAGGGCGATGCGATTGCGGCGGCACTCAACTTTGGCATCTTTGAGGGCACGATGCTCCTGGGCGTGTCCTAGGAAAATTACTAATGGAGTCAGGATCAATCGCAACACTTGCGTAGTCGTGACGGGACCTCCGATAGGATTGTTGCCCAGTGTGGCCTAGTGAGGAGCTTGATCTCCACGTTACCCCACGTTGTTCTGGGACCCCGACCGACTCCGGCTTACCCCAAACCGAACTATGCGCCCGGAGTGCGGGGAAGCCTTCGGGCCGAACGGGGTCCCCACGCGAGGATAAGTACAAGGGGAGGAGGCTCGCGGTGCAAGACAGACCAGGACAGACCAGGACGGACCAGGACAGGCAGACAGACATACAGCCGCCATGGCCAAGCCTGCAAGCTACATCCTCATCAAGGACGCGACCGTCATTGCCGAGGCGGGCACGAGCCCGTTGGCGCACCACGACATCCTCGTCCGGGACGACCTGATCGTGGCCATCGGACGCGACCTGGCGGCGCCGGCGGACGGCCCCGTGACGACGGTGCGGGTGCCCGGGTGCATTGCGGTGCCGGGCTTTGTCGACGGCCACCACCACATGTGGCAGCAGCTGCTCCGGGGCGCGGCGACCGACTGGACGCTCTTCGACTACACGGTGCACATGCGCAGCATCTTCGGCAGCCTCTTCACGCCCGACGACGTCTACCTCGCCACCCACGCCGCCGCCCTCAGCCTGCTCAGCAACGGCGTCACCTCGGTCCTCGAGCACTGCCACATCATCAACTCGCCCGCCCACGCCGACGCCGCCGTCCGCGCCCTCAAGGACGCCGGCATCCGCGCCACTTTTGCCTACGGCTTCTACCAGAACCCCCCCGTCACCGCCGGGCCCGCAGACGGCTCTGGCTCCGGCTCCGGCTCCGGCAGCCTCGCGGCCGCCCCAAGCTCGTACGACCCGGCCTTTACGCACGAGGCCCGGCTCGCCGACGCCGCACGCGTCCGGGCCGCCTACTTTGGCTCCAACGACCCGGCGCGCGAGCTCGTGACGTTTGGCGTGTCGCCCGACGAACCCGAGTCGCAGCCCACGGAAAAGACGGTGCGCGAGATTGCCGAGGCCCGCGAGCTGGGCGCCCGCCTCATCACGATGCACGTCGCCATGGGCCCCTGCGACGGCGCCCGGCGGCACATTGTCCAGCAGCTCGCCGACGCGGGCGTCCTGGGGCCCGACCTCGTCTTCAGCCACGGCGCCTCCTTCACCGACGGCGAGCTGGCCGCCATCCGGGCATCCGGCGCGGGCATCGTCGGCACGCCCGACACGGAGCTGCAGATGGGCATGGGCTTCCCCGTCGTCTTCCGCGCCCGCGACGCCGGCTGCAACGCCTGCCTGGGCATCGACATCACGTCCAACCAGGGCAATGATTTCGTCGCGCAGATGCGCCTGGCCATCCAGGTCCAGCGCGCCTTGCAGAACGAGCAAGGCGGGGGGCTCCCGACCGTCGTGGCCCGCAAGACGGCAGAGGTCCTGCACATGGGCACCCTCGGCGGCGCCCGCGTGCTGCAGCTCGACCACCTCGTCGGCACCCTCGAGGTCGGCAAAAAAGCTGACCTCGCCCTCGTCGCCTGCGACGACCTCGAGACCCTCCCGGTCACGGACCCCGTCGGCGCCGTCGTCTTTCACACCTCCCCGGCCCACATTAACACCGTCATCGTTGACGGCGTCGTCCGCAAGTCGGGAGGCAAGCTCGTCGCAGACACCTCCAAGCTCAGGGACGACATCAGCCGCCGCGGCGCTGAGCTCAATGCCCTCGCGGCAACGTGCGACCTGACTGAGGCCCGCGTGAGGTGGCTCAAACTGCTCCGGGGGGAGCCTCTCTAGGTCACGTGGTCATTAGTATAGTTTATTCAAGTTGCATGCATGTATATTTATTCATTCCCTTATGCCAGCTTCATGAGTGATCAATGGCCCTCAATTGTGTGTGATCTTTGTTCTATATGTTTGTATTGTATGTATAACGTAGTCCACGGGTAAGTGAGCCACACGGGTAAGTGAGCCACACGGGTAAGTGAGCCACACGGGTAAGTGAGCCACACGGGTAAGTGAGCCACTCCTTATCGCTGCTTGTGTAAGGATTTTCTAACCTTTGTAGCTCCTTTATTTTTAGAGATAAAGGAACGTAGTAAATTATATTCTTAAACGATAAGAGTAATTTACCTCTCTTAAGAATACCTTTTTATAATTGTAGCTTCTTTACTACTAAACTAGTAATCTAAAGAGTGTGACGACCCAACCAACAGGTCGCAGGATCAGGCCAAGGACAAGGGCGGATCATGCACGCGGGGCAGGCACACCCCGAGGTTCTTATGTAATCACGATTCTTATGTCAGCAGGACAACCAGGAAGGATATGTGGATCGCAACATATCCAGCGATCCGGGATATGTGGATCGCAACATATCCAGCGATCCAGGATATGTGGATCACAACATATCCAGCGATCCCAACACAGGACACGATGAAGGACAAAGGATATATAGGGCACGAAGGATCTCCTTGTAGACAGTCATTACCTTTGTACTTCAGCGATCAATCTAAGTATCAGTTTCACCACACACTTGAACTAGTCACTCAATTGCCGAGACTGGTATCTCTTCCCAGAGACACGACAACCCCAAAGAGAGAACGACAGCAGTGTTAGTTGTTATCGCACAGGCTTTACCTATCTTGCAGAACAGCAACCCCAGCGCCCTGCCAGACGGTTGGCCCCGGAGGCAGGATCGTGACAAAGAGCTATAGTCTCCACTTTTCCTACCTAGCTATAAGTAGGTATTTTTAGTATAAATAGAAAATTACTCTAGTATTAATAGTCTTATCGTTTAATAATAGAGAAAGTTCTAAGTTAATAGCCCTTAAAATGGGAGAGTTATTTATATATAAAAAAGTCGGCTTAATGCGGCGATAAGGCAGTGGCTCACGTACCCGTGGGGCTCACTCACCCGTGGATTACGTTATATGTATGTATGCATGTAACGTAATCCACAAGCGACCCGCCCATACAAGCGACCCGCCCACTTTCTTCCCTCTAAACAAATCCTCAATCTTTTCCTTCATTCTCCCACCATTACCTCTTATGGCGCAATCTAAAGAACACGACCTTATCTTAGCGCTAAACGCGCTTCAATCAAACCCGAAATTAAGTGTTCGAAAGGCTGCATCAATCTATAATGTCCCACGTACAACCCTCCGAGACCGACGACGTGGCGTAGAGCGCAAACGTGATACCCGACCACATAACCAGAAATTGACCCCGTACGAAGAGGAGAGCATCGTACGATACGCAATCGACCTAGATTCGCGATCATTTCCGCCGCGACTTAGTGGTGTTCGAGAAATGGCGGATCGACTCCTCCGCGCACGCGACGCGCCGCGTGTCGGAACGAACTGGGCTACAAACTTCGTACGACGACGACCTGAGCTCCGAACGCGTTTTAATCGAAGAATCGACTATCAGAGAGTCCTCTGCGAAGATCCGGACGCGTATCGCGCGTGGTTTTTACTCGTACGAAACATAATCGCGAAATACGGGATACACGACGACGATATCTATAACTTCGACGAGACAGGCTTCGCGATGGGCAAGATCTCCCGCCGAGACTGTCGTTACAACCTCCGATCGACGCGGCAAGCCAAGAGCCGTACAACAGGGGAATCAGGAATGGGTTACAGTAATCCAGGGCATCGGGGCGTCCGGCAATTCGATCCCGCCGTACATCATCTTCGCAGGCAAGGTCCACCTCGACTCGTGGACGTCCGAAAGCCCTCTACCGCCTAACTGGGTAATTACGCTTACTGAAAACGGCTGGACGACGAACGAGAAAGGCCTAGAATGGGCAAAGCACTTCGACTTTTATACAAAGAGCCGTACGAAGGGCGCTTACCGGCTCCTCATTCTCGACGGCCACCAGAGCCACCACTCGGTCGATTTCGAGCTGTACTGCAAGGACCAGAATATAATCACGCTCTGTATGCCTGCTCATTCGTCGCATAAGCTCCAGCCTCTCGATGTCGGGTGCTTCGGACCTCTAAAACGGGCGTACGGAAACGAAATCGAAGGTCTTATGCGGGCGCACATTACCCACATCGCGAAGGAAGACTTCCTCCCAGCCTTTTACAAGGCGTACGACGCTGCAATTTCGAAGTCAAATATACAGGCAGGCTTTAGAGCGACTGGCCTAGTACCGTACGACCCGGAATACGTCATTTCGCAGCTAGATGTGAAGCCTCATACGCCAACACCGCCAGGTTCCTCTACAGGCCTCCCGCCACCCTGGGTCTCGAAGACGCCAAACAACCCGATTGAAGCCGAATCGCAGACTGAATACATCAAGAATCGTATCGTACGGCATCAGGGTAGCTCTCCTTCATCAATAATTGCAAGCTTACGGCAGCTAAATAAAGGAATCGCAATGATGGTGCACGAGCAAACCCTTGTACGCCACGAACTCGCCGAACTTCGAGATGCAAATGACCGCCTTAGCCGCCGTCGCCGTACAAAGAGAAAGCAGCTACAGAAAGGAGGATCCCTAACAATTAATCAGGCAAAGGACTTGAAGGATCAAATCGATGCGACGCAGCAGTTACAGGCAGAAACGAGTCAGAATAGTGGTCGCGCGAGGAGGACAGAGACGCGCGCGCGACGCTGTGGCGTCTGCGGGGAGCCCGGTCATAATGCGCGTACGTGTCAGAAAGTTGAGTCTATCTCTGAAGAAGAGGATTCTAAATAGTTTTGATTAATTTGAGGCGTTGTGGTTGAATGCACTTATACATTGTCGTGTAAGTGCCTAGAAAGTGGGCGGGTCGCTTGTGTGGGCGGGTCGCTTGTGTGGGCGGGTCGGTTGTGTGGGCGGGTCGCTTGTGGAGTACGTAACTATAAAAGTACCTACTTATAAAGCGAGCGAGACTACGTAATAGTACTACTACCGACTATTCGTACAGTCCCCAACTTGCAGAAGGATTTCTTCCCTACTCTTCAAAATGCCCGCTAGGGAAATAGGCTTCCTGACCGTTTCGATTCCAAATTGTCGTCCTATTATAACGGACCCCGCCCTAGAACTATGCGACTCCTAGAATGTAGCGACGGCAAGTTCAAGCTGACGAAGGACTTGATTCACGATATACCCAGATATGCCATACTGTCACACATATGGGGCCTAGATACCGAAGCGGTTACCTTCAGGAACTTGGTCGACGGGACTGGGGAGGACAAGACTGGCTATCATAAGCTCCGGTTCTGCGCGGAACAAGCGAGACGCGACGGCCTGCAATACTTCTGGGTGGATACTTGCTGCATCGACAAGTCCTGGTGCACGCGGTGTGCTTTAGGTACATGTCCGAGGGAGCAACAGTTGCTACAACGGTCAGGCTGTATCGGCACGGGCCCTTGATACGATAATGATGATATTCGGGTACGTACGGCACGCGGCAGGAGGATGGGAGACCTGTACTGTGGAGGATCTTATGCCACGGGGGTCTTTTCCAGATTATCTCTTGGGTTCTTTATATGGCACGTATGGTACCAACCCCACGCTTCTCCCGTGCCGGGGTGGGCAATGCCGGGATGGAAATGGTGAGGAGATCAGAGACACGGGGAGGGGAAGAGAACTGGGGTTAGTTAGCTGTGTACGCAGTAGATCGATGCAATTGTTGGAGAAGGTGGTCTGGGGAACGACTGACAAGGGGTCCGAAATGTTGAGAACCTGATTGGAATGTTGCGGAGCAGGAGTCGCGGAGCAGGAGTCGTGGCTGTTCACGTCTCAGATACCCAGGCTCCCTTGCTGGCAGATCTCTGCCATGCTCAGTAACACTCACAACAATACAGTAGGTACACTGGAGTGTACGTTTGTCGATGATATTGGTCTGAATTATGTTCTTATGACTAGCTGACTTTTTTTACTACAGAGGATAACGTAATCCACGGGTGAGCGGGTCACACGGGTGAACGGGTCACCTTCCAGTGACTCGTACGATAATGTATAAGAGAATTCAACTACAACGCCTTAAATCAATTGAAACTATGAGGAATTCTCTTCTTCAGAGGCAGATATAACTTTCTGACACGTGCGAGCATTATGGCCGGGCTCGCCGCAGACGCCACATCGTCGCGCGCGCGTTTCTGGCCTCCTCGTACGACCACTATTCTGACTCGTTTCCGCCCTCAACTGCTGCGTCGCATCGATTTGAGCCTTCAAATCCTTTGCCTGATCAATTGTAAGGGACCCTCCTTCTGTAGCTGGTTTCTTTTCGTACGACGACGGCGGCTAAGGCGGTCGTTTGCATCTCGAAGTTCGGCGAGGTCATGGCGCATAAGGGTCTGCTCGTGCACCATCATTGTGATTCCTTTATTGAGCTGCCGTAGGCTCTCAATAATGGACGACGGAGAGCTATTCTGGTGTCGTACGATGCGATTTTTGATATACTCTGTCTGCGATTCGGCCTCAATTGGGTTATTCGGCGTCTTTGAAACCCAAGGGGGTGGCAGTCCAGCAGAGGAACCTGGCGGTGTTGGCGTGTGAAACTTTACATCCAGCTGCGAAATCACATAATTCGGGTCGTACGGTACTAGGCCAGTTGCTCTAAAGCCTGCCTGGATGTTTGACTTTGTCATCGCAGCGTCGTACGCCTTATAAAAGGCTGGGAGGAAGTCCTCCTTTGAGATATGGGTAATATGCGCCCGCATAAGACCCTCGATTTCTTTACCGTACGCCCGTTTGAGAGGGCTAAAGCACCCAACATCGAGAGGCTGGAGCTTATGTGATGAATGAGCAGGCATACAGAGCGTTACAATATTCTGTTCCTTGCAGTAGAGCTCGAAATCGACGGAATGGTGGCTCTCGTGGCCGTCGAGGATGAGGAGGCGGTGGGTACCCTTCATACGACTCTTCGTATGGAAATCGAAGTGTTTTACCCATTCTAGACCTCTCTCGTTCGTCGTCCAGCCGTTCTCTGAAAGCGCGATTACCCAGTTGGGCGGTAGAGGGCTATTCGCGGTCCAGGAGTCGAGGTGGACCTTCCCCGCGAAGATAATATATGGTGGGATCGAATAGCCGTACGACGCGATACCCTGGATTACTGTAACCCATTCCTGATTACCTTGTTGTACGGCTCTTGGCCTCCCGCGTCGATCGGAGGTTGTAACAACAGTTTCGGCCGAGATCTTACCCATCGCGAAGCCCGTTTCGTCGAAGTTATAGATATCGTCATTGTGGATCCCGTATTTCGCGATTATGTTTCGTACGAGCTCAAACCACGCGCGATACGCGTCCGGATCCTCGCAGAGGACCCTCTGGTAGTCGATTCTTCGATTTAAACGCGTACGGAGCTCAGGTCGTCGTCGTACGAAGTTTGAGGCCCAGTTCGTTCCGACGCGTGGCGCGTCGCGTACGCGGAGGAGTCGATCCGCCATTTCTCGAACACCACTTATCCGCGGCGGAAACGATCGCGAATCTAGGTCGAGTATGTATTGTACGATACTGTCCTCTTCGTACGAGGTCAATTTCTGGCAGGGTGGTCGGGTTTCTCGTTTACGCTGCGCGCCTCTTCGTCGGTCTTGGAGTGTCGTACGAGGTACATTATAGATCTGTGCAGCCTTTCGTACACTTAATTTTGGGTCTGACTGGAGCGCCTGAAGCGCTAGAATAAGGTCGCATTCAATTGATTGTCGTTCCATAATTACTGGTGGAGAAAAAGGGGAAATAGGGTAGCCCATACGGAAATGACGGAAAGTGGCCGGGTCACTTGTGTGGCCGGGTCACTTGTGGATTACGTTAATTAGTTGAATCAGTCGTGGGGCCTTGCTGTCAGGTTTAGTGCAGCCAAGGGAGTTACATAGTGCTAATAAGTCTACGCACAGTCTTGAGCCATAATTGGGTCAAAGAAGTCCGTGCGGAGTCTACGACTTTTCTGCATTTTACGGACACTGGATCGCGGTCGCCACTGAGTGGCGACCGCGATCCGTGTCCACAAAAAGCTAAAGCAGGTGCAGATGATGGAGATGCTGACGTCCGGGATGGAGACGGGGATGTAGCTGGGCCTTGGGATGCCAGAGACTGCAGGGACGCCAGGAACAGGGACAGGAGCACCGACGACCGGGCCAACACTGACGCTGATCAGGGGTCCAACAAGGGGGGTGTTGACAACCGGGGTTGGGATGGCTGGAGCAGGCGCAGGAGCAGCAACAGGAGCAGGAACAGGAGCAGGAGCAGGAACAGGAGCAGGAGCATTGCCCAGCACCCAGCAAGCCTCCCAAGAGGCGGCGACCCAGCCCGTTCGAGGTCAGCTGTCCCTGGTGCCACGCTCCTCAACGCCGACAGCGCGCTTGCCCTTCTGCGGGGCGGCATAGGCGCTGGCGAGGCAGGTAGCCGAGGTAGTACCCGAGAACGTAGTCAGGGTCGAGGTGATGGTGCTCGTGACGGTCTGAGCCACAGCGGGAACAGTAATGGTGTTGGTGTTGATGACAGTCACGGCCCCAGGACCGGTGACGGTGACGGCCGATGTGACGGTCGCGGCAACACCAGCTGCCTTGGTGATGGTGGTCGTAGGCACCTTGACGTACTGGCCGCAAAAGGGAACGAAAGATGGGTCAACCAGGAGGTTGTTGACAATGATGTTGTAGGGAATGCAGAGAAGGTTGTTTACGAGCTGGCGCTCCTCGAGGACTACGGGAGCGGGCAGGGCAGAGATGCCGACGGGCAGGACTGCCGCAAAGAGTGTGAAAGCACGCTTGATGCGAGGATAGGCCTTTTGTTCTTTGAAAGAAAGACTGGCGGTCAATGAGGCCGCTGGATAAAAGTGATGACTGATGCTGATGATGGAGAACGAAGAGGCTTCCCCCAATGAACGAGGACTGCCATGCGAGGTTTTATACAAGACGACAGATCGAGGCAATCGGGGAGCCCGCGTCTGTCATCCATTCCTCGTCACCGATGAAGCCCTCGTCACCGATAAAGCCCTCGTCCTGCCACGGACAATCCCGCGGCTCTTTCCAGGGTCTAGGACCAGTTCCGGGCGAGTCTAGATGGCCTGTCGAGAATGCCAAGCAGCACTGACCCTGACAGGCCACCCTATCTAGCCAAACCATCCAAACTCTCCTAGGCTGCGAGGGTCAATAAGCGCAGCCCTGCTGTCTTGGCACTGCCGTAGGGTCGCGGGCGGACGCAGGTCCGGTCCAAGATCCAACCTTAATTCAATGTCTCCCGACTGGGCTGGAAGGCGAGGCCGAGTCATGCGATGCTTGCCGCCCCATCCGGATTGAGCAAGGGCATGGAAATTGGCAGTCGAGATCTTTGGCGCCATTCTTGGCGCGGGTAATTCCTCGTCGCTTGATCCACCACTCACGTCACTACGTGGCCAGCTGCGTGCTATTGACTGTGAGACAAAGAATGTGGGGAAGGGCAACTGAGCTTTGAGACTCCACCGTCACAGTCCCGCGGTCCAGAGCATAGGGAGGGAGACCATTCATCGTGGTGGCGCTGGCATGCGTCACGAACAAGGTTTGCTGAACCAGTACGTAATCTCAAATGCTCATATGGTGCTCTTCCACGGCCCTGGACGTGATGGATGACTGCTGTCGTGCTAACCGGGCGGGGTTCTGAGGATCGGGTACAGGCAAGGAGGGATATCGTCTATCGGCACGTGTTGTGCCTGCACTCAGGGTGGTCTAGATCTGGCGTGGTCGGCGTGCTCCCATGCATCTCAGCCAAGACAGAACTATCCCCTAACATAGCGCAGGGTAGGTGGCTGGGGCCTACAATGTAAAATGTTGATCGCTTAGACGTACTGCTTAGTAAATGACATTATCACGACGAATCGTCCGAGACTATCTTGACCACCCACGACTCGCACACTGCGCGCTAATCAGACGATACGCACCTCCTGGGCACTCTGCTCCCAACCATGCTCCAGCTTGAATGCGTCCCCGTCTATATACCCATGCACAAAGGCGGTCCCGACCATTCGATACTCTTGGCAGCTGTCGGAAGTCGGCCTCAAGACGAACGTAGTCGTAATACCCACGGGCTTGAAAATAAGGTCACCAGGCCGGCTTCTCACCGGGATCCACGAGAGATCACAGTCTCCAGCTAGTGCCAGCTGAGCTCCGTGAATGCCAAAGTGCCGGATAAACTCTACGCCAGCCTCGATCTCCGTGCGACTAGGCCCGGGAGTTCCGTCAAGTGTCTCAGATTGCACTCGTAGCTTGGTCCCGTGCGGCATATTAGGTCCTGGAACGAGGATCCTCATGGCGGCGCGGTACCCTGCCCTGATGTGGCGTGCACATTCATCACAATCTGTCAACTGGCCATTATTTGAGCTTTGGGTCAGTGCTGCGTGATCATCGTGAGCCTTCCATGATGTGGTGGCAAGGAAGGCCCGAGCCAGAGTGTAGGTGACGTCATCCTCTGCCATCCCCTGCGACGAAAGGTACTCGGCAGCATTTTGGAACGCCTGGCCGGCTGGGTGGGCTTGTGCTGTGGTCGGACTCCTGAGGAACTGCTGGACATGCTGGGTCGGCCGCCTCTCCACGAGTCCGAAGCTCCTTGATATTGCTCCGATTGGAACAGCCTTGACAATTAGGACCCGGTTGTTGTTCTGGAATCTCAAGACCGATGCAGCCGGGCTACTGAGCTTGATACGAGTGTAAGGAGAAGTCTGGACGAGGCCTGTCGCTTGGTGCCTGGGCGCCCACATCGGCACCCACGACGGCACCCCTTTCTCGGGCGCGATGTCTGGCACGTCTCTCTGCTTGAGATACATGCTCAAACCGTCCTTACTAAGCATGGCCACGGCTGTGTCCACCAGGACATCCTCGAGCGACTTTGAATAGTCGGCTTCGATGCCCAGTGCCTCTCGGTCCTGCGCTAGGCTAAGAAGTGCATACACAGCATCTCTCGGGTCACTGCACAAGGAGTTGCGGAACCAGTGGAGCAGGTCGCTCAGGTTGAGTTGTGTCTCGGTCATGACCACCCGCTGTATGCGCCACAACATTGAGACGTTCGAGAGGTTTCGCGCGTCTTCGTCCGAGAGTCTCCCCCCATTGGGTAGTCGTCGATCCCAGAGCTTGAATAGAAGAAAGCCGCAAAGGATCAGGATGGTTCGCTGGTCAAGAGTCCTCCCGCCTCGCAGTATCAGCACTTTGGGATTAAGCACGTTCTCTTGGACCATCCATCTGCGACGACCCCACGAGCCTAGCAGGATTCGCATCAAGCCTCCCCAACCTTTGTGAACAGGTAACGGGCTCCGAAGCCTTTGCCGAAGTCGACTGAGTTCCGACGTCGCATCCGCGTGATCGGTCGTGTCGATTTCGAGCCCGCCATCATCTTCAAGCTCCGCGTCAAGCGTCATCAACCATTTCCACATGTCGTCGTGCAGGTAATGCGTCCAGAAAGGAGTGATGTACTGGATTGCAAGCGTATCCAGCAACGAAATGGCTTCCTCATCTTCGCTCGACTCCGGTCCAGCATAAGTGACCACCAACATGGCTTGTCGGTAGATGTCGCCCATTCTCTTGACTTGTGCTTCCTTGTCCTTCAAGTCCTTCTGGTCGATGCAGATCTGGTCGATCCAGAAACGCTTTGGCTGCACGTCGGACCTCATCAGATCCTTGAGTGCGTTGTGCAGATTCCGGGTGAGTGGGAGGACACCCTCTTCATCTCCTGCTGTGCTTCGGACTGCAAGTTGATAGTCGATCTGGTCGCCTTCCCACGGGTATGAGAGCGCGACATATTTCGCGCCGGGGAAGTCGACGTGTTCGATACAGCACTGCAGCTCTCCATCTGCAGTCCCGGTGTCGAGGTGCAAGATGCGGATCTGGCTTTTCGGTAGAGGCTGATGCTTGTAATACATGGCGTCGCAGAAGTGGAAGACTTTTGGCGCGTACTATTCCTGCAGACAGCCGGGCGTGGTTCACAAATGAAGATACGACACTCGGATTCTGATGCGGGACAACAGTTCGAAAGAGGGGTCAGGCCTCGCTGATGTCCCGCTTCGATACAGTCAGCACCAATGAGAGACTCTCGAGACCATAGCCATGCATGAGTCCTCATGCATCCCATAGAACAACATGGTATTTGTAAACTTGATCCATATTAGAAGTATCAGCTGCTTAATTCTCTTCCTCACCACCAGAGCCGTTTCCAGTCTTGTCCTTTGTCCTATCCGGGATCTCTGAAGTGTCTTCTGCCCCATCGTCTTCATTGCCAACATTACTGGGCTCCTTTTCCGTCTTCCCTCCCCCCTCCAGCATCTTCTGCTCTGCAGGCTGCTTGCCCTTTTTCCGAGACGACGACGACTCCTCATCGCCCTTGTTGCCCTTGGCATCATCTCCCCAGAACGACGGGATCAGCTCATTGTCCGCCTGCCCCTGCTCGTAGTCCCTCTCGCGACCCAGCATGCGCCGAGCAGCCTCCTTGCCTACTACGGGCATCGACGTCGCGCCCTTCTCCTTTGCCCTCTCGGGCAGCAGCTTCGGGTCGAGCAGGCCGACCTGCATCAGCACGCTGGCCTGGTCCCAGTAGACGTGCTCGTGCTGCAGCTTCCCGGCCCTGACGGCGACGATGCTGACGATCATGATCTCGACGCGCCGGTTCGTGGGCGGCACGTTGGGCAGGATCCACGGCATCTCGTGCGTGTGCTTGAACGAGACGTGCAGCTCGTCGACGACGCGGTCGGCGCCGATGGTGCGGGAGACGGGGGTGATTTCGAGCGAGTCTGGGTGCGTGTTGACAAAGAAGTTAGAGTAGAAGGACTGCAGCTCGCTGGCCCCGATGCCGCCCGTGAGCGTAGGCATGTGGGTGACGTGCGGCGTCGCGTTGCTGAACGTGGACATTGTCTGCTTCAGGTTCTTGCTGAAAAACTTGGCTATTTTGGAGTATATTAGCAGCCAGGCGCGACTGTGTAGTCTTCCTTCAGGGCTGCCACTTACCCTGGATGTTGGTATCAACAATTTCCTCGAGGTCGATGTCGATCTGGAACGCCTTCTTCGCTGCACTCAAGCTGCGCGTCCATGCGAGCTCGGCGCTGACGGGTTCGTACTCTTTCAGATCGTGCTCAGCGAACCCCGGCTCAGCATCGTAGCTGTACGCCGGGTACTTGATGCCGGGCAGCCTGCCGCCGACACCGAGACCGGCGTCAATCTGGCGATGGCGGGCGCGGTCCTTGCCCTGGATGCCGACCATCTGCGCCCGCTTGACCACGCCGACGTCGCTGCCGGCCAGGTGCACGAGGACCTGGATGCCGCCGGGGTACCGCGAGTCCGGGTCTGGGATTTGGGTTGGATAGTATGCGACGAGGCAGCCGAGGCGGAGTTCGTGGTTGTTGTCGAGGTTGTGGAAGTGCAAGAGACACGCAGAGGCCGCATCGCCGTACGCTGTCGTATTGTGCTATGGTCAGCCAGAGGGAACCCCGGACTAAAGAGCGGACTGCTTCGTCCAGTCGACTAGTTGCTTAGCGCCCTCCTGACTTACCAATTATGCCAAACCGCTCACAAGGCCCCAGCTCCCTGCGGCTGATCTCGTGCAGCTTGTTGGCGTACTCGGAGCCGCCCTTGCCCATGGACAGATACTCGACATCGAAGCCCTCGCTGCGCCACTGGGCCAGGGCGCGGCTGTCAAAGTCGTCCGTCTCGGCCGTGACGTAGAGCTTGGACGGGCTGCGGGGGAAGTCGCTTGAGAGGAAGCTCTGGTCGAAGCGGTTGACGGAGCGCGCCATGCTGCCGCCGAGCACCTGGATGCGCCGCCCGTCGCGGTTCTCGGCAGCGACGTCGATGAAGCCGGGAAAGTTGATGTTGACCATGTCGTGGGTTGTGCTGTGGATTGTGTTGTGATGCTGTCGTATGTTGCTGCCAGTGGCGTATATCGAGAGTCGCGAGTCGCAACAGGGGCAAAAGTAGATTCACCCACGCAAGAATGCTCAGCCGGCCCCCCAGGACGACATGTGGTATTGTCGGCCATGGTCACATTGTCTCGTTCTGACGTCGGCAGGGTGCAGGGATTGGATCCGGTTCCTGGGCTGGCAGATCCGCGGGGTCCACGGCGGAAGTGGCCGGTTGTGACGTCATGGGCATACGTTGCTCCATCGCACGGCGGCTCACAGAGTTCTGCCCAAACCTAAGTGTGCCAATTCAACAGTGGTGATGGAGGAGGTCCAAAGTGATGATGATTGATGAAATACATCATTGTTGCATAGTGCAGCACGGGCGGCAGTCGAATAGTGCTCGGGGGAACATCCGCATTTGCGAAGTATGGATACCGACGCGCTACCAGCATATGAGACTGAAGACCTGATTCCTTCCCCGCCTGTTCTACGGACTGAACCTTCCTAGCGCCTCAGCTGAGTGAGCTCACCCTGGACCCATCCATAGAGGCATATTGGTGATGGCCTTAGCGATCGAGGCCCCGCGCTGCAGCTCCCAGACCTGTACTCCCGCTTAGTTGTCCTCATAACCGTCCCAGTAGTTGTGAGGTGGGAAGTCGACCCTTGCGAGCTCCTCCTTCTCCTGATATCGCGTAGCCCAGAAGCGGCCGTCGCAGCTTCAATCCCCGGACGCTCTCACTCCCGGAGGACTCCCACCATGTTACATTGGAAATTGTGTTCTCCTTCCTGCTTCCGACGCGTCAATCAACTAGCAGCTGAAGGTCGTGGAAAGCGGCGGCCGACCCTGAGAGTTGCAAACGCTACCGCTCTAGGTATTATCGGTGCTCTTCTATCTTCAACCCACATCCGCGACGCGGAATAGGTGACGTCCACGGAAGCCGACGTCAGCAGTCACACTCGGTCGGCTTCGCCCTTCCTAGCTCCTCGTACCCGCCTATGTTCTCAGCACGGAGACGGGGGGTTTCACCTTAGAAGTCTACGATGAGGCTCGGGATGGCGCCTTCCTTCCCCGAGTTCCGGAGACGTGTCCAAAATGTCTCGGCACCTGTACGGCTATCTCGTACCTGCAGTCGATCGCGAGCGCCGAATTCGGCTGTGGGGCAAAAGAGTACCCTGCGCCGGCCGCAAGGACGGTGAGCTCGGCCCAGGCCCGGGACTTCCGCGGGAAGTTCAAAAGTCCATCCGCACAAAACTTACAGTATGGCTTTCATAGAAGACTCCGAGACTGTGTTAACCCGTAACGTGACTCGACCTTTTCAGTATAGACGTTACGTAATACTTCGAGAAATCGAGAGCGAGCTGAGACAATTTCCTTATGTACTAGACATTGTAACTATCCGACAATAATAGTTGCGTCCAAATGGCGGGTGCGCAGTTGTACTTCAATCTCCACTAAGGTAGTGTTCCGGGAACTCGAGCAATACGGTCCTCGGTCAAAGAGCATCACAAGACGATCGACACTTTCTTTCTGCTCGGTTTTGTTCTTCTGGATAGCCTGATCCGGCAGGTATGTGACGCGGTTGTAAACTGGGTCTGGCATCATAAAGACGGTAAGCTCACGTTAATTCACTCGGTCCAAGGCTAGCTGGCGCTGTCGGAATCGGGGAGCAAGAACAGGAAACAAGGGAGGCTACGAGCAGCTACTATATAATTGCGGTAGAATAGGAAGCCTGAGCTTGTGATTGCTCAGTAGAAATGATAGGAACAATGAACGGCAATGGATCACTGCTGAGTCAATGTGTGTTGTGGTTGACGAAGGAACGGCAAGCCTGAGTTCCTTACCGCTCCGTTGGAACCTGCATGGCAGGCCTGAGTCAATTATTTCTTAGTACGAACAATAGGTAAATGGTAATGGATCATCGTTGATTCCAGAAGTATTGATGCGCACTTGAGTCTCATAATAAACACCCACAATCCCACCGAGCCTGGCCTCCATCATCTCAACATGTCTCTACAGCCAGCTCCCGAAAATCCGGCTGCCGTTCGAAGTTCCTCTCGTGACCTGCAGAGATTGGCTCTCGACTGTGCGATAGAAAAGTCTGAGCTCAGCACAGCTACGATGATAAGGTCTGAACTTCATTGTTTTATAGGATCAGATCTTGGCCTTATACCCCTAACATCATTCGCAGCTGGTAGTTATAACAGTTCAGGGCGAAAAAGAGATTTTTGGGGGGCCGCATAATCAGACCAAGAATAAGGACGGATCGGCGAGGGAGATCCCAAATTCTTAGTAGGCGCGAAGCTGAAGACTACACGACACCATCATCGCAGTCTAGGGGCATGTGTCCAAGGTCGATGCCCATATGCTCCCATCCTAATTCTGCAAATTGTATCTATGGTTCCATCTAAGCAACCAAACCTATGGAGCTGTTGTAGTGCGAAACGACGACTGAGACATGTCGAGGCCGGTATTCGAACGCATGATCCAGTAGTCTGCCCTACCCATGGTATGAGACGTCGCTTTCGCCAATGCTTGTTCCAGCAGCTCATCAACCTAGACGTGGTACGGTCAATGAACTGACCCAAGGTGCTAGGGGCCCTAAGCAACGAATATCACCAATACCTAGTGTTAGAATGCCGAATTTGCCCCTGAATTCTAGTCGAGATAGGAGCCGTCTGAGGTTCTCCAGGTCTACAGGGGATGCTAAGCAAGTAATTGTTCTGTTGGCCAGGGCTGGTTATTCGTATCACTGGCCCTCCATGCATATAGATAATGGCACAGCCACCGCAATCGAATAGAGGTCGTACATCAAAGATAATATTTACGTGTTGACACTGTCAATTTGTTAGATTGCACGGCTCTCGGCAAGTAAACTTTGGTGTTGATGTCCAATCATGACAAATTATCTCAAGATTCGTTATATCAGTCATTTATCCCTGGACTATTTGAAGTCAAATAAGCAGTTTCATTTGGCATACCAGAACAATGGTATCAGTTAAAAGTCAACCACGTACTTCCCGCTCCTAAAGGGTGACTCATACTCAGTCGCAGGGCGCTGTGGAGGTGAAAACCGCTGTGAATAAAGAGAGTGTTGCGAAGTCCGGGTGCAACCTGAAGCCCGAAAAAACCACGAAGAGGAAGACCATTGCGAATCAAGCGAGCTCTGCGAAGATTAAGAGAGCCCCAAAGAAGACCACAAAGGCGAGGGGTACGGCGAAGTTTGACAGCCTAGAAAGCGCGGTGAATAGCGAAGGGCGTCAGACGCTGCCTATTTGCACAATGCGCGACGCTGCTAGTGACGTAATCGCGGAATGGTGCAGTCGAGACTGGCCGCAAGATCGTGCACTTTCTCGTCTAGTACCTGAGCTGGGACCTATCCAGACAGAGGCGGAGGCTCTTACTCATTCAGAGCTTCGGGAGCGCCTGATAGAACTGGTCACCAACTGGGTGGATCGAGGGCTGAGTAAGGACACAGAGAAACGCAAAATCGATATACCCAGTCAGGGCAAAACGATAACTACAACGTTCTTGCTTGTCATTAGGTATATGTCCAAGAATGTCAAAGACATCGAAGACGGGAATCTTGCAACACGGTATACGATCTCAATGGCAATAGACAGATGGGTCATCCAGTCTCGGTGTCCTAATTATGCAGAAGAGCAATGGAGTTGGAAGCAAAGTCAATCCCAGTGGGCAGTGCGTCCATTCCAAGAATCGAGGTTCAATCGATATTATGATGCTGTTGTGAAGGATAAATTTAGTGAAGTACAAGTCGATTTCCAGAAAGAACTCATACAAATGGAAAAGCAGCAACAAGAAGATCGAGATGCGGGAATACAAATTCTCACTACCGAGATTACGACAATTGAACAACCCGAAACGACTGAGGATCCACAATGGACAAATGAGGACGACAGTAAATGGTTTTGGGGACCGGGAGGGTCCTTGGATGAAGCAATCAAGACTTGGACAAAGAAAGGACTACAGAAAAAACTGATCGATGATTATGAACAGGATGGGTGGATATATAAGCAGCTTCTAGTTTGCCTTATCGCCTATATAAGCCAACAAGACTTCAAGTCCTCAAGGAGTCCCGCACTATTTGCTCGCTGTCAAATGTGGAGGAGGGCTATAGACTAACCCGTTGTTATTAACAGCGTCAATTACGACTATGTATACGACTTTTTCGAAAATCTCGATACCCGAGTAAACTACACGCCCTCTAAGCTACTTAAAATGGATTGGGTTTGGGGTAATTGGAACTATGTATGGAACGTGAGGGTTTACAGCCATAGCCGTAATAGGGCGCTTCTGGTTAACCCTAATGCTGTTTTGTTCAAAAAAGGAGCAAAACTATATATAACGAAGCTCGATAACGAGAGTAAAACCGTGGGTGAATCTGTCATTGACCTTCCGCGCAAGGCAACGGTCTATGAGGTTATTTGCCAGATCAACTTTTTCTATGCTAGGGAAAACAAAGCGTCAGGGGGCCTGGGCGAAGCAGGTCGCTACTATAGTCATCGTTGGGATCGCCATTATGTGGACTTAAGCCACTTTGAGAAGTATAATGGTAAACTAGCTATGGGGAAACATTGGAAACTTGTGGTGCATCTTTAGAAGAACTCAATGGATTAGCGACTAGGGAATGGGTAAAGGGAACAATCTTTAAGCCGGGTTGAGATTTATCGCAGCAACTTACTAGGCTGCGCCACTACAAAAGTAATATTTGGAACGTATGGATCGACGAATACTGGAGATCACGCCATATATGCAATGTCATGAGTACACACCTCGATGCCTCTCTCATTCTCTTGAGGGACATGTCACGTTATATGGATGGTCCGTGCATGTACCAGATCTCGTGCGGAAAGGGCAATAAACACCCAAAGGTTGACACGCGTGAGGCTGCCAGCGTCATCTGCAATCTCTATTTCCTTATTTAGCTCGCGCTCTGTACAACTGCGACCTCATCTGTCCGACGCCTCAGATCTACGGTCGACCTGTTCCCATCTGAGCTAAGTCCCGCCACATAATGCCTGCGTCGGAATTGAAGGACGCGCTCGTGGGCTTTCCGCGCTTGTTAGTCTCGACCGCGGGAAAAAGGTGGGGACACAATGTTGGGATCACCTTCCCTTCGTTATTAGACAATACATAGCGGTTTCGATGGATCTCTTACCTACGATAAATAGGTCCTCGCTCGTCCAATGGCCATCAGTGAGCGATGTCAGGTCATGGGTAGGTAAAGGGGACGTGTACGGACCGAGAAATTGGGATCATGGGCCAAAATCACCTTTATATTATCACCCTGGCCAACTAGTCTGCTCTATCTCGCCGAAGCGAGCCTCACTGGCAATAACACCGAACCTAGCAGGCGGTAAACTCCCTTTGCTAATTAGGTAGGGCATCAGCTGACTCAAAAAAATGCCAAGGGAGTTCAGGAATGCAACTGTGCTAAGACAGAGGGAACCGAGCAAGTGCACTGGTCGCGCTGCACAGCGCAATAAAGGGACTGGCAGCGTTCTCGGAGGTGATTCCTCGACATTATTACAGGTTTCCGATGAGAAGGAAACGGGTGTTGAGTAATACAAATTTCGTAGCGCCAGGAAAAACCAGCTTAGGTTCATGGACGCTGCTGATTAGGCACAGCAGACCAATGACACAAATCCGAGTCGCCATCCTCCATACATTAGTTTTAGGTGGCGCGGACAAAGCATCCATTCGACCTTGACGTCAAGTAAAAATGAAAAAGTGGTAATCATCCCCGAAACCTCATAAGATGGGTCGGTTACGATGATAGCGATAATAGATGGGATCCAGAGGAACTTGGGTTGCCATATTTTCTTCCTTCGCGTAGCCCGTCATGTCACCATGTCACCTGCATCCGCAGAGTCTCGTCGTAATCAACTTCACTGAGTCCAATTTTGCTGCACGATGCCGCGCCATGGTCCCATTGTATCAAGTATGGCCGTACCTATCGGATGGTTCCCAAGACACGCCCGCTGGTTGGAGTGCGTGAAGGGCTGTTACAAGTGCGAAAGTTTCGTCCCAGGGCTTCAAATAATGAAACACTTGGAGAAACACGAGTAGTTGAGGTTCCAGGAAGAGAAGGCCGAGGGCGACATGGTTCGCCTTTAAGCGAAAATGACGGGAATGCAGGCTCGTGTGTCCGAAGCGTTCTCTCGTCTCGCTCGCCTACGGAAATAACAGCGCTCCCTGAAGAAGCGTACCGAAGTCCTAGCTTCCGCGGATGCTGGGAACCTAAATTGGATTATATTACATAGCGGAGATGTGCCGGATTCCAGCTGCTGTGGCCGCTTCGTCGGAGTCGAAGCGCAGCGGATGCTACGTTCTCGCGGCCATGTGCTGGCTCCGGGGTGTTTTGGCTTCATCTGGTGGATCGAACTGGGTACGATTCTAGTAGTCCCTGGGACTTACACTCTGACGACACTGCGCATCGGGCGAGTCTGGTACGTAGGGTGATATCCATCTGGGGGTCACGCGAAGATTAGGTAACCGAGGACCGATGCCCAGGCACTGGCGGGTCGGTTGCAAACCATTTGACAGTCAGTCAGGAGCCAGTTGACCACAATACATATCTCTGAAAATCGGTAGTGAGGACAGAATGAGACGTAGAAATATTTGTTACCCAAATACTTACCTAGAGCTATTGTTGCCATCGGGTCCTTATTGTGGTCCAGATCCCAACAATGTTAAAGAAAATTCCTGGATATGTTATAGCGGAGGTTGCCCGCCGGATAGTTTCCGCATGGCAGCGAGAAAAGCAAGCGGGCTGATTCTTTCAACGCGGAGCAATCTTGGATGGCATTTTCTGTAGTCTTATCATCGTGCTCCTGTGAGCAAGCTGAGGAAAGATGTAGTGATACCCGAGCTTTTCAAAGCTGGGCCCTTAGCCGGCAGTATACCTACTAGCACGGCGCCGCTCCCCCGATCGTCGATTGTTTCCTTTTCTCCCCAGAACAGTCCTGCGTGCGAGTGCAGACAGGGCCTGCCGACGGCTGCGTTATTAGAAACCAAGCAACTCTATAGCCTAGCTTGGGACGGCGAGAAACATCGACTGATCCGTCCTTCAACACGACGGGGTGTCAGTCCACTTCTAACGAGACGTCAGTCAAAGGGTGAGGAAGCTCACCAAATTATGGATTTCAAGTGGTTGGCCGAGCAATAAGCAGACCTGTATAAGGGGAGCTGATCAAACACGCTAGTGCGAAGCTGTACACCATCAGGTGCGATACGGCCGGGCGCTGCCACACGACGCAGCAGTTTGGATGGAGTAGTACAAAACTGGGGCTGTTTGATACGAGAGGGGATAGATAAGGTCTATAGAAGAAGCACAAAAACGGCGGCGGGTTACTTCTGATACGATTCAAGGCTTGGCGTTTTACTCTAGCGAAAAGATCCATTAATTCGGGTCCGCCGTGCGATGGCTGCGGCTGTTACAGGCGCAGCTCAAATCACCTACTTTCAAGCATCGAGTTGCTTGGAAAGTAAGGTCCTTTCATCAGACTCTGATAGTGAGCAAGCATGTACGTGTAAACCTAAGTTAGGTATCAAACTTGTTAGTGGCGCTGGAAGAACACCGCACGAGCATCCAGCAGCTCATACCTGATCCCCCGCTAAGTCAGGACTGAGATCATCATACAAGGACGGTGCCGAGTTTCCTGATCATCCCCGTTGCAGGTGCTCGCTAACTATCGGTAGATGAGCATCTATGATACTAGTTGTTCACCTAATCATAAGACATGGTACACCTATACGTCCCCTTATAGCCCGGCTAGACCTTTGAAGGCCGCTGTGTCGGCCCAAATTTAGGAACAGGTTGGATGACATCACAACAGTAGTCCTCCGTATTCTAGGCCCGAGACATTTAGCACCTCGTGGCAGCGCACCGATTGCAACCGGACCAGAAGGCTGCGCGTCGTCACAGGCAGAGATTTGTTCGGTCACAACACCTGGTTATACGTTTCAATATCTGTGGCATTCGGATGCACAGAACTCCGACTCTCTCATGATGTCATCATAGGCGAGACGCTCATGTTCACATCAACATCTCACAGAGGAGACTATACGACGCAAGTGTAAGGATGAGGTGAAAATTACCTGTATGCACGAACCTTGAGAGGCAGGCATGGTCTGCGCGCACGGTAGGCTACGGCAGACAGGCGACGAAGTGCTGGGTCGATTGGCCACCGAGCCTATTCGGAGATGACGCTGGCCACCTTTTTCTCTCCCAAAAGACTACAGTGTTTGCAACGCCGCCCGAAGACGACAACTGAGACATGTTGGTTCTCTAGAGGGCCGAGATACGGTACAACGCGGATTGTGCTGACAGACTCACGGTAGATAGCGAAACCAGCAGCAGGAGGTGGTTGCTCATGCCCCTTAGCTTAACATACCTAAGAGCGATAACGATGTCGCTTTGTCGCCCCCAGCCTTGGGGACGTGGCGTCACCAGGCTCCAGTGATTAACTTTCCCAGGCCGTATGATAGACCAATCATGTTCGCACCAGTTCAAGTGGAAGAACGCTGGGAGACACGCGGTTAGCCAATGATAGTGACATCCGGCACCTCTGTCGTTTCTCCTGCTAATCCCTCGAAGTGTCGGTGGAGATCCACCTGGACCAGCGGTTGGTAGGACCATGGGCAGTGGGATTCCGGTAGCAAATTCTAACACGATTCCGGCTGAAATTGGCGGAATGACTCCAGACTTAATTACAGCGGCGAGATGATTTGTGTGTATCTGTTCTAAAGATACCACTGGGGTCTGCTGATATGCAAATAGCAGAGCATCTAGGCAGCGCGGAGCCCTAGTAAGAGGATTCGGCCTGGGTATCTTCTCGGAAGCTTACCAACGACACCTGCCACACAGAACGTCGGCCTACCTGAAAGCGTGGTGTAACGGATTTTGAGGTTACGTGACAGAGATCACAGGGCCCCTCCCAGCACACAAGCTGTTGGAAGATGCCATTTAGCGCTCGAGCCCCCCGGCCGCTGCCCCAAATGTCACATGACCGATGAAACCCCGCCTTTCGAAGTGCTAGACAACGGTGATCATATTATAACTCAATTTTCTAGTACTTATAATGTAAGGACTTTGTTCCAAGGTCATGTATCACTATGCAGTTCTACGAAGACATAAAGTGAATGTGTTCTCCCCAACTTAGTTGAGTCCATCTGCAACAATCCCACATGCGTCTTGAAGCACGGTTGTCCGAAAAGTACCCATTCTCGCGGTTCCAATGCTCTTCAGGCGATGGGCAATACATAGCGTACATTGACGAAAAAGAGCATGTCATACTAAGCAGGTATCCGACGGGGAAGAACAAAAAAGACGATTCCATTTATACTGGTAAACTGTCTGCAGAGGACGGTGAGCAGTCGATGTCTTTTTCTGAGGACTCTCGCTATTTCCTGCATGAGGAAGGCAACGAAACAGTTACCTATCAACGTCTAATCGATGTTCGCGAGGGCACTTCGAAGACGTTACCAGTTCGAACACACTACTCTACTGCAGGCTTCATTAAATGGCAAGGAGAGCCGTGTGTGGTTGTTTGCTGCTCAGAAACAGTCGAAGGACCGACTTCAATCCAAATATATCGCGTACCGAATTTATCATGCAGACTACATTATTCGAAGGAAGAGCTGATAGAACCGCTGAACAAACGGCTAATCACAGGCCTCTTGCAGTTGTCGGATAACGAGATTGTTCTCGCAAATGGTCGACTCTTTCTCTGGACGATAGATAATGAGACAATGGAGGAGATAGATACGAAAGACCTGGAGATATCTAACATTTCTCGAGTCGGGAAAACAAATTTAATTGCAGCCTGGGCGGATGAGGAGATCAAAGTTGGAAAGATAAAAAGCGTCAGGGACATCCGTATTTCTCCTGTACCGATACTTTGAATCTTGCAGGACCTGTTAGAGATATGCGCGTCTCAACCGATGGAAGAAGGTTTGCTCTTGTTACCGCACCAAGTAACCGTCAATCCATGCAATTTGTAGAGCACTGGACCCGTAGCGAGTTAGACGAGTTATACGACTACGCAGGCAAGCTGCTAGCGGGACAACGTTATCAACACAGCTTTTTTCAAGGTAACTAGTATATATCAGGCTTCTATTACTATTTGTAGTACATGTCATCTTTTTAGTCTAGTAATCTCCACGCCTTAGAATTTAGGTAGACTTATATTCTACTATTTTATTCGACCCCGGAACTCAGTTTACGCCTGGCGGCTAGGAACCGATTTCATCACCCAGGCTGTCGTATGCCCGTCTCATCCTGGTAAGGTCTGGAGGTATAAATCTCTAACTTGATAGGGTACTACGCAGCTTAATATATCATTCCGCCCTAGTTTGAGCCAAATTCCAGGGGCCTATATGCCTGCCCTCCATATGCGATGTCGGGTGGCCTTACTGAAGACAGACCGCCGAGGCAATTTCTCCACCTATACGTAGAGTAGAAGCTACGACGGCGAATTAGTCGAGAGATTTGTTTTGAAACTATTAAGATTTCCATAAATACATGTGAATTCCAGCCTGCATTGATCTGGTAGGAAGAAAATCCACGGCACGTCTCGGCAGGCACTACTACTTGTGTATGGCCGATAGATGATGTGTACCAGAAACCGTACTAAGGCGGCCCAAGAGCGATCACTCAGGAACGTTGTTACGACTACAATATGTGTGATTTAAGGAAGCATGAGCGTCAAAATGTAAGCGCTTGTACACAATCCCTTCTCCAAAACCGTCCACAATTCCCAATCAGTGGGCACCTTGGCAGGCCACTACGCAGGATGAGCGCATGGAGTACAAACCTGACACTAAGCTATAGCACTTGAGAAGCACGTTATACTATGCCGAGAGGCGATCACAAGGCGGCATGTTGAGAAGCGGCAAGAAGGCCTGCTAGGTGTGTGAACGTGGCTATCAAAACTAAGAGATGGAAAATCTGATAGCTAGCTCCCACAAGGTCGAACCTATATGGAAACCATCTCTCAGGGATCTGCAACCACGACGTCAGTTTTGGGTATTCAGGCAAGGAATCGTAGGCGACGCACCCTTGAGGCATAGACAGTTGCGGCCATGAGATTAAGCAACGTCGTGCAAGCCAGCCACCGAAGGGACAGATAATTTCCCAGAACGGCCCAGCCCTTAATTTGAAGGCCATATAGCAGGGATGCGAGTGAGCCCAAGCCGGATATGCTGTAGACAAGTACACGCCACTTTCTAAAGGCAGAAAAGCCAAAGTTATGGCCAAAGATGAACCCTATATTCAGAATAGCCGTAATGATATTCTTGAAACCAAACGGTAAATATACTCAGATGGACTGCTAATAAAGCAAGTTACTATTAAGCCGTAGAATCTCTGCAGGTCCGGGAGACCTGATAGTCCGTAACGAACTATGGGTGCATTAGCACTCCAGACGAGGACCACAATACCCATATAATCGAGGCGATTACAGGCCCGGGCCCAGCTGCGACTGTGATTGGACAAGAAGTGGAATATGTTCTCAGCGTCAGCATAATCTCGCAGGATAATTCGAGTAACGGGCTTACATAGAGGAGCACGCAAAACAAAAGGCCACTCCGAAGCAGTAGCGCGATCTCGTAGGATGATACATATAATAGAGAAAGAAGGGGATAGTAGCGAAAGTAATACAGCCAAGCGTGTGTGAAACAATATTGACAGTCTCGTTATGCATATACAGATCGCTGCGTAGTATCTGTATAAAGACCCAGAAATTGGCCTACAACAAGATTAGCCATGCATTAGCCGAATTTTCAAGCGCACGTACCGATATCCAGACAGTAGGAATTCATTATCCTGCTGCCATGATGGAATCTCATGATATAACATAAGCTTCTTGGATGACAGCTGGCCCTGTGTATGATTTCTCTTCCCGATAGGTGACATTTCCAATTGTTCGGAAGCCAACTATACAGTAGTGGTGAAGTAAGTTAGAGTATTGTTAAGCAAGTCGATAAAGTATAGAGAACGATAACGTAGCGACCTGGAGCTGCAAGTTTACTTATCATACTCCTTAGTGGAGCATTCACTGTCTGCGATGGGCAGCCTGGTTGTTTATCTCTTCTGTGGGGTATTGTACGACAAGCATTATTCTCCTTTTATGCTCCTGTGTTATGCCACTCCGGAACTCAAGAGACCGGGCACTTGGGCCACCGGACGGCCGCCCTTCTCTTTCAGGCGATAGTTGGCACCTAGGGAGATCATGACATATATATTGGCCCACCCTCCCGTTGGAGCTCCTGAACATTGAGACTCCGTTTCGCAGGCGATCATACGTCGATAAGGCAGGGACCGAGAGTTCTAACATAACGCAAAGTCCTCCAAAGATGCACCGAACTACACCCGCTTCCTCGAAATGATGCACTAGTGCTACTGCCCAGAAATAGCTACTGTCGATCAGCTTCTGCCTGTGTCACACCTTTTCCAGTCACCGGAGCTCTAGCTAGTAGCCCGTCCGGTTCCTCAAGGTCTGGTCGATTCCCGTCTTTCCTGGCTTCTACTTTCTTGTCAGTCTCCTCTGACACCAAATCTGCCAGCTGTTCTCCTTGGAATGGTCCACGAAAAGGCGCACAACGGAAGTGCTCCCGCCCAACGCAGCCAATTGCTGCGCGTTGGGGCTTCTCTGGTCCTCCACCTCCTCTTCCTCTTTCTCTGCAACCCGTCCTGACTCACCAGGCGGCGAAATTGGTTGCATAATAATCCAAACCGCTCCATGCCGCCACTTATACCGAATCCATTGTGTATGAATTCCCCGATGCGCCATTGACATTGGTCGGAAGCAACTGCACCGCCGGCAAGCAGGAGCATGGTGACCCATAAACGCAGCCACGTGGAGTGCCGTGAAGCCTCCGAGAGCACGGTTGTTACAGTCCACTCCGTTCGCCAGGAGATGGCCTGCGACCGCCTTGGCGTCAGTGACGGTTGCCATGTGGAGTGCCGTGGTCCCGTCTCGCGCTCTCAGCATCGTGTCAGCACCACACTTCCAGAGCAGCTCCGTCATGCGTCCTTCCATCGACTCCATCGCATAGATTAGGGCAGTTTCTCCCCAGCGATCCGCTGCGTTGATATCAGAATCTCGGTATAACAGGAGCCGCGCCAGCTTCGTGCCGTTGTTCCAGGCTGCCCAGTCCTCCGCGTTGATATTCGCCGCATCAGTAGCGAGACCACTATAGACCAGGAAGGCCTTAGCATGATTGACTATCGGACCCTGCGTGCAAATATCGGCCCTGTGGAGGATCGATGTGTCTCGGCTGTCGTACTCGAGCGCCAGCATCGTCATCAACCTGGAGGCCACAATAAGTAGTAGTGAATCAGACACTTCTTGACCATAGATACACTCCCTCTTCGCTCTATGACAGCTCAACATTAGATACGAGATACGATTTGCAGGATTAACATAGTAGCATATGGGCGTCGACCTTGGAAACATGCGTCCAGACTGCAATAATGGTGTCGTATAGTCTCCAACTTGCGCCGGTTAGGAAAATTGGGGTCCCCTTGTCAATGTGTCCTTATCCACCCCTTCGAAATCTTCCTTCCGCCCTATTATTAGAACTACCAGCTGTAATGATGGGCAAACCGTTAGGCGAGGACCTGATCCTATCGAACAACCAAAGCTCAGTCCTTATTATCATAGCTGTGCTGAGGTCAGACTTTTCTTTCGCAGAGTCCAGAGCCAATATTCGCAGGTCACGAGAGAGACTACTGACCACAGCCGGGCTTTCGGCTGGAGAGCCCAGTTGAGATGGTGGAGGCCAGGTTCGGTAGGCTTATAGGTGTTTATCATGAGACCCAGATTAGTACTTCTGTAAGTCTGCTGACGCTCCGTCGGCGTATGATCACTTTCGCTTAAATCTACAATGCGTCTCTCGTCGGCACCCTCCTTCATATGAGAGACTTGCTTTTGACCTGGAATGGTATAGCAGAACTTCATTATCAGAGTCCCCCACAGCAATCTGGGACTTCGACCCACAGGCACCGGCATCTTCGAGCAGATCGTCGTTCGAGCCGTCGTCTATCACTCCTGGTGACACCTCGGACGTAGAGTCTTCGTCATACCACTTATTAAGCCACACCTGCCGGAAGAGGAACTCGCTCAAGTAGTGAACGTCTATCGTGTGTATTTCCAGTCCAACGTCATCGTCGACGCGTGCAACCCAAACCCAAAAACCTTCACGATGCTGTCTATGTGGAAGATGGGCTCTAAGGAACACCTGACGCGACAACCATCCTTTCCCACTTGGACTACAGCTCGCGTATGTACTCCTAGCGAGTGAGCAAGTCCGCACATAAGTGTGAGTAAACATCGACTCCAGCACCTTAGGGTAGATCATACTGTATCACTAAGGGAGACTACCGCCGAGGGCCATGGTCTCGTGACGCTATTCTTCTTGGTGTACGCGTCCCTTATAACACGATCGAAATGGTACCTCTCCTCGGGGCGCACGAAGACAAACACCCACTTCGGGCGGATCTTGTAACAAAACTCCGAGAGAGCACCACAAGCTTCTAATAAAAGTCTCCAAGCTCACGAACATTAGATAGAGTGATGGACTTACTTGCGAAAATGCCCCAGCGCTCCGTCATCTCCTTCATCTGAACATACAGCTGATCTCTAATCGTAGACTCTATGAGCGCATTAGGAACTCGCACGTCAGGGTAGCTGTGAGCGAAGGTAGGACGCCTCCCTTGTATCCGGCAACCAAGCACATAATCCCATTATAGATCTGAATACGGAGGGGCTGTAATGAGATCATTTGAATGGTGAAGCTTCGGCTCCGATGCGCCACAGAATCGTGGTTCCCGTTCCTCGTTGTGCAAGAGTTTCGATGCAGCGATCGCCGTGGTGGAATGACGAGGCAGTAAGAAAGTGGGATTGGAGTCACTTGACAGGTAACACCGGCTAGCTCAATTGCTATGGCGGCACAATGACTGGTGGGCACAGCGGCGTCCTGTGAAGTAGCCAGGTCATAAAGTGTGTTTGTATGATAATCATGTGACTTAAACGTGCTCTTTGAAGGCTGCGGAATAACGCACCACAATGGAGTAATGTTGGTAGCAGCCGGCGTGGGGGCCTGAGATGCGGGGCCAGCAACGGTTCCCCACGCCAGCCTACTGCTGTGGTTGAAGTTGCCGTTGCCCCCGAGCTGTGCAGATTCGTTTTCGTCGTCGTTGTCTGTTCCTGTGAGCCGCGCCTCTTTCCAAGCTAGCAGCAGAAACCACTCGTGACCCTTGATACATAACACTCGTAGCGACGGCACGTCGGTCAAATTTGCATTGCCAGCTGATTCTCCCCCGTTTCCGGTGCTGTGTCTGGTTTGGCCTCGGCCACATTGAAGCATTATCCGAGGATGTAGATAATGACGTGTCACTCTCCAGCCGAAAGAGCGTATCCAGAGATGAGATGACATTTTCCGTGTTCCCAGCTACAATCCATGATTCTTATGAGTGATCTATGACGGGCCGTTGGACTGTTTGAGGCCAGTCCAGAACAGGATGCATGAGCATGGCCAACCTCTTTAGCATCAGGCAACTAGCCAATCCATGAAGACCTCCTAGGTCGTTCTCTCCTCGCGGATATGTTAGAATCTTTTCCTTTTTGCGTCACCACTATAACCCAGTTACGAACCGAAAAATAACAGATGGCCAAGAGAGTAAGCCCCATGAGAATGAGTGACCCTAGGATTGAGAATACGGCAAAGCTGTACGACGCAGATTGGCAGGCGGTATTGCTGGCGAGGGCGTCGGTGGCCAATCCAAACTACATTGCGGCTAGGTTAATGGCCAAATAGACCGTCGTGCTAGCCACTCAGGCAAAACGATCTTGAAAGAAGATACTATACTGATTCCAGCTAGACATATAGCTGCGTAGTGGTGTCTGAAAGAAGTAAATCTTGTTCAAGCGGCTCAAGCGGAGGTCGCCGTAGTGAATCCGCGAGTCGATGTCTCGGTAGATGTGCTCCGTGTCGACTTCCACCACAAGCCTCTCCCAGTCCTGCCAGTCTGATATGGCCGGGATTGTGCGCTTCTAAATGTGGCTCTCGTGGCGTATCTGTGCGGCGTGGGGAGAAATGAAGCCGAGCGCCGGCCACCGTAACCCTGGTGCTTGCTATAGCGAGAGGTACTCAGGCCAGAAGCGCGGCTCGAACAGTAAGGACGGGATTAGCTTGAGAAATGGGCGACCTTCGGAGTGGTTGTTGACCCAGTTGTAGACCGAGTCCATGCCGGTGTTGCGGATCTCGGCGGACGTAGACATGGCTGTATGGGCGTTTTGCCGTCGGCCTTGGCTGATGGGAGTCGATGCAGGCAACTGACGTGGGCTTAGCTCTTTCGCGGCGAAATCCCTATCTGTTGTGTAGAGTGACCGAGCTGCAGATGATAGCTTGATGAACGGTTGGGACTATTCTATAGTGTTAGAGCCAAGACTTCCTAAATTTCCTGCCAACTTTTTATAGACGCCATGCCAAGTGCGACTGTTCGTGCGTTTAGCGTCACACTCCGGCGCTGCCACGGACTTTAGTGTTCGCTACAATTAGCCCCGTGAACACATCCGTGTCCACGCAGCATGGGGCCGCCAGTCAAAATACAAAGACCCCGCGTCACGACTTCGGACTTATCGACATTAGCTCCGAGCCCGCGGTTTCACCAGTGCCTGCACGACAGACGGTCACAGGGTCTAGATCGGCAACTAGGAGGGGCGACAGGTTCGTTTTGTTCGTTATCAGCCGTGTCTCATTCGTAGGCGGGTCGGCAAATGGCTATTGTTGCCTGTGAGGGTGTCGGTGAGCGCGGGGCGCCGTGCTGGCAGAAATATGCTGGCGATTGTGTGGACTTAGTGGTATATCTTTCGCATGCCAGAACCAGCAATTTCAATTTGGTCGGTCGTGGTTTTAGGAGTGGTCCACATCTGAAGTGAGGCATATGCATCTTCGACAAACACTTCGGAGACCTGGCATGGATTGACTTTGACACTACAGAAATATCCACGCCTGGGCGGACTGTTCCTGCCATGGCTTAATTGATAACATGCTGGGGCAGAGTACGTCTGCTTGTGACGTGGCCGCGGCCGGCCATCTCCATGGTGGTCTCACGGCACCACTCCTCGCCTCGAAAGCTTTTCCCTTGTCACAGGGAGTTTTGCATAAGCTCATTTCCAAGGCCGCCCTCCTCTTTCAGATAGACAACAGCCATGACGTGAGAAAGGCGGACGCTCTCCAAGCATACGGCATGGCATCGACCCTGTGCCCTATTGCTGCTAGACGCCGGCGAAGCAGGACTGCATGGCTGCAGCGGTCTCGCAAGATTGTGTCCTGTCAGTCGAGGCAGCTGTTCAGATGTGTCCGCTCAACAATCGGCCCCAAAACTGGCGGGACTGTGGAATGTCATAATTACTACCTGCACTCGTAACATCCCAGGACAATGTAACCTGATGTCGTGGTATGAACCTCACCGTTGCTCCCCTAAGCCAGCCTTGCATAGACAGGCCAGAAGATCGTCCGTGTGAATGCCGACCTTGCCCGCGAGCTTCATGATGGGGGGAGGTGTTGCTACGAGAAGAGTGTCCGAAGGAGGGGCCGGGTCGGAGCTTTACGTCGCGGTCCAGAAACCCAGAGGAATCGGCGCTGTGATCAAGTTGCCGAGCGTCGACCGGTCAGTGTTGGCGGCACGACGCTTCGCAGCTCTCACCAGGCCATGGATAAGAGTTTTACATTTTTGTTTGTTGGCTGAAAGCACGTGTGGCACGTTTCTCAAGGGGATCCCAGTCGGTGTGGAGGACTAGCAGATGGTCCAGCAAAACACCGCCTGCGATAGGCTCCGAGGAACCGTGTTCAATCACGTTGAGACTTCACCCAGCTCTAATGGCTGCGCATGGCGTTTTCCTTCGGGCTCCTGTTCCAGAACAGCCCTCAGATCGTCGAACTCCCTGCTCAGTAGACGAATCTGGGATACATCAATTATGGGAGAGCTAAGCCAGCAGGCCTCTGGGCCTCTGCACCTCTGCACCTCTGGACCTCTGCCTCGTCCGTGGCGTTTTGATCCGCCCAAGTCGAAGACAAAAACTCAGGTGGCGTGTAGGGCATGTCTGCCATACCACTTGAAGCTAGGGTGTTAGCTCAGCGCCTGCCGGTGTCGCAAAACAACTGGAAGGATGCCAAGGAAGAGAAACCCACTTCCACTCCCTTTTACGCCCGTCTTTCATCATGTTGCACCTCTGCACAATTCCGCCTCCCCAAAGACAGCTCTGGGTACGAGACTAAGATTAGTGCGATGTTGTCTCCGCCTTCATCTTTGGCCCACTTGTGAAATACGAACGGGCTCAAGCGCTAACGTGTCACCAAGTGGTCAAAAAGGATAGGACGGGGGGGGGGTTTTCTGAATGCCAAGACGCTAATCAGCTGCATCCCCACCCACGCCTTCGTATTGACGATGACTTCATTCTCAACAACAACGACGTCATCGTCGTCGTCGTCGCCTCAAATTGAAGCTCTGAGGCCTTCTCGCGATGCACTACATGCTGCAACTTACCCGATAGTCGTCGTACTCAATTTGACCAAGTTACACGATGCCCGGAGTTGAGCATGATACGCCCACCCGGGCCTCCGTCCGTGCCGTACTACAGTACCTGCAGTGGACTGGATGCCTACCTAGCAGCAACAACAACACCGACAGAGACCCCAGATGCAGCCATCCAGAGCACACAAAGGAGGCCGTTTTCAAGGCTTTTGGTGTTTCTCGTAGTCGCGGTTATGCCTGGCTCAAAGAAGCGCCTCTACAGGAGTGCTGGGCTCCAAGAGACACGTCGCCGTCGCGCGACGCGCCGGCCAAAAAGCGCTGTACAGACTGGGCATCTCGCCGCAGTACAAATAACCCCCATATCACAGAGCGGCGAGGGCGCCCTGTAGGCTTCACTCTAGAGGACGGCGAGGACCTCCACCATTGGCTAATCAGCCTCCCAGAAGACGATAAATACCAGGGCTTCAGGCTCCCGTGGCCCGTCGCAGCAGCAGAAGCAGACATCGACATCCACGTCTCAGAGCGAACAATCCGCCGCCGCATGGGTAAACTGCAGTACGGCACCCGCAATTCGTCGCAGAAGGACGGCCTAGACGATACAACGAAGGCCAAGAGAGTTGCCTACGCAAAAAAGCAGCTTCTCGAAGGAAGCTGGGATAGCGCAGAATGGCGGAGAACCTGCTTCTCTATGGACGAAGTTCATTTCGGCTTTCAACCTGCACTGACGACAAAGGTCCACCGCCGACCTGACCAACGTAACGAGCACTGGGTCGTCCAAACCAATGACCCCCAGAAGAAGAAGAAGAAGTTCCAGAATGCCCGCCGGACGATCAGAAATACAGAGCAGGATGCTGCAGGAGCAGATAGCCTAGCGGACGAGAACGAACAGACTCTTCTCCATGCTGTCTGGGCCGTTGGATATGACTTCAAATCGAGGCTATATTGGTACACGATCCCGACGAACAAGAATGGCAAGATGACGGCGGCAGTACTTAAACCAATTCTAGGCCAGCTATTTACGGAGATACAGCAGCATGTTGGGCACGCGGGCTTCCGCCTATATATGGACAGCGATAGTAGCCATCACTCTAACGCAATACGTGACTGGTGTAAAGACAACGACCGTCACATCGTGATAGGCCCAGCCCTCTCTCCTGACCTTAATTGGGTCGAGAGCTCCGTCAGACGCATCAAATGGCACGTCAAAAACAGCCCCCATTTGACGACTGACGACCTGAAGGCAGTCATCGAAGCAGGGCTTCAAAAATGCACTCAAAAGAAGGTCAACGACGACCTCAATAGTATAAAGCACCGACTTGAGCAGGTGATTGCAGCAAATGGCAATAGAACGAAGTACTGAGCTGATTGGGCAGAGGCTTAAAAAACCTCCACTTTTGTATGGAATTTGAATGGACAGCTGGAAATATTGTTAGCGCCGAGCAAAATCAGGGGGTCCCCCCCGTCCTATCCTTTTTGACCACTTGGTGCGTGGCCATTGCCAACGTCATCTGCTGTCATTGTCGGTGGTAGTGATGATGGCCGAGGCTTCACCCTGGCTGCTCGAGCTCCTGGCAAGATTGACGTGAGAGTGACGGCTTGGCACATGATGACATGCAAGGTATTGTCAATCTCTGGCAAGACATTGGCCCGCCGACACGCTCAGCTGAGCTGTCGATACCCTGGCGATGCTCTTTCGTCACAGCTGCACATGTCAGCGTTACTCGCGATGGCTGTACCCAGGCAGTGATGCGTAATGTACGTATTATTGACATTGCGGCTGTTCTCACTGGCGACGGACGGGACCCCATTCCCCCGGGCCGGGACCCGACGCTGTCAACCACTCACCGGCTCCGGACGGCACCAGCCGCCTTCCCCACACTCCCCGTGTTCTCGGACCAAATGCTCCGGCACACAGTAAAGTAATTGTACTGTACGAGCAATTTTGACATCATCTTGGGCTGCTGCCCTACTGCCTATTTTACATTACCACCGCCGCGCGATATCCCTGCCCCCAACCGCATTGAATAGCCAGCTGATGCCAATCATGAGCGTCCGCCGCCAGCTCCGCGGCCAGTGGAAGATGCTGCCGCTCCGCCAGGCCAGCCACGCAGAGTGGCCCGTCCACTCCTCCCGACCACCGATCACGCCGTCGTGCTGGCCGAGGTACGCCAGGTTGGGCTTTTGCTTGTACACAAAGGACGGGGCTTGCAGCTCCTCCTCTTCGGCCGCGTTGAGCTGCCTCGCGAGATACTCTGCCTTTTGCACCGCCACCTCGGCCAGCGTAGGTAGCGCGTAGCCTTCGATGTCCGCGCAGTCGCCCAGCGCATAGACATCCGGCATGATCTCGCCGTCATGCCCTGTCTCTTTCCCGTGATATTTATCGCCTGCTGCCTCCGCGCACCTCACGCGGAGCCTCCTGTCTGTCACAATGCGCTGCAGCTTGCCCGCCTTCTGTACCTCCTGCATCTTCTCGACCAGCGGGTTCACCCCATTACCCGTTGCCCAGATGAGCATCCCATACCCCAGCGGGCGGTCCTCGCCGTGCTCCTTGGTATAAATGACCCCGCCCTCCACTTTTGTAATATGGCTCCCCGTCTCAATGTGCACGCTGCGGCTCTGCAGCTTGTGCAGGGCGTACCCGGCGAGCCGGTCGTCAAACGTGCCCAGGATCACGGGCGCCACGTCGTGCACCTCGATGCTGAACAGCGCCCCACCACCACCACCTTCCTCTCCGCTGGTGTCAAGGTGCGGATACAAGAACCGCAGGTCGTGCTGCCACAGGTCGTACAGCTCGGCCGTGGCCTCGTTGCCAATGGCCCCGCCGCCGACGACGACGACGCGCAGCATGTCGCGCTGCTGGGTGCGCGTGAGCCCGGGAGTGGACGCCGCGTCGAGCATCTCGAGCAGGCGCTGCTGGATCTGCCGCACGTCGTCGGTCGTGCGGAGGAAGTGCGCGTGCTGGACGGCGCCGGGCGTGCCGAAGGTCTGCACGGTGCAGCCGGGGGCGAGGATGAGGATGTCGTAGGGCATGGTGAAGGTATGGGAGTGGGAGAGGTGGTTATCGGCTACGTCCGGGACCGAGGGGCTGCAGTGCAGCGTCTTGCGGGCAAAGTCGATGTCGTCGACGGTGGCTTTGTAGTAGTGCAAGCCTGAGACGCGGTTGCGGCGGCGGACTGGCTCCTCGGCGAGTCTGGTCAAATGCATCAGTGTCAGGGACATCACGTATTGTCGTTGTGGCCCTGCGGGCATCAGGGCGGTCTAATAACATTGGTGGCATACCTGAAATTGATCATGCCCGCTGCCGCACTCGCAAGCAGCGGTGTGTACTGGATGGTCCTCATGGGCGAGATGACAGTGACATCGTACTTGGCGAGCGACAGCTCGTGTGCGAGCGTGAAGCCACCCCATCCACTGCATATAATGGCAATTTTGCTTTTGGGCATGTTGTCTAGGGCCATGAAGTGATTGATGACGGCCTTCTCAAGGGTTAAGAGTCGTGTTTGTTGTCCGTGTGAGAAGGCTCGGACCAGATGAAGATATGAGGACGCCTCCAGGAATCTCTGGGTCCCGTCTCCAAATCTCCACGTCGATTGCGCGGCCTTGCGGCAATGATGCATGGAAGTCCTGCCATCCAAGTCTCGCCATGATGACGAGTGGTCGACCGAGCGTTGTGACATGTACTCCACGCCAGAAGATATCCACAAAGCCAAGCACGTCACAAACGAGGGGTTCTGGGTGATTTTTTGACAATTTATTGGAGGGCCATTACTTGCTGTCTCCATCCTACGAGATCTGCTTCTGGTATTACACTTAGATCGCAGTAAGTAAATTAGAGGGGATAATGGTCCACAGCGGACCTGCATCTACGACGCGTCGTGACTCAGTGTTGGCTAGCACGTGCCCTGCGCCTCTGTTTCTCTGTGCTATCCAATCATGGAATTGGGTTGCCGCCCAGAGCTTTGAAGAGCTTTGAATGCTTGCCGTCTTCATAAGCAATCGGATCAAGCGAGTAATGCGCTCCAAAGAGGTGCCCAACAGCCGGCCGCCCAAGCTTAGGCTCAGGAATGCTCACAAACACCTTGGAATTCTGGTCGTCAAAGCCCGAGGTCTTGTCCTCGAAGTTTGAGATGACGCCTAGCATGGCGACAAAGTCGACCCTGTGCGCAAAGTGCTCCGTGGTGTGCGTAGAGTTGCCCAGGTACTGGATGGCCCCGTCGTCGACGACGCGCCAGTCCATGCTGGGGTTGGCAAAGGGGAACACGCGGAGCTTGGTGCGCATGTCCTCCCTCTCGGGGGAGTCGTCTGGATAGTCACTCACGAGCTGCTGCAGGGTGAGCCGCGTGAGCAGACAGCCTTGCGAGTGGCAGATGAGGACGACCTTGTTAGGCTTAACCGAGCCGTCCTTGGGCCACAGCGTGTTGTGGACCTCGTTGTAGAGGGCCTCTTGCGCGGCCCTGCTCGACTCGGTGCGCTGGATCAGCTTGTTCTTGGAGTTTTTGTGGTCCTCGACGGTCGAGTGCTCGCCAAAGCACTGGATCATGTCCCAGAGGATGCCGTCGCTGCGGTTGAAGACGCCCGTCACCTCGCGCTTGAACGCGCTGCGGATCTTGCGGCACGCCCCCTCGAACCAGACCCGCTCGTTGCCAATGCCGTTGATGTAGATCCACTTCTCGCCAATGACATCCGGGTGGGTTGGGCCGCTGTAGGCCGCCACGTACGTAGGGGAAGGGGGTTGACCGTTCTTGAAGTCGCTGTCGATCTCAATGTTCATGTCGACAGTCGAGATCGAAAGGGGTAGCTTGGGCAGCAGGCCCAGCGTGATGATCTTGCCGATTGTCAGGAGCACGCGCTGGATCTGTGCGCCGACGGCCTGCCGGTTTTCTGGCTTTTTCAGATCGAGCTCCCAGTACTGGTTCTGAGGGCTTTCCCCAGGTTTGCCCTTGGTGTTGACTCCAGAAGGCCGGACAACGTCCAACGTGAAATTGAGCAGTTCGGTGGTGTGATTGACTAGGTACTCGATGAGGCCATCGCTGGCGTCGTTGGTGAAGATGCTCTTGACAATGAGGACCACGCCGCCAGATCTCTCCACCATGCCATCGATGATGCTCTGCGCGATCCAGAGGGTGGCCATGACAATGGCTGTGGCACCCGCCGACCTGAAGATGGCCGCCGCGAAAAGAACAGGGACGCTGAAGAAAAAGTGGTAGAATGGTGCCACCATACGGTGGATGGCGTGGGAGATGGCGCGGACGATCATATTGGCGGTGTTATGAGCTCTAAGTCTTGAGTCTTTGTGGTGAGTGTGGTCAGTGTTGACAGACCAGAGCCGAGGGGGTGCCCAGGTGATAATATAGTCGGCGAGCAATAGATCACGCTATCCCTTTGGGACGGACGGGAAAGGCTGTGTCCGGTCTCCCGTCGACTGTGTCACCCACTAAACTTTGGCATGTCTGGCCCGGCCCGTGTCTCACCCGTTTGTGTGTGTGCCCCGAGCTGTGGCTTGGAACACCTCCAGGCACACTACACATGCTGGGGGGAGACACCGTCTTGTTATCTTTCAGCCGCAAAACCCTGAACAGAAATCGACCCTGCCCAAGGTTTCAGCGGCTGAGGTGCATGTCTTGCCATGCAGCCGTGCGCAGTCAGCTGCGCCGCGTTCCAATGCAACTTATCTGCGTTAGGCACAATTGACTTTCCGCCTATGTATGCAGAGTGAGCCCTCCGCATCGCGGCACTCCTCGTGCATGAGACATTTACAAGCTCAGCTGCAACCGACTTGCATGTGGCTGGCTGAGAGCAGGAGCAGCTGCTTATTTTGCATGTGATTATGGCGTTCGGGAATCAACACCACATGAGATTGTTGTGTGAGAGTAAGAATGCGACGCGACCACCAGGGAAATTCTCCGTAGGCCAGTTGTCACTGGCGCTATTCAATGACATCTAGAATGAGCTAATTACACGCTCCCAAATTACGCTCCCAGATGATGCTCTTCGCCATGTGAATTACGAAAAGAAATTTGTCTCCGCGCGAGATTTTGGCAAGCTCACAGCTAACGAACCAACACCTGGTCCCCCAGGGCCTCGCAGCAATAGCCTCGAGCTGCTTCATCCCTTGCTCCGAATACCCATTGATGCCATACGCGAGCTGCGCATCGCTCAGCGACGAACGCAGGAACGCCACCACGACCATCTTCATCTCGAGGTTGGCAATGTGCATGCCCAGACAGATCCTCGTGCCCCCGCCGAAGCTGAAGTCGGCCTCCTTCATGGCCGTTGTGGCGTCCGCCCACCGGTCCGGGTTGAACGTGTCCGGTTCCGGATAGACGACCGGGTCGCGTGAGATGCTGAAGCCCAGGGGTGACACAGTCATGCCTGCTGGGACGAAGTAGCCGCATATGTCGCGGCCCCCTTTGGGCTGGTGATTGACACAATGTTAGATTTCAAGTGAAGTGGCAGGGTAAAATGTGTACACGTACCACTTTTCGCTGCAGCGGCCCCGGCGCAGCGCCATACAACCTCATGACCTCGAGCATGAAATAGTCGAGATACTTCAGCTTCGCAAGGTCTTCAATGCCCGGCTTTCCAGGCAGCCTCGCCTCGTCAATCTCCTCGTCCAGCTGAGCCTTGATGTCGGGAAACTTGAACAGCAGCCACAGCATATACGCCAGCGTATTGGCAGTCGTGTCGGTTCCCGCGAGCATCAGGATCACGGCGTTGGACAGGATCTCGTGCTCCGAGATGCTGCCCTTTTCGCGCGCCTGCGTCTCCAGCGCCCTGTCGAGCAGGATCGTGGTGGTGGTCGATCCCGCGCCGCCTGCGGCTACCCGTGCGCGATAGTCGTCAATGTACGCCTTCGCGACCGAGTTGAGGCGCGTGGACACCCCGCGCAGCGTGGAGAAGGGGAAGCAGGGCAGGTGTCTGGTCTTGGACCAGTCGCCCTGCCATAGAGCGAGGCGGAGGATGTTGAGCGGCATGACACGCTTGATGTCTTTGATATTGGTTCTCCTGTATATTGTAGCTTGGGATTAGGTATTTTGAACCCGTGATGGAGACAATGGTAGCTGGGATATGCTTACCTCGCCAGTCTCCAGCATCCCCAGGGACGAGCCCACACTCAGCTCCCCCGTCACATCAGACGTGAAGCTCTTGAACCACTTGACAAGATCGACGTAGCCCTGCTCCCTTCTCTCCCTCTCTCTCTGCCGAATCAAGATGTCCACGTACTTTTGGATCAAGGGCTGGAAGGTGATCAGGTTCGACTGGGAGACTGACTTTGCGAAGAGCTTGCGCCACTCGGCGTGGTAGACTGGGTCGGCGGTCGTGAAGACGTTCTGGGCCTCGTCGAACGACGCGTCCTCGTAGAATTGCGTCTTGAGGTACTCGCTGCGGAACTTGTGAATCTCTTTGGCAGCCTTGGGGTCTGAGATGGAGACCTCGTTTGGTGTGACGCGCACGATTGGGCCTGCGAGCATCGGATTGTAAGGTCAGGTGTTAGATAGAGTGACCAGGGACAAGATCAGGGGTTGAATCCATCTACCATAGCGCTTGTGCAGGTCGTGCAAAAAGTACATCCTTGTGCCGCGATGGATATGGTACACGACGGGCAAGCCGGTGAACTTGCTCCATGTTGGGCCCGGCAGACTAGCCAGCGGGCCGGTCAAGCCGACATAGACGTGGTACTAGTAGAAGGTGGCCATTAGTCCTCTATAGATCCTGCCTTCTCAAGCAATGGAAGTGGTCCCGTACTGCTGTATAGGTAGCCGCAAATAGCCCAGCACCAATGCCGGCCACATTGACATTGATGGCGTCCATGGTAATCGTACTTGTGTTGAGGGCTGAAGCTGTGCGAGCGCCTTGTGCGTTGTGTAGATACGAGACACTGCACGATGTCCAGCAGAAGAGTGGATAGAGCCTCTATAATGCCGAAGGCTGCGACGAGAGGATATCAAGATCTTATACATGTTCTACTCCATACCCACGGCTGCCAGGGTCCCCTCAAAGTCCATGCAGCATCTCCAAAGGGCAAAGAAAGCTATGCACGACACGGCCACAGATATATTCCAGATAAGGACCTCCTCGCAGATCCCATCAGTCAATACAAGCCATTGCTCAGCCTGATACAGCCCGGTGCCGCAGGTGTACTACATTGGCCGCGGCTTGCATATGCTCAAGGGGAACCCCTCTTCATGCTTGTTCCGCTAACGTGGTGGCACTCATTCGGGGATTATACCCTTTGCATTATATCATCTGCTTTTGGCCTTGGAGCTTGATTGCAGCCACCAGCTCGTCCCTGACTGGAGGGTACCACATGCAAGCAGGGTCGCACAGCATGCGGGCGGGCGCTTCATATCGCATATTGCTGGCACCAACAACATGCACATCACACCGGTCTGAGGCCAGAAATCGTGGCTGCATGGCACCTCGCGGTGCAACGGTGTTTCTTGGCCGAAGCCCTGCGAAGTCCAAGACTACAAGTCCAATGAATACGAAGTCCGCGTAGTGATTGTAGTACCTTAATCGCCGCAAATCCGGCGTGGAGGTCGTTTCTTGGCTGAGTGAGTAATTGGGGCAGTAAAGGCCAGTATCTATCACCGCATCTAGTACGAATTCATCCGCAATTGTTGGGTGAGTCTTTTCTTGCCGCCCTTGGCTAATGATCACGGGGATGCGATGACCTCGAGCACATCTCGCATGCCATCACGTCAAGAGCCGGCCATTTCTCATCATGTCTTGAGCCCGGTTTTGGACGTCGTTGAAGCGCATGAAGCCGCATTTCTCGCTTTCCAGGTGGTTGATTAGGCCCGCGAGGTTCTTAAAGTCTTGGCGGTAATCCCGCTTAGGGCAGTGGTAGAAAGATTGCTGGTCTGCAGCAGGTGATGGAACGACGTAAAGATCAAGGTCAGCACCTCAAGGCGCGCCGGAATGTTTGTGAGTCAAGCTACGGGGAGACTTACGAACTGGGGAGCCAAGGTGCTGGTTGAGGCCTTTAAGGGTGGTGAAGGAGCGGTGGCAAAGATAGCACTCATAAGCGTAGCCGTTCCAGGCGCGCCCGGTGGCTTCCTACGAGTCGGAGCCGTGCCAATCAAGCAGGTTCTTGGTCATGACGCCATGGCTATCTTTGGACCTGATGATACGGTAGATCTGGTCGCGATTGAGATTCGGTGCCTGTGGACAGGAGCCCGTCTCGATGTGATGGATGAGACCGGTCGCTGTGGCGTAGCTGCGGTCACAGAAAGGGCAGGCAATGTTGGTGCCGCGATGGATGCGCGAGTTGAGGTGCTGGGAAGTGGACCATAAACTCGAGCAGCGGTCACCCAAAGTCAGACATGCCCCCCACAAACAGCCAGGGCAAGATCGTACTCTTGTCTATCCACCAGCATTGCAACAGCATTCTAAGCGCAGTCCCTCGTTCTAACAGCTTGTCTGTCTGATTCCTTGCTCCTAGGTCGAGCCGCCTGACAATGATGCTACTTCTTTCGAGGCATTTTCGACCGTAGACTGGGGGGGACAATGCTCAAGGGTAAATCGTTATGGCTCGGTCAGCATTGACTGCAATCACCGCCATTGCCATCCGTGACAATCTGCTATGCCACATTGCCCGCCAGCCCATCCTCTCCACGAAACTCTCTCCACCGATTAGTCGACAATACAAGCTCAGTACATCCCTTGAGCAAGAAACCCCATTTCCGCATGAACCCGTCACTGACCTCCCAGCCATGCGTGCTCCACGGGCGATCGCCCCAGACCACCAGTCCTCGTCGTTCGGGATCGTCGTAACCATCATACACACCCTTGCCGAGATCGTGCGCTAGATCGTAAACGTCTATGCAGTGCGCAAGTCCAATGATGTTGTCTCGTAGCTGTGGGACAGGGATCGCTGCGAAGATGTTCAGCCAGGAAGCTGCCGCCACTGGTAGCGTCGTCCGCACAGGCGCGTACAGCGGTGTTGCCGGTGCGTCACTGTCGTTGGACCAGGACTGGGAAGAATGGGTGCGCTGCTGTAGCTCAAGGTTCGTCGGTTGCAAGTCGCGAGGTACCCTCGCGTAGTCGGGCAGGTTAATAGCTGACACTGGCTGAACGCCTAGTGACTGTGGGCAACCTGAAGGCAGCAAGCCCAGTGTGGAAATTATGGACATGTTAGTTATGATTGCGTGGACGGCATTGTATTGTACCAGGATGATGAGCTGGTGGTCTACCGTCATGGGAAACAGTAGTTTCTGGATAAAGCCAGTGTCGATTCGGATGCAGGCTAGAGTCCATTTGTAGGTACGTGAATGATCAGTTCCAGTGGTGCTGTATTCCAAGAACGGTCTCAAGAGCTTGATAGACGGCAGCCTCTTTGCAGAACTGGTGTTGGCGAGCCGCGGGCTTTTATGCTGAATCTCAACAGTCCGAATCCCCTTGTCTTGCGCAGCTGGCGTATTATGGTGATTCTTTCTCGGCACGAGAAGTCCAAACCCGCCCCACGGGCATCGGAGCGCCTTGCTTGCGAGCTGCTCACTTTGGCGAATAGCTTTGCGCTGGCCCTACGACTTTTTAGGCCAATAGGTCGGATCTTTCCTCGTGGAGTGACTTACGCCATGCCTGCTGTCTCAACCGATTCTGGAACTTCTTCCGCGTGCGCGAAGGGATGGCCGTCGTGACATGGTCTGTATCTCCAGTGAGCCCGGTCCAGGAAAGAAATAAAGGCGAGGAATGAGTGGGTCTTACCGGATTCCAAGGTTCCGGCTCCTGTCCCCGCGAACATCACTTGTGGCTGCATCGGGACGCGTGGGAGTCTGCTCTTGCTCGCCTAATGGCACGGTCTTGAGATTTGACTGCACTCTGTGCAAAGCGCCCATGGTTTCCACTGCGAGTAATCGCGTGCGGCTGTTACGTGCGGAGGAAAAGGCATGACTGTGTGCATGTTTGGATGCTTACACAACCCACTTGGACAAAGACTGGGGTTTCGAACGAGGCAACATCACTCACAAATGCAAGGGCGTTACGCGCTAGCACCAAATGCGGCGCTCCTCGGGGGAGGGTTGTGCCGTTCTGTCAGCCACAGGGAAACCACGACATCGCAATGATTGGCTGCTCTGACTTCCTGACAACAGTGCCTCTCCGCATGTTCTCGCAGCGTCTCGCACTAGGACTACTTCGGGCCATGCACCAGCGCGCGCTTGAGATTGCTCGTTCAAGCTGTGCTCTTTTGATTCGGCAACATGACACCACGGCTTGTCCCGTCTTGTCAGGATAGCGGGCAGTGCAGGTGTTGTCCAGGCAAGGTGCATATGCATCCGCTCAGTCATGAAAGTTTCTCGGTCGAGTAGCCGTAAACGGTGGTCAGCGGCTGCAGGTCAAGCTCCATCTCAATACAGGTAGTCTCAAGATAGCGGGCTTGTATAGCCAAGTCGTCCCAAGGTAGGATGCGGGGAGGAATGGATTATGTTAGCATTATCATGTTTTCTACATTTATTAAAGGTTCTCTCAAGGTAACGTTACTTCCCTTACATATTCTCTATATTGTTTCCTTTACATGCCTATTTTCAACCCTAACCTATATACGGCCTTGACTCAACATTTGTAAGTTCTTTACTAGTGACACTCATCGTTTTTAGGGACCCTTTATTCTATTACTACTAACTTATGCTTTAGGAGTGAAATTAAGCCGTCTTAGCAGACAAGTCGTTTCCTCTGTTTCTGTACAGATAATATTATTAGTTTATGTATAGTGGACGCGATTCCTACAGATCCCGCATCGAAGCGATACTTGAGAATTGATCCCGAGTCATTACGTCTACGATCCCTTGCTTCCTTTTCTTCATCTGGGCAATGATCTCTTGTCTCGATCTCCAGACCTATAAGGTTACGGAATATCTTGACAAGCTTGGAAATAAGGATGCTATTGTTCTCTTCTAGTATTGGGAGTTCCTTCTCACAGAAAAGCTCACTGTGGACCATATCGTCCAGAAACTTAGGCAACTCAGTTTTCAGATACTCTTCGTAATTTTTGCTTTGGTGTCTTTCGCTTTTTATGGTGACTTTTCCAGTCTTCTGGGTACCCCTAGGCTTCGTAACATTCTTTCCATTGACAGCGTTTGTAATCCCTGCAGCTCCTGTTGTCCGAGTTTGAGAATCTCCTTGAAAGCTGGAGGTATGTTTTCGATTACTAACAAATGCCATTGATCCGGGTCCGGTATTTCTAGTCTGCGTTGCCTACTTAACTATATATCTTAACACTGTGATGAACAATAAACGTAATGAACTTCGAGACAGTTTGTCATGACTGTATATTAATATTATCAATAATCGTCGACAGCCATGCAATACGACGAATTGACAGTGCAAATACGTAAATATTATCTTTGATGTACGACTTCTATCCGAATGTTGTGGCTGTACTATTGTTTATCTTGTCTGGAGGGCCAGTGATATGAACTACTAGCCTTGACCACGCATAGTAGACGATTTTCTAGGGGAGGAAGGAGCGCTCTGATATGTTACTTCTTCGAGGTGCTGAGACAACGGTGATCCAATGCAATCCACCCATTCGCCCATTGTTCGTACTAAGAAATAATCAACTTCGGCTCGCCATTTAGGTTCCAACTGAGCAATAAGCGACTCAGGCTTGCCGTTCCTCCGTCGACCCCGACATCTTTAACTCGAAATCAATCCATTACCGCTTTATTTTTCTCACTATTCCTACTGAGAAGTCACAAGGTCAGGCTTCCTATTCCACTATGATTATAGAAACGGCGCGTAGCCTCCGCTGTTTCCTGTTCTTTTACCCAATTCCGACAGAGCCAGCCAGCTTTCGACCGACAGAATCGACGTAACTTTGACCGTCTTCATACTGTCACACCCATTATACGACCACGACAACCTCCAACTCCGCCCCTCTTATTATACAGCGGTAGACGTGAACTTCCTAAAGGGTTCACTACTGGACTACAGGGTCCTTCGATAGGAAGATAACTTAGTTCCAGCCTCATTTCCTTTAGCGGCGCCCTCCTCGAGCCCTAGGCAAGCGAGCAGAGCTTGATTCACCTCCGTGTCATCATCCTCTACTATATCCTCGACCTTCGCCGATAATCTAATCCCTAACCACTTGGTATCCGTTCGTTTCGCCTGAGCGAATAATTACAACCAGCTCATAGCGCCCGGTTGGAAAGTTTTGACCCATCCAGCAGATGAACTGTGGTTGGAGTTTCCAAACTATCCATTGTTCTTCAGCCAGTGTCTCATTGCCAGTTGCACGGCTTGGCGCATTGAGAAAATGCCGAAGTCTCCCGCAGCTATACGGCCCGCGTCAAGCAGATCCTGTACGTCCCTCTCAGAGGCACCGGTTGAGCTGTTACCGCCTCTGTCTCCAATTTGTGGTGGCTTGTCCGATTGGAAGTCGCTCTCGTTGCCTTGGTCGGCCCCGCTAACTGCGCTCGCGTCTGCGTCGCATGTCGGAAACTCAGTAATCGATTTCGGAATGTTGTCGCGGTCGGAGAACGCCATGAAAGAGGGCAGAGCAGTTGCTGGCGTGAACACTTTGCAGCTGGTGGGTTCGAGGAACCCAATGACAGGCCTCCAGCAGGCTTTGATTAAGTCTGAGGCGCTGCAGTCTCGTCGGAATTGATAACATCCGTCTTGAAAAGAGCTGCATAGACCTCTTATTCTGTTTCACGTCTTGTAGTAGGCGTTCCTGTGGGATGTGTCGCGGTATGTACGCTGCCGCCCACACGATTTTGAGTGAATTGTGCTCCAGTATTTTGCCGAGTTTCTTCTGAAGCAGGTTCACAGCCTGCGTCCCGCGCATTGCACTCAGGGACAGAGTGTCGCTGCATTTGATGCCAAGAGCCAGTGCAGTGTCCTTGTCCCCTATGGTGACCAAGATGGAACCGTGGGAGACGTTTGAGAGGAGGCCCAGAAGGCTTCTCTGCTGGACGCCGCTGCCAATCCCTGGTGTGGTGGAATCGGCCTCGTCACGACTGAGAACGCCAAGTTTGGTCACACAATCTAGAACCAGTAACCGGCAACTGTCGACGGGCCGAGGAGCCATTGTGTAATGCGCTGGGTAGCTTCCAGCTCAGTTGCCCAATAAATCTCCTATTTCAAGCAGATCGACGATAGCCTTGAGGTCATCCAGTAAACCCTCACTCGTCTCCTCGCCTATCCGGAACACCTACGGCAGTCTGCATACTTCATCCGCTTGGAAACAGTACCAAACAGCAAGTTACGACTTCCCCATGCCGGCAGGTCCAGGCAGCGCAACACGGGAGCCAAACTGGGACCTGGCGCGTTCCAGTATTGAAACCTTTAGGTTTAGGGTTAGGGTCACTGCTGATCCTCCCCGCGGCGGGACGCAGTCGGGGTCAGGTTTGCAGAGAGGTAGATGACGGCCGATGGGGAGCTCATTAAAGTCGGTAATCGCCTGATCCTCGAGGCGGGATCTGCGTCAGAAAGAAAAGACCATATTGAAGTGCGTCAGCTATTCGCTGTTATGTATCACCACAGACCACCCCGCCATCTGGTTGCTGGTGCAGGCTGGGACAAAGTAACTCCACGAGCGGCCTTTTGGACTAAGCGTACTTGAAGGTTTACTACTTGCTTTCCAGTTCGTGAGGTACTATAGCGTCCGTTGACCTATGCTAAATAAAACCACTGGAGTGTGCTGGCCAGAAGTGAAGAAGCCATTTACATTTGTGGCCCAGGACAATAACATTTGTCGCACCTCATGGTGGAGGCAAATGACCCGGTTGACCATTACATAGAATGCACTACTATAGTGTTGTATATTACAGTACAATACTGTAGCATCAACGAACTTGCAGCTCCGGGTTGCTTGATGATCATTCGCCATACTTGATGGACTTGTCCTGCTTATTCGTCCCGACTACTTCCGACAAAACATTCGGTATCTGTTAAATTTGGGTGAGTCATGGATGGTCGGTTACATTGGTCGAAGTCACTCCGTTGCTAGTGTACCGTTATATACAGGAGAAGTAGTGCCAAACCGTAGTAGACACACTTAAGTACCTGTCATCCTTGTACTTGGCCCTCAACGGTTGTTACATAAACAACAGTATCCGACACGTCTCGGGTGGGGGTTTCTACTGTGCGCCCGCGAAAAGAATGGAACGGCGGCCAAGGCGGATGAGGTTGCCCCACTAGCTGTGCAGTACTTCATGCTAATTGAATTCGTTTCTGTTTCTACTCCCCTTCCCATCACTGCATTCTATTTCCAACATGTTGCAAGCTACCCCAATCAGAAGTCCAGCCTCGCCGTGTCATTCCGCGCGTACGAGAAGCTCGATTCCGCTATATGGCAGAACGGCAAAAATCAGACGTTAACTCTTGTTGGATGATGAGGGGTTTATGACTCAACACCCCTTTCCTCCATAATCACAATTCATGGAGATCTCTCGCGGTGACGTGGTTCCTGATTGACTGCCAGTCCCAGAGACTGACCGGTCAGTGCACCCCAGATGGGTGTCGCCCCCCTCGTCGTACGGCATCCACAGTCTGGCTTGAGCGCCACTAACGTACCAGACGAAGAACAAAGAGGATCGAGGATTTTAAATCGGCATGATCGGCAATGTCGTGGTGTACTTGAGGATGCCAAGATACTGCTTACTTACTCTATCCAGACCCTGAGTCTGTTCCGGACCCTCTCGCTCCTACTTCTATTCCAATACCAGCGTTGTCAATCATTACGGCGCACGGTGTCAAGTTCACTGAAAAATTACATGCTAATCGACATTCAATATAATCCCGACTACGGCTGCACCAATTACGATGTCGACTTCACTATGTAGTAGTCACCTGGCTCGAAAAGGACTCCACCGCTGATTTTGCTTGCACATTCTATACTGGCAAAGGCTGCCAAGGGAAAAGTGCTGGTGAATATCATGACAGATGTGTCAATGGAGTCAACCAATTTGAGTGTGTTTGGTGCAATTGAGAGTTGAAGTAGTAGGTTGAAGGGACTGCCGACCCCAGATCTGCAGCTTCGACGAGACGGGCTTCGCGATAGACAAAATCTCTGCGGAAACTGTCGTTACGATCTACTATCGCCGCTGGAGGCCAAAGGTTGTATAAACAAGGGAATCGGGAATAGGTCACTGTAAAGCAGGGCATCGCGTCGCACAGCTATTCGATCCCGTCGTATATTATCTTCGCGGGCGTGGTCTACCTCGACTCGTAGACTACGAATACCCCTCTACTGCCCGACTAGGTGATCGCGCTTTCAGAAAACGGTAGGGCGAGGAACGAGAGAAGTCTAGAATAGGTAAAGTACTTCGATTGCCGTACGAAGAGTCATACGAAAGGGAGCTCCCGCCTCCTTATCCTCAACAGTTAAAAGAGCCACCATTCCGTCAATCTCGATCTATATTATAAGGAGCAGGATATTGTTACGCTCTATATGCCTACCCATTCGTCATACAGTCGGGCGCTTTAGCCGTCTTAGACGGGTGTATGGTAAAGAGATCGAGAGAACTCATATCACTCACATCTTACAGGAGGACTTCCTCCCAGCCTTTCAAAAGGCGTACGACACTATGATAACAAAGTCGAACATCCATTCAGGCTTTAGAGCAAGAGGCCTAGCACGGTACAGTAGCAGGTTACATAGGCGGCTAGGGGCCCTCGACACGAAGGCGCTCTTAGTGGGCACATCTCACTAAGAACCTCGAGCTACTCTGGGCCTTGTCCAACTCTGAGCCTAGGCCTACTTTGGGGTGGGGCGAGGGTTCATGATCCAGCCTCCGGGGTCAACCGTCTGGCTTGGCGCTGGGGTGGATGTTCTACGCTCTCGACTTGTCGTGTTTATAGGGGCTCGTGTCTCTTCGGTAGAGATGTCACTTCTGGCAATTGGATACTAGTTCAAGTGTTGGTAGGAATGATGCTTAGAACTCTAGGTGAAGCACAAAGAGAGTGACTAGCTAGGGTCAAGGAGATAATTTCGTAACCTCGGGGAATTTCGTCCGGCTCCGAATTATTAGTTTATGTATATTGTTTGGGATCTTTTCGCATGCTTTGGAGTGGCCGCGGAATATGACTCCAGGTCGAAGATCTGTCCGGAGTCTTGCTATGGATTCTTCGTCTGTGTATTTGGCTTCTTTCTTGATTTCCAAACGTATAAGTTCGCGGAAGGCCATCAAAGTTTCAGAAGCCACGAAGCTCCCGTTTTTAACTCTTGGCCAGATCCCCACGGTATAGAGTTCATTTTGGACTTTATTATCGAGGAACTCAGACAACGCAGTTTTCAAATAGTCTTCGTACCCGTGCAGCTCCTCTTCTATAAGTTCTCGATTATCTCTGACCTTGCTTTGATGTCCTTCTTGTTTGGCAATGCTCTTCACCCTCTTCCTCTTCGTGCCCGTCTTAGCTCTTGGTACAACATTGAGCCTCATAGGACTCATTTTGTTCGCAGTTCCTTCAGTCTTCGGAACGCTCTCTTTGATTATCTCCGTAGCGCTCTTCGATTGGAGAGACAAGATAAAGTCTTTTATCACCCAGGAGTTACGGCCAACTTTATTCACCGCTTGGGCCAGTGGCAGCAGGCGTTCGGCCTCAATAGCCCCGGTCTGCTCGAGTATGAATCTACCTACGAGAGCTGCAAGCTGTAGATAGGGTTGGCTCGTTTTGTGGCGCATCTCTTCGAATTTGTTCTTTCTATTTCCCACTTTCCATTTTCTGATTATGTTATCGAGTCTTTTGGACAATTCATCCGGATCCAACTCCTCCCGAGCCAGATTCCGGCGGTACTTTTTGAAAGTCTTCCAAAGGGGGTGAAGTGTTTTAATGCCGGACCATTTTATCTCAGTTAGTTCGCGGGTCAAGTCTTTCATACACGTGTGAGCTTCAAGTCGCTTAATCTTGTGCAGCCTGCTTTTTCCAATTGAGTCAATAACCTGTAGAAACCGGAAGTTTTGCGATACTTGAAACTCTGTTTGTTCCCATGGTTGAACTCCTATTTGTTCCCATTGACCATTGATGCACGAACGAATCCAGAGTTTGATTAGCGATGCAAGGGCGTAGTATGCCTTCGCGTCCTCAATGCTGATTTTGGCGTATTCTCTCGCAATGTGCTTAGTAACGAGCGTGAAAAATGCCCGCAAGTTGATCTGATCTATCCCAACTTCAGCCTCGATCAGTTTCTTTACATCTTGATTCTCGGCAAAAGCTCTAAGCTTCAGCAACAGAGATTCCAGCGGTAATTAACTGGCCCTTCTCAAGGCCTGATCTCGTTCTTTTTTAAAGCTTGCCAACTCGTGGATCTCAGTCCAATCCTTTGCAACAAGCTCTTGAAAAGCTTGCGTGACATGGTTTTGCATTTTAATAAGAACCAGTACTTTCAGCTGAACCCATTTGTACTCCTCCGCCGCGTAGGTTCCTGGGTATATGTACCCACGAGCCAACTTGGCAAAAAGGAACTAGCTCCACGTAAAAGGTTTTACTGAGTCACACGATGTCACGTATCCCTAACCTAACATTGACCAAAGGATGTTTACGGAACCGCCAAGACTATCTAGTTAGAATGAAAAACACAGCGGATGAGACCGCCCCGAGCACGGTGCGCTAGCCGTCGGTCATCGCAGACTCAGCGCCAAATTAACAGGCGACAAAAAAGGGTACTAGTAAGCGACAACAAAAGAGTACTAGGAACCTATACCTGAGGAACTTAGTACTATAGTACCTTACTGTCTGATTCCAGGGCGCTTTTTAGCTAAATCCATGGGACCCACGCGCGCCACACATCTCCGACAGCATCCCTGCACACCGTGAAGTCTCGCTCGTTCTCTCTCTGGACATGTCATAATCAACGACAGGTCTGTGCACGTAGCAGGTCTATCTTATTCTAGCCCCATTTCCCGCGAATTTACTCAACACTCTTTACCCTAAATTTTCTTTCTACCCCCATATTTTTCACTCAATGTGATCCACCGATAAATCCAAAAAAACAGACAGCAGCCGGGTAGCCTCTAGTAGAACGATGCGCAACCAGTCACTAACCGACTTTGCGACCACGCTGGAACGCGGAAAGGATCCCGACCCGTCTTAATATACCTACAGCTTTACGCCGACCTGACATACAATGTCCTCATCTGCTGTAGCCCCGAATGCCGACACGCTATTTCACCATACGGAGCCCAGTGTCACGATCCAGCCTCCGGGGTCAACCGACTGGCAGGGCGCTAGCTTGCTGTTCTGGAAAGGTGGGTTGAGCCTTTGTAATATCACTAACTCCTGCTGTCGTTCTCTCTTTGGGCGTTGTCGTGCCTCTTCGAAGAGATATCAGTCTCGGCAATCGAGTGACCAGTTCAAGTGTGTGTGAAAATGATACTTAAATTGATCGCTGAAGTACAAAGGAGGTGACTATCTAGAGTAAGGGGAATCCTTTGACTATACATCTTTGTCCTTCATCGCTGAGGTTACGTGGTCACCCCCTCCTGTATGACGTTCATGCTTCTGGTGATGACCGTCAGTCTTGGCGTGGTGACGGTCATGTAGCCGTCACGACAGCGCGTATTGGTGTGAAGCTGGGCGTGGCTGACTATCGCCACGTGGCTATCGAGCTAGGTCGACACATTCGAGGACTAGTTATCCAGCAGCTCGAGGTTGATATGGGGGATGAGGCCAACTGTGACAACCCGCAGAACTTTGAGGACCGGCTTACTGGCGAAGCACGCAGGCAGAACAAGGTCGAGTACGTTTGGGGTTTACAGGCCACGATCGCGCCCCATGTGGCCAGATCGGCTTGGCAGCCCTGCGAATGCCCCTCAGGAGCGACAAAGACTGGAGTAATGTTGATGCTTCCCATTCCGCGAATACCTGGACGAGTGGAGGAGGACGAGCTTCCGAGCACCAATTCGAACATGTGAGGACCCCCGGGGCTCGGAGCCACCGCCAAGATGCATCCGAGCCAGCACTACTGGCGAGGCCGGGCAAGTGCTCCTGTGTCGGACTGTTGATATCGCTGGAGGAATGCTTCTTCGTAACTCTCAGCAACCAATCCTATGTCCCCTTAGAAGACCACTTTCGGTCTCTCCATAGAGCGTATGGTTGCAGTGCCTTCGGAGTCATGGATCGCTTTAGAAAGCCGGGTACAATACATAGTAGTTCACCAGCATTTGACGAGACCTTAGGCTGCGCCGCCAAGTGTGCGGCAACGGAAGATATCTTGACAAGGATAGAGGTGCACTGACCAAATGTCAAGCTGCCGTCCAAGAGTGATACACGCGATGGATATGCTTGAAAGATAGAACAGGCTGGATCATATCTGTAATTTGGCTATCGTGAGCGCCCAACACACGACGCGAGGACCCCGGCACAGTGGGGCTTTCCAAAAGGAAGAGGTCGTCCTTGAGTACGCCTTCGTGCACCTACCTATTAAAAATGGCCTTCACGGCATCCTCCTCCCATCATAATATACAATAGCTTTGGGTTTTCTCAACTCATTGGTGTTCTTTGAATTCCATAGAAATCCACTACCGGACTCTCTATTCGAGCGACATCTAGCTGGTGTCCTGAACGGAGGTGGGCGGGAGACTGAGAAAGCGGGCCCACCGTGATCAGCGAGACGTTGCCTGCAAACGATGGCCAAGCATCTGGTCTGCGAGTGTGTGGAGAATACCTCGCTCCATATGCATGGGTGCTCTAGGTTCTACGAGGCACCGGCTCAAGGGCGGCCAGCTACGGGCGGTCAAATCAGCAGCGGCAGCAGCAGTAGAAGGCTTCCGAGGGCACGTGGACCCATACGAGGCAGAGCCCCCGGTGGGCGGCAGTCCAACTATCACGGAGCTGCAGGTCTACTCCGGATTCTGCTGTATAGCGTGCCGATTCGTGACAAGAAGGCGGGAAGAGATTCAGAAGCACCGGGCTACAGAGGCGGTCAGCCATGATCCCAGCCAAAAGGACTGTTCGGCAGGCATAGGCCACGCGCATTGGAAAGAAGTGCGACTACAGTCGTTCTCGTCGGCAATGCACCGCACGCGGTACTGGATCGTAGGAACGCTGGCAGCGGGGCAAGCTACCACGCATGCAAGGGCGGAGCCGGGGCCGGATGGCGGCGGTGGAGGTCAAAACTGTGAGGCCAAGATGGCGGCAAAAGTGGCGACCGAATATGCGGAGCGGGGCCGGACAATCGACAACGAGAGCGGCGTCGACTTTGAAGTCGCCGTGGGTCCGCCAGATGGGCCGGCCGGCAAGGACATGGCCGAGCTCCAGCGCGCAGCTGGTCTGCATGCCAGCTCTGTCCAGCATCCAGAAGGCCCTGGTAATGATCATCGGAGGATCTCGTGTTGTCACGAATTAGGCCTCTGCGTATCGCATTACAGGTCCAGAGGGATTGGCGCGTGAGTATAATACTCGGCGTAATCTTCTGCATTTGGTGGTGCCTTAATTGAGAATCTGACTTTAGGTCGTTGTGGTGGTGCCCAGCATGGCGGGGGAACACACAAAGCAGAGGCGGCTGGGCTTGGCTGACACGATTCACCCCCGCCACCAGGATTTCGGAGGAGGTGGTGTTGTGCTGGTTGGTGCCCATAACGAGAAGGACAGTGGCCAGCCCATTCTGACGAGCTGCAGCTTGTCGAGTTGCTAGATGGTGCTGCCTGCCCACCTACCCAAGCACGAGCTGATTCCCACGCGCCGCGCTGGCCGCCGGCCCACACCCTTGTCCACTAGAGTAGCCGCTGCACGTGGGCCTCACCGCCGCGCGCCGCTCCGTCTCAATCATCGCGCCTGTCAAATCGCGAAAACACCTGCGCTCTCGTCGCTCTCTCAGAATAGCTCGAATTCGCTCCTTGTTCAAAGCCGTGCGCGCCTCCGCGTCTGCGCGTCAGTCAGCACCTCGGGCCGCATCACCCGCCCAAACCAAGCCCACACACCTTTACAAGCTTTTGCTCGCCTGCGCCGCGCATAGCAGCCGACATCCATCCTCTTTGCCTGCTGCAAGTCTCATATCATCGTGGGCAGCATCCCTCCTTTTTGCCACTGGATTGAGACAGGGTCCCCTGCCGCGTGCGCCACGCCAGTGTAGCTCTCTAGCTGCGGATCTTGTCGTAGCTCCTGCTGCGCCATCCGCGCAGCACTTGCCACCACGCCTCCGAGGCTGCGCGCAACTCCAACGCGGCGCTTTGTTGCAGACTCTCCGCTGCTGTCTGGGTTTACTTGCTCTATTTTCCTTTACAAGAGATCGCGCTGAGCTTCAACCGTCCGAGTTCCATCCTCGGCTACCGCTCAGCCGTCCACGCGACCCGGACACGTCGCTTGAATCCCACGCGCGAATATCAGCATAGCAAACAGGTAACGACCCTACCAAAGGAGCACGCCAATCTTCAAGGTTCTAAGAACATACGATTCTGCAGCAATGGCCACCGCTCGCAAGCGGCCTCGGCCGGAGGAGTCCACTGAAAACGTGGCCGACTGCCCGTTCACTGTTATACATCCGGATCCCAATGAGAAGGAGAAGAAGACAAAGCGCCGCGGTGGCGGCTCAGAGGATCGGCCCGTGCCTCCGCCAAAAATTCACCTCCAGGTCTCGCCATTCTCTCCCATCGGCAAGTTTAACGCCAAGGACAACACCATGGACCGCCACTACCAGATCGCTCCGTTTGCCAAGTGGATGGACATGACCAGATATAACAGCTTCGTTTGTACGCGGCCCTCCCTCATATCACCCCCTCCTTTGTCTCAATCTGTCTTGTGATGTCTCCTGCTTCGTCCTCTGACAACTTGTACCTTGATCGATACTGACATGCGGGTGCATAGTGAATGGTGTCAAGTACCACAGTGAAGGCTTCGTCTTCGTCGCAAATGACGACACTATTGAGCACCAGAACCCCGGCGAGTCCCGTCAACCTAGAAAGAAGTCGGATGACAACTGGGTCGCAAGGATTCTCGAAATTCGCGCTGCGGACGAGCATCACGTGTATGCGCGCGTCTACTGGATGTACTGGCCTGACGAGCTACCGGCAGGCACGACAGAAGGAAAGCGGGTCATCAAGGGTAGACAGCCTTACCACGGCAACAACGAGCTCATCGCTTCCAATCACAGTAAGGAATTTTGCGCGCCCAAACTGGTGTGTATCGCGTGGATAGCTGACATTCGTCGTCTTTGCAGTGGATGTCATCAACGTCGTCAGTGTCACGGCAAGCGCAACTGTTCATCAGTGGGACGAGACAAATGAAGATGAAGTACAGCCGGCTCTGTACTGGCGCCAAGCCTTCGACGTGCGAACCATGGACCTCTCGGTATGCCATCCACATTCGCACAGGACTCTGGAAATTGCCTGCTATTGGGACGCTGCTGACTCATGTATTGATAACAGTCCGCCGAAGAACGTTGCCGCTGCAACCGTCCCGAAAACCCCGACAAGAAGCTCATTGGCTGTACCAACAAGGAGTGCCGCAAGTGGCTGCACGACGATTGCCTGGTCCACGAAGCTCTCCTCTGCACTTTCGCACGCCTCGGAACCAACAAACCTCACAAGCCGGCGCCCGTCAAGGACGAGCAAGATAATGAGACTGGCCGCCGGCCTCTGTCACCCAGCGAGTCGGGAGCAGCACCAACGGCGGAGCCTTCTATTGATGTGAAGCCCGAGGAGCAAAACACCGTCAAGATGGCCGATGTCGAGAACGTGCTTCCCATTATCAAGACGGAGCGCACGGGACAGGCGCCAGAACCGAAGAAGAGAGGCCGCGGCCGCAAGTCAGATGCCCAGAAGGCAAAACCATACGAGGGTTATTTCTCTGCCACCATTAGAAGTGACGCCAGTCCGCCAGTTGTCGAGATTACTGATCTGCGGGAAGAAGTGACCGGTGGTCTCAAGGAGTGGACGGAGCGTCTTGACTGCCTTGTCTGTGGTCAGCCAATCCACTAAACCAGGAAACTCTAGCATCTGTTGGCAGAGTTTTGCTGCAGGCATAGACGACAAGGACGATAAAGGTCTGTGGACCAGACGATCGGTAGACGAGATCTCGCGGGCTCGCCCAGTTTTCGAGGCAAGAAGGAAGCCGACCGGACCTAGGTTACCTAGGGATCCTTCGCAGCATGCGTAGATAATGTCCTCAGACCTGCCTACTGTCTTATTCCACCCCACAATCGAGTCAACTTCCAGGGGCTCACACGCATGCAGTGTCGATCATGCACACCGCGATGTCCCTCTCATTTTGGTAAGGCTTTGTTCACCATTTGCGGGCGCAGTACATCGATTTTGACCGATATGATCGCCAAATGTATTACAATAACAACGTGAAGCTCCTTTAGTACGGCGGATTTGGATGTGGCGAGCTTCTCGATGAGGGGCCCATGGTGATTGATGTTGATAAGGAGATCTCGGCTGCCCAGTACGTCACGGGATGGTACCGCAACCAGCGAAACAAGATGAAAACGAGCCGTGAGGTGCCTTGCTTCCATTTCGGGGTACAAGAGCGCCAGCAAGCCGACAGCAGCACAAGCAATGCGGGTTGAGTGGGTACTCAGGGTCAGCCTGCTGGAAGCGGCGGATATCAGGAAGGCAAAACTCAATTACTACACCAAAGCCGTGCACCGACTAAGACCGATGCAAGTATCGTGACTCCAGATTCCTGCTACGATCCCGACTGCTACAGCGAGGCATCCATCTATCACCACATGCAGGTCCTTCATCTCATCCACACTCTCTGCCACGGATCCTTTACAGTCTCTCCTGCCCTCCTTAACTCCTCTCCAGCCCAGTTCGCTTTTGGTCTTCCAAGCGCAAGTGCTTACGGACCTCGTGGTGTCGGAGATTCTTTGTGTCTTTCTTGACTTTCTCGAAAGTTCGAACATAAGCAGGCTGGAGATACTCTTCAATCTGTCCATACGTCTTGTATAGACCCTCGACCAGTTTTTGTCCAACCATCCCTCAATCACGTCACGATCTACGTTAGGCAAGGTTTTCATAGTTCAATAGACAAGGCAATACTTACGTGGTTTCAAAGTCCATTCATTAGCATGGTTATGCAAATTCATAAGTTCCACATCGTCCAAACCTCGGTCAAACAACTCCCAAATGTCGAGAGTGTCTGTGTGCTACTTTCTCTTGAACGTCGTGCCGCGTGAAAGGTTCCTTTGTGCTAACGGCACATGTCAGGGCTTGCCCTGTTGACTCATCTAGAAGGCCGTGCCCTCCGCGCCACTATTATGACGACCTTATCCGCGCATTCGCCTTTTGCGACGTCTAACAGAGATAGATGGAGCACAGCCACACAGCTATCGCGCATCTTCTGGAGCGGCAAATCGCCCTTCGCAAATACATAAGCAGGCTCTACCAAAAGAGGACGGCTTTGATCTGGAGGCTTATTTGTCCTGTTGCGTCAAAATTCCAATCAAGTTGACCTGCTGTCAATTTCGCCATAATATTACGAAATCTACAAGTGCAGAGTATACACGCAGAAATGTAGTCCGAAAGCGGAAACGGGTCTTAGGGTAATGACCTACGTGCCTCCATCTTGAACCCGTGGTCCGCGATTTCAATATTATACATCAGTGGTAAACGAACAATAATTAATGCATGCTCTTCACTTCTCGGCATGCCAGGGGACAAGAGTCAGGCGCCAAGGCAAGGCCCCCGAGAATCACGAGGGCCGAGCACCCCGTTCTCTCGAAACGATAGGAGCCAGTCTATCTCCCGTGCCAGGCACCGCCACAAAACCTTGCAAGGCCTACAAGTGTCGGAAAAGAATGAGAACGAATATAATCGGTTGTAAGAGCCTGCCACTTACGCGAACTTCTGCCCATCAACACCAAGATCATACCATACACCACACTATCATCATAAGTGACTCCACAAAACACAGAGAGCACCGTCGCCGATTCAGGACAGCATACCTTCCCAGGGTTTTGGGGCAACAGATGGTCTGCTCCATGACGCAGTCAGTATCCTCCCCATATTGCGCGCAGGACGTTTATCGCCCGTCCCCACTGCCGCGCATCTCGACCGATGCAGACATCGAATCGGGTGTTAAACCCGCGCAAGATTTGAGTGAGCGCTCGAAGCTCTGGGCCGACATCAATCAGTGCGGTTGGGAAACGGGGAGCGCGATACGTCTCCCTCACGACAAAGCCATGCGCAAGGCTTATATCAAGTGGCAGAAGCATCTGCGCAGTAAGGTCTTGCTTCCGGACCCCAGTGCGGGGCAGGGGAGCGAAGTGGCGATAGGAATGGATATATATGATGCCTATCTCTTAAATTCCAGCTCCTTTATACGGCTACAGGTGCGCTTTCCCTTAAACATCTGGACCAGGCAAGCGCTAATGTTACGACCGGCACCGCTTTCCCCAGATCACGCAAGATCTGGCCACAAAAATGTATTTCTTCTGGGTGACAGAAGGCCCTATTGGTCAATCAGGCCAATTGATCAACACCGCTGAAAGCCCAGACTTGGGGGTACTATCGAGAAAGTTCAGCTACCACTTCAAGCGCTATACTGGCAAGGCGTGGGCACGACGCTACACTGTTTTCCCAGATGAACCACGAGTCAGGCGGTACGAGTTCGTAGAGCTCGACTACGGACAAAACTTACATTTACCGGACCTACCCGACTATACGGCTCTGCACTCGACTGCTCCGGACGAAATCAAAGTCCTTCTGGACTTGGCGTTGTATGGCAAAGTATCAACCTGTAACGACCAAGCCCCAGACAACGGAACGTCATGGTCACCATACACGGCGCCTTTCAACCAGCTCAGTCGCTATACAATATATCTCGCCTTCCGGATTTTGAAGAAGATACAAAGCCTGCTGGATAGCAGCGGCACTTCTCTGAGCTGGAAGGCTTTGCAGCGTCATACAACTCGCTACAGAAAGCAAATTCCGCTGTATCAGGGTCACAGAATCTTCACACCAGTGATTTCAAGCTACAAGGCATTGTACCTCGAGTTACGGCTTCTGTACTCGCTGTGGCCCAATCAGCAGGAGATTTCGCGGACCGTGCACGTTGTTACGGAGCGCGCGATGGTGGACTGGCGGTTTCACGGTGCACTCGCACTGCCATGGCACCATGCTTATAGTTCCTTGAGTCACGGTTTTAGACGCCTGGAAGATCCTACATCGACCGAATACAGGGAACTTTGCCAGTATTTATTCGGCTCGAATCAGCCCACTCACAAGATGAGCTTCAAGATCAAGGATATCTACCAAGTCTTTGTCAAAACCGGAGCGAGAAACGCATATGATGACTGGATTCAGAGTCGCGAGGACCGCGACACCGAGGAGCGCCTGCTTTTATGGCACGGTACTAGGCTCTCTTCGCTGCATGGCATCTTGGATGTGGGTCTGCAGATCCGACGGCGTGGCGTCTTGTACACTGGCACCATGTTTGGTGAGGGTATATACCTAGCCGATTCATCGAGCAAGTCAGCAGGGTACTGTCTAACCCGAGGTAGCACTGGAGATGGTGATGCGGTTCTGCTTCTATGCGAGGCCGACGTCGGAAAAGCTCGCTTACAGAGTGACTCTTCCAATTATTTCGCTCACTTAGATATCGCGGCCTCGCGTGGCCAATACAGGTGCTTTCAAGGGCTTGGTAAATCTCAGCCAGTGCGTTGGAAGAGTACCACCTGGGATATGCGAGCGGCACCTGCTGCCAAAGCAGGTGCTGTGCAGCTGGTAAGTTGACGGATCCTGTAATGCTAGCTTCCGCTGCGTAGAGCTTTCTGGTGAGGGATATACCTTCGCCACGATGGGAAAGGAGATATCCCTCACAAGAAAGCTCTACGCAGTCCAGAACTCTTCGTTTGCTGAGTGCCTCTGGCACGAGATCACTTTATTACATCTTCCGGCAGATGTAAGGTCACAGTCATTGAAACACCAAGCTGACGGTTTTCATTATCATTTTCTAGCCCGACACTCGGATTCCGTATTATGCATCGAACTCGCGAGGGGATTTGAAATTTAACGAATACGTTATTTACAATCCCTCGCACTTGACCATTCGATACATTCTTCATCTGGAAATAAGTACTGCCAGGTAATTGAAGGACGGAACAAATTGAGATCCCGTAGTCCTGTTACGTTTGATAGAGACTCAGCACCGGTGGGCAGCTAGTACTGAATATAGAGTGAATGTAATTGAAGTACTTCGTCCTCTAAAATGAGCTAAGAGCGCACTGAACAGGCGATTCTCTGCAGAGACAGATACAACACTAAATCAATCAATTCATCGACGTCCAACAAGTCTGTCCTTGGCGAGGGAAGCTGAGCGCTGACCTCGTCATCTTATTCCACCCCAGAATTGAGCCAAATCCCATGTCCACCGGCCCCACATGTCCGGCAGGATCCCTGCATGTCCCGACGTCCCTCTCATTCTCTCAGGTAGAAGGCTGGTCGGCTCCATCTGAAGTGGGAGGAAGAACAGAAAACATGGGAGGCTATAGGCAGCTCTAATACGATAGCAGTAGTTGCCAGGACGACGATATCTCTCCAGCCTCGTCTACCTATACAGGGTCCAAGGAGCCGGCTACTCCAGAGTACGAGGCAGACGGAGGAGATGACCAGGTTGAGGATACGATGGCCTTGTTAACGAGCTTAGCTGTTGTGCTCTGCAAGCGGTTGTCATCAGGGAGGACGGGCTCGTTGTTGAGGTTCGAGAATGGCATGAAATCTTCTCCTGCGCCATCGTCGCTATCCTCAGAGCTTGAGTCGGTATTCTTGCGGCGCGAACGCCGTGTTTCTCGTGATGCCGTGTAGGCTAGGGACTATTTGGGCACTGGTGTATCGCAGAATGTCCTGTAAGAATGCTACCGATGAGGTTCCTGGTTGTTTAAGTCAGCAGAAGCACCCTCAACAATCATCGCTATTCCGCAATATGGTTGATTCATCTACACAGCGCGTAAGCGATTATGTCATGGCGCTAAGTATCGCTAACTAGCTACAAGGGAGCTTACCACAACCGTTGGCCAATCACTTCCTATCTCCGGCATAGCCGCCATGCTCTCTTTTGGTCGTGAAGAAGACGTACTTGCAGAAGCCAAAGGTTGGGACAGGAACTATAAGGCGGTAGATGTACATCTCTGGGACTGCGGAAGCCTTGCGTATATGCTCCGTAAATCCCAGCGGGTCGGCTAACGGAACGCTGTGCTTATTCCAGAGGTGTGCAGTCACCCGGACTCCATGTGACGAGTTGGCGCGTCGGCAATCGGGGCTGCGGCAGGTTAAGAGACTGTATGTTGTTCGACGTAAAGTACAAAGAGCTGGTCGACACTGCCATCGCCCTCCAGCCTTAGAAGCTAGGTTGATTTGCGAAGGGTTCCGAACGATAGTGGCAAATCCACGGCTGAGAGTGGACTGAACCTCGGGGGACAAAGGGGCTGGAATGAGACGGATGTGCTACATAGACAGACCATCCATAGGACATGACATGCCCCTCAAGAGAATGAGAGAGACACTGAGGTGTGCACGGTCGACACCGCATATCTGGGGCATGTGGACCACTGGATGTTGACCCAGTTCCGAGAAGGGGCGGGGTGGAAGAATAGTGTATAGGGCTGCACACCAGCGGCCCACCAGGTTACGAGCTTCGATAGTCCCTAGAGGCCAGTTGTAGGAGGCATCGACCTCCTGCAACAACGCCTTGATCAAGCCCATAGGCCAGAGAGCAGACTAGGGTACAGTCCCGGAACGTTTTCCTCACGAACTACTGCAGCTTCGTCTTCCCTCTCGCGAGCCCTCACGACTTCTGGCGCTTTGGTAGCCGCCACCTTCGCCAGCAGCCTGTTTCGGTGCCCGGGCCTAAATATACGTATCGCGGTTGCCAGCGACTTCTTTACAATCTTCTGGGTATCACGACCTCATCAACAGCGTCCGAGTAGAGGCAACTGACCACTCAGATCCTGATTGACACTGTGGCAATATCCCAGGCGGCATCGATGGACTGGCCTCGATTCAGAGGTCCCATAGAGGACAAGAGCACTAATGCAATATGGCATAGCTGTCCAACCAGAGGGAAACAGAAGACATCAGGTTTTGATAAACGTTTACCAGCTGTATGAAGCTACATTATGATGTGGCAGGCCCCGTAGAGCGTTAGAGAGCTACGATCGTCATATTAAGCTCGAGACAGTAGCAGCACGGGTAGGGAAGACGGTGTAGTCATGCACTACGCATGTTGTGTAGCTCTTTCTGTCCTCCTCCATATGGCATGTAAGGATGATTCGGGAAGTCTTTCCAGAAGCGACCCTGCTGGTTGTCTCCATGGTCGTATTCAGCGAGCAACACACTCCCGAGTAGCTCGGTTATTCGGACGTCTAGCACATCGTAGAAATTTCTCATTGCTTCCTTCCAAGTAGGAAACTCGGCATCACTAGGTAGTAGGCGTGGTTGCAGCTTTTGGTGCTGAGTATGGTGGCCTTGGTTACGCTAATGTTGTCAGTAGGGGTCTGTCTGGTATCTCTAAAAAGGAGAGACTAACGTGATCCAATTGAGCGCCATGGCTTCCAGACAAGTCCCGCTCTCTGCAAGACGATGTCGGCGGCAGCACCAGATCGGCAGCCGGCGGAGGTAGTGACGGCCTGACCAACCCGCCTACAATCAATCAGAGCGGATACTTTCCCATCCACGACCGCCCCTTGGCCATCTCCATCGAGACTAAGACTCCCGAGGCAGGCGAGGGCGGTGCTCTTGCGCAGCTGGCTGTGTGGATTTCGTGCGGCCATCGGAGGGTGTACTAGCTGACGGGCACCAGCCCTGAAACACTGCGGCTGCCCAGTCTACCTTTTCTGCGTGTGGTAGGCCACGCGTGGACTCTAGGCTTCGCGATTGATATGGGTGATAAGATTGTGAATCGTATTGTTCAGTGGGCCTTGATCTTTGTGCAATGGCTGACCGTGTAACCTAGGCTCTTGTCGACTTTCCTCACGAGATCGGACATACGAGGACCATAGTTGGGGCGTATAGGCTGTTGGCCAACCTGCGTCGTGTCGTCGAGTGGGCGGACGGCCCATACCGGGAGTGGTTCGGGAGAGTGGTCTTGGGGTTGGATAGTGGGAGCGTGTAACACTTTGTCTTCGGATGGAAGTGTCTATAGTAGGTCTGTCTGTATATATGTAGATATATGTACTAGCCTACATATAGGGAGCAGAAGCAAGCACTTGCCTGAGGATGAATGACCATCTGCCTTGTTGCTACTTTGCATGGCCAAGATTGATAGGAATGATGGAATGACACGAAGTATCTGGCGAATACTTAATAAACTCCCGTCCAGCTTGGCATCTCCTTCTTGGAGCTGCCGGGAGCATGCCTCGTGTTCTTGCATTGCCCACGTGATTCTCTACGTCTCTCTGTCTCTCAACTCGAGATTCTGGAAGGATCCGCGCTCATTTTGGTCCTCGACCTATGGGATCGAATGAGTATTCTGCACAGAGATGGGTTCTACTGAAACCATTGTCTGCTGAGGGAGGAGAATCACATAAAAACTGGACCTTCAACATTGACTCGAGCGGACATAACCTCGGGTGTGGGGAAGCACTTGAGTGAGCCCGTGTCACATACCCTGGATTATTGCCCTGAATGCAATCTCCTATTGCTATCGAGAACCGAGGCAATTCCATCTTGTGGCAAACATAGGATGAATTATCACTTCAGTTGTGCGATAGGTACAGTACCTAGACGTAACTAATGGCTTTATTTCCTCTCAGTTCGATATAAAGCGACAGTGAGGGGCATTACATAGTCAGCCCGGTGTTGGGAGACACGCGGTTTGCTAATAAGAGTGACGTCCGTTACCTCTGTCGTTGTCGTTTCTCCTACCTGCCGTTGGAGCTCCGCCTGTACTAGCGGTAGGTAGGACTTGGCGGGATGACTGCAGACCCTGCTCCAGCTGCGAGACGATTTGTGCGTGTCTGTGCTAAGGATACCACTGAGGTCTACTGAAATGCTAACAGCAGAGCACCCAGGCAGGATGGAGCCCTAGTAAGAGGATTCCGCCTGGATATTACGACCGGGCAGGGCAGGAGTGGAAACCATTACACAAGTAGAGAGGTTTATCGCGAGCCCGCTCGAACAGATCCGACTTTATCTAGGTGAGTAGCTCGAGGGATTAACGGTCGATGACCGTCTCACCAACATGCTTGGCGGCATGTTGAACGAGCTGGCGGCCGACCTTTGGGTAGACGGCACCAGATACAGCGTGCCAACCTAGGTGGTGGGCGTGGCACGGGGAATGGAGGATTATGTCAGCTAAACAATCCACCAGTACGTATTTGCATTGGTGTGCATGAAGCTCGAGCACAAGAGCAGTTAGGTCGCGATAGCTCCCCCGGAACACGCTGCTCACGGATGTGAAACACCTCTCTTCTCCCCCTTACCAAAAGCCTTGGCCGTTCCTAGGACTTTAGGGCCTCTGCCTTACTCGTCCAAACGTGTTTGAAGTCGGGTGCGTCCTGCATGTCCGTCGGCGGGCCGCACTGTTCTTGGCTAAAGTCGCGCTGCATGGCTCTGTGGAGCTCAGACGACATCAACACATGCGGCAGCAAGGCGACTTCCGTTGAAAAGGTGCTCACTTGTGCCGAGTTGAGAAAAGCGTGGAAGTTTGGACTGATAGGCAGTGCCAACGGTCACCAGTCTGCGAGTGATGGCGTTTGGACCACAGCAGCATCCCGTGACCTCCACGGCATACCCGTAGCACGAGCCAACAGTACAATCGCCATGGCGACCACGACAACCCAGTATGTCGTAAGGACAATCATCTTGCCGGCTCGGGACGTCCGCACCTCTAGATCGGAGTCACCAAGCTGAGTGTTTTGGTAGTTCCTCCACAGCTTCGACTCCTTGCGCAGCAACCCCATCGACCAGCGCGTATGCAGATCCACCAGCCCGAGAAACGCGACGGTAAGCACAGCCATGACCGCAAAGTCGGCCGGCGTCGCCGTGATCCGCCACAGCGCCTCATATGTGACGATGTACACCGCCCACGACATTGGCCGGCTGAGCACCAGCGTCCACACTAGTCCGCGGAAGCACCGCGCCATCCTCAGCGGAGGACGCGTCCAGGGCCCCAGACGCTCCATGAGCAACAAAGCCAGCTGCACGGTGCCGCTGAGACCGAGGCTGAAGAAGCTACACGCCGCCACGTTACGGATCATCAGTGTTGTAATGCCCGGATTCGTGCTCATGGTAGACCAGTACAGAGAAAAGGTGAGGCCCATCCAACCCACGTGGTGGACCACGTCTTGCGATCGTGGCGGGAACGTCCTTGCCAGGTCGTAGGTATACATGGCAGCTGCGAGGAGCCTTTCGAAGCCTGGTTGTCAGCATCTATGTCCATGACCTGGTCGTTGGTGTGTTGCTGCGGGGCATACAAACCATGTCGACCTGGCTGAGGACTGGACGCCATCCTGATCTAGAAGGATGGCGACGTCGGAATATGACAGGACTTTTAGGGATGCCCCTAGGCAGTACGCACTCGCTGGCGCAGTGGCTATGCGTAGGACGATGAGTAGTTTCGTGCGAGAGGGAAGCGCGGGCCATCGCTGTCGTAAAAGCTTGAGGAACAATCTCCACGACGTGAAGTCGCTTGCCAAGGCGACCGCAACAAAGCAGGCGCAGAGTTGGATTTCCCACCTCTCGACTTGCGGCATCGTTGGCGCTTTCCAGTGGAACACCGTGTCTGAATATCGGACGTTGGTGTGTTCAAACCTGCAGTAGGCTTTTAAATGTCGAAGGCCTCGGCTGGGTGGTCGCTCGCAAACTGAGCCGACAGGGCCTATCTTGGTTATTTGTTGACATGCATGATCGATACATTGGCTGCGGGTCTGATCAGCAGTGTGGGTGGACTCGGTGGAATACTTGCTTATATCAATAAGCAAGATGGTGTGGACGGCACCCGTTAACCGCGAACATAGTAGTTGTGTTGTCGAAAGCCACTCTCTCGTCCGCCCAGATTCCTGGTAGACGATGGTCAAGAGGACCTCAGACTATGTGTAGATGACGTGAAGGGACTGCTGGCGAACTGGCGTATGCTCATGGCTTTTGGCTTTGCAACATGACCAACCCTGATTTGCGGGCATTTCGAGAGAGCCCAGCGGCCGGTGTCGTCGTAGTCTCGCCGGAGGTCCACACCATCCTGCAGATCTCATGCCCGGTTTGGGTTGGGAGGCTTGCCGGCGTCAGGGGCCTCCGACGCTTGCAAGCGATCAACCTAAGCGCGCGACAAGGCCGTCCAAGACTCAAATCTGTGATAACAGGCCTGTTATGACCGCTTGTCTGATTGAAGGACAGCTTGAAGGGCACCCTTAGTCCAACAGTCTGGGAATGCCGCTGACCGGCTGCTGTCGTGGTTACTAAGGTGAAACTAAGCAGATGTGAAGGTGGTCTCCATCAAGGCCATGCATCCCGTCACTTGGCTCGCGTCAAGCATGGCCCCCGTGAGGTTCGTAATTGCGTTCGGTTTGCAAAGCTGGTCAATAGGAAACATGATGCTAGATCTTGATATTCACAATCCGCTCTTGAGGAGCTTCCTATTCAAGATCCATTCGCTGAGTCCGTCTTTTCTATGCTCGTTAGTTTCGTCGCGCGTGAAAATAATCCGTGACCTCAAAGAACCCATTTTGGTGGAGTGTCCAAATTGTGTAGTTGTTGTGTTCAGTAGTAATGCCTTCTGGTACGCTATTCGGAGAGCTGTCTCGCTCGACCTTACGAATAACGCCGTTCTAGCAAGTCGTATGTCGTGTATTCCGCTGTCAGCAATTTGTCTCTATGGCCAGATAGATGGTGCTTGTCAATTTGAACATGCAAGTTCCTGGTATGGAAATCAACGACATATCGCAAGCTGGCCAAAATGAGATACATGTCGTGGGCACCGCTGTCCTACTATCTATCCTCAGTCTATGATCTCTTGGTGCTCAAGCAACCTCAGACGAAGCAGGCGCCAGGATTGAGACGTTGAAAACACAGTGCTCTGCCGCCTTCGCGGTGCTCTTGCTGCTCACAGCTTCCTTCGCTTTAGTCTCGGAGACTTCGCCTGTCTTTGTCCCCTCGATAGCCTTCGCATCGTCTTTGCTTTCTCCATCAGTCTTATGCTCATCCTTCTTGATCTCTTCTGTCACGTTGCCGTCCTCATCCACCTCCACAATCATGTCCGACCCATCTAGGCTCCCATCCTCGGTGTATACCCACATCTCGTGAACTTCGCCGCGCACAAGACCAGTCAGCCAGACCGAGAACACAACACCAGGGACCAGATAGAGCAGAGCCGGTTGAGCGTGGTTGAAGATAAGCAGCATAGCTAGGGTGAATACCATTGCAAGCAGGTAACCAACCACGGCGGCATAGAAGTACGTCTTGAGAAAGGCCGATGCTTTGAGTGACGGTGTAGCGCCCGGGGACAAGATGCTGGTGAGCTTGGTGCTCCACCATCGATCTCCCCCATTGTCCTTGAGGATTGATATACTCAGGCTTGACCACCATGCGCTGCGTCTCCGTGCTGACTGCAAGCTCGCCAGAAGCCTTGGTCTCGGTCTCGAGCTCCACTGGCACCAGCTTTCTCTGGCGGTGATAGGAAAGATAGTGGTCGAAGCGGAGGGAAAGACCAATGAAAATGCCGGGAATGACAATATCCCCTAGTCCAAGCATGCTTGCATTCTTGGGCCCTTGGAAGACCAGCTTGATAGGGACATCCAATTTTGTGGCAACCGTGACCATGTACGGACTGTGCCAAGAGACCTTGTCAGCCTCGCAGTCAGATGTGGAGAGCATGCGCAAAGATTTACGTGTAGAACACCATGTAGATATCGTAGAAGAAGAGCCCGAACAGCACAGCACTCCCGGTCGTGAACGTTATTGGCGACATCATGATTATGCCCACATACGAGAATGCATACCCCACAGCGTTCGAGAGCAGGACTGAATCGGTCGTGTAGTAAATAATGGTCGCCCCGAACGCAACAACGACGCCAAACATGTCGTTTAGCTTGATGCGTAGGTTTTCGTTGAAGAGTCCGTGGATGGAAAAGCGAATCGTCCAGTGCTCTGTAAATAGCTTGCAGCGCTCCCAGTACAGGTCATTCTTGCGCGCAGAGCCACCACTCTTGGACGATGCCCAGCAAAGGGTGTGTTCTGGGTCTCGTCCAAAACTCGCTCTTCGCTGCCAGGAGCACTACGAAACTGGCCCTTCTTTTCTGCATCGATATAGTACAATGTGCCGTCCTTTGCGCGCCAGACGTTGGGGAAGATGAATCCTGTAGCCATATGCAATGTGTCTGCAAGAAGCTTGCCCAAGCTAGCGAGAGACATGACGGAAAAGTAGGCACCGAGAATTTTGTTGATAATGTCTGGGTCCTCGAGCCAGTTGATAAGTTTATACAAACCTATGAGGACAACACCAGCTAGAATAGGGAAGAGGATAGCATCTAACGGTTTGAGACCTTCGACGATATAATCTTCCTCGTCGTCATGATAGCCTTTTGCTCCATGCTTTTTAGACTTTGCTGGGGCCGTCGGGGAGATCCAGCAAGACCTCCAGTCGATCATCGGGGCTGGGACCCGCTGGAGGACGGCAGAGCAGCAGCGGGCTATGGTTCCGATTATGCAGATACGAGGCGGTTCCGTACTTATTGGCTTACTACTGACAGGCAGCGGAAGAGTCTTTTATTTAGGCAATTACTACACGGGCATGAAGAATTGCTACCCGGGCATGACTCTTACACGGGCATGACTTCTATCGCCTCTGATTCGCTCATTTTTCCCCTTCGACCCACAGGTACATCAGTGCAAAGGCGGTGAAGCAAGCTCTCTTAACAAGGCCGTGCTTTCGGTATAGTCAGAACCAACCAGGTCAACCAGGCCTCTAGAACAGGTCTTAGGCGTATATCAAAACAAGGTCTGGTTTTCAATACAGAACACGGCCAATTCCAGCACGCCCTAGAGGGCAGCTATCTATATCTCTATCCTCTAACTACTATAGATGGAAGAACCTCCTCGTCGCTGTCAAGCAGCTCCCACTGACTCCTTCGCCTGCGAATGCTAGATTGCGTCTTCCGTCCGTTGGCACGTACTCCTGTAGCTCTTCCAGCTCCAAGAACAGCTGACCGGCTGCGCGTCTGGCGCTGGGATGAGGCACTGGCCTGGCTACTAGCCTGGCTGCTGGCCCGTTGGCTCGCTTCCAGAGCAAGCCTAGCTAGCGTTGACTTGTTGTGACTTCCTGGTGGTCGACCTCGTCTGCGCCCTGTCGCTTGGCTTGCTGGATTGCTGGCTCGTTGGCCACTCGGCTGGCTGCTTGCCTCAATGGCTAGCCGCGCTGGAACAGCCTGTGTGGTGTTCTTAGGTCTGCCACGGAGAGCAGTGGCGATCTTAGGGTCGAGGATTCGTCGGTATGGATCTCGAGAGGATGGCTCTCGTAGGCGCCACCGAGGATGGACCTCCCATTTGGTGAGAGGCGTGCCACTCACCAGCTTTGAGTAGATTGTGTGGCAGCAGGGGATTCCAAGCTCGGTCGAAACCGAGCAGTCCTCACTGCAATCGCCAATGGGGTCAGGGAACGGATTCTTCCCCGTCGGCATTGCTTTCCTTGCTAGCCGATATTGTTTGTTGATAAGCCCGAGACCCTTCGAAGAGAGTGCTGTCCGGGGTTCGCCTAGATACTCCGAGCTGGACCCTATGTACTCTCGCGCGGTAAGTACCTCGTCCGCTGCGCAGGCGTCGTTGAAATCTCGCTCCTGGTCCTTCATCATGTCCTGCATAGCCTCGATAAGCCGATAGAGATTGCTCATACCATTCAGGAGATAGCTCTTGATGTTGTTGTTGCTTGCTTCTGTCCCAGATGTGACGCGGATGCCGAAGTTGCGATAGTTGCGAATGAAACATCGTGCCCACTGCGCCCTGACAGGCATGTAGGTTCCATGGAGATACCGCAGGATGGCCCGCTGATCGTCAAATTCCCTACAGAGGCTTCCCCACGCCTTCTCGTGAGCCTCCTCTGTCTCCGCAAACAAGACGACCTTCCACATCATGAGAACCCCTCGATGGCTATGAGGGACGACTTCAGCTGTCTGCGCGTTGACCAACTGTCCGTCTTTCGGGCCGAGCTCAGCCTGTGCCTGTGGAGCGTAGTCCTCCCCGTTGCTGCTGTCGGGACTACTACTGCTACATTGGCCCTTGACCCACTTCTGCTTTGACTTGAGCAAGACGTTAGAATTGATGTGGTGGATGCACAGCTGCTGCTGTGCATCAGGGAACTGATCATTCAGGGCGGCCTTCATCTGACCGTCGAAGTCAGTAATGATAACGTCCGGTTGGCGAATAGAGTGCTGCTCTGAGATCTGTCGAATGCTCTCAGAGAGGAACTGGAACCCCTCCCGTCTCTCGTTGTCGATCAGACCGAACGCCGCATTGTAGACAGAACCAAGGCAGGTCTGTCCTGTTGCTTGGAATAATGGAAGCTTGAAGCGGTTGGTGTTGTATGTGTTGTCGAAGCTGATGACCTCAGGAAACCGCTTCCACATCTGGAGGCAGTACGGAAAGGTCCAGACAAGACCGACGAGGCGGTTTGGCTCATCATCCGCCCACTTAACAAGATAGGGAATCTCCATCTCGTCGAACAGCTTGATCAGTGCTGCAGTAGGAGTGTGGCCGCTCAACTTGTCTCGGCTGATACGAGACCTGGCGTTATAGATATCCTTTCGTGTAAAGGATGACTCGGGATGCTGCTCCAGGACGATGGCGCGTACGTCACGGGCCCGAATTCCGACCCGACGGCTTGTCGATTCGACTGTTGCCCTGATAGGTGTAGTGAGTCGTCTGTGGGAGGGATGGGCGGATGGTTTGATACTGGCCCCGTGGCTATGCTGGCTATGCTCGGAATTATCGTGGTGTCGTAGAAGCCATCTACCCTCCTCCAGTGCTTCGGCAATGACCATCCATTTACAACCACACTTTCGAGACTTCCGTTGCCGAATACCGGTACTCTCTGAGGGGCGTGGTTCTCCGAATCGATCGCATTGGAAAGAGTACCGGATCTTCCGACCCTTATATGAGTAGGCATTTCGTCGAACAATACCGAAGCCATTAGCCTTCGCGAAAGTATTCACCCACTCGAACAGGACTTCGGCTGACGGCGCTGGGTCGCCTGGGATAGGTGCGTTCGGGATCGGGTCAGGGACAGGCGACAAGGGGTGGTCGGGCGAGGGCGGCGAGGCGATAGGCGGAGAGTGCCTTTCTCGGGGAGGCGAGTATGGCGGAGATGATTCGAATGCAGTTGAACTGAGCGGCGAGTAGCCCCATATCTCGCGCCATTGGCGGACTCATTCGTATGACCGGACGAGCTCGATGGTAAGTCTTCGATCTGTCCCAATCGCCTCGCGCACTAGCCTAAGGGCGGACTGAAACTGGGGTCTTGTTGGAGAGAATTGTTCTTGTGCTGATTGTGGAGAGCAGGCAGGTGGCTGGTCGATTTCCGGGCCTGGTATAGGCATTCTTACTCGTTGCGACCGTCTTCCTCGGGTTGGGAAATCATTCGATAGGTGAATCTCATGATCGAATCGCAGCTCCCATGGTGGCTCGTTCAGCCCACGCGATCCATGGGGGCGTGGAGCGGTCGTGAAGGTCTCTGGGTACGAGGCGAAAGCATTATAGAGTGCCTCGTCGTCTCCTACGCCATAGTGTGGGCCAATGCTCGTCCCTGTGCTATTAGACGAAGGTGGTCTTGAACTCTCAGATTGGTTCTGCCGCTGTCGTTTTCGGGGACGTAATTGATAGCTTCGTAGTCGTTGGTTGCTTGCTGAGCTAGATCGAGAGTCGGGCTGGGACATAATGACGGCCCTGATCGCGACAGGAAGATTGTCGCACGCACGGATGAGAACATGGTTAAAGGGGCAGTTGATTTGACTATGAAAGAAGGAAAGAGGGGACCAATTTCAGCACAAAGGAATGACCTGCTTTGTGATGCAGATGCCTTGGAAGATGAGGCTATTGGATATTCCTGATACAGCCTGTGTTTTGAGTGTTGGTCTCAGCAGGGGACCTAACACACCACGCCTGGAGCCCTGTGACCTTGACAAATATCGTATCTTTCACGAACAATCATTATCATTAGGCTTGACATGCGACAAGAGGTAATTGGTGTAGTAGCTAGCTAGTGAATAGCTTCCATATGTCTCGTCGATCGTCGTGGTGGAGAGCTAATCCCGAGGTACAAGGGGAGCGTTGGCAGAATCTAGATGCACTAACAAAAAGGGATGGACCAATCAGAGGCTGCAAAAGGTCATGCCCGTGTAAGAGTCATGCCCGGGTAGCAATTCTTCATGCCCGTGTAGTAATTGCCAAGTTAATTGGCGGACCGCTTTAAATGATCATTCACTTGGGCTGCCTAATCCCTTCGACATGGAGCCCACCGAGTCCCATGGCTGCCTAACCGAGTCATGCGGAGAAAAGCTTCACGGATCCATTATCCCCCAGCCTCAGTCTACTTCCTAGTGAGCGAAAAAAACGCGACACGACAGAAATGAATGACGTGGAAGAGAAGGAGAACTGAAGCCTTGTCCATTAGACGTTTCATTGGGGAAAGGCTGGACCTTGGGATGAACGGATCGCTCCCTAATAGTGGCACTGGAGTAATTAACTTGGGAGGAAAGAGCCATGCGCCGCTTGGGGGGTTGGGGGAGGGGGGGCCGAATGATGGCGTCCGTGAGTGTTCAAGGCTCAGCTGGAGGTGGTTCCGGATGCCGTGTCTTTGGAACGACTGGGCACCTATCTCTCGGGAACTGGCGAAGGACCTGGAGCCCGGGACCCGGAGCGATGGGATTAAGAATATCGAGAGGCTCCTGATATGTAGGAATCCCATCCCATATGAAGTGAAAAGGTACCATATGCACACCAATTTCCATATGCATCGCTCGAGAGCGGCAGTGGGTGTCCCATCGACCGGATACCTCAGCTCCGCTGGTGAGCGAGTTGACCTCTACCTCTCCTGACAGGGACCCTGCACCGTGTCTCCGGGTAATTCCATTAACTTGGGAGGGAGAATGTCGTGGCAGCAACCTCGAAGTGGCTTGAGACGCTACGACTGCGCCAGTTTAATGACAAAGGTGCCTACCACAGTACGCCCGTCGAAACTGGGGTCAATTATGGCGTAGTGCAGTCTGGCAAGGGTTTAACCCATGGACTGATTACTTGCTTTGTTGGATCCTGTCCCCGATTTGGATTGGGGGCGCAGTGGCTCCTCTTGCCCGGAACTTCCAACCTGTTTGGCCTTGACACAAACCCCCCACACAAGCGTCGAGATAATTTCACGTCCTTAACATCTTTTGCTGCATCAAAATCCTGTCCTGGCGAGCAAGAAAGCAGGGTGACCACCAGTGCTGGAAACGCCGCAGCCCTGATACTATCAAGGGTGGCATGAGCCGCCTTTCATGCTCTCGGCGCTCTTAGAGTAGTGGAAGTGGCTGAAAAATTCGCCAAGGTCTTCTTCGTTCAGCGCCTCCCAGCCCCAACTTAGATTATATATCTCGACATGAATAGTCCGATACTTTGAACAT